GCGAAGCACGCTGCGAGTTTGCATCGCGCACCTCGCATCGTCGCGTCGTTTTACGATCTCGATCCACGGCGCCTTTTGATGTTCTCCAACATCGTTAAACGTTTATTCGAGATCGTTAGCGGAAGCACGCGCGACCCGAGATCCGGGCAATTTTATATATTAATTTACGAGATAATCGTCGTACCGGCAATTTACGAAAGCACCGTTAAAACGTAAATGTAAATGTCGCTCGACGCGAACGCGGTCGTTTGACCGTGTTTCGTGCACGCCCGAATAAGAGAACGTTTCCGCAACAGGATATTCTATACGCGCAACCGTATGCAAAACAGATTAATGATAACCGCGTGTCGCGTAAAAGCGTGTTGGTTTTAGCGCTTTGCGATCGGTCTGCCGTACCAAATCGTCCTTGGCGAAAGTATGCGGTACCATCGTGCCGTAACGACGATTATACCACCGGTATCCAGCGTAATGCTAATGAGAGTTTCCACCTTTTGCTTTTCGTCGTTACTTGCGACAACTTTTACGGAAAAGTAAATATTTTACAGCTTAAACAAAGTTTATAGAATAAGTATCGTTTACTTGGAGAATTTCTCCTGTTAAAGACATCGTTCGCGTATCGAAGAGATAACGCAATTGTTTGTTCGTCGAGGAAACGATAGAGGTAGGATCGGTTATCGTGCAGACAGTTTCTAGTAGTAGCGGCGTTGCTTTGGTCAGACAGAATGGGAGGACGCAGCGTAACCCGCAATGCGGGGGACGCGGCTTTAATAGAAATTAAACGAATCGCATTGTTTCCGTAAAGTAGGTACACCGTGGCGAGCAGCTTTCTGGAGGAGAGCCAACAAACTTTAAGACCCACCTGTCCCACCTACAACGAGTAGCGAAAAGTGCGCGTTCGACGCGACGCGACGGTACTTTTAAAACGGAACGTCAAACCAACGATTTCGAACACCGATCGCTCGATCTAATATCCAATTTCGTTTCGACAGATCGGGCCCGCTGAACGGAGAACGAACAGAGCTCGAGCACGAGTAAAGCGGTGTCTCGGTATCGATAAAGCGCGATCGGTGTAGAAATCGTCATCCTGTTGCGTACGCGTTAGGCGATGGTGTGTATCGGAGAAAGAATTTCGATCGGAATCGACCAAAATATCGGAAGATAACGGTATGCAGCACGCCGCGGCACGGCGACCAGTGTGTAATTCACGTTGCTGGCCGTAATTGCTTTTGCATCGATTCCCCGCACGGGGTCGGCCGTCTTCCCATCGTCCTACATAAACGCGGAATAGCCTGCGCCAATTCCAGGCATCGCGCGTCAGGTCGTCGTTCGATACGAACAAACAGTGCCAAGGAACACGCGACTCTCTACCCGCACTACTCAAAATCCTCGAGATCTATACTTCCAAAGGAGTATCGCGACACGCTCTGATCGCGTTGGTTCCTCTCTCGCCGTGCGTTTCGATGTTCTTTAATCTGAAACTACTCGAAAGATAGGATAGGAAAATGTACCGGTATCCGTACTCTAAACGATCCTGATACTCGAGCTACGTATTATTAACGGGCGGGAGTGTTTCGAGCCTCGCACTCTGTTATCGCGATACTCTTTCGAGCATGATACGACGCGAAGACCGAGATGTACGTATGTGCTCGGAGACTGGCTAGCATAATCGACGTACCGGACAACCAGGAATGTCGCGACGTTTCTTTGTTCGCGACAGGGGTAAATCGGTAGATGATACACTGTACGCGTTGGTGTCGCGTGCGCTACCGATCGCTACTCGTAACACTCTTGGAACATTGTTGGAAAAACCGACGATAAAGTAAAGCGTAAACGCTTGACCAGTGTCGACGCGTCCCTCGAAGCCGAATAACACGACTATGACGGACACGCGCGATAAAGGTGTGCGCACGAGATCGGTTGATCGAAACGCTGATCAACCGGTACGCTGGCCAAAACGCTCGCTGACGGACTGAACCACCGATTCTCCCACACCCTTCACGCATTTCGACTAGCGGCGCCCGAGGCCGACCGAACGACGCCGAGCATCGCCGATCTTCTCGACCCGTTCCTCCGAAACTTCCATTTTCCCCTCTCGCTCCCATTGAATCGCGCCTGCTTTTACAACCATGGTTATTTCTAATACCATGCACAACGCGATTAAACAATCTCCCGAACAAATAAACACACTTGCTCCTTTCGCCCGACTCGCTTACGTCGGAAAATGCGTACAAAGCACAAACTAGTTTACGTTTATTAACAAAAAGGAGTTCTCGCTGCATGCTACGACGGTCCTTTAACGACAGAAGGGCGTAATATTTGTCGTCCACCTACGGCGATCGAACCAGCCTAACGGTACGGAATGTCGAACAAGATTCGAGAACTGGTCGATGCGATCTCGGAAAACGAAAGAACGGCGAATAAGTTTTCGAACGCGAGGAATCGTGAAATTTTAGGGAAAAAGGAACGAAACGGCCGATGGTCGTGCAATTCTATCAGCGAAATTACGGAGACAAGCCTACCGGCTGTAGCTTCTCAATTAACTTTGCTAATTTCTCGATTAATCAGACGTCGCGTTCCGCGAGTAAAACGGACGAATAGACCGAGAAGGAGAGAGAAAGAAAGAGACGATGGGATTCTCCGAGATAACTCGCAGGCAGCGTGACGCAAAAAGCTCTAGGGTGTGGTAAATTAAAACTCTGCTCGGTTGGACGGCTCGAGGTTGAAACGTACGCTAGCTACTCTTGTTCGGCTTTTATTTGACGAATAAATGGATCGATCGCTGTAAGTATTTTCTACCTTTACGAACAAAGTAATTTTCGCGAACCGTCGTTAATCCCTTTACGGTCCGTAAACGATTCAAGCTTCGATGCGTATAACAAGTATTTATTTAAAAAGCGAATATAGTCGAATGAATTGGTAATGAAGAGGCAAATATACGAGGCGTTAATAAAGAAGCGAGATTCTCGTTAATTGCGTAAACGTCCGGACGTTCTCGCGCGCACAGCGACGCACCGTCGCGTCGCGTCGATATATCGGTGTGACCGTGTTGAAGACGTCTCTGGGGTTTATTGCGCCGTGCTGCCGGTCCCAAGAATTCGTCCCGAAGCTCGTAGATGCTAGCAGGGATGAAATTCTCGAGACTGGGAGACAGGCTGGAAGTAAATATCCGGAAAAAGAAAGGCGGTCGGGTGGTCGGCGGGGCAGCCGTCGCGATAGAAAGTAACGATCGTTCTGCCGTAGAAAAACATTGGCCATGCGAGCCATGGACGCCGAGACACGAACAAGAAAAACCTCGTACGCAATATCGGACGTCTGCTCGATGAAACGGGAAAGATTTTTATTGGCAATTACCGAGCGCGCGATGAGCCACGTCGCGACGCGTCCTACACAGGGAATCTTGAACCCATCTACGATATAGCTATTGTACAAGTTTCCTGGTGATCGATAACGGTCAGGCGTAACGCGAAATTCATTTTCCCGTAAACCTATTCGAAATTTTTCGACAATCGAGGACATTTTTCTGGCAAGAGTTATGTATCCTGAGATGACCCCAATAGCGTTTCGTAAAAGTTATCGGCTCGGTCGGAACGATACCCACACGGTATAAGATTACACGTAGGATAAGCTATTGTTTCCGAGCGAATCCTTGCTCGCGTTCCGCGACTCGTACTTACATACATGCGTATCGCGTGATTTACGATAGCGAACGCAAGGCATACCGTAATCGTACCGCTTAATTAAATCTGTGGTATTTCTAATAAGCCCTGTTCGATTTATCGTCGAGTCGCATATTTCGCGCAGCGGGCACGAAATTTGAAAAATTCCGATAGTTCTGCCCACAGATGGAATCTGCGCCGCCAATTCGTGCGATAGAAAGACACGTTAAAGCGCGTAAGCGGGTCTCGCTAGCCTCTGCCAGTGGACGTTTTAGTTTTATTTAATCAGCGGCGAATCGAACCGAACCGAACACCGAACCCAGTCGAGTCGAGATCCCTTTCTTGGTTCCTAAACTACGTAGCTAGGTACTTACTTTAGGTTGCTTGGGCTCCGCGCAGCTGGATAAACGTTTGCTCTTGGTTTATCGCTTTTTCGGCGCGGTAATGCACTACGTAATAACGGTTATTTCTACCCAGTAAATGCCGTATGCCATTCTCCGCGAGACGCTCCGCGATCATTCCTCCGGTACCGGAGGAATTCGGCCGACTTTTATTTTCCTTTACTCTCGCTAATCCCCGGTGATCTCTTCTCTCGGGTGTTGTTCGACCTAGCGAAACGTATCTCTTCCGTCCTCGTCTTCCAAGTCGTTGGACCACAGACGACGCTTCCGCTTGCAACCGGTTAGCCTGTGTTCGACTGGTTCTTAATCTATTATACGTCGCGGGTATGCATGCGTGCGTGAATGGACCTCTGTACCTACAAATACGTATACATACTAGGATAGGAATGTTGGAAATTAGCTGCAAGTTTGCGTTTAAATGAGCGAGACAACGTATTTGCCAACGCTTCGAAGAGACAAATTGCAAAAACCACTATTACTACTATTCCGTCCGATGGACGATGGACGATGGACGATGCTCGAATGGAAACCTGTCGAACGAGCTAGTCGATGGAGACAAACGTTTGGAACAGGCAAAGCCCGACTAGGTTAACGACGTTACCGTTTCGCGTATCGGTAACGAGGCTTAAACGAAGAGAGGAATCGAGATAAAGATAGACACATCATCGACTAGCCGGATGTACGTACGTACGCAAGTAAATGCGTTTTTGCCCGAGGAAAAAAGCTTGTTGTCGGCGTATCGGGACTAGTTTGCACTTGGCAGCGAATTCACATCGCGAATTACGAATCAACCTTCTTTTCTCGTTTCTGTGTTTTCTTGTTCGCTCGATGAGACGACTCGAACGACGAGAAACGAGAGGAGTAGCCGGTAGTTGGAACTTTCCACAGTTCGGACTGTTACTTTCTCGAGTAACGGATCGATCGTTGATCGTCCGAAGCTCACCTTATTAGCCAAGTCCAGCATATTTCCGGTCCCCCCTGCGGCAGCTTCCACTAATTTCTGAAGGGTGTGAGGCTCCGGCGAAAGATCCCTTGCTCCGCTGTCGAATTCCCAACTTTCATGCCGGCCGGATACGGTACCTGAACAAAATACGAGTAGGAAACGTAACGATTTATCCGAAAACGATCCGACGACGGCTCACCGAGACTGTTGTCGCTGCTGGTGGGCAAATACTCTGGCGTGTGCGTGTGGTGTGGACTGGTTCGGTGTTTGCCGGACCTGAGAGCCTCGATTTCCGGTCGCAGAGCCAAACGGCGCCTGAGGAACTCTTGATAGGAAATGCGACCGTGCTCGTCCGCTCCTAACTCCCTCATCAACTCCTCCACCGAATTCTCGAGATTTAGTTCCCTGCACACAGTCAGCAGGTCCTGGCTAAAATTTTAAACACAACGATATTAAAACCAGCAATTTACCTATCGTTTCGATCAACGCTAATACCCCCTATGTCGAATGCCGTCCAATTGTCCGACCGTCGGAGTGTCCGGTCTCGAGCGATTCGTCTAGGTGGATAATTAAAATCAGACCCCGAGGCTCGATACCTGTCCGACGAACGCGGAGCCAGCCTCTTAATTTTCGTTGCCAGCGGGACAGAATATCGAGGAAAACCGATTAAAACGTCAACGCCGGCCGGGACGGTTCGGAATTACGCGAAAGACGGACACGCAGACTCGGTCGATACCACGGGAATTAAACATTCACCAGCGACTGCACGGATCCACACCGCTACGAACATTTACCGAAAAATGTTAAACGGTCTCTCTCCTATCGCGAACAAACGTTTACGTTTCAAAAATATTTTTAATAATTGGGAAGCGTCGTTGCAGCTGTTGGAGGAAAATAAAGAAAAACACGTTTAATGGAAATACGCTAAAGAAATGAATAACCGAAGCAACGATCGACGTGACGCGACGCGACGTCGCGTTCTAGTAGCGGGCGCAATCAACGCCGCGATCGATCGGGCAACGTTGTTCATCTTTTGCGAGCGGACAAATGACCTCTGACCTTTGTTCGCCGAGTCGCGTATTTTATCATCGAAAAGGGGAGACGGAGGACGTTACCGAACTCGCGTTTAAAAACATGGCGAAACATGTCGTTACGTTCGGTATAAATATAGAGCAACACGACGGATAAACCACGAACATTCCAATTCGCGTGATAAATAAAGAAACGAACCTATCGTTCGAAAACGTCTCGGAGCCAGACTACGTACCACCGGGAAAGCTTCTGCCTGAGCTTGCGAATCGACAACCTCCCCAATGTTCTGGATTCCCATGATTTGAACGTCTCCATTAGTCGGTTATTTCTCAAAATGTTTAATTGGTGAAAATAGTCGGAGAGGCGAAGGGGTGGCAAGACGGCGGGTGGCCGTGCATCGGTCTAAGGTCCGGCTGAAACGATGCAACGAGTGCCACTGCAGCAGCGAACGAGTGCACGCAGCCCGCGATATTCAAACCAGAGGAAAGAGAGGAAAAAAAACCGAGTGTGTAGTCCGAGCAAGAGAACGTGAAACGAACGCGACTTGATCCATCGCGATACGTGTCACTCGACGTGTCTTGTGTCTCGCGTGCGGTTTTACGGCCGACGCTCGTCTTTATTTTCAATACGTTCGCGACCGAGCTTATCGGACCTCTGTGTTTCTCGCGCTCGCGGTTCGGCCTGGAAGATCAAACTGTCCAGCAGTATCTACGTTTCTATTATTAATCGTCGAACGACGAGTACACGATTGCGGAGAAGCGAGAAGAGGCAACCCAAACTATTTGCAATTTCGAACGTGTATACGAGTCGTTGAAAAAATTAAAAATATCGAGGTCAAGCCGTAGTCTCGGTGGTCCAGTTAATTTTCATGTCGAGAAAAATTAATAAATAATCGAGGAAAGCAGAGCGACGAGGGAGTGGGAGAGGAGGAGGAGGAAGAGAAGGAGGAAAGAACAACGAGGAGGCTGTGCGTAAAAAGGGGCTCGAGAGCCGCGAACGGGAATGTTTTGCCTTTCCAGGGCCGTTTCCATGGGTGAAATGATTTTCACGATACGGCGCACTCACGATGAACGAACGAACCCCTTTCGGCCGTCGAAAGTGGACGTCTCAACGTGCCGGCGAGTTACACGAGCAACTACCTACTACTCGTTGCAAGTTCGCGCGCAGTTTTCCGCCTGCGAGCCCTTTCTATCGAAAAGCTCTCTTCTGCCTTGTCGGGGAACAACCTATCCGGCCGAGTTACCAACCGAACCAACTATGTACTCGCCAATTAATTATTTCCGATTGAAAAAGAACAAAGGATGGAATAAAAGTTTGAGAATAATAATCGTCGATCGGATGGATCAAAGATGAAAACTGACCAAATACCGGAGAAAAAGGGTGGGTGGGTGGATGAAAAGCAACACGAGTATTTAATGTTAAGCGCGTTCCGGTCTATTTGGTTGGTAGAGACCCTTGAACCGGGCAGACCGTGAATAAAAGGAGCAGAGCGTCTCCTTCGGGCAATCCTCCCTTTTCAGATGCTCCGGGGCGCTGTTCCCTGGCTGGATACGCTAGAATAGGTCCGCCATTAAAAACAAAAAGGATCAACAGAGGGAAGGTAGCGAGAGGTGGCGAAGCTTCCGCCGCGTGAAAGGGAAAAACGGGGGAGAAACGAAACATTACCTAATGCCGTGTTTTCACTGGGAGAAATACCGCGCGTGCGTTTTACTTCCACCTAACGCGCCCCACCATAACGCACCGCAACCCTAACCACTCACTCGTCTAGGCATCCTTTGTCGTCTCCTATCCATCGCGTCCCATCTTTATCCCCCTCGTGTCTATTTGCCTTTCCGTTGGACCAACTTTCGCCGCGTGCTTTCGATAGCCGAGTAATCAACGAGCAGCAAGTCGTTGCCGTATACGTATACTACCATGGAACTTCACTCTTTCGCTCGACTGCTCGTCCGAGACTTTGCAAAAAGAGAGTTAACCAAAGACATATGTAATTTCATTCGAAAGGAATAGCGAGACGAGAGCCAACCGATGATTCTGCCAAGGATACCAGTAATCGCGAGGATAAAACGAAAGGGGAGTTGGTTTCGTGGCGATGTGTGACTCACTTGCCATAAAACGCGATCACCCTTCGTGCAACCCTCGAGTGTATCGTAGATATCGTAGATATCGTAGATAGTCGGGACACTCTGGGGCACTAGTGAACAACGTTTTTCTTCGATATCATCGTTGGCTGCTAAATACGTAAATACGTATGCAAGTTTCAGCGGCGCGATAACAAATCTCCGAGTGTCCATGTATATGAAACGATCGAAAAATTCATTCATCTTTCTATACTTTGCACCGTTGTTGAAGTTTAAACTGCCTCGATTATTGGTTTTCGACTGTTGGTACGATACGTAAAGGCGACGGGCAAAGTGCAATTACTTGGAGCAACGGACTGACAACGATCGATTGTCATCCGATAATTCGTGGCTCGTTAACGAATCAACCCCTCTGGCAATAATTATCGATAGAATGGAAATCGATGTAGCAAACGGGACTGTTAATTATCGCGCCTAGAGACGCGTGTACGCGTAAAAGCAATCGGTGCGACACGTTACGAGCCCGTGTCGATTCATTTGCGCAACGAGATACGATCGATCGATCGAGACCGATAAATCTTAAGATTTTGTAATTCTTAATTCCTAACTCGTTATTACATTCTTTTACGCTTTCGGATTTTTCCAACAGCTAAAAACGTCCACCGAATACAATTGTCACAAACGGTAACTTGTCCCCTATATGTTTACCGTCAACAGTTTTATAACCGTTTACCAAACACCGAACAATTGTTTTTCAATTGAGAAAATCTCGACGATCCATCGATAATACTGTCATGAAAGTACAAGGAGAAGTACACAAGTTTTCATTTATATCGGTGAGTGTAATTCCGATAGGCATTCGGCGTCGCGTCGCCTCGCGTCGCCTCGCGTCGCCTCGCGTCGCCTCGCGTCGCTTTCAAGTTCAGCCAGCGAGCGCATCCTCGTCAGACGGTTAACGCGTGGCCAAGTCTCGTGCCTCGAGTACAAAAGATTGCTTTCTGGTAGAAAAACGCGAACAAATCCGAATAATCGAAAGGCCAGTGTCCCGATTTTTATTCGGTTATCTGGTAAATACCAAACTCGTAACAAATATGTGCATATATCGTGTTCGACGCGCGTAAACAATGGTACGATCGTTCGAGACACGTTCACCGCCGCTTTGAAAACACGGCTGTTCTTTTCAAGTTTCGGCGACGTAAAGAAACATTGGTAGCTTTCCGAGGCGCGGATTTCCTCGAACGAACGCGTGTAACCAAGGGCAATTCGTCGTAATGAAACGACAGATCTGGAACGAGATCCGCATCGGTACACGCTCTTTTTCACGAACGCGTACGCCTACGCGTGCGAATCCGCGCTCGCTTTCAGGGGAAAATACCCCTCGCGGTTCGTGGTTCGTGGTTCGTGGTTCGTGGTTCGCGGTTCGCGGTTCGGGCAGGGAAGAATGCAAACGCCGGTAGCAGCCACGACTTGTCGACTAATTTTCGCGAAAACGATCTGAATAGAGTAGGTCGCAGCGGGAGCAACGGCCCGGCACCGAACAATGAAGAAACGGAGCACCGACGGCGGAACAGAGAGAAACGGTTGAATATCGGAAAAACGGTTATGCGTTTAATGGTAAACCATCGTGACTGCATCCGTCGTCTGTGCATCCCACACATATTCCTATTATCTTGCAAGTGTTGTTCGTACCACGGTAGCGAAACGAACACACAAAAGAAAAAGAAAACGAAAAATACTTAATTTATGGCATCGCCCGAGGCGAGGCTTTCATCGGACCAGCTAATTAATCGAGCTAATAATTAAAACGCGTGCAGGGAATAACTTTGTTGCGTAACTTTAGCCACGAATCGTTTCACGGGGTACGAATTTATCGTGTTCAGCGTGTCGCGGAGAACCTGCCTCGAGAGTATATTTAATAATGCGTAACGACGATCGAATTCTATGGTAAATTTATCGATCCAACGCAACAGTTGGAAAAATCTTATTTTTTTCAACGTTTATAGGCAACACTATTGTTAAGAAAAAATACCGACGGTTAACCAGATTGGTTCTATCGTTGTAAATTAATCAGTTAGTTAACCCCAACAACAAGGTATGGTGCGAACAAGTTTATACGCGTCCACAAGAGCGAGAGTTTAATAGAAATGTTTAAACGTTACGTGTAGCTAGGTAAATAAAATAGTTTCGTTCTTTTAGACGCGTAATTATCTCACAGAGTATAGAATTTGTCCGAGTAACCGAAACAGAATCCTGTATTAGAAAAAGTAAATAACCATAAAATGTAATTAAAATATTAACATCATCCGATCGGTCTCCGCTCACCTGTCGATAAAACCATCTCCGTCGCCGTCGCATGCTTGGAACAGCTTTCTGACGCGTTCCTCGTCGCAGATGGAGCCTGCTTCACTCTCAGCATCCGCGATTTGTGACATTTTCACTTCACCTCTCGTTTATCCATCGTGAGACAAACTATCGACGACGCACTGGTTGATCGTTTCGTGTCCATCCTTTCTTCGATCAGATCGATTAGGCCGAGATCAGATCGTTCAACAAGTACAATTGCTCCCTTTTTTAACTCGTTATCCGGATATTAGCATCACATTTTTTTAATCGTCGTGGTACATCTCCCAGCGACTGTTGTTACGTTACGAATCGAATCGAATCGAATCGAATCGAATCGAATCAAATCGAATCGTATCGTATCGAATCAGCGAGTCCTTCGAGTTTCGACGATGTAAACGTTAGCGACCGATGGGTGAACCAAACCACGTAGGTCGTACGAACAAATACAAGTAAGATGGATCGTTATGTCACGTGTTGCATCGCGATCCCACGTTAATCGATCTCGAGAGACGCATACTCGAACCGCCTCCGCGATCGCGACCGCGATCGCGTTCGAGGAATATAAAGGTCTACGAACCTCGATGGAAGCAACGGCTATTTTTAGACGGCCTGAAGCAGCGCGTGGATTCCCTTGTTCCCAAAGATTTAACTGGTACACGGAAAATAAACAGATCGACTGCGGAGGCGCGTGTCATTCTCTCGCCCACGTATTTCCACCTTGCGATATTTAGCCGGGATTACACTGTGTGTCGTTCGGTGTCGAAACTTGTATGGATTTCTGCGACCTATCGCGCGTACACCCGTCCAGAGAATATCGGAGGATTTTGCGACCGCGCACGCACCAAACGAGCCCGTAACCGCCGTTTCCAGTGTCACCGAGTCACTAACCCTAACCTCAAAACCAGACCCGAGGCTCGCCCACCTTCGCGAGCTGCACAGCGGCAATCAAAACTATCGATTGAGCGTTCCACGGTCGAAAAACTTTGACAGCTCGCGCCATCTTGGAATTCCCGTGCACGACACGGAAATAAAAATGGCGACCGTGTAGCCCGGCTCGGCCGGCGAAACGTTCGAGCCTCTCTACCAGATGTCGATCCTATCGCGACCAATGCGCCTGTCGCGTCGCACGGACCAAACTTCAACCGGACAACCTTACAGGGCACAACATATTTTTAACATGGAAAAATAAGTTACTTTTTATTCGTGATACCATCGTCCGTGTAACGTGGCCGTTAAACGGAAACGTAAGAAAAATTCATTTATACGCATCGTTACAGTAACCAATATCCGTAACGCATCCATCGTATCGATGAATTTAAACGTACACTTTTATACGATACATAATGTCATTTAAGACTTGAACTTGTCGGCCAGCGTTGGCAGCAGTTTCTTCAGTTTGCCGGTATCGTGGCTGAAAGCCCACATTATACACCGAGTATGCTCCTCGGTAGGCAAACCGTGTAATTCACCGTCTGTCTCGAACCACGGTCTGTTATTCCCCTTGATGCGTTCCAATAGACTTTTCAGCGTTTTGTTTCTCTCAACGTCCCAAGTTACGTTCGAATTTCGAGCTTGCACGGTCCTGAGCTTCTTGTAATCTCCGCCCGCATCTTCGTACGCTCTACGGGGAAGAAAAGAGACCGAGAAAAAGAGATGAAAAGATCGATAGATCGAACGAAAATATTCCGAAGCCCGATCGGATGGTAGAAAAGAAAACGCGGCAACTTACTCGAGAAATCCGTTGTCTTCGATTTCGTATCTATCCGCCAATGGTTTGAAACCTCGTACCAAATCGATGGCCAAGTAGTTTAAATTCTCCTTCGCTCGACCGTTCGCGTTATAGTCCGTCATCCAATTTTTCAGCACCTCGACGGCCTCTTTCATGTTCTTGATCTTTTGCTCGTCCTTTGTGCACGATATAACTCTTTCGGCTCTTTTCGTCAGGCCAGCAATCGCGTGGTATTGATAAATTACGTCCCTGCCGTTCAACGATTCGATGCTCTGCAACGCTTTCTCCTTATTTTTAAAACCGAGTCTGGTTTCCTCTTTTTTCTCCTTGTCCGTATCCGTGTCCGTGTCCGCGTCGGTGTCGGTGTCGGTGTCGGTCGATTGCCGCTTCGCCACCTTCTTTTCCGGTGCTCCGTCCTCGCTGTCGCTGTTGCTCGAACTTTCGTGGCTCCTCTTCGAGGCCTTGTTGCGTTCCTCTTGATCGATCTCCATCCGATCGCCCTCGTCCTCGTCGTCGTCCTCGGAACCGAACTTTTCTTCCATTTCTGAGATCAGCTTCTTCAGCTTGGAGGGATCCGGACTGTATCCCAACATGATGCATTGAACGTGTTCCTTGGTCGGTAGTCCCCGGAAATTGCCAACGTCGGTCTCGTACCATTGCACGTGATCTTTTTTTATCTTATCGATGATTTCCTTCAACTTTCGATTCCTTTCGATGTCCCAGGTCACTCCTCCTCCGCTCGATACCTTAACCGTTCGTAAACATTTGTAGTCTCCGTTTTCCTTCTTGTAGGCTCTGAAAAAATCACAACGGCCGGTAACTTAATGTTAAAAGACTCTTAAGAGTCGCGAAAGCAACGACAGATTCGGTTGTTAATTACTTGAGGAATTGTTCGTCCAGGACATCGTATCTCTTGGCAAGAGTCCTGAAACCCGTCACAGTCTCGATCGGTAGGTAAGCGAGATTCTCCTTGCCGCGATTCTTCTCTTTATAATCGAGCAACCACTCCTCGAACACTTTCAAAGCCTCGTTTAAATTGGCGAGTTTCTCCTGGTCTCTGGTGATTTGCAGCGTTCTCTTGGCGCGGCTCACGAAACTCGTGATCACGTGGTACTGGTAGCTAATGTCACGACCGTCCAGAGCTTTCAACGTGTCGAGAGCCTTCTGCTTGTCCTTGAAACCCATCGCGGTCTCCGAAGATTCGGCTGATTTGCTTTTCGACATCGCTGAAAGAACGTAATTTGAAATTGCAGAAAGTTTTCGTTTCTATCGAGGACAAGAGCGGGACGGCCAATCGCTAAGTGGCGGCCCGTTCGTTCGATACTTTTACGCTGCAAACACGATTCCAACGGCTTTGAACGTTACTCGATAATCTAAATCCAACGGTTATATTAACATTTAAACAACTATTGGAATCAACGAGTTTATTTATTTCTACGAAATGTTCAAGAGCAAGGATAATAAATTGGATTCGATCGGAGCCGCCGGGGCCGTTTCCCGCGTGTCAATTTTCTCGTTACGCTTTCTTTCTAAATTACAAAAGTTACGAGGAGAGATCGATACGAGCCAGACAGCGAGTTAAGTGGTACACGTATTTGGCATCCACCGTTTCAACGTCGCGGTTTCCTTTGATCCGGTAAAAGAGATGAAAAGAGGTTCGAAAGCAACGCGCGGATCGTTGCAACTCTTTTTAGGGCAGAGGGTGTTGAAAACGGTTAAAAAAAATATGCTAACAAAGCCGATGGGTACTCACCAGAAAGTCGGTTTCTTTGCTACGGGATAATGTAAATAAAATCACACTATCGATTACACGCACGATTCGATATCTATATCTCTGACGAGCAAATTACGTAGACCGTATTAAATTTGAATGGAATCGAAGAGTAGCTTGGTTGTTTGGAGCGCGCGCGACTGACAGTGGCATAATCACCGGAATCCGACTCGAGTCGCTCGTGTTCACCAACGAGACATCTGCGCGAGTGGAAGAAGAAGAACCGAGGACTTAGGAGTGAAACGGAAAGAGAGGGCTCGATATAAACATATCCAGCATGTGTCAGAGCCAGAAATAAGCAGTCGACCTCAGTCCAATGGTCCGAGCTTGCGTCACTGACTGCTAACACGTTCCTGCGACGCGCTTCCATCTTTCGCGAATTACGTGTCTAGGTCAAGCGCGCGTAATCGCTTATGCTAATTCGCGTCGGACTATCGCTCGATGCGTTCCTCGTTGTTACTTTCGATGGTAGAGTTGCACGTGTCGCGATCGTCGTTTGTCGTTTGTCGCTGACACATCAAGCTAAATACGCTAGTGACGAGAGTGAAACGAGAAATCGATACAACTGCTATTCCGATAGAGATTTATTCGCTATTTACAGAAATTACAGTGCATCCAACTAGTAACGACGATCTAGCAAGTAGTCGTCGTCCGATCGTACAAGTCGCCTTTTCGAGAACTATTATCGAAATCTATTTACAGGTGAATGATACGCGCGATCGAAATGCTGCAAACGATTGCGTTTCGCGTTCGTCGATCGTCGCGCGAACCCTCGACCATACGTTAGCCTGTTCAATTTTCTACCGTTCTAAATTACGAGCTCGCTCGACCATCGACAAACGCGTAAGTACATACCTACTTGCTTGGTCGATGTTCGAATCGCGCGTTCCATCTAAAGCGCGCTATACACCTAGAGAATACTCAGACAATCGCGTAATACCAATAGCGATTCGTTGCCCCCTTTGTTGGAAAATTACATGATATAGACGTAACGCGTGGAGGTAATGTTGGTCGCGTGCGAGCGATACGGGTTACTTGTACACACGGAGCACTTGGGTTCTCGTAATTGTCACTTTTCTCAATCCACGCGGAGACTATAGATATAATTTCAGAGTACGATGATATCACGTCCACGGTAAGGATCGACGATGAAATTCCTGAGGCTGTTGTTTGCTAATCCCAGTAAATATTTGAAGAAGAAAATGTTTACAGCAACCGTAAGACTGGTTCTCCATATACATATGTACTATGCTGTTGGTCGATTGCTCAGAGTCCAAGATTCTCGTTAAAATAATTCTATAGACGGAATGAAATTCTTATTGTGTAAAACTATGATGGAATTGACCGAAACACGCAACGTTATCCGAGTGTCCTCTATACCGTAGGCGAAATAAAATTAATTGGTCGTTCGAGGATGCTAAGAGGGTACTTACTCGTAGCCATAATACCGTTCGGCGGTAGTTGTTATAATTGGTAGTCGGGACAACGGGGTGTTTGCGCGACCAGTTAATTTAGTCGCGACTACGTACGACGCATACGCGTATCGTACATTGTATATGTATAGAAAATGTTTTGAGAATGAATTTGGATAAATTCAGCATACGCAGCTCCCTACACCGAGGCAGGCGTACGAAGTTTGCTCGATCTTTGAGCTCGTGGTGGCACTGTCCAGCAACGTTGGCTGCGAAAGCGCCGGAGTTGCTGGTAATTGCGTTCTCTGCATGCCTTCGTAGAAAATCGATGACGCCTCTCGGTCCCTGCTGGTATTATCAGTTTCCTGGCCGTACGGGATCCTCGGTAATTCGAGACTTCTCGAATCGGTTGGGCCATCGTGTGACGACAAGCGGCCGTAGTTTAGGAAGGTCTCTGCGTAACTCGATGGCGGATGGTGATGATGATTTCCGTTGTACTCGTGCGAGTAGTGAGGATGATATCTGTTCGGCGGTGTCTTGAAGCCCTCGTTACCACCGAGGTACTGGTGCAGATGGTGCAAGCTGGACGATCCGTACACTGTCGCGTCGAGAAATTTATCAGTTCCATTTTCGAATACGTATTTTCCTACGTAGTACTCGAATCTACCATCTACATATGTATATTTCTCAAGAGAAAGATTATTTCGGCCAAAGAGGCAAACGACGACAGATCGGGATTGTTCTTTCTACGATAAAAGAGACACGACTTTTGCTGCTCGGTTATGAAATTTATCAAGACTGACCTGCTGCACTGTTCGAGTACATAGCAAGAACCGCGTCCCCGTATCCAGTAGCGGGATGTTCCCTCAAGTCGGAGACATCGTTCGTAGTGGAGATTTTCCCGGATATCGACTGACTTCGAACCCCGTTCCGTGCTTCGCCGGGAAGATTCGATGACCCTCCGGTGCCGTACGCCATATTGAACAGCGCTTCCGGGTCGCACACAAATTTGTAGACGTATCTTTCGCCCGCCACCTTTTGCATTATTCCTTTCTCGTAATAATACCTTAACGATCTACTCAGTTTGTCGTAATTCATCGCCGGCCGATTTTTTTGAACGCCCCACCTGCGAGCCACCTGAACAAGCCGATAAACAGACCATTTTACCAACCAGTTGCTTAACGTTTACCTCGACGGACCGCGATACCACGGAACACACATATTGCCATCGAGACCACCGAAAACAATAAAGAAAAATTGAGTTTGGTAGCGTCCGGAGTTTCTTCGAAACGACAAACAATGTACAAAATAATATAGAAGAAGCCGTTGATAAATGTGAAAAATATGCAGAGATATATGCTGGTTGGCTTTGCCAAAGCTGTAAAATAAAACTGATGGATTTTTGTAAGAACGTCATTTTCTCCGACAATAGCGAGTCGAACGTTTCTGGCTCCGACGGTTAAAAAAGGTTTGCTTGGAACAAACGTAATTGTATCGATCCGGGGAAAGAGAATATTCGCGCAAAGATGGAACACGGTAACCAAGGGCATCTAAGATCGGTAAAAAGTATAACCAAGTATCCAAGTTTCGATAAAATCCTCGTTAGGAAGCGTCGTTGGTTTTCGATCGGTTAAGAAACGATTTTCTGGGGGTTCGTTTATACCTCTTCCGGTTCGATCAATTTAAACTCCATGCCACGACCGGTCCAGGCAATGCAAGGTGCGTTCGCAGGATCGTCCAGCAAGGTTACCAAGAACTGCCATAACTGTAGGGACCCGCGACGTTGCTGTTGATAGCCAACGGTTATCTCGGTCCAGGGCGAAGGTCCGGTCGCCGAGGACGGCCTCTTGCCGGCATAATCTGCGTTCCAAGATGTCGGAGAGCCTTTCTTCTGGTAACAATTGCTCTGCCTCTCCCATGACGAATTTCTCGCGTCCAATTGAACGCCTAGTTCGGTCCACGTGGGTGTAGCGCTTCTTTTTCCGTATACTTCCGAACTGCTCCAGGTCTCCTGCCGAGAAAAGAAAGCGTCCCCGCTCGATGCTGAAACCGTCGATTGCCACTGAGACGTTGCGGAAGACGTGCTGGCTGGTCGACTGGGTGACGGCGAACCTCTGCCGTTTCTTGTTCCGCTTCCGTATTGCTGCTGTTGTTGTTGTTGTTGTTGTTGTTGTTGTTGTTGTTGCTGTTGCTGTTGCTGTTGCTGCTGCTGCTGTTGTTGGTAAACCAAGTTGTTGTCTGTGGTAAATAAAGGCTGGTTTAGAAAAGAGTTGCGAACGGAGGCGCGTCGGGGCTCGCGAGAGAAGGATAAGAGATCGATGAGCAAGACGAGCAGGATCGCGACGCGACGCGACGCGACGCGACGCACGAAAGGTGAAAAAGGAGGAAAGGCCTGCCGCCCCGTATTAGCGATTGCACTCACGCGCGGTTGCCGGTGAAGTGCTCGTCACAGAAATATCGGCAGGAAATTGGTTGATATTCAAAGCCCACGGGGTTGCCGGCCCGGCGAAGCTCGCGGATGGCGGCGGCAGCGCCTGAAATACCGCGGAGAGCTCGCGCGATATGTATATTAATCGGGTGGTCTCCTCTCGGGGTGCGGCAACATCCCACCGATGCCGTGGTCCCTCGAGCCGAAAAAGCTATTCTCGAACCGTAATCCGGTTACGTTCCAAGTCGTGTACGGGGAATATTGAAAAATTGAGAACCCTGTTCCGATATCGAGCCGGAAGGCGACGTTGCGTGCCACGATGCGTCCACTCGATTTTGTTCGCCGATTAAAATGTTGCTGATCGTAGCGTTTAGACGAACACGATGCCGACCGATTTTAACCAACGAGAGAACGAGTTCCGACTCGGCTAAACTTAGCAGGTAATTATACGAGCGGGAAAAAAATAATTTAAATAGTAATCGTGCATTCGGTATCGTTAAAAAAATAGAAAAAATAGAAATAAAAGAAAGAGGGAGAATCGCAAAAAAAGATCGGCCTATCTTTGTCAGAGCCGTTGGTCCAGCGACGCGATTCGGTTCGCAGACCGCGCTCGCCGTTTTTCTTGCGCTTTTTATGCACGCGGCGGCATTAATAGGAAATAACAGCTATCGGAAGAAAATCAACAGGAAGGGTTACCGAGGTTAATCGTGTCGGCAAGTTAGCTTTAGCTTCCTGGTTGGCAAACGTTGGTCGGATCACGATCGCGTACACGAGACAGACAGACAGAGACCTGGAGGAGGAGGAGGAGGAGGAGGAGGAGGAGGAGGAAGAGGAGGAGGAGGCGGAGAGGGTTAAAATCTGCGGGCCAATCTGGCACTCTGTTCGAAGAGGGGCGAAAGGGGTCGACCTCAACGTGCAAGCGAGGCCAGACCCGGCTTTGCGGGTAGTTTTAGATTAAAATTAATCGCGAGCTGATGAAACCGGTGGCGATGTACCGAGCAGGAAAAGGGTTCAAGCCGGGACTGGTCAGGGGCGGTGCGCAGAAGGGTTGCACGGAAAAGAGGACGACCTCCACTCCTCGTCCACTCTCAGACGAGAAGCTTCCTTCTTTCCTCGTCCTCTCTCCCTCTTCTCCTCCCTCTCCACCCTTCCCTCTCCCGATCTCTCTCTCGCTCTGTGTGTGTGTGTGTGTGTGTGTGTGCGTGTCTGTTTTCTCCACCCCCAGACCACCACTCTATCTATCTGCCTGATCCCGAAATTCCGGAGTAGAGCTAGTTAGTTAATAATGCAAGGTCCATTTTCCACCCACCTGACGCGTCGAAATGCTCTTCTTTTGTTTCTGCGAATTTACATAGAAACGTACGAGCGTTCTGCACCGAAACCATAACGTACAGTTAATCGTCAACGATAATACGACGTCTTTATCGTGTACGTCAAGAACGAGACATACACACACACACACACACAGAGTCGTACGAGGAAACTGTACTGTAAAAACTCGAAATACAAATACGTATGTTTGACGATACGATAAACGGAAAAGGTGATAAATGGTAAAAGAATTGGTCGTAGCGATACTCGTACCTTTTACGGATTACCAAATAATACGAACAGGTGATATAAATTTTTTCCTAAAGTTCGAATTAAAGACGAGTTGACCGTACAAGTTGTTTGAGAGACGCGGCAACTTGTTCGCGTGTTGGAATTTCCATGCAAACGCGACGACCGCCATAACTAGCCGACGAGGACCGCTCGTAATCCTCCTCGTGCTCGAATTAATTAGCGGGCTGGCGACCAATCTCTAGCCATTAACAGGTTATTACTATTCCAACCGATATATTGGTCGACGATTTAACAGCAGACCAGCGGAACGCGGGTAGTCGCGTGCGATCGTGTGCTACCTATCTACGGTACGTGTACACATACCTCGTTCGTTTCGTTAAAACTTTACGTTTGCTATCTATCGTTGAAAGATTGGTAGAAAATGGGATTCGATCCGATAGAGAGGATGAGTTTAGCGAGTGTGTATCGCGAGGAAATCCACGGTGCCATATGCCGGTAGAGAGATATCGATAACAACGATAGCTACGATCCTATTATTAACCTGAACTGTGCGTAAATAATTAAAACGACTTAATGGGTAGGGAGGAATTACGGCAAGAGAAGTAGAAGCATAATTCCCGAGTGACTTGGAAAGTAAATAGCGTATAGCGGCGCGGCGCGGAGCACGGTGTCGAGCAGACAGCGAATATAGCAACCGAGTTCCTAAAGGATTCGTCGTTCGTTCGGTATATGTGCGCGAATAAAGGGAAGACTAATCGGTCCGGATTACCAAGCATGAGCTTGCAAACCCTTCGCTGACTCGAGCCTTTTATGGTTGAATCGTGCTACGCGACGTCTACCTTAAACCGACCAATTCTATTAGGTAATGGCCCGATAATCCGTAAAAAGTCAAACGCTGCGTAGCAGATTTACCGGATCGATCGATAATTAAATGCGAGGACGTTTCGATCGAATCGTTAATAAATAGTGGGGCTAGAATGGCTCGGGAACGTCGACTATCCAGCAATATTTCCTCGTTCGAGAGAAAGCTCGCCGACTTGCAGTCTTCCCAAGGAGAGAATTCTATGCTCTTTCGTTCGTTTGGTAGCTTTTTCAGAATCCTACCAGCCGTTCTCCGTACCTTCCCGGTTGAAAGCATTCTTACATTATTCACTTACGCGTACTTAGTCGCGCGTAAGCGAGTCCATTACATCGGTCGCGAACCTTGCTACCGAATTGTGGAATTTTCTTCTTACTCGGTCTCTCTTGGCTCCCGTTGCTTCCAAGCAAATCGCGGTACGACTAGGAACGATAATGGAACAACAACGACAACCGATGGTACAAGGTACGATGGATTTTGGGACACCAAACTGTAGCGCATTTTAAGAACAGAGACCGGAAGAAGAGCTCGAGACAGGGCTCGATTAATGGATGATACTACCCCATGCGCTTCAGTTATTTATGGGATCTATGGGGCGGCGGGCGGCGGGCGGCCACTGGCACGTGGATCCATTGTCGAGAGATTTGTCACGGTGTACGTGTAAGAAGAGGGAAGAAACGCCGAATCGGAAAGTTTGATTCCTCGTAACGGATCGACGGAGGACGTTAACGATAAAATTGATACAATTTATACGATTCGGTCTAGGTTACTACCAATCGATGAACTATTAAATAGTATCTCTTACTGGTTCGGTTGTCCTGAGACATCGACGACGCGGGTACGCTAGTTACGGGAATCGGTTCCCCGTATCCTCTGTCCGTCGGTTCTTCCTTCACGGTGATGCTCTTCGTGGTGTCGTTCGTTCGGGAATTCAGTTTGTTGTTTCTGCGCAAAATACCCGTAAACGACACGGACGATAACGATTATTGTTTAAAAAGACCAACGATAGACTGAAAATCAATCAAAGTTTCAAAATGCAAAGTTTCGTCTCGCTTACCCGAAGCAGATCGTACGACTGTCCGGATCAAGATCGAGGAAGGTGGTGCCTTGACCGTGCGAATGACCAACCGATGCTTGATACTGCCTGTAATCGGTGTCGTTGATTCTCCTACAGTTTCCAGATTCCTGTTTTACGCTGGCATCTAAGGAAACAGATCGAGTTCCGTTTTCTATTGTTTACAAGGAAAGGAAGAAAGGACGGGACACACTCGGCTGGTATCTTTTCCTAACGCGGAAAACTATCGATGTTGTTAACGATCGAGAGGACTGACCCCCCAGAGCGTACGATCGAGGATCGGAAGGTTTCTTCGAGAGAAGATGACTCTCGATCGCGTCTGGCGCGTGTCTAAGCGGAAGGAAAGAGCGACGCGAGGCTACTCGGGGCTAAGCGCATCGTTGCAACGGCACGTGGGGGATGAGTTCGGTTCTAATGGGACCGTCGACGAGCGAGCCGAGGGTGCGCCCCCGATAAATCAAACAGACTTTGGCCGTGGGAAGCATAAGTCAGAGGCCTCGAGCAATCATTCTATTTACAAACATCGGAAGTTTGCTTGCTACGGGAGAAGCATCGCGCGACCATCGCGCGACCATCGTGCCGATTCGATTACACCGTAACAAACCTACGGATTCGTACCGCTTTTAATTTTATCTCCCAAAGAGACCGCCGAGATACATAGGTACTCGGCTACTTTCAACGATTTTCCTTCTCGATCGCGGACACCGTGTTTCTCGTTCACGATACGGACCAACGTTTTCTAACCGCGACCAGAGAAAAATCAAAAGAAATAAATTCGGTATCGTACGATTCCCAGTCTTTTTCCCCCTACCGTTACACCGATATACCGAACGTAACAACATCCGGCAAACAATGCCTCGAATAAACGTTTATTGGTAAACGTTGGTCCGCCGCCGCCGCCGCCGCCGCCGCCGCCGCCGATGAACGTGTTTACCTCGGACAGGGCACGTTCCGAATGTTTACGCGTTACGCGGCCAAACCAGACGATTGCGAGCACCACTCCGAATAAAATTAACCGATCAACGAGCAAATTTTACTTCGAACCGCGATAATCTACATGGAACGTTCGATGATCCGTAATTACACGTCGATTCGCAATCCGAACATTAATGGAGCTTTTCTATTCAGGATTTTTCAGCCAAACTCTGTTTCTACGTTCGATCGATAAAGACAGACCGAAATGGAACATGCCGATACAATGTATACCTTCGAATGCTCGATTACAATATTAGATTATGTGAAAGTAAACAGTCTCGTAGGTGTCTTGTAATTTTCTCCACCGCGGGAATATTTTATTTTACATTTCCGAATAATTTTCCAACCGGGATCGCATTATTATTACCAACAGAAAATTTCTTTATCGAACCAACGCATGTACGACGAGAGAAAGATGCGTGTGTAAGTGAGCATATAGACATTATCCGTCGTACCCTCTGGCCGTTTACCCCCATCTCTATTCCAGGAGTATCGAAATATTTGCCAGTTTCGCCATACAGTGCCGGACGGATTTACAAAATCTTGGAGAATCTCGTGAAAACCAACATTACTGGCGCGATATCGAGCTCCGTTGCTCTATGAAGGAGCGACGCGACTTGTATCGGTAAAGCGGTAAGGCGGTAAGGCGGTAAGGCGAGTCGAGAGACGATAATCAACCGAGGTTCGACGAAGGGGATAGGAAAAAAAGCCTTCGGACTTAATATAAAGTGCTTCCCCGTGTAACGTGATATTGCCGCTTTAAAAACACCAGCCCCGGGCAGTTTATTACCTTTTTTAATAAAGTCTCGATATTGCTCTCGCCAATCGGAACGAAATTTCATTGTCGGACGAGCGAAGCAAAAAGACCGCTTTCCAATATGTTTCGTTGTTTTTACCCCTGTTCGACGAGCCCGTATTTCTACAAGTAAACGCGTTATCGGAGATTCGAAGCTAACAATAAGATGCAACACGGTCCCCGAATGAAAATCCCGGAATTCCTCGTCGCGCAGATTCTAGTCAACTTCTTTCCACCTTGGGATTAAATTGCATGCACGATACATTTCCGTGCAACGGAACGTTCTCCTATTCCTATGTTGATTGACTTCCGTGTGCGCCTCTACTCGATTTTATCGGAACGTGGCAATTAGGAATCTCGAGATGTTGCGTACGAGCACGACCAATCTATCTACCTACATATCTACACACACACACACACATATATACATATGTGTGAAATTTGTCAACTAACTTGACATCCGATGAAACTCCGGCACGTATTGCTCGCTGTCCTCTGTCTCGCAACTGCTACCTGTAACCAAAATGCAATCTTATCTACCTTTGCTAGCTAGCCTGGCAAAGTAAACGTCATCATCGAGGCGTAGGAGGTCGTCGTATACAAAATTACAATTAACGGACGAGGTAAAGTTCCGAGGAAAGAGCGTCCGACGCAAACATTCGATCGCGCCGTTGGAAACTTTGTTAATCGTGTACGAACAATTTCGAATAAAAGAAAACGGTTTTGTACGAATAATCGGTATCGGTGACGAATAAACTTCTATCCGGATAAAACTTTTGTTAGCACAACTCGGAACTAAGATGATATTGTTTCATCAATTTCTCTCAGCGACGCGTCTCGTCTCCGATGTGGAATTAATTTACCAAAAAGTAGTAACAAGTAGTCTGAGAAAACCTTTTATGCGTAGTAACATTTAAAAACAGTATTTAAAATAAACCTGTTCCGTACGTTACATATTTGTGTAAATAATTCATAACAAAGCCGCATTAAACAAGTCTGATTATTATAATAACAGAATATGCGGATAAACCTCACGATACAGCACACAAATACCACTTACCTACGATATTTCACATACACACACACGCATTGCAAATACTCGCGTGCGTACGAAACGTAGTACATACGTACATATGTACATATTGTTTTCTCGTTTACGTTACAAACGAATATCACATTCGAGTTACGAAGAAAGTTTTATCCAAATAAATGTTTTTCTTTAACTTACGAGTAAACGTTTGTTCGAACAAAGTATTATTCGTTGTTTGTTATACGGATAAAAATCTGCACGACTCTGAAACTAATAAATAACGATTATCTACGGTCCCGTACCCCCCACCGGGCTGGCTATGAATTTTTCAAAGGCTCGTCCTTCTATACCCCCTCGTTATCTTTATTAGTACAATGCATTTATCGTGCATTACATCACGGTTCGTAAAACTAATTAAAATTAATGTTCCGAGAGGTAGACCGACGACCACGCTGTAACTAATCATCTTCGAGGAAGATTTACCAACAGTTCGGTACTAGCTTTACGACTCGATCGATGTTTCCTTCGAATTTTTCGAGAAACGATATTTAAGCGTGTGTTGCGATTAATTGTTAATCGATCGATAAATTAGGCGTTTTAAATCATAGAACGCGTCGCGTCGTTGGTCTTTCTTATCCACGCGTAGATCGACAATTTTAACGAGGAAAAAATAATCCAGCGCTTTACTATCTTTACGACTTTTGATAAGATCGATATGATAAAACGGGAATAAAATGAAGTGGAAGAAAAAAAAAAAACCGCCCGAACAGGGACTCGAACCCTGGACCCTCAGATTAAAAGTCTGATGCTCTACCGACTGAGCTATCCGGGCAACTATTAAATTCGCTCTCGAAATCTATTTAATAATTCTACATCTACGATTTATTCTTTCGTTAAACGTTACTCACCGTCTTGAAGCCAAGGCTCCTGTCTGAATTCCTGGCCGGAGTATATTCCGCTCTCTGAAATCAAATTCACGTTCGTTTGTACGTTCACGTATATTTCACATACGTCCTTCCTAGAAAATACGTACAAATATCGACCACTGTATCGCTTTATATCCCAGGAATGGTTTATCCGAATAACTATAATAAAAGGTGGACAAATTTTTCGGCGAAATTAAAAAATTTCAAATCGATATAGAAAAATTATTTTCGTTTGCGGGGGTAAATTACAATCATTTTTGGTGAATTAGACATACCCACAAAATCCTACGCATTTTCAAGAAATAAATTCTTTACCGCAAATCCAATGTGTGGCCAGAGATTTAGAGGCAGAACTCTAAACGTTAATAACTTTTCAACGAAGCCTGAATCAACGAATTGGTATTCTTGGTTTTCGTCTTATTTTTCTCTCCAGAATCTCCGATGAAAATTTTTCCCAGGGATGACCGAACACCTTGTACAACCGACGCGGAATTCGTCGCAAGAGTCCTGTTACCAAAAGGCTAGCTGCCTTCGTTACTCCGTGGTCGGATCCTTGGGGATCCGTCGCATCGGGTCGTTTGTCCGACTGGACCCATGCAAACCTATCGTCACTCAAACACGCACAAGATATCAAGAGAACGAACGAGAGTATTTCGCATATGGCTATGCTTAGTCCCTCTGGCCAACTATAAAACTATAACACGCTAAAAATATGTTTACGCTAACGTATCGATTGCAACGAACGCATCGATTATCTAACAGAAATACGTTGACGCGATGCCCCACTGATATACATATAATAAGATTCGAGAATTCGGGGTAACTAAGAAATAACAATGGGAAAAAGAACCCCTTCGAACTTGATACGCGTAAGAACGCGATAGAAATATCTGGGCTGCATGGGGGGTCCGTTTAATGGGCCACTAGGATTCGCCACGGGTAGCCACTTGTCTATAACCACGTTTTCTTCTCGGTTACAATCCTGCCTGACGAATCGACGATTCGATTTTCTTCGCCTCGTGGATGATAATGGTTTCATCGTCGAAGGCTACTCCGTGGTCGGCTAAACACGCTAGCTTCTCTATCACGTGTGAAATTGTAAAGGGCACATTGAAATATTATTAAAAATCTAAGCTACGTCTTTTCCTCCGCGAGGAAATGGTAGTTGTACGCGATGAAAAGAACGTTCAAGGATCAAAAGTAAGAAAAGAAAAAAGAAAGAAACAAGTTGGAAGCGCGTCGACGTTTCGATATTTCTTCAGGGTGAATCGTCACCGAAAAGTGGATGGTGAGGACGGTGGTAGGGGGTAACACGATTACGACTGAGAAATTGCACCATTATAGGCATTGATTGAGTTAGGTGGAGGCGGTCCATCCTGACTGGCGGTTCACAGCACGGCATGCCAATGTTAGATATAAAGTGTCAATCACTGTGCCCAGACGCCGGTAGGGTGGTTACGAATCCTATGGGGGTACACAGCCGGCATCGACTACCCCATGGGGCTCTTTGCGCCGATAATACCTTGCTTATTGAATTCATCCTGAGGCTTCTCGCCGTGCCTGCCGTCGGATTTCTGGGTCAAGGTTAAGTAGAACTGCCGATACCGATCGGACAAGTCGACCAACAGACCGCATCGAATTCCTTCGTTCGCGTGCCTGTTTATGCTCGAATACTCTACAGAGTCGAATTGCTCTTCTCTGAGCAAGTTTAAGAGCGTACGAAACGTCTGGCAAAGGTAGGTTTTCGATAAGCGTCAACGAGTCAACGACACGTTTAAAACTTTCAGATCGTTTTGCGCGGTCTCGAAACGTAATTGCACCCACGACCCGTAGAAAATAATATCGTTCTTGATGCGACTATATAAAGATATTGACTCGCCTGGCTGGCTGCCTGCCAGTGACAGGCTCACTTCAGGGGGTTGGTTTCTCTTCGCTGCCGTAGTACGTACACAGTTCGCGTACATTCAGCACGTGCTTCAAGACGTGCTGCGGTGGCTTGGTTTCTCTTTCTCTCTCTCCTTCACCCTTATACTCTTCTCTCTCTCACACGCGCACACACACACACACACACACACTGTGTAGTTTGTATAGAATCGACGCGTGTACGCGTTTAGAAGGAAGACGCAGAGTTCGTGTGACGGCAGAGAGCCGATGTTTCCAAGCAACATCGTATCAAAGAGCTTGAAAATCGCGATCGCGGGTAGACGGGTGGTCTAAACGGACCGGGCCCACCCTTCGCGTCGCGCAACTTTCTCTTGGATGTCGATTGTTGCGAGAGAACTGGTCGGACAAGCCGTAACTTAAAACTGATAAGAAAGATCGGAGAATTCGGGACTCGCGTCTGGGTTACTCACCGGATTGTAGCTTCTCCTCGCTGCTAGTCTGCTGAGCCACCGAATAATTAACAGGACAATATCCTGAAGCGACCGTTTGAAGCGGCTCGTTCAGCCTGTTGAACTCTTCGCTGGGCTGAAAAGACACGTAGATAGCCTCGTTAACGAACACTGGAAATATACATATGTATGTAGATAGAATTTCAAAGATGATATCGTTCCAAGAACTTTAAACGTTCCATCTGTTTCGTTTGGCAAAAGAAGGAGATTGAAGGAAGAGAATCGCAAGGCAGAGAGGAGAAAGGTGTTGGTGAAAGGAGTAGGTAGCTAGCGAGGAACAAGATTTAAAACGAAAGCAGCCAACACCGCGTCACAATGAGAAAGAAAGGGATAGAGTGTAGAGGACCGCGCGAGAGAGGAGGCAAGGAGGACATCCGGTGAACGATTGGATGGTTTCCTCCTTGCGGAGCAATCTAGTGGTAAAGTCGGTTACCGGTTTTGGAAATTCCAATAACGCCGTGTCGTCGCGCCGCGCCGCGCCGCGCCGCGCCGAGCCGAGCCGTCTGCTTTTCCTTTAGCAAGTTTCGCTGCGGTCTGTGCCGGCGATCGCTCCTACTTCAAAAACCATACCGCCATACCGATAATCAATTTATTTAAACAACAAAATTTATAAACGATGCTCGTTTAAAATCCTTTTAACCGTTTTATCGGTTTATCGCCATCAGCTCGGCGTTTCTTTTTTTTTTTTCTTTTTTATTTAATTCGCCAGGATATTATCGTTTACGAAGACGCGATCGACTTCCTTTTCCACAGCTTCGCGGCTGCTGGCTCGGCCGGTCCGCTCTCACGTTCCTTGCTTCGTCCCCAGATTCTCCTCTGATTGCAATTAATAGTCATTTATAATTAGTCCCTGGGATGGCTCGGCACTCGTAATCCACAGGCTGTGCCCTCTAATATGAATTTTAATTACATTCTCCGATATTACGTTCGATCTTTAATCACGGGAACGCGATACGAGAAGGTATTTGCTGCCGCGACGCCGTTAAATAACGGATCGAAAACGTATCTCGTGTCGTTTATTCGAAAATTACTTGCACGATTCTAACCGCAATAAAACATTTTCGTACCGGTCGTGGAGTATCAGTGTGCGTGGAGTAGTATGTAAGAAATGTACCAAGTAAAGCTTGTTCAGCTTGGACTCTGAAAACTGTAGTCGGTGATAAATATTTCTAGAAATAATGAATTTATGATTGAAATAGGTTCGTTGACTCTCGCTGGTACGATTTCGATGAAATCGTTTGTTAAGAGCGAGTCCCTCGATCGTGATGTAGTTAATCGTGCGCGTTCGCGAACCAACGACTCGTAAGGAAAACGTGCAAACATGGTCGCGTGCCGTTTAACTTTCTCTCTCGGGGTCCCGTGACTTTTCCTATCGAGAATGCGTTTCCATATAAAAGACGCGCACTGTGAGTAAGTGGATCGTTGAGGGTACGCGTGTCATGTACGAACAAACGAACGAGTACGTTTTTCTACCTAGTGAAAACGAGATACCCAGGGAACCGACCCGGGGGGAGGAACGCCCCATCGTTTCTGATGATGCTACGAGGGGTCGGTCGTCGGCCCAATTCCCCTCGTACACCACCCTCGTAATTGCGCACTTTGGTTCGGTTTATAATAAAGTCATCGAGCAGACAACACGTTCCAAAGAGAATCCCTTTTCCGACGGTGAATCTCGTCGCGATCGGGAATAAATATTTTAATCTCAAAGTACGGACGCGCGTTTTAGGGAGCGAGAAACAACGCGATCGTTCGATCTCGACAGCGACTGGTCTCGTCCAATTTGATCAATTAGAAGAGCCAGAAAGGCCAGACCTAAGCTAGGCCAGGCCAGGCCAGGCCAGGCCAGGCCAGGCCAGGCGACGCGATGCCGCTTCGAGAAGAAAGTCTGTCCCTTTTTTTCTCTTTCGGCCGATGGGTTGCACGGAGGGTGCGAAAACAATGAATTACTGTTCCGAGTCGTCGGAATACGAACGAACAATACCAGATGACAAGACGATGGTCCCGATCAGAGCGAATCTATCTGCTAATTGCTCTTGCTGGCTGCCATGCCGTCGCGTCGCCGTGTCGCAGTCGCCTCGCGACCCTTGATATCGCCGTAAAGAGACTTTTTTAGTCGACCAGAAATAAGAAAGAACCTCTTTCAACTAACCAATTACGAACGCGTCGGTTCCAGGTAAAAGGTAAAAGGTTCGAGTATTGTTGGCCAACAGAGGGAGGGAGCCCTAATCATGGGAAACTCGAGCGGCAACGTATGCTACTACCGATGGGGGACAGTAAATTAACCATCATCGGGGCCGGATCGTCCGTGAATATCGAATGATTGTTTCGAACGAGCAAACATAAATCTCGGAAGCGTTTCCGCGAACAGAATCGGTCGCATCGTATGTCGAGAAGGGGTGTCCGTCGGGCATCCGGACCGCACGGCTCCCTTATATCGCGTATCCCTACGTACGCGTACCAAGGTTTCCGCGGTCCTGGCACGAGTCACAAAGAGGGTGGCGACCGGTGGCGACCGGTGGCAACCGGTGGCAACCGGTGGCAACCGGTCCCGACAATTACGTGTTTAGAGGGCAGAAAAGGGGTGGGTGCATGGCACCCGTGGGACACGATCCACGATCCACGATCCATCGGAGCGTGGTGACGCGTGACGCGTGACGCGTGCCGCGTGCCGCAGCAATTCGACACTCGATCGGATCATCGCGCGACCAGTACATTATACATACGTTGCTTTGCTATCGGTATCCCCACGCATTCTACTCATTGTCAGTTTGCATTCTGATCGAGACTAAAGCGGACACGAGTACCACTCGAGTACCATCGCACCGCGCCACCCCGGCCAAACTCCTTTCTACGCAATCTATACAACTATGTATACCGTTTCATTTTACGAAACATCTAATACCAGCGACGCGATCTCCCGTCTTACATCCCGAGATTACAATTTTCATATTCCGATTCATAGCCCGACACCTTATCTTTCGATTTCGATTACATAATTTTTAGTATCGTTTCCTCTTTATATACCATAGCGTATCGTTCGATCGATCGATTACGAAATTTACTGGATTACGGTACGTCGAGCCTCACACCTATGTACATACCAAGCAAACAATTTTATCCAAACCGGTGGATACGGACCGGATTTAATCTTATGCCCGCGTATACGTACACCCGTACTACCAGCAACCCCACATAGATACATTTATCTATAATTCGTTTGAATGCACCAACAGCCACGAGACAACAAAATACAACGATAAAATATGAAATTTTTGTTCGACTTACCAGACTGGCCAAGTCTGTAACTGTCGCGGGCACCTCTTGATCCTGATTCATTCTCGTCAAATCTCCGACTCTCCTCCGCCGTTCCCTTGCCCCGAAAAGGTTCTTAATCGCGTATCACGGAAACGACACAGCTAACAATCCGAACGAAAACACATAGAGCTGTCGGTCGTGTTATCGAGGCCACGTTGTTGCACCGAAAAGATCAAAGATAGGACTGAGACGAGTGATTTGATCTCGGTGAACGGTGAAAAGACAGGTTGTATGGGTGTATGCATCGGGGGTTGTGTCTACGGTACGTCTACGCCCACAACGTGATATAGAATTCAGCCCTGCGCGGGCTATCCTGGCTAGGGGTTGCTTCCAACCCCTGCTTGGTAGGCGGAGCCTCGAAATCATTGGTGACCTTCTCTCGTCCTACGAAGCTTTCTGCTTCGAGAACACCTACGAAAACTCCTCTTCGGGATGGATTTCTCTGTTAATCTTGCGAATCGCTCTCCTGGCCCCTAGACGATAAGCCACCCCCGTTCCTGACCGGTGAATTGCATACGCAACCGATCCTATCCAACAAACCACCACGTTCCGATTTATTTTACAACAACGGATCACCCTTTCGAACCTACCGATTATTACACACACCACGATATTATCTACAGAAAATCTGTCTCTATGCAAATTTAAACATCTCGACCGTTATCCCCCTTTTTTTCTATGGCTTCGGTGGTGCCTATGCCTATGCCTATGCCTATGCCTATGCCTGCCGCCGAACCAACAAAATAATTGCTTTTATTTATTATCAAACGGCATAGCCCCCGTACACAACATAATTAAATCGCCCGATTACAAATATTTACCTAATTAGAATCCTTATCCTTGATCGTTCGATCCTTGCGACGACGCTGTTACAGACTGACACAGTCTTTGCTCGATAAATCTCTACAACGGTTTCCGATCGTTGATAACTTGTCGTTGTTACAATTATTTTTAACAATACGTCGACATATCGTCGGTAGTTGAAATTTTCTATTCGCGAATCAACGACGTATTCGAATAAAGTTGACAAACTGCACGATTTAGAAACGTATTAACAAATTATATGTATATTATACATACAACAGTGTACGGATCAAATTCTTTGCTCCTGTCTATGGATGGAATCCTGTTGCAAATGTTATCATCAGGGGCTAGCCACAAATCTATGTATATCCATCCAAAATAATGCTTCGCTTGTCATCTATGTAGAAAATTAGCTATTGGTTTACGATGCTCGAGCGGACTCCGTGGCGCAACGGTAGCGCGTCTGACTCCAGATCAGAAGGTTGCGTGTTCAAATCACGTCGGGGTCACATTTTATTACTCCTTTTTACAAACATTCCCTTAAATAAAATTTATCTTTTATTTTCACCTCTTGTCTTATCATCTTATACAAATTATACAGATTTTCCATAATAATCCTTCCTTATTTCTAAACTAGAAAATGATTTTTCTCATTTTCATTCCCGTCGTACAATCGCATAAATTATATTACAATTTATACACGGGGGAAGATCCTATATAATAGTATTGGTTTACTTTATCAAATGCGAAAGAACAACAATTAACACATATAACACTCCTGCCTTGACAAGCCAATAATAATCTGTCCCAAATTACTTAACATATTTTCATCTATATCGTTACAATTCCCATATCTTAATCTATGGCAGAAAATCAAAAAATAATACACGAATCTCGAGCAGGGTTCAGGAAAAATACAAACTCTATGGATAATTTAAATACGATATCGATGGACATGAAAAATAATAATAGAAAGAAGGAAGGAACGGCGGGAATTTTCCTATACGTAAAGAGAGCATACGACAACGTTGATTTTAACAAATTAATAGAGATATACATATGTCTGTGCGCCAAGAATTCTTCCTGATCAACAAAATCGTGAAATAAAGTTCATTTAATAGAGTGATTCGCTTGGTTCGTTCTACCCATATTTTCTTTCCACTGATAATACATACCACCTTTTTAGATTCAGATCAAATTTATTTCGAGTGCGTAGGGCCACGCATCAAGCCCTATAACACCATTATTCTCCGTTTACATGAATATTCTTTTACATTTTACTTAGCTAACAGTTTTTTCCAGTTTTATTCATCCTTGCATACTTAATTCGACTGTCTTCGATTACTCATTCGTTCTCTGACTCGCATTTACTATCTATCTCTAATCTATATCTAAATTTCGAAGAATATTTAAACATAAACCTGAAATTGAAAAACAAATGAAAAATATAAAACTTTTCTTGCGATAACGGAACAAAAATTAGAAGTATATAATATCATTCTAAACACAAATTTCAATTTCTTTCCCCATCTTTCTTCTTGCTTCTCCTTTCACGAGGTTCTTCCTTCCTTCTGTGTCACAAATCTATTCCTTTTGTGGGATATACATACTCATTGTCTTTCCATTATCGTATCTTCTCTTCTTTATCCATGAGTTCCTCGTCCGGAGGATCACCTTTCAATACATGCTTTGCACCGCTTCTTTATGCGACCAAATTCTTAAACAACTGCAACATTGTTTAATGTTATCGACAAACGGATTTACGCTCAAACATATACTTCTGTTGAGTAACGCTAGCTTTGTTGGAAGGCTTTCCCCCCTAAATTTACTCGACTACTCGACAAATACAAAACCTTTATCAAAATCTCTCTCGAATTCTTTGGTCGAAAACTCTCCGCTTCTCTTGTGTCCTCTTTGAAACATCGACTTTGAATTCATCCTCTTTCCTCCTTATACAGCTCTCAAACCTAATCATCTTAACCGATACAATGTGGCCGCTCATATACCTACAAAATTTAAAGATTTTAATATGATTAACCTCCTTTCTATTTGTCGCCTTTTTCCCAAAAATTTCCACCTGGTACATCGGTATTACGTCCAGTTCTTTGTTCGCCTAAAATGCTTATTTTCGTCTCTTACCTTTCTTTCGTCTTTTTCTCTTTCTTTCCTCGGTTCTTCTTTATTTTTTACAATGTCTTTGGTATTTATATCACAATCTTTCTACTACCTTTTTCTTCTACTCGTAAAATAATTCATTCTTTCCTTCTTTCTTTTTCTTGCTGTTGCAATGACGTTTCATGCCCCTTTCTTCGTTTGCATGGTTTTCTTTCTTCTTCTATTGTCGCCAACGACATCTTTGCTACACTAGCGTTGACTAGTGCCACTCTTCTCCTCCTGTACTCCATGGCCAAGGGGCCCTGTCCTCTGACCTCTGTCTACTTGTTTCTTCTTTTGCTAACCTTTCCTTCTCTAGAAGTTAGGCTCCCTCCACTGTTTACTTTTTCCTATAATTCTCTACTTCTCCCGTTTCTATCTATTCCCCCATTTTTACTACACTTCTCGCCCACTACTTTATTCGTCCACGCTTTTTCACTTCTACCCCACTTCTCTTTACTGTAACTTTTCCTAATTTCACTCCAAATATCAACAACGCGCGTTCTTATTACCGTCGCCATCTTCGTCATCCCCAATACCACGTTATCTTACACTGAAGTGTGGTGTGTACTCACATCCCGCGCACAAGACGCAAAATATCAGGATAACATGAAATCACCTTTCTCCTCTTTCAGATTCAGATTTCTCGTACAGTTCAAGTTCAAGTTCAAATTGAATTTGTTTCGGATGCGTAGGACCATAAGTACTTGAATCCCTATAACACCAATCTCGTAAGTACAATTGAGCGATATTCACGCGGGTTGCCTCATTTAGCCCCTCCTAGGACCAGGATAGCACGTTAATCAAAAAAGTTCTTTTAACGTAGCTGCCTTCTTTCTCCCAGACGTGCTGCGACTATGCACATATATCTGTACGTGACTGAATGGGAACAAATGATTTGTTAAATATGTATCTAGCGTCAACTGCGCTCGAGTGCGACTTGGGTGATTGCGTGGAGATAAAGCGATAAGTACATTTTGTTTACCCCTTCTTTTCTATCTCCTCTGAATCTTTCCCATACATCGTTCCTGTTCTTTATATGATAATGTTGGCGTGAAGAAGAGAATCATTATTTTATTTTCTAACATACAGTATATCACAGTATTTTTTAAATCTAACTTTATTTATGAAGCAGATCTCTCCTGCAAATGTATTTCTCTGCTGTATCTATTGCTAAACTACTTTTCGGTGTTATTCCTATTTGTATTTTCCCCTCCTATTTCCATATTTATTTTAATCATTTCTATTTCCATACTATTTTTCCCAGTTAAAATTTTATCCCAAATCATTTCGTCTTCTCGACTCTTGTTTCTTTGATGTATCAAGTTTTTATATTTTCCTATCTTATCCAAAGTCTTTTCCTTAACTGTTAATAATTTTACTCTTTTACCCCACTCTTTTGGAAAAAAAGAGCTGTTTTAATCAATACTTCTCGATTAAGAGAGTTCGTCATAACGATTATTCTCCTCTCTACATTCATTATGTTCATTGAAGTGGACTTTCTGTTGTAGTCCATTGGCTATTCCAATACCGACTGATTCAATTTTCCTTAACTGCTCCATATTTTTATTTCCCTCTTGAAACTCTCTTTGGAGGAACACGGATGCCGCTAATCTGTAGTTAGCAGATAGAATGGACATAATCAACAATTTAACCGTCTGGTAAGCAGGAATACATGAACGACGATGGATACGGTAATGCCCACTTAAGCGTCCGCACTTTTCTCCACGGTTATCCCTACCCAATCTTGGACGCGAGCGTCCAGTGTGTCGTGCATAACTTGACGCCGGTCAAGTTATCGGTACTTACACTGTATTGTATCCCACTATTATATCTCACTCGCACTCATCCTCTTTCCTTGTCTCGGTTGAATTCGTAGAAATGACGCCGCGCCGGTCCCGAGCGCGGACGCTTAACCGGGCATTACTGTACTCGACGCGACCAGCGTTACCTCTACGTGCTTCGTGTTAGCCGCAGATTGGAAAGACACAATTTTGAGGAAGAGCCGCGCGGGCCCTAAGCACCTCTGTGACGTAGAATACGTTATTGGCCCCCAACGACCTCTTTCCATTGTTTATTGGTTCATTGACTCTAACACGGGCAGAAATTTCGGTAGGGCTACAGCCCTGACACACCTTCGACGACAATAAGCGGTCTACCTCTTTGAAATTTTACTCGATAATGCATTGTCCCATTATTCTAACCTCGCCTGTACAGATTAAAATGTAATCGCGGGACAGCGACACCGTTTTTCCCCAAAATTGGGATTATTAATGCGATTCTTATGCGTACGTACAGCCGAATCTGTTTACAGATTTAATCGTTTCTTCATTGTTTGTTCTTATCGTGTAACGCGAACACGATCTTACCGCGGTTATTCGTAGATGGATCAAACCTTATTACGCTTTCCCCTAAAATTAACGTGCAGTTCGGCAGAAAGGTGGGGGAATTCGTCTTTCGTATAGCTGAAGCTTGTATGTACATATTAGCCAGCATGCTTCTACACTAGCGCTTCTATCGGTGGCGTCATGAAATTACTGTCGGCTGCATGCGTTCCTGTTGAAAAAATTCCTCACGGGCGAAAGTCAAGGTATGACGGAATATCGCAACAGCGCAACTGAACTGAACTGAGCGCGCCGTTTGCTATAGACGCTAACACTAACTGTATGATCTCCTGGTGCTAGGAGGGGCTTTGTGAGACAACCCGCGCGAAACTCTTTTCAACGTAGGTAGAAATACAACTTCCTACATCAGTATGTTTCTCGGATATTTCAGTGCTTGCATGCGGGATGTGAGCACGCACCCCGTCATAAACACCGTTGCAACAGTACAAATGATTAATAGATATATTATGTTTTGAACGAAATTCCAGCATTTGTTATTCAAATCTTAAGAAATGGAACGTACAAACCAGCCTACGCATCCTTTCTTCAACTCCATTTACACTTCGATAAATGATTGATTTCTCAATAACTGTACGATAATTTAAATCTACCACGTCCTGTCAAGTTCACCGATGCACGTAGGTACTTATGTACCTACATCGACCATCCATAATATTGTACATACATGGTATTGTGTTGATAAAGAACAACATATTCCGTTTTTTATATAGTCTGTTATTAATGCAGATTATCAAGAGTAAACGTCTTGATGGTTTGACATTCCACTCTAATTACAATAAGTTTTTGTTTATAAAAATTAAATATTATTTGACAGAAAAATGAAAGTATTCCATTCTAGGAGGATCGATGTAACAAGGGCCCCGTGGCGCAACGGTAGCGCGTCTGACTCCAGATCAGAAGGTTGCGTGTTCAAATCACGTCGGGGTCAAAATCTCTCTTTTTTTTTTACGCGAAATTTCAATCTTAATTTGAACTCCTGATTTATTCATACAAAATCCAGTTTCTACAAAATATGTTTTAAATCATAATCGTGATATCTGAAACAACGGAAATAGCAATGAATATATCCTTCTGTGTTAGCATCGATGTTATCATCGAAATGTTTTTATGATTCTCTTTTAAACATAAATAGTTTAGAATCCTACCGTTCTAATTGAAATTTATAAAAGGGTCAAGAATTTTCGTGATTTGACCGATGGACTACGTTATGAATGTCTTGTGCGGTTCTGGTCAGACTGGCCTTGGGCGATCGGGGTCCTGTCTTTATACATATGTACATGTATATGCTTCCCGATCGTCCTTTACTTTTCTTCGAGCCGGGTGCAAAAATTCTCGCGCGCACGTGCCGCGGAACATTCTCGATCCTTCGTGCCAGATATTGATTTTTGCACACAGCTCGATTTCTAGACTGTTCCACATCGGACGGAACAATATTATTATTGCAAAAATAAATTTGATTGATTTTTAAAATTTGATAAACATTTGTTACAGCAGTCGTGGCCGAGTGGTTAAGGCGTCTGACTAGAAATCAGATTCCCTCTGGGAGCGTAGGTTCGAGTCCTACCGACTGCGAAGGCCCCCACCCGCTTCTGTTAGGGAGGAGCAAATTTCTTTTTTGCGTATAATAAAGTTTCTATTGATATTTTTAAGATTAATATAAACATTGCACTTTGCGCGTTTACAAGATTGTATTGTTGCATTCTTATGGACAATAGGCGTTTCTTTCATAGACTTTTTTTTTTTTTTTTTTTCTATGAACAAACATACGCTATTTGGCACGTTTACTGCCATACCAGGAACCGAGATTAGATTCCTCAATTTTCATCGAATAAAAATTTTCATTTTTATATACGTTACATTTTTTTTTCTAATTGTAAAAGTAACCCAAAAATGAATGTTGTATAGCCTAGTATTATATCACATACATCATACAATAAAAGACACTGCTAATTTCGTAATGTCCACACAAAGAAAAAAAGAAATGAAGGTGAAACGAGAAACGAGGAAAATTATAACAATAGTTATTCCTGTTTAGGTTTGAGTAACGCATGTACAGATTGTATGTAAAAGTTGAAAACGTGGTCGGAAGGCGCCGTGGCTTAGTTGGTTAAAGCGCCTGTCTAGTAAACAGGAGATCGGGGGTTCGAATCCCCCCGGAGCCTTGTAGAATTCTTTTTGCTCCAACTTGTACTTTAACAAGTATTAAATAATAAAGTTCATAAATACATACCGCAATGCTTTAAAATGATGTTTCGGTCGTAATTTGATAGATGAATGATCGGACCTGATTAATAAAGTATTTAAACAGTATTTATTAAAATATTATTACTCTTTTATGATAATATTCACAATGTACAAGAGCGAATAAGTGCGCATTACTGCGAATAAATAAAAGCGGACGATGTACAACGTATTAAAATTTAAACTACGCGTATAATATATTTGTATTGCTTAAAAGTCAAATTTATAGCCATTTCCAGTAACTTTGACACGAGCTACCGAAGGCGCAGAGGAATAAGCAATCCCTAATAAATTTTGGGGTTGTTGCTGTTCCTCCTGTTGCAATTCTACCTGTTCGGGGACCTATGGACGATTACTTTTAAACAAAAATCAGATTTGAATTGCGCACGATGCGCGTTAACGCGAACTTTTTAATTATTTATACGTTTACCTGTTGTTGTGGTTGCGTAGCTTGCACCTGCGCTTGAGATTGTGCTTGGGCTTGTCTTAATGCAAGAAGCTGTGCTAATTGTGCTTGATAAAGGGCAGCTGCAGAATAACCATGCAATTGTGGTTGCTGAAATTGCTGTAACTGTTTATAATAAGCCGAGGCAGCAGGATCTACAGGAGCTTGATAGGGCAATGGTACAGGTGCTCCAGAGACAAATGCAGGTGGAACTGGTGCAGTCGCATAGCCATTTGCAATAGAACCAACTGGAAACGTTCCTAAATAATGACAGAATATAATTACAATGTTACTTTGCTTTTCTACGAACATGTTTTAATAAAAATTACATATAATTTTTTAGATTTATCACGAACCTAAGCCAGGATTTCTATAAGCAAGCGCATTAGCAATGTTAGGAAAAACTCTTTGTGCTAAATGAGGATTTCCAATGTTGGAACTGAACGACTGGTGAGAACTGGGGCCACTGAACGCGAAAGCAGTTTGCGTTAAACCTGGTCTAATAAAACTGAAAGATGCATGTTGATCGGAACTCCCTAGTAAATTCGTCGGTTTCACGCCTTGAACAGGTGGTTCGGCAAATATTGCGACAAGCATCGTGCAACAAAGTACTATGTATTTCTGAAAATTATACTTGCATTAGAATGTGTAAAATGATTTATCAGCGACAAGCACATTAAAATAAAAACGTTCTTTGTCCGATGGAACTAACAAAACAAAACAAAACACTTACCAACATGTTGGAAACTTATGAGAAATTTAAAAATTTGTCGGTAAATCGAACGACAGTAACATCACCAATGAACATTAACACACTATTCTGACGCTAAGTCAACTTGTGGAGAGTTATATATCGCGGAAGCAGCCGAGTTGATACGTGAGTAGCATTGCATCGACACATTTCCAAGCACACGATGACACTTTCTCCAAGATGCGACAATTCATGAATCGTAATCGCTTAATATAAAATTTCTGTCTTTACAGAAGACTTTTATGATACAATATGTTGCGAACAATAATTTGTTAATCAGAAATCGAGAATGACAAACACGTACAAATTCATCATGGTTTACCGTATATCTTCATTAATACTGATACATCATCGACTAAGGGGGTATTCTACATTAGAACTTAAAGAAAATCGATTTTTTTTTATAAATTTTATTTTCCGAAAGTATATGTCCTCGAAAATATTGCTGCCAATGTATACTACCGGATTCAGGAAAATAACAAAGTTGTCAAAATCTCAAATTCTAGTGGACCGACTAATAAAAAATTTTGAGAGAATCTTCAGCACACGTGTTCCTATCGCTTGAACTACGATTTTCTAAATCCGATGCTTTCTACTATTTTCTTTTTTTTAGCACGTTAAATACAAAAAAAAAGAAAAATACAAAAATTGAATATTTTTGTATGAAAAAAATTGTGGATATTCTTCAAATATAGATCTAAATATATGTATTGAAACTTAATACAAAAATATTTTACCCTTTTCACCAAAAAAATGTCAAAATACCATGAAAATATTGCATTCTAGAATAGAATACCCCCTTAAATTACTCACTGTTAAGTAAGTGTATTATACAGAGAAATATATTTAACATAATATTACATATTATCACAGCAAAACTATATAGGGCAGTGTAATGTTTCAATTCGATTCATCTACAGTCGTGGAATTAACGAGGAAAGTTGCTTTCAATCAGCCGAAAATGGAGTTGATACGTAGACGAGTTATTAATCGTAATCAGTTAGTCGCTCATAGAATATTAAACAACTTATTTACTGGCAGTGATACAATTTATTTATGTCTCGCACACATTCGAAAGCCTTAATTATGTTTGGTCATAAAACAATCGTGAATTTCTTTTTGTTTTTATACGCACGATATTGACTTTTATAATGTAAAGACACTTTCTTACATGTTTTTATGAACATTAAACAACATTATATACAATACGTAATAAAAAAGACGTTGCAGTTGTTCAATTTAAGCCTCCATTTCGAAATAGCATTTATTCGTATTACAGTCGTGGACGCTTTTATTGCTATACGTTTTAAAAATGTTTTAGATTAGTATGGACACCCCTCTTAGACAACCACCAGTATTGTGCATACCATGACGTAGGTACTTTTTAAAAATAAGTAGTCCAATGGTTTCAACATCGACAAATCAATTGTGAAATACGACGTAAATTTGTGCGCAATGACATTGAATGTTCCCCTTCATAGTATCCTTTTACATACTAGAGAAGTATGATTGATAAAACATACCCATAGCAGTGGTTGCAAACAACGCAAAACAACTCCACCACGTTGCTAAACCTAATAAACCTCTGTATACGTCTGTAGTAAATATCTGTGAAACAATAAATAATAGAACGAGTACAGTTTGTAGAACTGCTTATTGCTAATGCCCAATGAAGATTACCTGTTTCAAGGAACCCAACGCAAGTTGAAAATCTTGAGCTGTTTGCACGACAGTCCTTTCGTTATCGTTGTTATTCATTATAGTCAGCACAGATTTAGGCAGTTCATTGGCTGGACACTCTTCAACTGCTGTCCCTTTTAAAAGTCCTTCCCAAGTATAACCACCTATAGATAACATGCAAATACACTAACGCGTTAAAATAATGTTACCTAGAACGAATAAATTATTTTATCGGAAATCCTTTTACCTAATGTTTTGTACATAAATGTGAAAAATAAACATATAATAATTGGAACGATGAATTGCAACGCTACAACGCATAAATAATAAAACACTGCTGCAATCTGAAACAAATCACAGAATAAATTCCAACTGTTATAAATTAATGTTCGTTTCTACTTTCAATTTTTTATAGATACCTTTTTCTGTAATTCAACATTTTTTATTCTACCAGCTTCTTTCTTTTGAGTCTCTAATCGTTGCACAGCTAAATTAAGATACGATTGCAAGTACATTGGCATCAATACGAATTTTAATAAAACTGCAACAACGATTGCAATTAACCTCATGCTCTCGAAAGCTGAGGACGTCATTCTGCAAGAATGTTTGTTTGTTTTATAAACAGTCTGTTTACGTGCATATACTTTATTGTAACATTTACTATCCCTCGACTTACAATGGCCCATTCATACCAGTAAATATTCGAACTGTGAGGTAATCTCTGCTTATGGGCTTAATCCATAAACTCACCAACAGAAGCGGAGAGGCATAACTAATATTTGCTATTAATACTAGTAGCTTTTGATTTTTATAATATCTGGAATGTGCTGTTTTCATTATCAGATTATTATATTATTAGTATTTAAAAAAATGAATGCAACATTAGTACCTCAATGCATCCCAATGCATTTTAGATACTCTCAATCCTGGGAAAATAAAGAAAGAACCGAGCAAACCACACCATAAGGCAAGGAAGAACTTTACAACAATTTTTGATGCAGGACCTCTATAAAAGAATGTTTAAGAGTATTGTTTAAAAATGAAGAAAGATAAAAGAATAGAATAAATAACACAGGTATTGCAAGTTTCTACTTGAATTTTAAGTTTCAAAGACTTACGTAGAGGAAAGACCTTGATTGTCTAAAAACAAGGATGCACTATGATTGAAGCTAACATAGGCTTTGTCCAATCCAATTTCAAGGTTGTTTTCATCAACTATAAGAATTATCATAGCTATGAGGAGATATGCAAATCCGGTAACGATACACGTAGACCTCTCGCCTGTACTCTCCTCTCCTGTGAAATATTGTATCCACAAAGAAAGCAGCACTTTGCTAGATACTAATTAAGGAAGTTAAACTCAAAATACAAGATTTATTCTAGAGGAAATAAATGTGTTTTTGTAACGCGAGGTTAATCGTGCAAAGGATACAATGCAAAACCTAGAACCAACGAGCACCAAAGCATACTTAGATTAATCTCATCTTTGATCGGATAAAAGTGATTGTACACCTGTTTAGCGTCGATAAAACACAAGCGAATGTACAATAAAGATACAGATATAAAGAAGAGACAACTACTTTGTTAGCGGGAACAAGACATTACCAACCTCTGTCATTATATAAACAGCAGCAGCATAAATAGAAAAATCCAATAACCACTGGTACTCTGTATAATATTTTAAATGCACAACATCTAATGTAGTTATCTTAGCACTTTCTAGCGTAATATCCAAATTTCTAGGAACATAAAATGTATCTCCAACTTTTCCATTTTCCATGTGTTTGTTTTTCCTCGGTTTTTCTTTAGGCACGCCTACGAGAGTCTTCAGTTGTTGATCAGTCGGATATAAATAACGCACCAAACTATTAAACGATAACATTTTTGATTAAAGTAACACTTGATTCGATTATGGCTGTTACCGATGAAATACATACCCGGTAGAGCACAACATCCACCTTGCCAAGGAAAAATGTGGAGTTAATTTCTGGATGACACTAACCATGATAAGAGTAATGACCAATTGAGCTCCTAAAAGAGCCTAAAACGTTTCACGTGTATTTAGAATAGAATATTTAATGTTTACCATTGTCTATTGAGAATTAAAGCAATTATATTCAATGAAATTACCATAGTTTAATTCGTTAGAGAATTTGTCAACTACAATGGGTCCACTGGTTTCACGAAAATATACATTTCATCACGGTATCCGTAATTCCTCGATGAACTGTTGATTAAATGCTGAGAGACACAGCAATAAATTATCTTGCATTTTACGTCGGTCATGTATATTCAACCATCGTAAATGGCACACGATCGAATAGCTGGTTTTATAAATAGTTGTAACCCCGCGAAACCAAAAGCATCGTAACTCTTTGGATGGGATATGAGGTTATTTCCAGTTATTCCTATTCTATCTATAGTGAAGTAAGATCAACTTGTTTGTGGTGACGCCTCAACAACTCACCGCCAGGGGGCTACGCGAAATAGCTGGACACATTTCGTTTAAAATAAGATAACAAATTTTTGAACTTAACTTTACAATATTAGTTATGATACTACTCTTTGTTAATTTTCTACTTTCTTAAGCGTTTTGGTACAATTATTATGCTACTGATACCTATATTCATTATATGTATATGCTGAAAATACTAAGAACCTTTTAATGTCTATAATTTATACATTTTTTACACCTAGCTACGACTGTTCCGCTTACGAAAAGTTTTTTAGTGATTACTTTAAAAAAGGTACCATCTAATAAAATTGCTTTCTTTGCACACAACTTTAACTATTTTTTACTATTAAAGTAAAATCGTTACATCCCAAGTTCTAAAATCCTTATTACATCGACCAGCTTCAAATCCATCTTGTGCAATTAAAACCCGCAGGCATGTTCATATAAACAACAAAAGTGAATTCTTTACACAGGAAATGCTGGTTTTATGATAACACAAAACCTAGAGAAAAAAATAAGAATGATTAGATGTGAAGAAATATTTAATAGCGCATTGGTACGTAACGGAACATGAATCCCTCTTGATTTTTTATGCATCCACTTAACCGAGAAATTAAATTACCGCTACTTGAACAATTGAGTTTATAAATCTTTTTTTTTAAAAATACTATTTATTCTCGGATATCTATCACCAACATCGTTCTATTAACACGTACAGTCTACGATATTTTTTATTAGAATATGTCCCCAATAAACATGTGTCTTTTTAGCAAAATAACATACATATGTGGCGGCGATGGTAGCAAATGTGTTAATACGAATTGGTTAGCAGTTCTATGCGCAGCGATCCTTTCAGGATCTGATACGATCTTGCATCGCGGGATTTCCATTCCATCGATCACGTAATGCGATAATTATAAATGATCTTTCATTTAAGTGACATACGTATGCAAAATCAACTAATCATATGATTGATTCTTCAATTTATCCAAAATATTATAAATTTTATTATACTTTAATCATATTGAGTGCCAAAGGGTTTCGATCGATTATTTACGTTTTCATTTCGACCAGAACGTTCACGTTAAAACATTTGGTCAGACTTTACACACTTTGCACACTTTCGGAAGCTTCAAATTTACACTAACACGATAATTAAGAAACGTTGAAATGTTTTAACAATCAGGCTACAATTTAATAATAATAAGTAATATTCTTGATACAAATTACATCATCGTTCTGAATCTTCTAGCTGGTCTCATCGATAAGATCTATTTTAGATCCTGCTAGAAAAGTGATACTATTCTGGTATATGTATAAATCTTACCGATGTGTCTGATTAACAGATCTAGGATGAAAAACAGTAAAAGCAAAAATCACAAAAACAATTACTTTTATCCAAGTGTTAATTTATCATACGATTAAGCAGGGAAGCGCCTAAATTAATAGTTGTATCAGGACGCTAGTAGCTTTATCGACGCCTCTCGCCCTCCTCTTTGAGGAAAAACGCGCGAATCGTTTATTCGGAACAACAAATACGAGTTTCGCGGAGGAAGAACCGATATAAAAACAACAGACCATCGATTCACGCGACCAAATGCCGACAAGTGTTCGTCAAGTGTAGACAGCGCAAAAAGTCTTCTGTACGTATGTTTCGTTCTTTTCTAATTTTCGTAGTAACGCGATATCAAACAATGTAACGTCAACTCATTGTAATTAAATTAGTTGGGCAAACTTTACTCGCAAATAACTAAACAAATTTTACATTCGTACGTAAACTAATTTCCTTTTACGTTTCGTTCAATAACGTATTGACATTCTTTCGACCATCGTTACGAATCGTTCGTAATTAAGTACCAATTGTCCCTGAGTGTCGATAAATGTATAGAGTTAAGCGCATCGCTGAAAATGTGACGTCGAAATAATTTGTATCATTACGCAGCTGATCGAACAAATTATATAATTTCCAATTAACCGAGCAGAAACCGAGGATCGGAATTAAAACGAGCGAAGAAATCGAAATTCTCGCGCGGTGCAGCCTACCGAGAAAGAAACATGGATTTTAAAAAATAAGATTCTTTCGATTCCTCTATTAAAAGTTGTCGCTTCAACTTTTCGCTTCACGATTAATGTGTGACTAAGCACCTGAACAAAAGATCGCTCCATATATGATCAACCTACGTCGACTAACTTATAACATTTCTTGGACTCGTTCCTGAAACGGTACGCGCAACTGTATAGTTAGATCGAAGAACAAAACAAAAAGTATAAAAATCCATTAGGGTGAGATTCCCGACAGGAATGTTAAAAAAATCGATTTAGGTGTAAAATATAGAAACGTTGATATCTCCGTGAAGCGAAAAAGGATCGTTGTCGATCAAGCTTTATTAAGTTGTCCAACATTTCTATAGAAGTTGATATTCAAAATCCACTTGATCCTGAAATCGAGAAATTATTTAAATATTTCAAGGTTTTTTTAAACAGAGATAATTGGCCTTTATCTGAAAGTTTACCTTTATTGTAATGACACCCATACCTATTAGAATATCTTACCTAATTTGAATAGAAAATTGATTATATATTTTCGTTCTTAATAAAAGTGATAGATTCAAGAATTATTAAATAATCTGTTGACTTGAAAGTCTGAACAGCTAAATGTTGACATTTGTATTCGTTATACTTTTTGCTAAAATGAATTCTAATAATTACAAGTAATCGCCTACCTAATAGGGATCCTTCCTCGACATAACATGTTTATACTTTCATGGAACAGAATAAATAAAGATTTCATACGTTTTCAGGTAGTTGGCGTGCAAAAATAACAATAATGGCGCTAGTATTTGTTACTTCGCTTCTTCTCTTACTATCGAGCTGCCTCTCCCACGTAGAGAGCAGACCAAATTATATAGAGTGTCAGAGCAATTCGGAGTGTGGACCAGGCCATTGTTGTAGCATAGGTATTCCTCTCGTTATAAGACAATAAACAATAATATTTGATAAAAGTATTTTAACAAAATGCATTATTTCAGGGCCCATAAGGTACAGTATGCCACAATGTAAACCCATGCTAACAGAAGGACATATGTGTAGACCCCAGAGCGATTCCACGATTAACATGACTGCAACATATCCTGATGGTGCTGAAGTATTACTAACCAACGTTCATTACATCCTATGTCCCTGTGCCGATGGATTATCGTGCGATAGAGGTGTTTGCATGGTGTCGAGTGAACAACATGACAACAATTATCTAACTAATAAAAACAGTAAGGGACAAGATTAAAAAAAAAAAAATGGTAACAAAGCTACTATACAAAACAGTGACAATGATTAACGAAATTATCTCAGAGGATCTTACAGTTTATAATCGACTGTATGATAATACTATAGACAAGATATATGATCGTACGCCTCATCTATGGTAACATCGGGCTTTACATAAAATGAACAATAATCTTATTGGAAACGATTGAAAGAACCTGACCTCAATGACACAAATTATGAACCAAAGGATTAAGTAGCTTTAAATTAAAATGAACTGATAAGACTTGTATTAAACATCATTGAATCAAAGGGATACAATATTAAATAAACTTAAGAAAATGTTGTGATAAAATTATATATGTATTATGTATTTATTGGTTAAATTCCGAAAGAATGAAAATAATCGCTGTATTCTAATCGATACACGTTAACAAGATAGTTTCATCTTTAGTTTCATTTGCACTCAAAGTTTGTATTTCTAGAGTACTTCGAGGTGTTGAAGAAAAATAATTATAACGAACTTACACCATATAATATTATTGAATAAATATAATATAACCAAAAAAATAAACGTTTTGTTATTTACTTCTAATATAGGACAATGAAATCGTTCTGATATGTACGAGGTATGTACTTCGTATGAATAATAAGATAGGACCTGAAGAATATCAGCGGTATATGTATGCACTACTATTTTGTATGCCTTTGATTAATTAATTTTAAAATATAATTTATTGCTTTGTATAATATCATCTATAATTTATACTTATATCACTGTGCTTTAAACAAAGAGGTTGTTCGACGTCCACTGGTTTTTTTTAACAGATCGGGACTACACTGTAGTCACTACAATTCGTGTAACACCAAACTTCCTATACCTCGTCTGTGGTTCTGGTTCCTAGTTTTCACTAGATCGGTATTTCAGTTTCAGTTCGTATCATCTCAATTTGTATAAGATTTTACATCTGTCTTATATGTCGTTTATGATTGTACTATGTTATCGCAGAAAATTTTATCACCTTCATTGTCAAAACATTATAGATGCTTTTACTATTGATGTTTCTGTTAAGAAAGTTCTTTTTTCGTATATGAAAAGTATTGTTAAATTAAGTGTGTTTCAACGGTATGGACAGTCAAGTGTGTGGGAACGGTAGATTGTTAGATCTGATCGATGAGGCTTGGCATAAGGAACGTTTGCCTATTGATGATATTGTAGTACCAGTGGTAGAATTACCCGATCCTGAAAGCGACAATGGTGATTCTCACATGACATTGAAGGAATTAGAACAAAAGTGGAATAATCTAGCTTTAGGGACTCTCAGTGAAAATCATTTACATTCCCCAACCCCGTCTCATAATTAAGCAAGTACCAATTTATCGTACTAAGAACTTTACATAACCAATGTTCCGACAATTTGTTTACTTCCTCTTTTTATTAAAGATTCAGAATGGAGTTTCCAGATATAGGAACAAGATGTTCGATCAAAGACTGCAAGCAATTAAATTTTTTACCATTTGTATGCAACCATTGTCATGACACTTTTTGCAAAGAACATTTTCATATAGCCTCTCACAAATGTTCAAGTTTTCGTGAAAATGTTGTAAGCACTAAAACAAAGGCTTCAAATTATGTGTGTTCGGATGAATCTTGTAAAGAAACTTCACCCATTGAGATGCAATGTATCAAATGCAAGAAACACTTTTGTTTACAACATAGATATCATGGATGTCTGGAATATACTAACGAAGAAAAGACAACAAAGTTGAAAAAGTGGCAAATACCAAAGAAACAGTTTGCTGAAGCAAAAGCCATAGTGGATCAAGAAATTTCAGACACTTTGAAGAAATCCAAAAATATTGCAATGGCGAATAAAGTATCTATAAATTATCTAAATAATCTACGATAAACAATTATACATATGTGTTTAATTCAAGTATTGTTTATTTAGGTACGTCTTATGCGTATAAAAGGTTCAGCCGTTGGTCCTAAAAATGTACCGATGAACGAACGTTGTTATTTCCTCGTATATTTGTCAACTAAAGTACCCAATAAGAATCTAGGACCATCGAAAGGTATTTACGTGAACATAAACTGGACAATTGGAAAAGCTATAGATTCGATGGCAGACATACTGAAAATATCAAACAATAATAACGTATTGGGTGTATCTAAGTTACAACTGTTTCATCATTTAACCGGTACGCTGGTATGTAATGAAATGGATACATTACTAACAAAGTTATTTGAAAAATCTGAACTTGTTGACGGACAAAGTGTTATTTTAGAATATTCAGACACTACGGCTGTAGATATTTCTTTATATAAATAAACTTATTTACAGTAAACTACAAGATTAATTTTTGTTCCTTTCATTTTCAAATGTATTAACTTTTAAATCTGTTGAACATATATTTTTTTTTTATATATAATAGTGTACTGGTAGTGGCAAAAATGCAATGTTAGAATAATACTTGTTTATTACAAACTAGACAGTTTCATATATCAGTTTTACATTAATTCTTAATAAAAGAACACGCAGATGTACTCTATATGCACTCAACGAACAAATTGTTTACCAGATTATTGTCAGATTTGTTCCAAATAAAATATAAGACAATATTCTGACTTTGGCACTGGACGTTTTTTTTATTTATGCACTTCAGTTACACTAATATAGTAAAATAAAAAAAATCAACAATATTAATTTGTAAATAACTATATGCTTACCGATATTAGTATAATACGATTGTACGAAGATTAAAAAAGAGAAATAATAGCAAAAGTCTCCGAGTTAAATTGTTCGACTGATGTGCGTGTTTTATCCAAGTACTTATCTCTTGTATTTCATTATGTCAAATTATTGTTACTCCTTATAAAAACGAACAAAATTCTTATTTTAAATAAGAATAAAATACACTTACATGCTGAAGTATTTCTGCAAATAATTATGTAAATATGTTGTAATAAAGCAAGCCGTATAAAAAGGTTTGAATCTCTTCAATTGTGTCTACTTTATAAATTATATAATATTCTTGTAAGTCTTTTGTAGATCAATTATTTAAAAGCTTAAACTTTCCAATACTTACAATATATATTAGATACACTATGCAGATAATAACTTGAAATTCTGATGCAAAAATTACTATTATCACAGCCGATCCCACTACAAGCCATACTGAGCGAGAGGCAGTAAAGCTGCGAGAATCCGATTTTGCAAAATTAGAATCTCGCGATTTTACTGTTTTTCGTTTAGCATGACTAGTACTGGAGTCAGCTTTGCTATTATATAAAATTCAATATCATACATGAATATTTTTCAAAGAAATGATATTTTTATACATATAAAATTATTGCACGTCATTACCGAATCAAGTGTCATGGTACGTACGCGTATATTTGGTTAATCTTATATCAACTAAAGTTTTGTCTTTAAATGTTGGTAGTTTTTGCAACAGAAAATTCATATATGTATAACTAAATGTATAAATTGAATATTATTCAGACTCAGTTCCACTATTCTAGAGTAAACTGGTATGAGAGTAATCAACTTCTTACTATGTAAGATATGTAAAATTTCGAGAGAAAATATATATGGCTATATGACCCAACAATTTGGCAGTAAAGACAAAAAGTAATAAGAAAAAAACTAAAAATTGGTTATAAAAACATGGTAATACGTAAGAATGAGTAAAAGCTAACCTTTGCTTAAATATATATGAAAATAATTTTTAAAATAAAGAACAAGTCTAATCAAAGAGAGAATGCAGAGTATGTATACAGAGATCGCGAAAAGAACGAGTAATGTCATTCGAACATTTACATGTGTTTCAATATCTTGGCCTCGTGTTCGGCCATTGGCCACCTGCCTGCTGGGAGGGGAATGAATTTGGTAGCGGTAGGTGGCCTGAAGTCAAGCTCAGGAATGCCAACGAGACTTTTGCAATTCAATTTGACCTTCTAACGTTTTAGCAAGATAAATGACAAATAGTTGACTAACAGCTATACCCAAAGCAATGCCCGCTATTGTATAAAGATTACGTTCCGCCCAACTTCGTACAATTTCAATGCAACCACTAGTCCATACCTTCTTGCCCGCTTCAGATACTGGTAACATCTGAACTTTGTAGCCACACATTATATTCATAAGACCACTCTGAAAATTTAAGTAATGCTTTCTTTCCTTATTTCTCAATTCTATCGATAAAATACTATGTACAATTAAAAATAGACTTACCGATATATCCGTAGCATTGATACAACAAGAGAATGGTACACCGCACCGTTCTACGCTAGGACTGGAACAATTAAAGTATTCGTTCTTCCCCCAGTCTAGATATCCTTCTTGACTTAAGCCACAGCACCGAAACTATTCATGAAAATATTAACATATTTCGTGTTATTGGACTTGATGATATATCTTAACAAACATTCGTTTATAAAAGTACTTGCTTCTTGTTGTCCAAAATCGATAAAGTTTTGTAGATCAGGATCCTCTCTATATGTTTGTATAATTTTATCGGTAAATGATTCCTCCAATAAAGATTGCAATGTGTGTGGAAATACAAAACCAACAATTGCTACGCCCATTTCAAGGAGAAAAAACACCAACAGACACAATGAATACTGTAATAAATAAATAAATAAATATTATACAATCTGTTTATAAACTAGAAAAAATATATATATAGCGATACTAACAAATTTTAGAAGACAAGTATTTTCACGCAATGCTCCAACACATCCTGCGAAACTAACAACGAAAACTACTCCTCCCGCTATAACCATTACAAGTGAAATATTCAGGACTACATCATATACATTTTCCACTCGAACGGAACCAGTTGCTTGCCACTTGTCCACAAACGCATATAAACCCACTCCGATTAACAGTCCTCCGAATAACTATATCATACAATATTTATGTTTTAAATTTTACTGCACTTTCTATCATATTATATGTATAAATAAAATAACGAATGTATATAATAGAATTTGCTACTTAATTATTCGTACGTAAAATTATTAATTATAACAATAACATAGATCAATTAAACCAATGATATACAGGGTTCACTTACCCAAAAAACAAAATTGAGTAAAAATATCATATACTTTACACACGAACTAACGTAAGTAAAGTTATTTGTTCGTCTCCGGTTATTCATCGTTGTAAGGTAAAAACAGTTTTACAAGATATTAATTGGTATGTACAATTAATACAAGCACTCGCACTTTCAATTATTATATATACATATATATATACATATATATATATATATATATATGTACACACAAATTACATCGATCGCATCGCTAATTTGACAATTTCACATACTGGACGCATATTTGTGAACTTTTCACTCGATCGTTGATAAACAATATTTGATTGCCCATGTATCAAATCAAAAGTATAATACACCATACTTTGACAACTTACTTTGCATCCGCCATTACAGTTCCGTTTCTTGCATTCCTAGCTTTCAGTTGAGATCAGCTGTCCATACATTCTGTGTTTCAATGTTACAAAACTAAAGCGTCTGTGTGCAATAAATCAAATGTGAAATATTGTAAACAATTAAATCGCCACAGATAATTTATTAGTTCTGATACTTGTGTATATATACATATTAAGAAAAGGATAAGATACTTGCTTTAAAAAATGACGTCGGTACAAGACAGTAAGTTTGTTATTTGTTTACTATACTTTGCATTTTATGAATACACATAATTCTCAAATATAAATACGTACGTTTTGAATGTTTCGAATATCAATTCGTTACAAAAACGTTACATTATTAACATTTCTATTTAATTGCGAATACAATAATATGCTGCCATTTATCTTCGTAAGAATGCATGGAAAATTAATCAACATCGTTCCTTAACCTATACAATGTAAACAACAAACTATGGTTCAAAACATTGGTAATAGTATCGTTGTATTATTTAAAACGATGTTAAATCTGTCGATTATTTCAAAGTTCTATCGATTCATGTTCTTTAATTGTTGCAATATTTATTTATAGGATTAAAATTAAAACGATCTTACGACAATTGGAGTACGCGCGAACAGCTATGTTTAGCATCCAGTGTATTGAAATCAGGCGATCAAAATTGGATGAGCGTATCACGATCTTTGAAAGCATTTGTTGAAAAAGAAACATTAAGGCCACCAGATTGGTTTTCTCAAAAATCATGTGCTATTCAATATGCTCATCTATTGGAAAATACGGATACTCCAAAGAGAAAAAAAAGAGAAAGTGGAGAAACAACAGGTGAATCCATAGTTAGAAAACTAACGCAAGAAAGAATAGCTGAATTAGGTCAAATTTTAACTTATCAAAGAGACGAATATCAACAGTTGAAAGCTGAAATAAATATGTTAAAATCTGGATCGATAGCGGAAGATAAGTTACAAAAGATGTGGGTCACAATTGATCAAGAGGAGCGAGAACAGGAACAAAAAGTTAGGGCACATTCTGCGTGGCTGGCAAAACGTCAACAGAAGCAAGAATTAAGTTCTCCGCAAGGAGCGTCTGCTTTAAATCAACGCAAACCTATAGAGAATACAGTAGAAATTCAAGAAACGTCAGAAACTCTGGATGAAGATGAAAAAAAAAGGAAAGGCGGAAGGTCGCCACTGTTGACAAGTTTATTGAAATCTCCAAGTCCAACGACACAAATTCAAACATTAACTACTACGGCGCAAGGGAGTTCTCCTACAATTACAAGTCTGCTTGGCTCTAGCCCTAAAGTACCAAACTCTCAATTAACACAAAATGTGTCGCCGCAATTGCATCAATTGGTTTCTTCTGCAATTTCAAATATAGCACCAGAACGACCATCGGTCGGTGCGCCGACGTTATCTATGTTATTAGAGATGCCTGCTAATGCACAACGAGGCCCTTTACCAAATTTACAATCAACTCCAACCATTGTTTCTCAACAAACTATGTCTACCGAAATTCATACACTTCAACCGCAGCCTGTTCATCAAGTGACAATTCAAAATGAAACATCCGTACCTACACAACCACTTACGATTAGTACGCCAAATATACCAGTGACGGAAAGCATGGTACAAATAATAGACAATATAGACGATGTGATACGTAAAGATATAATGGCAGATGTAATAGACAAAGATGAAATTAACGAAATTATCGGAGATATAGAAGAATTAATAAAGGAAGAAATAACTGGGAGTCCCCAAACACTAGATACAGCTACTACAACAATTAATACTCTTACTGTACCGCAAATTCAAGAAATACCGGTGGTAGTCACGGAACGACCAGAGCCCAGAGACGTAGACGAGGTTGTATCGCTCTCTGATTCGCCGGAAAGCGAAATGGCTATTGAAGAAATAGACTCCAGCACATCAAATATCGCAGAAATCATAGGAACGGTTGCTATAGAACCACAAGAGCCTAAAGTTATTGTGGCTGAGATATCTGAAGCTATAACGAATACATCTGAAGAAGCAAAGTCTGAAGAAAGTACAAACCACGAGAAAGTGATCTTAAATGATGAACTTGTTCCTGAATTAGAAACTCACGATGATGAAAGCGGTAAAGATGTACCGTTAGAAGAGAAACAAATGATCGATGAATTCGATACTATGGATTCTACTTCAAATGTAGAAATTGAAGAGACCGATACAAAAATGTCGACGAAAGAACTTATGGATGATATAGTGGAAGATGAATTAATAGAAGAAGAAGAGACAGAAGTGATTATACCAGAAGCTAAAGAATCACCCAATGATAAATTACAAAGGGAACCCTCGGAAGAGTTGGAAAATAAAGACAATATGGAATTAGACCAACTAGAGATGCATCTTGCTAAAATTACTGGCGAACAACAAGATATTCCATCGGCAGAAGTGGTCAGCGTGACTTCTGAAATAACGAACGATCTTCCTAGTACCGAGGATACCGAAAAATCACAGGATATTAGTTTAATCTTAGAAGATGATGAAAGTACACATAGTTTAGATGATACAAAGAAAATAACGGAAGAACACATCATAGAGAATACAATTGAAAGTACAGAATCTATTGAATCATTTAAAGAGGAACCCGTGATTCTGGTAAAAGAAAAAACTATAATGGAAGTAAGCGAAGAATCGCCGGAGAAACAACCTCAAGAAGAACAAACAGAAGAAACCTTAGAAATTTATACGGATGAATTCAAGAAAGAAGACACTAAAGATTCTTCCGAAGATACGGCAAGCTCTATTCTACAAGACATAGAAATTAAAGAAGAAGAAATAGAGGAGACAGCAATTATAGAAGATTCTACTCAGTTGGTGTCCCCGGAAGAAGTTGAAAATTTAAAACAAGAATCTATGGAACCCATAAAAACTGAAATCGATATTATCAAAAAAGAAGAACATTCGTTCGAAGAGTCAAAAATGGAAGAAATGTCTCAAATGCGATTAGAAAATACACTTTTATCGGAAGTAAAAAAGGAGGAAATCCCTATAAAGGAAGATCAAAAAAATGTGGATAATGAACATGTAAAAAAAGAAACAGAATCAATGATAAGTGTTGGGGAAGATACCGTCGAATTGGACGAAGAAGAATCGTCGCTAAGCAAATTAAGCGGAGGACGTGCTATGAAAACATATTCGAAAAAGCAAAATGCTTCTATCGATAGTGAACCTGAAAACGAAGTTACTGGAGAAGGTGCAGATTACAGAGCATGGAAAAAAGCAGTCATGTTGGTTTATAATCGCCTTGCAACACATAAATATGCATCTGTATTCCTGAGACCTATTACGGAAGATCAAGCGCCTGGATACCATTCGGTCATCTTTAGACCAATGGACTTGTCGACTATTAAAAAAAATATAGACAATGGAACTATCAGATCTACGATGCATTTTCAACGTGATGTTATGCTAATGTTTCAAAATGCCATTATGTACAATAAACATGATACGTTCATTTATAAAATGGCAATTTCAATGCAAGAAGAATGTTTACAACATATGCAGGTAAAAATTTAAAATTCATATTTTGTATACAATTATTATTGTTAACGACACATATTGTATTACTCTTTCTACAGATACTAGTACAAGTCACGGGTGAAGGAACGCTTAGAAGAGAAACAAGAACTGCAGCAAGTAGCAGTAGCGATGCAAGTGAAAGTAGCATAAAGAGAAAACGAAGTCATATTACACCCAGCCCGCATGATACTGACAGCCCACGTTCAAAAAAACGTAGAAAATCAGAAAATGATTAAAATATTCTATCTATATATAGAATATATCTGTGACAAGCATTAAAGTTCATAAGAACTTTATTAAACGAGCGAAAGAAGGATAAATCAGTCCTGTTAGCATCAAGGGAAAATGTTGGACATAAAAGACATTTAAGATGTACAAGAAGGAATGCAGCGACTTGGCATTCTACTTTATTATTTTCCCATAACAGTAAAGGACGAAACAGAAAGTTTTATACTCGATATATAAAATTGATTCGACTTATTTTCCTCATTTTGTGGTACACTGTTGTAGCGATTCACCAAATGTATAATAAAAACAAAAGATTAGTCATTTGTAATTGTTTTACTAAAAAAAAGAAAATTTATTGTCACGAACTCTTGTTTTGACAAACATCTAATAAAAATGTTTTATTCGTTATAATCCCTATCTATAAAAAGATTTGAATAACAAAAAAAAATGTTAAAATAAATATTTTAAATTATAAATTCTACAATAATGAAAGTTATTCAATAATAAAAAAAAAAAACTTACTAACCTACCGTTCATTTCAAATAGCTCTTTAAGCACTTAAATTTTGAATATTCATAAAATATATAAAAATTTACCAGTATAGTCATATTTATGGAAAAAAATTTAGAAATTAAGATTTTACAATTACAGTAGTTCTGAAAATTTACGTAACATTCGTGATGGGTTATTATGCTAGCGGTGATACACGAAAAATGATACACAGCTCTGATGATGATGAAGGTTATGAAAATCAATCGTCTTATGCTACATCTGTCGAAATACGATCTCGACCAGAGAATACAAATAAACCATATTTTTCATTTGGACAATCTGACAAAACTGTAAGTGTCAAGACGTGTACATATACAAAATAATATACATATACTGTTTATATTCAAAGATACATATTTTAAGTCTTCAATACCAATACCGCCATCACCGGACGATACCGATAGGTCATTTTGGGCCGAAGACGAATTAAGTAGCTCAGAATCAAAACAGCAATTAAACAAGAAACAGAAACGTCGTCGTAGTTTTTCTTATCGTAATCGTATTGCTGTACATCGAAGTCGATTTTTACTTTTTCTGTCATCAAGTTCTAGCGTAGATTCAATATCTGGACAAATTTCGTCGAGAGGTATTGATAATGCTTTCAAATACATGTATAAATAGAATTATTTACTGAAAAATTAAAGTCTATTATATAAAATACGTAAACCAGGCATATCTGTTTTATATAATTATTACAGTTCTTAAACAGGAAAGATACAGATTTGGCGTAGAACAATTGCAACCTGGATGTAGCGTTATAAAGAAAAAGTATGCTCATAAAAAAATACCTTCCTTTCCGATTCACGACCAAAATGTTTACTCAAATTGTAAGAACTCGATACGCGAATATGCACGAAAACGTAATTCTTTTGTAGCAAATAAAAAGGTTCAACGAAAAAATTATTCGACATCATCCTCGGGAAACGGCTCTTAAAAATACTGATTCATTTTTTTAAAAACCATTCGAAGAGTAAATGTACCGATTATAATAAATTACATGTTCTTAATATTTTATAAATCTTACACAAATCTTACTTGCTTAATAAAATTAGTAATGTTTTATACGAATATGTGTAACAGGGATCTTTTTATAACACACTCAGCCCTGGCATTTGGTGTTTAAAATTTACGGTCGTTCACTTATTCGTGGACATCGTGGTTGCTATAAACGAACATTGCATTTTTGAATAAACGTATTTTTTTATTTTTTCAAATAGGAATATTTAATAAATCGTTTGAAATAATTTTCTAAGACTATGAGTTACTTTGTTATCAACGATCGAGGTAAAAATCAGTACGAGGTACTCGGTGAAATTCGTACTCGTAAGTCATTCCATTAAAATTAAATACAAACTATAATCTTTTAAAGGCGTTTTGTACAATGTATATCGCATTTAAGCAACCATGCACTTAACAGTACAGTTTTTTATAAACGTTTGCACATTGCTGTTTTTATACGCCGTTTCTTCATTGCTGGCACATAAAATTATTGCCAAGTTTTATATTACAATACGTATGCTTAAACATTAAAGCTTAAACTTCGAATATACCTACATATATACGCTTTTAACAAATTATATGGTCATTTATTTTTAGCTTATGTTCTTTATTGATTCATGTATTTCTATTCTTTTTAATTTCAGAGTCAATATTACGCCCCATTTTTAGTTTCATTGTAGTAGGTGTTTGTATGACATTTTTAATACTGTCAGCATGGAACTTTAACAACACAATATATGAAACGAACAATATTCATGTATTTTATTTAAATTTAAAACGCTCACCTTTACATATAGTATCAAACAAGTTTTTGTCCTTTGGCCTGGATACATCTTTGCTTCGCAATATAGAGAACCTACCAATTGCGAATGAAAAATTTATTAACTTGGCAAAGCATCTTGCACCTGCTTATGTTCGAATAGGTGGTACATCATCAGATTGTCTATATTTCAATAAGGTTCGATTAATTTTTTAATGTACATTTTTTAAAAAATTCCGAATATTTTACTAATCCAATTGTAACGAATCTATCGATATAGACAATGGAAATAATTCATGAAAAAATAATCAGTCCCATAGATGACCAAGATATAAGTAACTTTACCATAGCTGACATAGATTTTGAAAATTTATATAACTTTGCGATAAAATCAAAATTGCGCATGATTTTCGATTTAAATGTATTAATCAGATCTGAAAATAATTCCTGGGACGCTACTAATGCCAAAAATATTATTCTATTCGCCAAAGATAAATATATGAAATTAGATTGGCAATTAGGAAATGGTAAAGTTATTCTTTGTTATTCTATCTCAACTTAGTAACATTTTTTAATTGTAATTAATGCATTAAAATTATTTCAGAACCAAATTCTTTTCGTCATGTATTTAATAGAACAGTAAATGCTACACAACTTGCAAACGATTATTATCGATTAAGAGAATTATTAAATGAATTAGGATATAATGAAAGTATTCTTGTTGGTCCAGAAGTAAATCATGTAGGGGATAGTCATAGTACAGGAGAATATTATGCAAAAATATTTTTAAAAAATGATAAAGACAATGTGAATTACGTTACTTGGCATCAGTATTATCTTAACGGAAGGGAAGCTCGAGTAGATGATTTTATAAATATTTCCACCTTTAATTATCTATCGAAGGAAATTAAATCTATGAAAGATGCGATCAACTTATCGGGAAAACATATTCCTATGTGGTTATGTATGTGGTTGTATCGTATTAATATATTTGAATTAAGATTCAGATTTAAAATATCCCCCCAAATTGTCATTTACAGCAGAAACAAGTACAGCTTACGGTGGAGGTGCTCCAGAATTGTCAGATAGATTTGTGGCTGGATTTTTATGGCTTGATAAATTAGGGTACAGCGCTAGCGCAGGTTTAAATGTTGTTACTAGACAGTCGTTCTTTGGTGAAAATTATGCTATGGTGGGACCTGATCTTATACCTAATCCAGATTGGTGGGTTAGCGTAGTTTATAAGCACTTTGTGTCGGAGAAGGTTCTAAAATTAACATCTGCAAACAATTTTGACCGTGTTCGACTTTATGCACATTGCACTCCTAAGAAAGCATTAATTAACAGAGTTTCAGCAATTACAATATATGGCGTGAATATAGGTGAAGTTTCTGTTTCTGTGACTATTCAAGGGATTCTTCCTGTGCTTCGTAGAAATGCTAAAATCTTTTTATATGCACTTACTTCTGATAATCTTCGATCAAGGTATGTAACGATAATTAGTTTTTAATGTATAACATGCTTTGTCCTATTTCTTTTATTTTCAGAGTTATAAAGATGAATGGAAAAGTATTAAAATTGCAACCAAATGAAAATTTACCAACATTTTGGCCTATAATATTAGAACCCACGCAAGCAATTCCATTACCACCCTATTCAATGATATTCATTGTAATACACGGTGCAGAGGTACCAGCATGTAAAGCATAGGTATTATTTAATGAATTAACGCAATTATACCAACCGTTTTATATTATATGTTTTTCATATATTAAAAGTTTATAATACGGTCTCATAGAACATTTTTACAATCTTCTCATACAGAAAGAAAAAAGTAATGGAAATCAATAAAAGAATTAAAGATTTAAATGATCTTTTATGTGGTATTGTGTGTACGTATGTATGTATTTATTCATCTATATCAATGAATTGTATGTATATGTTGGTAACTACGGTTGAACTATAAAGTACGTGTACCTCATTAAATTGTGCTTACATGTTTCTTACAGTCAACGCGAAATACACTATAATATACACAACAAGTATCATACGAATTTTTTTATAAACTCCATGCTGTTTTCGATTAACCATTAGTATATCACAAAACTGATCAATTAATTGAAAGATACTCTAATACATAGTATCATGTACTTCTTTTCTCGTTCTAAAAGTAAATTTTCCTACAATTTATGCACGGCCTCGTTATAAATATTATGGAAACGAAATAGTATCATACATAACATAAAAATACTGAAGAAAAAAACGTAATATTAGGTAATTGGAATGATTAAATTTACCTTTTCATAATGTAATATTATTACATCAAATTAAAATCAATCGATCGTTACAACCAAATCTATTTAAACAATATATGGTATTCAAAGAGACTCCAATCATCATCATGGAACTGACAATCAATCTGACAATTTATCGAGTAATTACTACTTACGATGTATATTTACATAAGAACGTTTTTTTTACTAATTTGACAATATTATATCATTCCTGAGTCGAAATGGTAATTGTTTTTCCTTTAGGATCATCAAATCTATCCATAGTACGAATGTCCATGATCATCGTAAGACCCCAAATCATGATTAAAGCTAATATGGCAGTGACAAATATTCCTGTCCAAATTGGAATTGTAGTAAAACCAACACAATCGTATGCATCGCTAAACGTATTTCCATTTGTAGTTGGCTTTGCATCAATTTGTACTTGAAAATCTGTAATTTTCAGGACAGTAGAATTTTGTTGGAAAACAATATTCCGTGAACAATGATAAGAAAATGTTGATGGAAAGACAATATCTGTATTCGTCGTAAGGCTGTGATTATCACTTATTTTGTTTGTGTTATTAATTCCTTCGTAATTAATTGTTTTAAGAGTATAATATCCTGCACTCTTAACTTCAAATTTTAAAGCGAGCTTGTGTTTAATTATCGACGAATCGGTCTCGTTGAATTGCAATTGTAATATCAATGGAGAATCTTTTGTTCCTTTTCCTTCTTCGCTACTTGAATGTTTAATCGGAAGTTCTAAAGTATCGTTTTTGTCCGGAAGCTACAATATATACAATTTTTATTTTAGAATTATTACCTATAGAAAATGTATTAAATGTTAAAATTTGTTTCGCGAGTACCTTTAGTGACAGTGCTTGACTAGAATACAAAAGTACTCTCTTCGACACAACAATAAAAGCGGTAGAATTATTCTCTGCAGCGGTTTCTCTCTTTACTCGTTCAGAACGGCTATAACTACACGATCTTCCTGTGAGAATAGCTATCAACGTAGGGCTGGAATCTTTAATTGTTTTATACGTCTCTGGAATTATGTCTAAATTGCTAATCGACATAATCGATAATTGTCCTTCGGATATCGAATCCATGTAATCATTGTAAGTTTGATTGTACGAAGGTAAATCTTCAACAGCATTTACAGCTTTTTCAACAGCAGGAAAATAATTCATCGAATCGCCGGTAGTGACTGCATGAAGATTCTGAAACGTTAATAATGTTCAATATAAACATTCGAGTCTAGGAGCAAACGTCTTTGAGAACTGTACGCGCATACTAACCTCTTTGTGTTTCACTAAATCTTCGACGCACAGATTATCTTTTACATAAAGAAGGACGGGGGGTGATGTTTCCAATTTTTTACGTAGAAATGAATCGAATTCATCGCGAGTAGTTTTTAAAAATGGATTCACTGCATTCATTCCTGAATCAGAATTAGCTGAACCGCCCCATAATAATACAGGTACAGCATTCTCGGCGTGTAACGGTGATATTTCTGACACAACGATTAACGTAAAAACGAAACTAAAAGTACTATGCAACTTTATCATGATGTCTTCGATGAAATAGATTTGGGCGAGTCAAATCAGTAATGATCGACCCAGAATCGAGCAGAAGGCAGCGGAGCACCTGACTAGAACTGGAATCATATGACAAACGTCACGTGATGAGTTTGTTTCCGGTTTTTGAATAAACACCTTTCAAAAATTTTAATTTAGTCGCATTCGTCAAATTTAATATTTAAATAGTATCTTGTACGAGCAAAATCTTCGTCGACGTTAAATATTCTTGATATATTGTTACTTAAATTATCAAGTTAGCTATGGATAGTAACAAAATGGAGAAGACGAGAGAAACTGTTATGTATTCGGTTTGTATACTGTAGCAGTGGTTCTTAACCTTTTAAATATTTACTTTCGTTGTACACATTATACCTAAAAATATCAACTTTATCCTCTCGATGCTTTGACATTACGATAGCTATTAAACTAAAATAAATGTTAACTAAATGCTAACAGAAGTACGTTACTAAGACGGACGGAGTTGAAATTCAAAATTCTCTAACCATATCCCTCTCAGAAACGAATTCTATCTCTTTGGATTTCAGTAATTGCATTAATTTCTTATAACTGTAGCAACTCCAACCATGGAGTACAGTGGGAGTATTGCCTTGTATGGAACAAATTGCTGGACCACCAATTCCGATCAGGGTTGGAGAATTTTATAAAACGCCAAAACCGCATCCGTGGCGTCCTACTTTGGGATATGAAATTGTAGAAGCATTTTCTTTGTAAGCAGATAAAACAAACACTGAACCTATTTAAAAAAAAGTTATCGTATTCTGTAATTACTTTAGGCCTGCACAACCTGTGACGAACTTGTTGTCAGATACTTGTTACATGCCAAATGGAATGGCTACGGAATCGTTGCGATTTCCAAATTTAGTGACCGGTTTCGATCGAAATCCGGCTCACGCAGCTCGAGCTGCACTCTTCACAAGATACGGTCCGTACGAATGGGTACAAAACCAACTGAAGCTTTACAATGAGTCGAACAGCAATAGAAATTATTCGGAAAACTTACGGCAGGACACTGTTCGTATGATGCGGTAAAATGATTGCAACGTTTTTCACCGACCACCGAATGGTATTCAATCCTTTGACGAGTAAATTTTCTTCGACAAGATAGATACATTCCGCAGACAATGCTGCTTCGTGCGATTTCCTTAGCGCAAAAGGATAAATAGAAAATAACTTTATTATAATTTCATAATAATAACAACGACTAACAATCTAGTAAATTATTCTGATAAGATACATGCACGACCATACGCTATTTGGCATGATTTAGCCCGATAGTACATACTCGTCAAAGGATCAAAGCAATATGTAATGCGTGTTAACATTAATCGATGTAATTTTAGAGAAGCCGACGAGAAAGTACAAAATGGTCAAACTGAAACAGGCCGTAAATTAGGAGAAAGAATTACGGACACCACATTCTGGAGAAACGAGGTGACTTCGGAGTTAGAACGATTGATAATTGAAAATAAAAAGATGCAGGAGTGCCGTCGAGGCTTACAAACGACAATACAAAGCTTAGAAGGACAATTGCACATAGCGCAAGAATGTTTATATTATCGAGAAGCTAGGACAGGTTTTTCAATTAATGCATTTAAAACTTATAAATAATGTTATTTATAACATTTTTCGATCGATTTCCGTTGTTTCGTTTAAAGCGATTGTTACGTCTTGAAACGCAAATAGGTTCCGACTTGGTTCACGATCAAGTTGAACATGCTCTCCTAAAAGAGGTGGAGGTGATCAGGAATTGTCAAAATAAATTGGAACACTTTACTGATAAATGTGTTAATCAAGTATGTTAAAAAATAGAAAATGTTTTACAAATTAAAGAGCATATTTTTCTATTGAAATTTTGTGTTCAGCTTACAAATAGTAGAGCTGTGCAAAATCAATTAGAGATCGACATAAAAAATAAAGAAACTGCTCTTGGAATTGATATAACGTGTCACCAAATGAATAATTTCAGTCGCGGCTTAAAGTATTATGGTGGTATTGAAAAATATGATAATAGGTAGGAAACATAGTATCTGACTTAAAGAATACCGATTTCATTGTCACGGACTGCACGACATGCATTGTTTTAAATTTTCCATTTAGCGTCACGCAAGCAGAGTCATGGGCCGAAGCTTCCAATAACGTTGTAAAAAAATCACAGACGGAAAGGTCAAAATCTAGTAAACTGCAAAGCGATATTGAAATAGCTATAAACGCGGTTGGACATGAAATGTGGGAGGCATGGGGCAATACGAACAATGCATTGGCCAGAAGGGCCGCTGAGATGCTTGAAGCGAAAGAAAAATTACAAATACATTTACATAAAGTAACGATTGAGCATAACTAGAGCCAGTTCTCATTCTATAACTAGTTAATTTCTATTTTATGGTTACAGATTCAACAAGAAATCTTTGAGATTGAAAAAAATTTACAATTGATGCAAAAAGCCATTGCAGATAAAAGTTCTGCTTTGAAAGTGGCACACACCCGTCTTGAAGGTAGAACACATCGACCGGAAGCAGAATTATGTAAAGATTATGCTCAAATCAGGTACGACGAAGAAAAAAGTTGCGAGTTATACAAAATCTAATCGTTCCTTTTTACATTATTTTTGCGCTTAATCCAATGTTTTGACATGGGTTTGTAGAATGATACAGGAAGTAGAAACTATAAATTCAATGATAAATGATATGAATTTGAAGTTACAAAGATTCGAAGCACAACATCAGCAACTATTATGTACTAGATCTAATTTGGAGACAGATCTAAAATCCAAAGTCGATGCATTATTTATTGATAGAGAAAAATGCATGAGTATGCGAAGAAGTTATCCAATCGCATCGGTTATTAAGTTTTAAATTATATATTGGTAACATATTTCTAATTTTAAATGTATTAAAAACTAGAGACTAATATTATTGTATTTATTTTGTATAATAGTATACATAAAACGTAAATGTCTTGTATAAAATTTGCTACTGAATTATCTATGTATGCTCTTTAATAAAAATGTATTAAAAATATTTGTTTTCGTTGAAATGTATCTCCGTTTGTTAACGTTGATGAAGACTTTATCAATACCCAAACCGAAAGTATGTAAGATTACTTTTATTAACGAAAGATTTATAAATCTATAATATTTTAATGTTGATGTATAATAATATCACATTAACCATGTATATAAAGACTTTGTACGTATAATACAATAAATAACTCAAACTTAAAGTTTAACTGTACAGTATTATGACTTTATGAATTATTTACCAAGACTTATCTGTAGAACAATTTGTAAATTTTCGAATTCACATGTCCTAATAAACAGTGTTTTCGTTAAAATTACATCTTACTTAATATTTGAAAACCAGTATATACAAGATTTTATAGCAATCTTTTTTATAAAAAAATAGTACATTATAGAAGTTGTCCGTTTTAAATAGTTCATTTTTTAATTTACATTTCTAATCCATTTAAAACCTGCTATGGTATCATAGATTTTTGTTACTGCCGAGTCTGTATCATACTCATCTTTTAAATAGAAAAGTTTAATATTCTCTTGTGTGTGACATTCCAAAACGTTCCATTTTTCAAACAATTTTAAGGAATTTTTTATTGGATCCACGCATAAACTCTCACCTATTTTGTAACAAAATTAACATTATTTTTGTATTATATGTTAATAATCAGTGCCATGCATTATTACTCACCATAATTTACTATACCACGATCTAAATTTGTTTTCAGTTCGTTTAAAACTTCATGAACTAGTTCTCTTTCAGAAAGTGATCGTCCAACTAATTTCTTAAGAGTAAAGGCGCTGAAAGTATAGGTATCGACTAAAGGTCGTAACAACGTGTGAAAAAATTCCATACGTTTTGCGTGTTCCGGTACTAAGCTCAGCTATTAAAAAAAAAAATTTTCAAAAATTGTAATCACCGTTTTAAAAGCAAACGAATATATTGTCCACATTTGTAAAAAAACAGCTTACTTTGTACTGAATACTTTTAGCCTTATTAGTCTTAAAATGTTCTTCGTCCGAACTATCATCAAACGTTTCCGCGTATCTCCTACTCCACAATTCTTCTTCCAAATAACATTCCTATAAAATAATCGACACAATTAACGTTTAGTCGATAGAATAATTATATTAGGATACAATACCTCTTGTAAAGTAATGATATCCGTATATGAAAGATTCTCTATAGCTTCTACAACAATATGCTCTAATTCTTGGCATGGTTTGCAAAAAATAAATTCGTACTTAAAGATATCACAAAGTTTAAGTGATCTATGAATTAAGAGATCTTGAGATACTGTAATATTGTTTTGAGCAATAGCTACCGGATCGTTGATCTGTGATCTCAATTCAGCGTACAAAGCTGTTACTGAAAATGTGTTGAATACATTAAAAAATTGAGTACATTAGAAATCGTTGTGTTTTCTTACCTACTATGCTATCCATAACATAACACGTTAGCATTGTATTGCTGTAATAAGACAGTTCGATTACATTTGGCAAAATCGATACAGGACGGATTGCAATAACATCAGATTTTATTGATTGATCATCAACTGCTTCCGCGATTTCTTGTCTTTGCTGTTTCACTAAACCTGGGCCCAAAATATCTAACTGAAAAATAGATAAGGATACATTTACTTATCCTAATAAAATATACATGTTACACATATTAATAACATAATTATTTTACTAACAGCATGATTTATAATATCGATACTTTCTCCACAGAATGCAATATCTTTATTACGATACTCTAAATCTTGCCTTATCGAATCAAACGTTTTGACTAACTTGTCCAAAGTACAGCCATCTCGGAATTTATTTAGAAGTAAAAATGCAACAACATTTGTTGACATTATCGGTGTTGAGGTAGAGCAATCTAAAAATAATTTTATGTTTATAATGTGTTGTTTAATAGAATATCGTATTGTTGAAACCCAATTACCCTCTTACCGTATACAACATGTCGTGCAATACTATCTACTAACTGTCGATATTCTTCTACGATAACATCGGTACCGTAAAGCGATGAGCTTGACACTGTGGACTTTAATGGTTTCTCGATAGGGGCTACTTTTTTCGTAGTCAATTTATTTTGCTGAGCTTGGAAAGACTTCAACATTTCCTATCCATTAAACAGGTAAATTATTTATTATATTATAACGGGTGATTTATAAAAATGTAAAGATTCTAGTAAATTGAAATAAAAAATAGTTGAAAATGATTAAAGCTATATATTACCCTAAGCGAAAACGGTTGACAAAAATCAACTTTAACAATGCCATAATTTCCTTTTACAGTTGACCATATAGCTTTAATCGTGGACCCAAACGTTTCCATTTTCTTTGGTTGGCCTAGCTGTTCCCTAATAAAATTCCCATCGACGAGGCGCTCATAATTCATTGCAACAGGTACTAACAGTGCATCTTCGACAGTTCCATCCATGTATGCGTCAATAATGACACTCAAAATGCCACCTTTCGGCATACACGGTTTACCAGTTCTTGTTCGCCCACCCTCTATAAAGAACTCTAGATTATGACCGGCTTTTAAACTTTCCATTATGTACGTGTGAAGAGTTGCACGATAAAGAACATCTTTACGGCCCAGAACAGGATCAATCCGACGTTTGATAAAAAATGCACCCAAACCTCGCAAAAGCCACCTATCGAATACACACATATTAATAGATAATACAAGAAAACATTAACAGAATAAGATCATAAAGTATTTATTCTTATAACATACCCAACTAATGGAATCTTTAAATTATCTCCAGCCGCGATCAATGGATTTCTGATTTCATTCATTAATAAAATGAAGCTAATCATAATATAATCTAAATGACTACGATGTAAGGGAAGAAATACCAATGGAAGGCCAGTATCATTTGCCTTTTTTAACATTTCTATTTGAGAAGGTAATACTATAGCAGACTGTATAAAACATGGTAACAATTTGTAAAGAATCCATGCAGTTATTTTAAGTAAAACATTGCTTATTTTGCTTTCCATGTCAAGCAATATCGTCTTGGCTCTAGCTTTTGCCATTGCCAAAGCTTTTTTTTCACTAGTACCTTCATTACTAACAGACTCCCAAGCAGTTAATTTTATTGCTTCCTTTAGTCTTTCATCGTTCAACACCTATAAAAGAAAATTCATCTATAAACTGTACGAATATAATATAAAGATAAAATATTTTTAAATCTGTTACACTTACTGTTTGCGTTACTCTTGTATAATCGTACTCTTTACGAGTATAAACGTGTGAAATACAGTAAAACACTTTAGAAAAAAGTGTATAGCCTGGATTAATTACCAATATATTTAAACCAAAAGGCATATGCTGTTTGCTGATCGTATTCACCAATGAATTCTGTAATGATATAAAAATAAAATGAATGTATAAAAAATCCGAGAAACACGGGCGACAAAAATTTATAGAAAATTACTATTTTAATATTTTTAATCCGACTCTGAAAAACACCAAGGAAGATATACGCATTAAATGTAAATAGTTTTACCATTTCTGGTTGACTTACATTTACCGGGTATCCACGAACTACAATGATACGCAACCATCGTGAGAAATGACCACGTGGTTCTTTGTACATGTTTCGTTTCATTTTTTTAAATTATAGCGCGCTTAAACGAATTATCATTACTAATGTGACGATTACCGATACACTTTGGTACATAATATTGCAATAAAATGAACATCAATGTATCCAACTAGTTTATTTAACCGTGAAAACAATTAGTCGTTATTCGTTGGAAATGCATTGCTTCTATCAACAGTCATTATAATGTGTCCGATAAGAGTACATCCCCAATTTATCGTATATTACATCTCCGATGATCACAGTTATTAGTTATTCTAGTATTACAAGTAATACTTTCTATGTATACTCGGAAGCTACACGAAAGAAAATAAAATGAAATTATGTAATATTTAAAAAATGTGTATGTATATAGGGTACGTATTGTGCGTGCGTGATTACGTGCAGTCTGTAATTACTCTATTCATCAAAGGAATTGACCCGTATCCGATGCAGCAGTTACGTAATTAAATGCGCGTCGAAAGATGGCGTGTTAATTAGGTAATGTCAGATTTATGCTGCACGATAAATAAAATTTAAATTGCACTGACGAGCGTACAGCAGCTCCTACATGCTACGAATAAAAATATCTATTTTCTTTTTAAATCGGAACACATACATTCTATCACTACATTTTTAGACGTACGTTTAAAATATTTCAACTATATTATCCGTCATCACTGTTTCAAGTTATTTTATAAATGTTCAACTTTTACTGTTTCAGTGACTATACCAGTATACGATGAGAGGTGGTCACCGTAAAACACGATTCATCGTAACAATACCATGAGTACATTAAATCGAAACGTATTGTATATGAAACTTGGCCGATGCAACAAACTTGACGAATTACGTATACAATTTAGGACAAAGAAAACGTAGATCTGGTAACTTTGAACAACGCAAAGAAAGACGTACACGTGTACAACCGTAATATTCAGAATTTTGCACGTAGGCTGGTTGCAAGTTCCTAAGCTAAATATACTTTTAGTGTTGTAGGAATGTGAACGGGCGATGTCGGCGTGTTGCCGACCGTCCGCGCGCGACTCTTTGTTTACTGTATACAATTTTTACTTTGCTTCTTTTCGATACGACAAATTCAGGGATTATCGATCCTAAGTGAGTTAATAAAATTTTCTATATTAATATTGAAATTATTCAACCTTGTTCTAATCGTTAAAGTCTTTCTGCAATATTGAGATCAAGTGTTTTTAATATAATACTTTATCTTCCTTGGAATTTACATAATCATAAATAGAACCTTATTTATACAGCAAACTCACTTTAGACGATGGAGTACAAGTACTACAGCAATAATGTAAAAACGAAGGCTTTTCTTTAACAAAGGCAGCCAATGGTTCTGTCTCTTTGATTTTAAACAAGGAACTTTCCCGAATCCTCTTCGCTTGTTCCCGATCTTGTATCTTCTTCCTGTGTAATTGCTGGCCCGTTCGACGAAGCTCTGAATCGTATGAATTTCTATTAGATCGTAGCCTTTAAATAACTATATCGGAGAAGAAAATCTTACCTTCCAGTGAAAATCGGGTTGTGTTCGATTCGGGATTTCTGTTCACTGCCGTTCTGGTCTCCCATTTTGCGTATACCTCTTGCAAACGCGTCGAAACTATGTCCACCATGTTATTAGCCCTATGGATCACATTTAAATATTAATTCTTTGAAAGAAAATAAATAAAGATTTTGTTAATTCGTCGTTTAAACGACATCGTTCACGACTGTATTATATTATTGCCTTTTCACACAGTCTGGTTTCCATTATTTAAAAATGTTCATCGGTTAATCTACGCGCGTGCTAATTTACTATAAATTGATATCGTAAACGTTTCTGAATGGAACTAAGCAGGAAACCCAATCTCCTTTTCATTAATGACTCTCCATCGTAAATTTCATCAGGCATGGCGAATAGAATACAAGCACAATTTCACGGACGTTGCTCTCGAATGCCACCGTGCATCATTCACGGTCGATCTCCGACACTTTTAACGGCTCGATACAGTTGAGTGCAACAGTGAATTCTACGGATGCGATTTCCTTTTTTCGATCGTGTCTCCCCTCGAGTTCTACGTTGGATTATTGGCACGCGTTGTTCCACGATCAGCCAACATAATAAACGTCTATCGGTAAAACGCAATAATGTCGCACAATAACCAGCGAACAGAGCAACAAATATTCTAGTACGAATCTGACGACAGAAAATTAAAGGTTGCGTGGAAGATAAACTAATTTAATTGAAGCATGGCGCGCACAACCATTTACACGAAATTCTGGCCTCGATTAATAGTTTTAATTACCAATTAAATTGTTTAAATACTACGATAATCTTTTCCTAAATTTGAAAAACAAAAGGTAAATGAGTACAATATGTACACTCAGATTCCGTTCTACAATATTAGAATCGTTCGTTTTTCCATCCTTGGGAAAAATTTTAATGGGAGATTCTAGAGGCCAAAATAAGACGAATCTGTTGATCGAGACATTTCCGACCACACAGTATATTTTCGGTAAAGACCCCCGCAACAGGAAATAATTTTTCCAGAGCGATTTGAAATTTTTTTTTCTCGTCGAAAAATTTCACACCTTCTCGAATTTTTTTCTAGAAAGTGGGTAGGATTTCGGGGGTACGTCTATTCACCAAAAATGATTGCAATTTACCCCTGCAACCGAAAATAATTTTTTCAGAACGATTCGAATCTTTTCAATTTCGTCGAAAAATTTAGGCACCTACCCCCTGTCGATTATTCTTAAAAATTCGTTTCTAATTTTTAGTAATTTTATTCGACGCCCTACAGAAAAGTTGTCTAATACTTTTTTATAGATACCCATGAGCTCTACTTTAGAAAAAAAGTTTCAACGAGATACGTTCACTATTGTAGAAGTTATGGCCATTTGAAAATTGGACCATTTTTATGGAGTTTTTCTTATTTTACGGGGTTAAGGAACAATTTTCGGAATATTTTTAGAATTTCTACATATTCTTCAGCAAAATACGCGTTGTTTGCGCTTTGAAACATTAAAATCCCCCTATCCGTTCGGAAGTTATGACATTTTAAAGATTCGCATAAAATTTCGGGGGGGCATTTCTGGCCTCGCATTAGATTTTCGGTCAGGAATTTTTTTCTCGAAAATGCGAAGGATTTCGGGGGTATGTGTAATGACTAAAAATGATTGCAATCGACCTCTGCGAGCGAAAATAATTTTTTCAGAACGATTTGAAATTTTTTTTTTTCGTCGAAAAATTTCAGCACCTAATCGATTTTTTTTCTCGAAAATGGATAGGATTTCGGAGGTACATATAATGACCAAAAATGATTGTTATCGACCCCCGCAACCGAAAATAATTTTTCCAGAACGATTTGAAACTTTTTAATTTAATTGTTCGTCTTACTTTGGCCCCTAGAATCTCCCATTAAAATTTTTCCCAGGGGTGGTCGAACACCCTATACGTATACATATGTATGTATATCGATTGTCTATAATAGACTTTTAGATTTTTAGTAGCATAAATAAAATCCTGATTAGCGAGAGAACGAAGACAGGTTTATCGACGATAAAATGGAATAAAAAGAAACATAATTCTATACAGTCTCCATTGTCAGGGTCGAACGCGACTCATCGAGTCGAGGGGTCCCGTACTCCGGACGTTGTACCGATCGGAAGACGAGCAACACCGCTTTATCGACATGTGTTCAATAATAATAATTTCTGTACCAATTTATTCTTTTTCTTATATTTATAAACGATTTTCTTGACAAAATGTGCACGAGGAGTTTAGAGGCCATTAACAATAATTGGCAAAGTCCAATGCGATAACAATATCGCGATATAACCGCTTAAAAGGCATTAAATGGCTACATATGTACGTACATATATGTATACAATACAGCAAACAAACTTCTTTTGTCCGAAGTGGGCATGATAACAGCGATTAATTAACCATGTACCGCGTAATACGTGCGTAATATTAGGGATTGAAAAAATTTTATTCCATCATAAATGAAAAATCAACCACCCGGTATATTTTATTCTATAATCAAAATCAAAAGTTTCAACAACGGATAAGAAGCTGTTTACCTTTTATTCGTTATTCGAAATTTGTATATACATATTTCGATAAAAGTTTTGCCAACGTTTTTCTTGTACATTATTCTATATTGACAAACAGACCGATATGTTTTAAACCGAACGTTTCGTTCTGCTGTTTTGTTATAAAATTATGGACATACCGAAGCTAAAAAAAAAAAATATCGAATCAAGACGGGAGACCCGATACGTGCAAAACGTGTCATTATTTCGAACGTGATACCAATGTTACAGAAAAATTGTCGATGCGAAACGCATGGATTTTTTTCTGAGCTAATTTTTTTAAGCAGGTGCGCTATGATATTTATCTCTGGAGCCAGGTCATCGGGAGCAAGGCTTGCTGCTGCTGCGCGTATCATTTTCGCGAAACCGTTTTACGATTAACAGTTTATTTTTTGCTCTCGGTTACTATGTCGTTTAAATCGAGTCTTTCGTACGTAAATGAAAATAATTTTTATGATAGACTGATAATCGAGCCTCGCTCGTGTAACGATAAGTCGTAATTGTAGAACGAGTTCTTTTCAGAGAAAATTCATTTAAAATATCCCCACTGAGAACTCACGTGCTCGATTAACAAAGAATACCAAACTGACAGACTAATTTACTCGATAAAACGGTTTCATGTTGGAAGATATTTCCCTTTAGCTTTAAATCATGGAATACAAACGCTATGTTGTTAAATATTATTGATTTATACCAGTATCTTTCGATTCGAGAGGAACATTACATGTTTTCTAAAACAAAAGAACACGGTTACAACAAAAGTAAAGTATTAACTAACTTTCTGTAATAAGGGAATTCGAATGATTTTATCGGCTTGCCAATATTTTAACGATATTGTCGATAATCGTTTACTTTAATGCGGACAACTAATTCGTTTTCGATCGTTGCTAAATTATCTAAAAACTTTCATAATATCCTACATTTCCAAAAACTGTTCGAATTCGCGTGAACTTGTAAGTTGAAATTTCGCAATAAATATAAATAACGAATTATCAAACATGCTCTATGCGAATGGCATTCGCTTTAAAGGTCGAAACCTTTGCTTTAAAGGTCGTATCTTCGTATAACGAAGATACGCTGATCAGAGTAATTAGAGAATTGTCTGTTCAAATGATCTTGTTCGATATTTCACAAGCTCTGCAGCAACCCATACAGTGGATGCATGTAAATCTAATTTTTACCCCAGAGTCACTCGACTAATTGGCATATTGCTACCGTGTCATTACGTAACAACAAAATTATAAAAACTTTTCCAGATGAACAGTGTGAGTAAAAACGTGGTAACATCGAGATAAAAAGAAAAATGTAATAATAATAAAAACAGATGCGGTTTTAACTAATGTAAGTATACATATTTAATCAGTTTACATCAGTCACGCTGATATATAAGAAAGAAACAAATAATAGATGAACTAAAACAAAATTTACTATCGTTTATTACGTTTCGCAAAAAGCAAAATGAAAAATGATCAACGTTATAAGTAACGTCGCTGATAAAATTATAAATTCAATGAGTTGGATGATGCTGACTCTCAGAAATGAAATGAGATAGTGCTGATACTAATCATGAAACTATGTCAGCTTTTTGGGCCAAGGTCGTTAAATATGCGTATTTTTCCATCAAACCTAACCGCTTAACATGTCACTTGAAAAAGTTAATATTTCTTTATGAAACAAAAACGTGTTCGTAGCCGAGTATGCAAATTTTTCGAATGCTAACATTATCAGTGTTTGATTAATAAATTTATAAAGAAACGCCAATTATTTAGCGCTCTCTAGATTAGGAGACCTTTTCCTTAATAAGAATAAATCATTACGGGAAGCGTCTCTTTTATTCCACGATGTAACATGCTTTCCTTTCTTCTGAAGTATGGTTTTCTTACATGCTTTCTTGTTCTGAGAATTTAATAAATATTATTTTTTTCGAAATGTTATTATCGAACAGTGCAATAGCCACGGAACTTGTATTTTCTATAATAATAATAGTGGCCAAACTGCGACTCTTCGAAATCTTTATCGCAGCTCCGGTATAATTATACAATTTATTAAACAAAAATATCGTCTGCAATTAACAGATTAAACAAAAATTAAATTAGCTGCTTTAAACACTTTAACGTTCGGATAATTCGCGTAAAAACTCCATATAAATAAAAATGGTTTTACTTACTTTGATTTCTTCTCTAAAAATTCGATATAAAAATTTTCTCATGAATGTATCAATGTATCAAAAACTCCCATATACGTTACTGCTAAAAAGTATTTGATCGTGTGCCTGGTACAACAAAAAATAATTTTTGTTTACTAAAAGAACGTCATTATAAATATTAATGTGGAAACGATAAAATCACATGTATCATTAACTCCTTAAAAATAATAATAAAACTTACTTATGTGACAATGTACATATGTATATCTAAGAGAAAACGAATGAACAAACGGTGCCGTGTCATTATTGCACCGAGCGTTAAAATCGGGACCTAGGCACAACCCTGGTCCCAACTACAAACCCATAAATAATAAAAGAAAAGAAATGATGATAAACCTACTTTCTTAAAAAGGTATACACTGTTAGGTTCAATGAAGAATGCGACTCTCAAGTGTTTTTAACAAACGATATATGGTTCATACTGCGACAACGTTTGGCCACTATTCTTCTATAATACTGCACATTTATAAGAGTGTATCTAGTCTTTTGAAACCAAATGTAAATGAAGGAAAATTACAAAACTGTCGTATATGTGTAAGTGACTTCCGGGCGAATCGTTTTACAGAAGAGTGTGAGGAAAGCAACCGGCGTATTCTTCCGTGGCATGCATCGAGAAGAATGATCGTTATACGTTACCTGAAGTTGAAAAAATAGAAGAGAACTCCGAAGAAGAGGAAAATTTCAACAAGGCCGTCCATTTCCACGTGTCGTGGATCGCGCGATGCACCGCTCGCCGAAAAAAAAAAAAAAAGAAAAGCAACACGGCTGGCTGGCTCTCGTTAGTCCTTAAAAGAGCGTCGAACTCAACTGCTCGTTTTCATGATTTCGATCACCGTTTATCACGACTCCATTCGATCACGGACGTTGACAATCGCGTAAACTTTGATCCGCGCGTCAATCTCCGTGAAAGAAACCCCGTTGACCACCTCGACGAGATCCATAGATCCGAATTCGGTAACGTTATCGTTAACTCCGAGTACCGGCACCGTTTTTTCTCGAATCTTCAAAGCAATACGATGTAACGAAAGTCTGCATCGGCCCGCGACAATCGTCGACGACTTTCTACCGCAATACGTTAAGTAACCGCCGACAATATTCAGCGAGGTCAGTTCACTGACTCGCTTTACTGCCTACAACGGGGAACGCCTGGACGCCTGCAACATCGAAACGCGTTCCCGTGACGTGCAACCGGAGCACATGCGTAATCTTCTGGATTGTTTAAATAACTCTGATCAAAATAAACGGAAAAATATGTCACGCATCTGTTTTCTATTCGTCTCGAATTTGTCAAAAGGTTGGAGCACATGAAATGTCTTTCGAAACTTTCTGTTTTCCGGGGTGCCCGCTAGGGGTGCTGTACCTTTCGATTTTTGCTCTTCTAACTTTACCCTTGGATGCAGACGAGCGACTTTTCTCGTTGCGATATCGCAACGATTCTATCTTTTTCCTTCTCTCGCAATTGAAAACAACCAAGAGACACATGGAAACGACGATATTGTTTGTCTTGGTTGTTTTCAATTGCGAGAGAAGGAAAAACATAGAATCGCTGCGATATCGCACCGTTCGTCTGCATCAAGGCTTGGTTAATCATACTACGTATACGAATTTAAATGTAATCTTACTTGTTAAATCATTTTTACCAACAGTTTCCACACTGAACAACTTCGCTTTTCATTACCCGTTACACGAATTACGAAAAAATTCCGTCCAGAATATTCATATACGTAGTTTTTTGTGCGACAACAGTAATACAAATACTGTTTGAATTGAAGTTTTAAAAATCATTTCATATGCAACAACTTACTGTATTTATAATTAAATTATTGTTATATCGGCTAATAATCAACCGCAACTCTGACAGTGAAGATGCATATCTTACGTAAAACGATATTTCTTATTAAGATGTTACAATATTTTCGATCACTCGTTAACGTAAACGGAACTTGATGTTTCACTGGAACCAAGATTTTATTTAACAAACAATAATATTCACGGTATAATTCGGTCAAAAATAAATTGTACCTTAATTTTGATGACGTTTCAACTCGTACGATTTTAACCGCGAAAACTGATGGTCTATCGTGATTAATAGAATCTCACTTTTCGAAGAAATGCGTAATAACAAAGTCGTTACGGATGTTTCCTATAGAAAGTTGGATAGGAAACGTTGCGTGAAGAAGATCGTTAGAAAAACAAAAAATCAGTTTCGATTTCATTCCAGAACCGACACGGCCACCGCAGAGGTCGAATCATAACTGCATCCAACGCACCAAGGACCACGTGGTATACGCGATAGAATAACATTCACTGTCAACGTTGAATAATAAGTTTTGTGGTGCCACTTTCCTTTCTTTCTATTAAAAACACGGTCGTACATCAATGTCGGATAGAGGTGATTGGAATTGGTTTACGACTTGGAAATAATTGTAAAAATCAGTGATCGTCTGCAAAAGTATAAAACACGGTTAATGGCAGTAGCCAGGGTAACGGTGGCGTTACTCTCGATCAACCAATAAGCTTTCGCAGTTATATTATTAGTCAGATTAAAGAAAATAATTGTCATTCCATTCGGTATTTTCGTCACTTGTATTCGTTGATGCTGTGTGTATGTACGCACACAAAACGAATGCTTTAAAATTATACAAGAAACGATTTCACGCGCACTGGCCGATTGCAAAGACACATCAACACGATCGAATGTTATTTTGACCGTTCAAAAGATTCGATATTTATTACCAAAGCGATTTCATAAACGATCTAAATAAGAAGAATGGAACGCACCGTCGATCGTTCCTTTCTACTACATACGGTATATGTATTTGCGCGACGCATTTTATACGACAAACAACATTCTCGAGTAACCGAATCGGTATAGCCTGATGTCCAGTTACTTCCATGCCACTCGTAAATTAATCCTATTGAAAGCCATTAACGTTTTATGCTGGTCTTTATTGTGCTTCAATTTGTAAGAACACATTAAGATTCTCTAGTTGTACATCCAGAAACATTCATTGGTAAGCAGAGTACTCACGAAAGAACACGATTTCGTATGAAACTACACTTTCTTCTCTGTGCGCTACTTTCACAAATAATGAACAGTTACCATAAAGGATAATCTTATTGTGGTTTTCTTTAATTAGTATTTACGAACATGTATTATGATGGCATAGTATACTTTAATTAATACCATTTTGTTCGTATAATCTTTACTATTAATGATTGTAAATTATTGTAAGTAACTTGTTGTACACAAGAAATGGTAAACAATAACATTTTGTTAAAAAATACATGTACGAAATATGACATATCATAAGATAATTGTAGCAGTGTTAATGATATATAACACAACAATTATTAGATTACATTAATAAGAAATCAGAGTTCGGCTAATTCAGCTTATCTTAACCATCAAATTCATAAAAGTATAAAACATAACCTTTTCCTCGGCACGCGTCAAACTACATCGAAATCATAACTTACCTTGTGTTGATGGTTCAAGAAGATCCTTGGAATAATATAAATTATTACATTAAGCACACAACACGCATGTTATTCTTTGTAAACACTTTGAAATAAACTTGGCACATTACCCGTTGCAATAAATTACGGACTGTTGCATGTATTCAACATGCGATGAATTGGAAGCGGATGTTCAAAGAAATAATTATGAATATACGTTTATAAATATTTAACAGCTTATTTAGTTAATTCGAGTGAAATTTTGTAATAAACTTTGTAGATTTTCAATATTTTACAATACTTGAATGTAAATACGTTGACAATCCGACGTATCCTTAACGTTAATATAGTAACAAATTATCAATGAAAACATTACTTTAATATACAATATAAATTTGTTAAAAATACCATAATTCCTTTAAACTTGTCATTTATATTTATTGAAAAAGGAAGAAATGAAGTGTGCGATTTTGTGTAGATCGTGTGTATATATATGTGTATGTATATATACTTATGTATATATAGATATATGATATACGACACGTGTGTACAGAATTAGCAACACAACCTTGTACCGTGACAATAAATAATCTTAATTTTTGTAAAAATAGTTGTTTAATTATTATAACAAATAAGAGCTTTGTTTTAAGATAATTAAAACTTCAAAATAATGGCGGTAAGTAAGAATAATTTTATTATTTAAAATCAGTAATCAAAATGGTAACCTAGTCTTTTTATTTATATACATATGTAAACCAATATAACTAATTTTTTGTATCGTTAACGTTGCTTTTAAGTTATTATTAACTCAAATTATTAAAACAGTATGCTTTTTATGCATTTTTTCTATTTTTAATGAAACAGAAAAAACTGAAAATAAGTTTGATTAAAAGAAATAATCAAAAGAAAACTAAACTTATGAAGCAAGGGAAACTTAAAACGAGACGACATAAACCAGCAAAAAAACAAGTTCAAAAAACAGTACCTTCGCATCCGGAAGCGATCGAAGAAGAAGAAGAAAGTGATCATGGCGAAGATCTTATGAACATGGTTGAGAAAGATGATTTGGACTTTCTTAGAGATGCTATTTCCAATAAATCCTATAATTTGTTGCAGCAAATACGTTTAAACGAGTATGTACAATCATATTTATCGTGATTAATTATCAGAATATTTTGAATTACAATTATTATAAGCTATGTATAATTTAGAACAGTCAACGGTAAGAAAAATGATAACAACCAAAAAAGAAAAAATGAAGCAACGTTAGAAGAAGTATATGAAAATGATGTGTCAAAAATGATTAAGGATAGAGGTATAAAAAAGGTTCGTATGTTACTTCCTACAAAAACTCAAAATGGAGTTATAGAAAGAAGGTTAATCGAAGAGACTAATAATGAAGATAATGAAAATGAATCTGACACAGAGGATGATACACAAGACACCAAAGTGGAAGAAGAAAAGGATGTATATGTAAGATGCAATTAATTTGATGCAATATTATTGATTATTAAAACGCTACACATATTCGTACGTGTTTTAGACCGAAGATCAAGATGAAAATAAAAGACCCGTGTCTATGATAGAATTCTTAGCATGCCGTAAAGAAGTGCTAAGGTCTAAACGTTTAAAGATTGGATTACTTTCTAGTACACTTTTAGAAACGCCTGAAAATAAATCTGAAAATTTTAAAGCACTTTTAGAACTAATGGAAGAAACTGATCCAGAAGTATATGTTACAGTTAGAAAGCTAGCAACTGTATCTTTGTTAGAAGTTTTTAAAGATTTGTTGCCAGCTTATCATATTCTTCAAATTCAACAAGAAGGTGTAAGATGTACGTGGCTATGATATTTATATATCAATGTTACTTATATTGTAAATTATAATATTTAAGTGAAAAATTTTTTGTTTCTTCAGTTAAAAAAGAAACGTTCGCACTGCAAAATTATGAAGCTGTATTATTAAGGAGCTATAAACGGTATTTACAAAAACTGGAGAAAATGTCTAGTGTCTTAAGAAAGAAGAAGGGAGATAGACGCCAATTAAAAGAACAATACATTGAATTAGGCAGACTGGCACTAAATTGCATGTGCGATCTTTTAACAACACATCCTTACTTTAATTATTCTGTTAACATAGCAAATTTTCTTATACCGTTCTTGGATAATAAATATGAGTTTATAAGACAATGTGTAGCTAAATGCATTTCTCAAATATTCAAAGAAGATAAACGTGCGGAATTATCTCTTACGGTAAGAAATTAAAAGATTTATAACTCTATTTGTTTTGCATTCTAAAAGTATTATTATTATAATATTGCTAAAATTTTCAGATAGTACGTAGACTAAATCAGTACATAAAATTAAAAGCTCATTCCGTTCACTCTGAAGTTATATCTGTACTCTTGTCTCTTCGTATCAAGGATGTGAATTTAGACAAAGAAAAAGTGGAAGAAACTAAACAAAAAAAACTCGTATCTCATAAACAAAGAATTCTTGCTTTAAGTAAACGCGAAAGAAAAAAAAATAAGAAGTTAGAGCAAGTAGAAAAAGAATTGCTCGAAACTAAAGCAGAAGAAAATAAACAATCTAAACAGAAAATGCTTACTGAGATAACAAGTATAGTGTTTACAATTTACTTTAGAATTTTGAAACAAAATCCTAATAGTAGGATTTTATCTATTAGTCTGGAGGGTCTGGCAAAGTATACTAATTTTTTGCTACATTTAATTATGCATTATATTATACAATATCTAATTCCACGTAATAATTATAGGTTTGCGCATTGTATAAACATGGAATTTTATCAAGATTTAGTAACTGTCTTGGATAAATTAATGGAAGAAGGCAATTTAAGTATGAGAAATCAATTACATTGCATACAATGTGTATTTACCATATTATCGGGTCAAGGTTCTGCATTAAATCTTGATCCTTACAGGTTGGTGTTAAAGAAAATGATGCTTTAAGAAACCAAATTTAAATTAAATGTACGATTATATTCTGCAGGTTTTATGTACATTTATATAAAAATTTATTAAATATTCACTGTGGTAAGACCCACCCAGAGACAGAGATCCTTATAAAAACTTTAGTACAAGTTTTAATCCATAGAAGAAAAAGAATTACGCAAAATCGCTTGACAGCATTTATCAAAAGAATGGCTATTGTGACTATGCAATCGCAACATAATGCTGCCATTAGTATTCTAGGTATAATAAAACAAAGTATGCAGCTTGGAAAAGCAGCGAATGTTTTACTAGATACTGACCATAGTGCTGGAGATGGTTTTTATCAACCAGAATTAGAAGAGCCTGAATGTTGCAATGCACATTGTTCAGCATTATGGGAACTTGCAGCTTTGCAAGTATGTATTTAAATAAGTTACATAAAGTTTATATTATAAATACACATGAACTTTTTTAATTTCATCGTATGTGATCTATTAATTAATTATACTTTTCTTTTTTATTAGCGACATTATCACCGTATTGTACAAAAAATAGCGAAAAATATAGCTTCTGGAGTGCCGTCAACTGGAGAAGGTAGTTTACCTCCAGATATTGCAAAATTGTAAGTATACATATGCGAATTGATATTTTGTAACAGAATGCAAGTTATTTAATTTGTTTCAGAACTCCAGAAGAACTTTACGCTGAATTTGATCCTTCTGGTGTTGTATTCAATCCATCAGTTCCAGTTCCCAAAAAGAGAAATGTAAAGGGAACAGTAACGACTCATCGCTTTATAAGTACTAAATTCAAGGATTATGTTAATACTATAAATAACATTGAATTATTCGCAAATGAATACGTAGATTTTTATAAAGCATATAACAGTCAACGTTGCATGTAATACAAGAATAAAATGAACAGTATGTTACTTCAAACTGTGCATATTTTGTAAATAATTACAAATAGAGTTCTTACAATTGTTTTGTTAATTTAAATAGCATAGTAGGTGCAGGCCCTAAATGTCTCGTATTTAGCCACGTAATAGATACTGTTCTAAAGTAAGTATATTAAAAAATATTTTACTGTAGTTATAAGACATGCCAATGAAGTGAGTAACAATAATAATTGTGATGCATATATTCATAAACTATTGTTTTGTATCTATTATCACAATTTATAGAATTTTAAATCGACTGAAAACGATTAAATACATACAGTGACAGAAACAATGTTGCCTAACAAATAGTATATTTTTCATTCAAGTGTTGTAATTTCAATAATAAAAATTGTTTACTCTATTTTTGGTTTGTATAATGTTTTTGAATATTCCCTGTTTTCCTCGGATAATCTTTATTTAATTATTAGAACTTTATAACATACTCAAATATGTCTACAATAAATAACATGTATTAACAGAGCATTAATTCTTGATTGAAAATATCAGTCTACATATTATTCGTTGTAAATTTGTTTAAAGAGCCTAAAACTGTCTTTTATTTCATACCAACTGTTCATAATTAAGAAAAAAGAACATTTTAATATACATAGATATTACAAAATACTTTTTATATCTTTTTACAAAGAGAAATCTGAAGTTGATTAAAAAGTTACAGATTGAAAACTTTGTTTACAAGACATTTCTGTAAAATGTTATTTATTGTATATATATATATATATATATATATATAATTTTTTTTTTACACAAACTAAGATAATGCTAATCGCATTTTCATTTAAATTATACTGCAATAAGGAACCATATATATTTATTAACTATTAAATCTATTTAATTAGTTACATTTACATAATTACATTTATAAAGTCATTACATCATCAACTCTGGTAGGTTGTGAATTAGTCTCTTCATTTACATTTAATTTTGTTTCAGTCGAAATTTGTTCTACATTATCACGATTTGTTGATGATGTTAGATCAATTCTTTGCATAGGTATATATTTACGTTCTATAATATTCATTTTTATAGCATCTTCTATTTCCAACAATTCGTCTCTAAACTTATCATCGTTCTTTATTAATTGCTTTGATGCGATTTGTGCATATTTGTGTTCATTTTTGTCAAGACTCAAGAGTTTAGATGTATTAACTTTGTCAACTGTCTTTGTAACAATAACCGACTCGTTTTTATCAGTTTGATGAGATGGTTGAGAATTTCTTTTTGCAAGAATTATTTTAGTATATTTGATAGTAGGTTGGTTTGCACGGGTTTGTATAGGTATTGTACTTTTCGTTTTGGATATGGTAGGATTTTGAGGTCTTGTCTGCAATATTACGTGATTTAGGTTTTGTACAGTTACGTTAGGGCATATGATAGTTTGAGTAGAAGGTGTTACAAATTTATTAGTTGTTTGCTGTAGCTTGTCTTGCTTGTTGCTTATGAGAACAACTTTAGTGTTGCTATTCAGTTTAGATGTACCTTTCTCATGCATATCCATAGGTACGGCTACGTGCGACAAAGGTGGATTCTTTTCGATAGAATTTAAATTATCATCATCCTTTGCAAAAATTATCGGTATGTCTAATATGTTTCCTAAGTCATCGTCGATATTATTTGCAAGACAATTCTTCTGTACTGTCTGAGGCTTCGCTTTGTGAATTCTTTGTAAACTAGATGCATTGACTGTAATTTTTGGCATTGTTTTCATAGATTTATGAGTAGTTTTGAGTTTATTAGACAGTGGTAAGATAGTCCCGGAATTATGGCTATTTAACGGTACTATTACCGATGAACAAGCGGGTTTAGCATTAATAGAACTTTCAACCATAATTATATTCCCGCATGATGTATTATGAGAGTTATCGTTGTTATTACATGTTGTTACTTGTCGAGGTAATTGTGACATCTTGAACGTATCCAATGAATGTGTAGAACTGAGCATCACATGCGAAGAATTACTGGTTGTTGCCATGTTGTCCGTCACTATAAAATACATATGTATGTTTCAACAAGTTTTTAGAATATAAGCTAAGAGGTAATTTAGTGGCTTAATATAAACACCATTCAAGGATTTAAATATATTTTCAAAAATTACAGGAAAACAATTACTGCTATATCGTAAATCATGCAAAAAATTGTTAGACGTACAATAGAAGAGTTGACATCTCTTTGATTAATCTTTCCACTAACTTTCATTACATATATATATATATAATATATATATACATGTGTCATCAAATTACTATAAATGATGTAACTAAATCATAATACAATAGTAACATGTATAGAAAGCTTTACCGAACAGTTTTACAACATAATGCAATATGATATAACAGAAAGAATATTACATAAAAAATGTTGTGCCTCTAATTCGTTACAGTATTTTGCACACACTGTTAATGTTGAATAGGACTGGGGTCAGGATACAAATAAATTCAAATTACATGAAAAAATATTTATTTAATACAAAATAAAAGATATTACTAAATATTTACAACATATTACTTTAGATATTTTTGAATATATAAACTTATATTAACTGTAAAATAATACAAATACATGCTATATTTTGGAGATTTGTTTGTCACAGTACATGCTAAACAGATATATATATAATCCCTTTAGTATTTTTAAATAGCAAGAATAATTTATAAGGAATATTTTGTTCTACATATACAAAAGTCCAATGCAAGAACATAAATGCACTAATAATAATAATAATAGGGAAAGTGGTAAGACTAGAAATAAATACGATCTATTCGATTTATTTAATTAATTTAGTTGTTCTACAGAGACACATTTGATATAAAGAAATTAAAAGTTTTAATCTACAATTTACACACATGATAGCGAAAAAAAAAATTATTGTCGTACTCCTATATCAATGGTGTTCATGCATGCAAATGCTTAACTTGTTCATAAACAGACATAATCTGCATGATGCCATATAAATTTATACAATGTTTCCAAATTAAGATAATAAGTTATAGAAGAGTATATGCTCAAAATTATTTTAAAAGACTAAAGTAATTTTGAAAAATTAGTAAATCAACCAAAAGGAATATGCCAGGTAAAAACTCCGATTTATACATAAATCTCTAATGTTGCGCCTACAATTAAGGAATTAATACAAAAGAAATTGAAAAGTTACATAAACGAATACTGAAAGTAGTAGGTATGACGGGAATTTATTTTATTATTCATATTTTGTGCTTTCTTATTATGTTTCTTTTCTAATTCCTATTTTTAGATTGTGATTGTTTTAAGATAAATTCGTTATAATCTTTTATGCGTATTATACAGGTTGTATGAAATATATTTCAAATATACATGTCACAGTTGCATAAATTGTATATACATATGTACAAAATTTGTTATCAAATTTAGAATTAAAATATTCTTCTTTAAAAAAAAATATAATTTTAAGTAGATAAAAATTTGTTTTACATTATACAAAACTTTACTAGCCAAAAATACTTTTTACAAACAATAAATTTGTATTTTATAATTCTTTCGTAGACTAAATATATCATAATTTTATATTGATAAGTTCTGTGTACATTTGATAAAAAACTAAAAGATATTACGATGTATGTAAATTACTTAGTATCTGAGCAGATAATAATATTCTACCTTTTGATATCGTAGATGTAGTTGGTGTTATACTAGTTGCCACAGAATTGTTTGGTGTCAATAGGATACTAGAAGCTGATGATACACGTGCAGGCGATGAACTAGTGGCGAGCGTAAGAGAATTTTTCCCATTTTGTAAGATGGTCGATAAATTTCCATTCGGTGTACCAACCATACATTTACTATGTATTGCTATACAGAAGAATTAAAAAATGTGTCAAGTAAAATAGGAATGATTAGAAGAGAAATACTAGTTACATTGGTTGTACCTGTAGTGGTTGGAGTATTAACTCTAATTTGGTTTCCCGATGTTGTTAAAACGTTGACCAGTTTTGCATCACCATTTTTGTCAGGTATATTAAAATGCCTGTAATTGTTTGATATTACTTTCGAAAATCCTTTGCTCGAAGAAACTATTGCTTTCATTTTCGAAACATTCTGCAGCTGGACATTTGTTGGTATAATTTTAGGCACTTTAGTTGACGACACTGAAGATTTCGGAGTACTTTTAATTGTAGTAGACATAGATTGACCCGACGATGCCGGTGCTAAACGTATTGGACCAATAGGCGCTAAACTTGCTAATGAACCAATATTTAATGTTATACCACTATTATCCGAATTTGAAGTTTGCTAAAATAAAAGTGTACGTTATTACATTTAATTACCTTAATAGGAAAATAAAAATATTTCAGGCTATTACTGTATCGACTATTTACCTCTCCAGAAAGCCTAGACGTTATTAAATGCTCTACAAAATGTGCTTTCTGATTGTTAACAATTCGAGGTTTGCGTTTTACAGTTTGCGTATGGCTCGTATGCGTTCCACTCACTGCAATTAAGTTTGACGATCCTACTTTCGATATTGTAGTCGATGGCATATTTTGTCCGATGGATACTGCTGAAGAAATTGGTGTATTTGGTCGAGATTTTTTTAAAGTCGGCGAATTTGGTTCACTTTCAACAGAGCTACTAGTTGAATTCCTTCGTTTCCGAGGTTCTTTTCTGTTGTTTTTATTTTCATAATTCGATAATAATGTTGATCGTAATGGTAGCGGATGCGGTTGTAAAAGAATACTGCCTACAAAGTCTCCAATTTCATCCAAAATGTATCTATCGACCATACTTTGCGTAATACCCTCCGATATTTTTTTTGCCGTGGATATCCTTAAATGATCGTCCGCAGTTCCAACTACTACTAAACCCGTTTCAACTAACATTTTTTCCCTAAGATCTTCCAAATCATTTTGTCTTACAAGCGTAGCGTTTTGTCCTATGACGAACATAACTGGACACCGAATATCCATTAACGTATCGTCGGGTGTACCTCTTTTTCCCTCGACCGTGGAAAAAGGAAAGCCAAGACAAATAACTGCAGTCACGTGTTCTATTTGTGCTACCTGCAAACAATAACGTATAATATTAAAAATGCCATGTAACGCGTAAAACATTTCAAGATGAAAAATATATACCTGACATGCAAGTGCAGCACCGGTATTAAAACCAACAAGTATTATTGGTCGGCCAGGACAATCGCTTCTGATATCTTGTATCTTTGTTCTTGTAGCTTGAACTAGTTGATCGATGCACACCATCATTGTCATTCTATTGGCTGCCAAACCTAAATGCGTGTGAACGGTAACAACCATTCCTAAAGCTCCCAATTGTGAAATCCACTTGTGTTGTCGAGAAGAAATGTTAGATCCAACTCCAGAAGGAGCTATTACTAAAATTGGATTTCCCGGTAATTTTTTCTACAACAAGGATAACAATTATATTTAGGAATTTGAAAACCGATAAATTATAATGGCCCATGGTAAAATATAATTACAAGTCTATTGCTATTTAAACTTGGAGTAATCGGATCCCACGTTCGTTTGAGAAGCGATCCAAGGGTTTCCCACGTTATAGAACCCGTTTTTGCATTAATATTTGGCTGCACAGCGATCATCTTGTCGATGAGTTGAGGAATTTTAAGTCTTAGACTTTGCAATATATCAAGATAAATTCCAAGATATTCTTGAGGAAGATGATCGAACAACAAGCTGTGCAACCATTGAGCAAGTCTCCAATCCCAACCAGCCGATGCCAAAGTTTCTCGAAAACGTCTCGTGGCCGTGTCGATCGACGTTCGTCGAAAAACTGGTTCTATTGGATTATTTACTTTCGCTAATCTTGCCAGTCTTTCCGAGTTTAATATTTTAAGAGCTTTGGTAAATAGTCGATTTTGAACAGGCGACCACAAAATTTTGTCGAGACGTTCTTCCCAATCTGCATTTTCATCTGGTCGAGCAAAATTTGCTAACCGTTGAAGCTCGTCCATTTGATGTCGCGGTCTTGTTAAATCTACCGGCGGTATTAACGATTCGCTGTAATCTTCTTCTATGTCAATTTCTTCAACTTGGACAGGTTTCTCCCTGAAACATTAAAAGTTACAATATACTTATATACTTAATAAATATGTTCAAGATTTTATAATCTCTTTTCCTTACGTTGGTAAATTTTTTTTTGAAAAAAATAACTTTTTTATTGGCTTTACGTAAACATTTTCTGGTTTCCAGTTCCATGGTCGAGCGTAACAATGATCTTTTGTAATCACATCAACTTCCATTTCATAGCAGCCAGCAATTTGATGCAAGTATGTTGTTAATCTATTCGGATTATCATCAAATGTATCACCGATCGGACTTGGTATTCTACAGCCGCTAATAGATGTAGAAGGTATCGTAGATGTTGATGTTGATGTCAACATTATTATTTAAAACTATTAATTCAAAAGACATCCATAAGTGGAATTAATTGATATAATAACCATTATTGCAATTGTTTAAACATTTCCTTCTATGACCATTATTTTGTTTCTCAAATTACACCTGCAAAAAGATCAGAATATTATATAATTAACAATTATTGTAATATTACTATATCGATTCCTTATGCTGGAATGATGCGGTATGCGTGTCCAACGACTTTGTTGTTTGAATATACTTTATCATGTAGTAAACGTGCACTACCTTGCAAACAGATATATTTAGATAAAATTTGTATAGAAATGACTTTTTGGTACAAACTATACCGTGTCTCTTGATTTCAAGATATGGCTCTTTTTGAATTACTACAGATGGTTTGGTCACAAGCATCGGCAAATCAATTCCATCACAAATGGTTATAGATAAAATTCATAAGCACATACATAAATGTTTTCTTAGGTCTATCTACATTACATTGTTTATATTAAATACTTATTTATATGATAAAACTAACCTTTATTATGTGTTGGATTGAAAACTGTTTGTTGTAGCATCAAAGTATTAATTATTCGTAATAATGAAATCCCTGATTCAAACAAAGAAAAACAATTTAATGTAATCTAGAATAAAAAGAAGGTATCAACAAAACATCTGTAAAGTATACTGTAAGTACCTACATATATGGATACCTATAGTACGATACACTGACTTCAAAATAACTACATAATTAACGTAAAATAAATATTATCGGTCAACTTAACTAATACGTAACGTAATACAATGCATGAAACGAAAAGGAATAAAGTTAATAAAAACGTACGTGACTAGGTACATAAACGTATTTATTAATTCTTGCCGTTAAAGGAGAATACAGTACCACAGAGTAACATGTAATTCTGTGACAGTATACTAAAGTTTAGAGTTTAGCGGCTCGCTCCGCTAAACGTAGCGTAGTGTCACTAGTGTCTTCTCCCTTCCAATAAGCTTCTTGGTTGTGTTGCGAAAATAAAACGAAATGATATGACGACGACTTTAATATCAAACTTTGGGAACACGAATATAAATTTCAATAAGAGTTCCGCCTCTATAGAGTACACTGGGATTTTAATACTACCCAGCAGAGATGCTAGAAAAGCACCGCCGGGTGCACACGCGCGCATGCCAGTTACGCGTATGTACGTGAGCTCGTGGAGTTTCGAAAAGACGACAAAGGCAAACTGACGCATGCCCTCTTTCTCGATTCTCCGAAGCTGCCCGAAGTAATTTCGGACCGCTTCGTGGGAGTCGAGAGAGAAAGGCTCACATTTGCCTTCTCGCTCCCACACAACTGAAATCCGACCTCCCGTCAACGGCATACGATTTGGCTTCTCGACTGCCCAGGCATTTTTCCTTTCCGACCTATGTAGGCGCACATAAGCAAAGTACCCATAATGAAAAAAAAATTTTGTAAAATTTATTTTACGGAAATACACGTTTTAAGACCTCCTGATCATATTTTAATTATTGAAAAAAAAGAAATTTTTTTTTATTCCCATGTATGAGCACACATATGTATATTATTAATACGATTTTTGAAAATAAATAAAGTAAAACTTATCTCATTGAAATTTTTTGTAGAAGTTGAGCTGATGAATACCTAGAAAAAAGTATTAGACAACATTTAATTTTGATTTCGATTAAAAATCAAATTTATATTGTTTTAAATTCGCAGCCATTAGCTCGGTGTTACCCATAATGAAGAAGTTGTTCTTCAAAGGTAACACCGATTACCAGGTCTCACCACGAGGAGGTTGCTGCGAGTGGAGACCCAAAGTGAGACCGATGGAACAAAGTTCGATCGACCTTCCTTTTTACACACTTAGAAACTAGATTACGCAAAAAAAAAGATGCCAAGTAATTACTTTTCTAAAACAAAGGAGGAAGCTAAATTGTGGGAGACGCGACACGACGAAACGCGACACAATACTGCACAGTGCAGTAGGAACATGAGGTGCGACACGTACCGAATAGCGGGTCAAAAGGGGCAGCTCGTTGCCTCTCAGCGAGTCCAATTGAAGGGGAGGAGAATCGACGCACCAGACACGGGTTCTCCATTTCTCCCACGCATCCTGCTGGGAGCCCACGGGACCCAACTCGGGATGGCTGACAAAGGAGAGAGATCCTGAATCCGGGCTACCGCAGACAGGAACAGGTCCCCTCTACGGCCGATGACTCTTTCCCTAGAATTGTCTCACCAGAGGACGGCAACCGACCCTTCGAACCATCTAAACGGCCGATCACTTGCTTTCTACATTAAAGCAGCGGTGACCGGAGAAACGAGACTGGAAAAGAAGCTATTAATTATTTCATCACTTGGCAATCTACGCAGTAAATAAAATAATATACAATGTAAATTGAAAATTAACGTCGTAGGTGGAATTGAGAATTAATGTGAATTAATAAAATATAGGAAACATCGGAAAAACAAGGAAAAGAAGGAAAAAGAAAAATTCGACGTTAATTTTTACATTCGCGCCGCGCCTTAAAATTAATCGGCTTACATTTAAATCCCGGCCGATGAATCCGACGTCATCTATTGATCTCCTCCTCCTCCTAGAAATTGATCTGGTAAAAAACTGAAATAAAAATTAGTAGTTATGTGTACATGTAGACAAATAATAAAACCTAAATAACAAATTAGTTTGAAATAAGGAATTGGAACAATCCAACGAAGTAAATTAACGAAACGAATCATTCGAAAAAAAAGAAACCAACGATGTGTACTTTGAATTATAGATTAATTTTGAAAATTAAAAAACCAACGAAGCGCAAGACGAATAACAAAATAAATCGTAAAAGAACAAACCAACGATGAAAGCGAGACGAAGATAGAATAGAATAAATTGAAAAATATCAACCCAACGATGTAACGAATATAGATAAAACTAGATGAACGAAGAACCCAAATATGAAAATACCTATATACATAAAAATGCAGAAAAACACAATATTTTCATTAGTTATATTAATATTAATTGTATCTATACCAAAACCAAAGGGTGATCCTTCCTTCCTGGTCAGCATCGCAGAAGATATCTGAAACAGAAAACAAAAACGCGTGACAGTACCCCCGGCGGTTCCAGGAGTACTGAAAATAGTTGCCCAGCTGTGTCCACTTTTATGCAGTCAAGCCAAAGTATCAACGAGCCAATCAGCAGCCAGTCCGCTGGGGGCGACCATCGTCCGTCCTCCTTGAAACGTTATAAGAGCCCCCTGAGGCCCTCGCGCGGGAGTTATCTCCCAACCACCAAGCAAGACGGACCGCATCGAGATGAAGAATTTAATTGAAGATTTACATTCGATCAAAATCGAAGATGGCGGCCAAGAAGATGTTTCACGAGCAGCGGCCAAGGGACAAAACCGGTCTTTTTAAAGACCAAGAAAATCTCATTTGTGGGAACAACTTATGCAATGAACTGAACAACTTTTATATTTAACAACTCAGAGACACTTTACATCTCTGTTTTGTAACAACTTTTATATTTAACAATTCAGAGACACTTTACATCACTGTTTTGTAACAACTTTTATATTTAACAACTCAGAGACACTTTACATCTCTGTTTTGTAACAACTTTTATATTTAACAATTCAGAGACACTTTACATCTCTGTTTTGTAACAACTTTTATATTTAACAATTCAGAGACACTTTACATCACTGTTTTGTAACAACTTTTATATTTAACAACTCAGAGACACTTTACATCTCTGTTTTGTAACAACTTTTATATTTAACAACTCAGAGACACTTTACATCTCTGTTATGGAACAAGTTATGCAATAAAACTGAACATGGTATATTTGCCTATATGTATAGGAAGGAAATTCGTCGTTAGTATTGTCGCCCGTCAATGCACTTCATTATGCAAGATCAGTATACTATCTAATTTTATTTTTTATTATACCGGTTTGTAATATCGTAAAGATCAATGCAAAAACATTATGCACAGCTCTTGTATTTCTTTGATTTATCCAAGTAGTCAAAGTATAATATTTAACAAACTTTTGATTCAAATAAAATAACGAATGACAAAAAATTTGAGTACCTGTTACATGTAACCTATGTATAAATGCATAACTAATATTGATATACGCATAACGAACTTAGTTTGTGATATGAAACATTAAGAAAAGTGTAAATTAATAAATAGGTTTCAAAATGGGTATTCCGGGTTTAACAACTTCCATAAACAATCGTTCAGATCGTTATTTGGAATAGTTCGAGCTACGTGATACGTATTTAGTTATTTAGCTGTCGAATATATAATTCGTACAAGTGCAATTGTGTTTTTGGCGGTGATTACGATAAATACGCTCAACGAGTATCGGATTTTTTTTACGATTCGATAAAGTGCAATGTAGTACCATTAGTTTTGATTAAATAAAATTAGATAGTATACTGATCTTGCATAATTAAGTGCATTGACGGGCGACAATACTAACGACGAATTTCCTTCCTATACATATAGGCAAATATGTATACCATGTTCAGTTTTATTGCATAACTTGTGCCATAACAGAGATGTAAAGTGTCTGTGAATTGTTAAATATAAAAGTGGTTACAAAACAGCGATGTAAAGTGTCTCTGAGTTGTTAAATATAAAAGTGGTTACAAAACAGAGATGTAAAGTGTCTGTGAATTGTTAAATATAAATGTGGTTACAAAACAGAGATGTAAAGTGTCTGTGAATTGTTAAATATAAAAGTTGTTCCATAACAGAGATGTTCAGTCTCTGAGTTGTTCAATATTCAATTTCTACATATTCTCTATCAAAATACGCGTTGTTTGCAACTTGAAACATTAAGATCCTTCAATCCGTTCAAAAATTATAATGTTTTAAAGATTCAGAAATGTTCGCTCGAAATTTCATGCGTATGGTTAAAACATTATAACTTCTGAACGGATTGAAGGATCTTAATGTTTCAAGTTACAAACAACGCGTGTTTCGACGGAGAATATGTAGAAATGCTTTATATAGACCTATAAGTATTTCATTATCGAAATAATGATTCTTTAATTTTATGTTGGGGGACAATTCGTTAACAATTCATGTATCAAAATTGCACAGATGTCGCTCGGTCACTGGTCAGGGTCCGTGCTCCTAGGATATAAGAGCCCCCTGAGGCGTTCATCGGCGAGTTATCTCCCAACCACCAAGCAAGACGGACCGTATCGAGATGAAGAATTTAATTGAAGATTTCCATTCAATCAAAATCGAAGATGGCCAAAGATGATGGTTCACGAGCAGCGGCCAAAGGACAAACCGGTCTTTTTAAAGACCAAGAAAATCTCATTTGTGGGAACCACTAAACTGAACAACTTTTCTATTTAACAACTCGGAGACTTTTTACATCTCTGTTTTGGAACAACTTTTCTATTTAACAACTCGGAGACTTTTTACATCTCTGTTTTGGAACAACTTGTGTAATAAAACTGAACATGGTATATTTTTGCCTATATAGGCGAAAAATATACAAATACAAATTGAATTTATTGAATTGATATTAAGTAAACGTTCTTTGCTATAAGATCAAAAAATTATTATTTGAAATAGTAGAACAATTAGAAAATAAATCGTTTGAAAATAATTTCGAAGGTCTTACTCGATAAACTATATTCAAACGATTTATTTACAAAGTATTGTTTTAAGTCAAACATGATCAGAGGGTCTTGAAACGTGTATTTACGTATCAATTTTTCATTCAATATGGGCTTTGCTTATATATTTGTGTCTATATAACTTGAATTTAAATTCAAATGGTAATGAAAAATCAATGACGCATGTTTGTACATTATTTTTTAATCCTGGACTCGTTAATGGTACTTCTCTAAGATTAGATAGGGACAGTAATGGGGAAGAAAATTTAGTGTCGGTGCCTTCTAGTTCGTAACATTTAAGCTTTTTATTACAGTCTCTCATCATGTATTTCATGAAACCTCTCCTTCTATTCATTCCTGATTACAGAAATGCATATATAACTCTAATAATTTTTAAACTTATTACATTGCTCAATGGATAGGAATAATCCTCTATTTGTACAGGACAAATATATAAACGTCGAACCAACAAGTCCATAAAATATGCAGGATAATTGCCCATAAGAAATTCATCTACAAACAAATTAGGTACATTAGCTAGTAGTGCATTATTGGTAGCAGATTCTGACCCCTTTAAGCATGTCTAATATTTCAACTTCGTTTTCTTCCTCTTCTTCTTCTTCTTCGGATGATTCAAAGTCTCCATTTTTATCAGTTTCTTCTATGTACATTAGACTATTAACATCCCCATCAAATTTAAAAATTCTGTTTATGGAATGTGTTGTGGCACGAGCTGCATATTCCTGTAAAAACCCCAATGGAACAAGTATTTCTGCAGATGCATTTGTATAGCCATTTATATTGATTTCTATTATGCTTAATATATTTTGTCTTACGGTTTTAGGTGATCTACATGGTATTCCAATGACTACTCTGTCCAAGGTGTAAAACCTGCTCAACCATTGTAAAGTTGCTTCTATACAATACTGTCGATTACTATACCTTTTTCTTCTTATTCGTCGTAACTTTAAATAACGAAAGAAGTTTCTAAATGTACCACGTTTTACATAATCATTGCCTAGTAATATTGCAGCTAATGGCGGTGTAGATTGACTTAGACCTCTAGAAGAATTTAATAAGTGTTCAACTTTATAAATTTTACAACGTTTCGTGTAACCATTTCCAGTTGAACTTTTCACCGTGTAATTGTCCAATGTATCAAATGGTATGTACAATGTCCCAAACACATAAAAATCTGAATCATAACTCAATACAGGACAATTCAATACCCTTGCTACAGTAGCTATAGCATTATCAGCTTCGAATAAGCATTGCACATGACGAACATTCTTCTTTCTCGTAACATCTTTGAAAACTTCCTAAATATGTAAAGGACAAAAATTTCATTTTCTGTTGACAGATCGGAGAAAAAGATGATGCTGTACGAATCTTTACTTTAGTTCTAGATATAACTGTTTGCAGTTTCTTATCCTCGCAACCGCCATCGATCAAAACTAATGGTACTACATTGCACTTTAACAAATCGTAAAAAAAATCCGATACTCGTTGAGCGTATTTATCGTAATCACCGCCAAAAACACAATTGCACTTGTACGAATTATATATTCGACAGCTAAATAACTAAATACGTATCACGTAGCTCGAACTATTCCAAATAACGATCTGAACGATTGTTTATGGAAGTTGTTAAACCCGGAATACCCATTTTGAAACCTATTTATTAATTTACACTTTTCTTAATGTTTCATATCACAAACTAAGTTCGTTATGCGTATATCAATATTAGTTATGCATTTATACATAGGTTACATGTAACAGGTACTCAAATTTTTTGTCATTCGTTATTTTATTTGAATCAAAAGTTTGTTAAATATTATACTTTGACTACTTGGATAAATCAAAGAAATACAAGAGCTGTGCATAATGTTTTTGCATTGATCTTTACGATATTACAAACCGGTATAATAAAAAATAAAATTAGATAGTATACTGATCTTGCATAATGAAGTGCATTGACGGGCGACAATACTAACGACGAATTTCCTTCCTATACATATAGGCAAATATACCATGTTCAGTTTTATTGCATAACTTGTTCCATAACAGAGATGTAAAGTGTCTCTGAGTTGTTAAATATAAAAGTTGTTACAAAACAGAGATGTAAAGTGTCTCTGAGTTGTTAAATATAAAAGTTGTTACAAAACAGTGATGTAAAGTGTCTCTGAATTGTTAAATATAAAAGTTGTTACAAAACAGAGATGTAAAGTGTCTCTGAATTGTTAAATATAAAAGTTGTTACAAAACAGAGATGTAAAGTGTCTCTGAGTTGTTAAATATAAAAGTTGTTACAAAACAGTGATGTAAAGTGTCTCTGAATTGTTAAATATAAAAGTTGTTACAAAACAGAGATGTAAAGTGTCTCTGAGTTGTTAAATATAAAAGTTGTTCAGTTCATTGCATAAGTTGTTCCCACAAATGAGATTTTCTTGGTCTTTAAAAAGACCGGTTTTGTCCCTTGGCCGCTGCTCGTGAAACATCTTCTTGGCCGCCATCTTCGATTTTGATCGAATGTAAATCTTCAATTAAATTCTTCATCTCGATGCGGTCCGTCTTGCTTGGTGGTTGGGAGATAACTCCCGCGCGAGGGCCTCAGGGGGCTCTTATAACGTTTCAAGGAGGACGGACGATGGTCGCCCCCAGCGGACTGGCTGCTGATTGGCTCGTTGATACTTTGGCTTGACTGCATAAAAGTGGACACAGCTGGGCAACTATTTTCAGTACTCCTGGAACCGCCGGGGGTACTGTCACGCGTTTTTGTTTTCTGTTTCAGATATCTTCTGCGATGCTGACCAGGAAGGAAGGATCACCCTTTGGTTTTGGTATAGATACAATTAATATTAATATAACTAATGAAAATATTGTGTTTTTCTGCATTTTTATGTATATAGGTATTTTCATATTTGGGTTCTTCGTTCATCTAGTTTTATCTATATTCGTTACATCGTTGGGTTGATATTTTTCAATTTATTCTATTCTATCTTCGTCTCGCTTTCATCGTTGGTTTGTTCTTTTACGATTTATTTTGTTATTCGTCTTGCGCTTCGTTGGTTTTTTAATTTTCAAAATTAATCTATAATTCAAAGTACACATCGTTGGTTTCTTTTTTTTCGAATGATTCGTTTCGTTAATTTACTTCGTTGGATTGTTCCAATTCCTTATTTCAAACTAATTTGTTATTTAGGTTTTATTATTTGTCTACATGTACACATAACTACTAATTTTTATTTCAGTTTTTTACCAGATCAATTTCTAGGAGGAGGAGGAGATCAATAGATGACGTCGGATTCATCGGCCGGGATTTAAATGTAAGCCGATTAATTTTAAGGCGCGGCGCGAATGTAAAAATTAACGTCGAATTTTTCTTTTTCCTTCTTTTCCTTGTTTTTCCGATGTTTCCTATATTTTATTAATTCACATTAATTCTCAATTCCACCTACGACGTTAATTTTCAATTTACATTGTATATTATTTTATTTACTGCGTAGATTGCCAAGTGATGAAATAATTAATAGCTTCTTTTCCAGTCTCGTTTCTCCGGTCACCGCTGCTTTAATGTAGAAAGCAAGTGATCGGCCGTTTAGATGGTTCGAAGGGTCGGTTGCCGTCCTCTGGTGAGACAATTCTAGGGAAAGAGTCATCGGCCGTAGAGGGGACCTGTTCCTGTCTGCGGTAGCCCGGATTCAGGATCTCTCTCCTTTGTCAGCCATCCCGAGTTGGGTCCCGTGGGCTCCCAGCAGGATGCGTGGGAGAAATGGAGAACCCGTGTCTGGTGCGTCGATTCTCCTCCCCTTCAATTGGACTCGCTGAGAGGCAACGAGCTGCCCCTTTTGACCCGCTATTCGGTACGTGTCGCACCTCATGTTCCTACTGCACTGTGCAGTATTGTGTCGCGTTTCGTCGTGTCGCGTCTCCCACAATTTAGCTTCCTCCTTTGTTTTAGAAAAGTAATTACTTGGCATCTTTTTTTTTGCGTAATCTAGTTTCTAAGTGTGTAAAAAGGAAGGTCGATCGAACTTTGTTCCATCGGTCTCACTTTGGGTCTCCACTCGCAGCAACCTCCTCGTGGTGAGACCTGGTAATCGGTGTTACCTTTGAAGAACAACTTCTTCATTATGGGTAACACCGAGCTAATGGCTGCGAATTTAAAACAATATAAATTTGATTTTTAATCGAAATCAAAATTAAATGTTGTCTAATACTTTTTTCTAGGTATTCATCAGCTCAACTTCTACAAAAAATTTCAATGAGATAAGTTTTACTTTATTTATTTTCAAAAATCGTATTAATAATATACATATGTGTGCTCATACATGGGAATAAAAAAAAATTTCTTTTTTTTCAATAATTAAAATATGATCAGGAGGTCTTAAAACGTGTATTTCCGTAAAATAAATTTTACAAAATTTTTTTTTCATTATGGGTACTTTGCTTATGTGCGCCTACATAGGTCGGAAAGGAAAAATGCCTGGGCAGTCGAGAAGCCAAATCGTATGCCGTTGACGGGAGGTCGGATTTCAGTTGTGTGGGAGCGAGAAGGCAAATGTGAGCCTTTCTCTCTCGACTCCCACGAAGCGGTCCGAAATTACTTCGGGCAGCTTCGGAGAATCGAGAAAGAGGGCATGCGTCAGTTTGCCTTTGTCGTCTTTTCGAAACTCCACGAGCTCACGTACTTACGCGTATCCGGCATGTTAAGTGTGCACGCGACGGTGCTTTTCTGGCATCACTGATACTACCCAAGTACACACGTTTTCAATAGTACGAAATGACTTTTACGTTTGTTTTGGCACAAACTTTAAGAAATGTTCCAAATAGAATTCCAACATTTCTATATCGCCGAGTACAAAGTACCAAGGCATTTACTTCTAACGAGGAAACAGCGAATGTGACACCTGATAAAGATTTGGTAATATTTTATTGTAAATACTAATATACTAAATGTTTTTGAACAGAAAATATTTTCTTTTCTAATAAATTAAGAACAATTTTTTTTCTTGTTCGATCGTTGTTAGAAATTAATTTAACTGAAAGTGTTTAATTCTTTCATAGCCAACGATTTCCGAAAATCCGTTTAAGAGAGAGCCAAAACTATGTATTTTATGTAAATTCAAGATAGAACCAGATTTTAAAAATGTACGTTTATTGTCACAATTTCAAAGTCGTTACACAGGTAGAATTTATGGAAAACATATAACTGGATTATGCGATCATAAACAAAAGAGGGTGGAACAAGAAATAGTGAAAGCACAAAATGCAGGTTTGTTTTTACAAGTTAATTTCAATGTTTCTTTATAATTTGTTATTATCAATTTTCTTTGTTTTAGGTTTAATGGGCTATATGACAAAAGATCCTAAATATGTCTATGATCCTAAATTGTTTGATCCATATTTTCCATTCAAACCACATCCACATTAAATATAGAATGTAAGATGTCAAAGCATTATAAATTTCATTGTATCGTACCCGCTTGAAGATTTTATTTAAAATAAAATGTAAATATGTAATAAATAAATGTAATATTGTAGTTTGTATTCAAAAGTATTTATTTCTCTTTGGTATGCGAAAACAATTTGTTAATGGAATGTATCATCTGTAATGAGAAAATTTACTGTATCTGGTTTTATACCAAATGTGGATAAAATTTCAGCCATGCTCACAGACTGCCCATTCCTTTCTTGCAAATCATTTTGATAATCTTTAAGGGCATTTTGGCAAGCATCTATCCATTTTTTAATGGCAGTTTCTAAATCTTCAGCTTTGTTCTACGAGTATAAGTATTTCATCCAATAATAACAATGTACTTTATAAGTAATGTATAATTTCCATGTTTACCTTTTTCTTGTACAGCAATATTGTTTTTAATTTGTTAATTAACTCTTGTTTTCCTTGTATTTGCTTTTTCAATGATTCTAAATGATCCTGACATAATTCTGTATGTTGTTCAACATCCGTTTGGTTTTCACACTTTTCTTCGCTTAAACGAAGTTTTTTTGTAGGAGGTGTTTGAAAAAGCAATCTCTTTGATATAGAAACTCTTCTATTTTTATAATAGAGATAACAAAAATCAATAAAAAACATATATTTCATGGAATGAAATTTTAAACACAATATTGTTTTATATGTACTTACAATGGTGTTCCATGGCTAGCTAATGCTGTATTATTTACATTATTTTCTGTACTGTTCTTTCGAGGGGTACTAAATGGAGAACGAAACGGTTTATTTACACCCTTACTATTTTTAAACGGCTTAGCACTCATATTTTTGAAAATAATACAGAGATAACACACATTTCCTTGATATATTGACAATTATTTATAAAAATCTTATATGCAACATTCAATTTTGATGCTGTAATAAAAATACATAGAGAAAATTTGAAATAATTAAAAATGATGTTACATATATTTATATCTAATTCGATAAAAATAGTTTGATGTTTAAATTTAAATTAATATTATAAAAGTCAGTGTATGACAATATTTTTAATTGTCTATATATTTTATGACACATTAAATATCGGAATATTCTATCCACCGTACATCTATATTACATTTTTTTATACAAATAACGTAATTTCTCGTAAACGGTAAACACCGTACGACTTAATACATATAGTACGTTCAATAATCAATGCATATGTACTGCTAATATCTAATTGGGTATATTAAAGTTGTAATAATAGCAAAAGAATTTCGCAATTATTCATACATGTTCAGAAATTGTTCAAGTTCTTTTATTAAAAAATTCAAATTCCAGAATATAATTAATTGTAAATAAAATCTTCTAAGGTTTTTAATGTAAAGTTTCCACTCTACATTTTTGGTGACTCGTGTTGTCCATCAGTGTGCTTTAACTGGCCTTAACCTCTAAGAGCTACTGACGCCGACTGACCATAATTGTTACAGTACACAAAAAGTATTGTTATTTATCGTACAAATATTATATATTCAATTCTTTTATTCTATTTCTAGTATATTTTACCAATTTTATGTAGTTGTGATTGCTCTACTAATTTGTCAATATTAAAGATTTAGTATTTTCAACCATTAAAATATTTTTTAAAAGAATTTACGTTTCTGTTTCTAGTGACGATGGATATTAGACCAAATAATACAATCTATATTAATAATTTGAATGAAAAAATAAAGAAGGATGAATTAAAGAAGTCCTTGTATGCAATTTTTTCTCAATTTGGTCAAATATTGGATATTGTAGCATTAAAAACATTAAAAATGCGTGGACAAGCATTTGTTATTTTCAAGGAAATTGCTAGTGCTACAAATGCTTTGAGATCGATGCAAGGTTTTCCATTTTATGACAAACCAATGGTAAGCGTCAATCTCATGTAAATGTGATTTTAATTTATGAATAGATGAAAATATAATGTTTGTAATTATCTTAATTTTAGAGGATACAATATGCAAAGTCTGACAGTGATATAATTGCAAAAATAAAAGGCACTTATGCGGAACGACCTAAAAAACCGAAACGTGTTGTTCCTGCAGCAGACGAAGAAGCTAAACGTGCCAAAAAGAGAGCTAAAGAACAAGCTAAACATTCCCAACAGATTGGTTATCATGCTGGTGTGCCGCAACATCCAGGCTTAGTCAATACCGCTGTACCCGAACAACCACCAAATCAAATTTTATTCCTTACAAACTTACCAGATGAGACTAGTGAAATGATGTTGTCTATGCTCTTCAACCAGTTTCCTGGTTTCAAGGAAGTACGTTTGGTACCAAATAGGCATGATATCGCGTTTGTAGAATTCGAAAATGAAGTTCAATCTGGAGCTGCGAAAGATGCTCTTCAAGGTTTTAAAATTACACCTTCTCATGCGATGAAAATATCTTTTGCAAAAAAATAAAATATATAATATAGTTTGTATGGAAATGTTATCGAGAGAATGATAAAAAAACATGTGTTGTAATAAATCTATCTAGAAATTTATGCAAACACAATCAAGGGTATTAAAAGACTTCTTGAATGCAGATTTACGAACGTAACTCAAAGATATACTATAAAGATTCAAGAACGATACATGTACAAAATTTTATGTAATGTATACATACATATTACATTTCACACTGTAAATAGAGATTAAAAGATATAACATTTTTCAAAAATGCATAATTTATATGGAACTATTTTTTACTTAGTTTTATAATGATTAGATTAAAAAAGTGCAACAATTTTTTATATAAAATTCAAATTTACATAATAATTTATACAAATTTCAAAGAAACACTATAGAATAATATATTTATTCGTTCATTTATAATCAAACTTTTTACAAGTATTCACAGAACTATAATTTTGCTTTTCCGTTAAATTAATATAATTTTGAAAAATATTGCAAATTGCTCATTAAATTATACGTATGAAAATTGTACGTATAATTACATTTATATCGCTAGGAAACAGTAAACCAGTTAACTTTATAAAACCTCAATTTTTTTTAATTAAGGAAGGTAAAATGATCGAGTTCTAAGCTATTATGCAAAAATTTTATTTTATTAGCTGTCATAAACAAAAGATTTAATCATTAACAGTTATTGTAATAAAACAGTCGTAAATCGTTCCTGGTCAGTATTTTATGTTTAATTTAGTGATTATAATTTTTGAATGAGAAATGTACTTGAAGTAATTCGACTACTTCCCCCGGCGATTATCTTTGAAATACATTATTAATGTAAAATTACACGATGTATAGTCGCGATCAAGTTTCCAATTAGATACAGTTTTAGTTTTGTTTTGGAGAAGAGTAACAAAAACAAGTTTTAATTTATAAAAGAACAAAGTATAATGAGAAGGGAAGATAGAATTATATGTTTAAGAAACGTTTTTTTTTTTTTATTTTACTATCTGAATAAGTTTCAAGAAGGTTTATTATTTGCATAACAGGTCGTGAAAAGAACAATACAAATTACAACAAGTGAAATTTAATCAATAGATAACATTATAAGGAGTTAATATTTAGTTGCTAATCTTTTTATAACATTAAACCATCGGTTTGTTCGATCAATTAATAAAATTACTTGAAACCTTACGGCATTTGTTTTTAAACGTTAAAATAATTGATCCTTATTTAAATACCTAATTATTCATATTCAGTGTTCCGATCAAACTTGTATATTATAAAACGAGGTGAAATCAAATTATTTTTATATTTTCTATATATAGCACCATTAACAATGTCGATTTATACTGCCGACATCTTGAATAGAGGAAATTGATTAAATCATTAAATTCATCTTGCTACAATCTCACTGTGTTTTCCGATTAGAATTTTGGAATTTAACATATATGAAAAATTGTAAATATCATACAGATATACATATAGAAAAACGAAACAAATGTTTCTTACCAGTGTACCACTCTTTCAACATATATTTTATTTTCATTTTATATGAAATTTATTTTAGTTATTCTCGTTAAGAGTAAAACTGAAAAGAAAATTGCCCACTAACATTTGCCCGTTACTTAGTTGCTTTCCCGCCAAATTACCAATGCCTCGACTCTCATGAATATTAAATTATTATTAAGAATTCTTTTAAAATATTTTACTCGTAATCCAAATTTTTGGAAGCTTCGCTTTATCGCAGATTTCTTAAGATTTTTCAAACGATTATAATTCTAAATAATATCATGACTTTCTGGCGGGAACAGTTAGCGGGTTGTATGTGGAGTGGGGGTTTGCTCGGCTTCTTAGGGCAGCAAGCGATCGGTCTACTACAGTGCATCGTCTGTTCCAGATCAGTCGTGCCTCCCTGTTCGTACAGTAAATTCTGTTCGAGTTGCAGCTTCGTGCAGTGGATGTAGACGGTAGTATTAAAAGGAACATTAAAAAGAGGAAGCCTGGATAGTTTCTGTATAAGCAGTACACAAGGAAATTCGGAGTGTTTTAATATACTATACGGGTTAGAAATATAGCCCGGTTTTCTCACGCCACGACGCGCGCGCCGGCCGAACGGTTGCTTTGTCTCCATACACACGAGAAATTTGAGGTGAGTAGCTATCAACGTCTTTCGCTGCTGTAAATAATATACATTCAATGAGTATTCATGGGGATGAAAGATCGAACAACTTGCAGATTAGTTTTTCAATAATTTTTTGGTGGTACTTTCAATTTAAACCGATTATTACTTACAGCATACTTATTCATTTACTTATATGTACAACGTGAGATCGTTGATGGACGCTACCACGATTCTGGCGTTGCCATGATTTGTCGATCATGGCGTCCCTTTCAACCAAGTGATGCTTTTACATTTAAGTTTAATAGTAATTCTCTTATATTATTAGTCTTTTTTATTGCAAATGAACGCTAAACGTGTTAATAACTTGACATAATCGTTTATTTTTATTTGTACTTATTCGTACAGAAATACGAATAATGTATGGTATGGATAATACTTTTGAAAATGGCGGGCGCGGAAATTTTAGAAAGCACTCTCTTATTGCTGTAAACGGTTGGGGTAAATTAATAAGAATACTTCATATAATTTCGCTGTTTGGTAAAAACTAGTAGCATTTTGTTTTCATACATACGTATTAATGAATCGCTCGTTATAAATAATTGTGCATAATTATTGTGGCAGAATTGTAACAATTAGACAACCAGTCATGAAACTGCTGTTTAACGATATTCAATACAAACGCATTTTCGAGGCGCGTAAATTGTTCTTTGTGTAGTGAAATTTTTATTTTATAATTTTACTTTTGTATGAATTTGCTATAAACTATACGTGTTATTTTTTTTATTGTAAAAATACATTTGAAAATTGGAATTAACTAATTTTTACGAGTTGATTTAAAGATCAATAAATATATATTTTCTGTATTCTCTTTCTGGGTATGTATATTATCCATATAACTTCAAAATATTGTAATCATGTTATCTTTGTTTTTGTTATACTTGTTCTTTTATATTGCAAATAAAGATTTCTGCATTTATGTTTAAAAAGAATAAGTATCTTTGATTATACATGAGCAGTTGTTTTAATATGATTAATTTTATAACGAGAGATAATTTATCTTCATCTTTCATAAGTTTTATATACAATTACTTGAAAACAATTCGTGAAATTGTACCCTAATATATCGATGATTTTACATTCGTCGAATACTTTTTTCATTCAATCTTAAACTTAGATAGCGAAAGAATTATTTCAGTGTGCTTGTTTAGTGCCTTTTTGTATTCACTAAACATAAATTATAAACTGTCTTGTATCTTTACATAAGTATTTATATTATACTAAAATTGTAATTGTGCAGTGATAAAGAGGATAAAAAATGTCAGATGATAATTCATCGCCCATCGTTGAAGAGCAAAAAAAGAAACGAGGTAGGCCGTCGAAAGGAGATAAAAATGCTGTCAAAGAACCTAAAAAACGAGGGAGACCTACTTTAGACAAAAATAATGCACTACGTGCTGCAAAGTCTGATAACGAAGATGAAGGATCACCTGTACCTGTTAAAAAGGGTAGAGGCCGGCCAAAAGGTTCTCACAAAAAGAAGGTGTGTATTAATTAATTTTTTTAGTTTTCTTAATTATCGCTTAAACAAACTATTAAAAGAACTCTTATAAACTGTTATATCGATGAGACTTATTTTCAGAAAGAAAACAAGTTGTATAAAGAGCGATTTTTGTTGCTCGTATTACCAAATTTGTAAAATGTGAACAATTATGTAGTAATTATATAATATGAATTAATTTTCAGCAATCTCCTAAAGGAACTTCTTCAGGACGTGGCCGTGGTAGACCAAAAAAGAAAGAAGAAAAACCAGAAAGTACTGGTGAAGAAGAAGATGAACAAGAGGAGGAGGAAGAGGAGGAAGAAGAGAATTAAATTAAATATAAAGAAATAATTTCAATGTATCACACTGATTCTTTGAAAGATTTTTAAAAATTGATAAATTTAAAGTTTTTAAGTTCGCTTTTTATATAATAATCTGCAGTTTGAAATAGTAAAGCGGTAACGTTATTTTTAAAACTGCTCAAGTTCGAATGAAATTATTAAAAAAAACGTAATTTGTAATGACTTATATCTGTGAAAAATGAATGAAATGCACATAAAACTTGCATTAAGAATATGTAATACGCTCCTTTCTAGTATTTACTTCGTGTTTTTATAATTATTATATTTTAAGTATCGAAACTAAATGTATAAATATTTTAATGAAAGAAACTTGAAAATTCAGATCTCATAAATTATGTTACACGATCCGGATTTACGCCGAATGATAGTATAGGTGTATTCCAAAGAGCATTAATTTTTGCCCTGTAAAGTAAAAAGTAACCAGCTTCGACACTTCTAACAAAGACCACTTTTCCTTTTGGACATGAGTTCTTATTGGTAGCCACAGTGATTAATTCCTTCTAAAGGACAAAAATTAATGTTCCCTGAGGTATAATAAGTCGAATTGTAAAAGTATTAAGAGTTAGGCGAATTTATTTACAATTTTCATATGGATAATTTTTTATTTGTTCAACATGAAACATTATTTGTGTACTTCAAATTATAATTTTTATGGAACAAATGTGCAACTAAAATTATTTATGTTTTATTCGTTATTCTAAATCTTTGCTCCAGACGTGAATTTTGCCTGCCTCTCATTAAGAATATTGTACTGATCATTTGACTGACAATCTCCGGTTTTTATGGAACTTGATTATTTTTCCCCCGTTCGTATATGCGTTCGAACGAATGAAATACTACGTTTAATTATTAAAAATAAACATTAGCCAGTAAGAAAGTATGTGTCTAATATTTTTCAATACTCTGATTTTTTATAAAACTTTACACACAAATAGAGTTGACAATTAGGTAATATTTCTTATTAGACACAGACCTCATAAAGATTGATTAAAATATGTGACTGAATATAACTAGTAATTCCTGCCCGAATTGATTTTCCCTACATATTGCTTTATGAAAGGACAAATTGAAAGAAACAAACTGTGTCATATATAAATATACACATGTATATATAATATGTGCAAGGATAAGTGAAAGCACAAACATGTATTCCTGAATTTGCATTATTTGTAGATGAATGCTACGATTTTGTCGTCAATCCGGACCGTATAAACGTACGCATATACTGTCTAAATGAATAAGGCAAATTTAAAAAAAAAAAAAAAATATATATAACGTATTATTAAATCATATTTGTTACCTTTTTTGCTCTGTATGTGTATCATGATTCGTAAAGTAAATAATTTCATAGATATAATGCTGTAAGAAATAAAAAAAAAATTAAAATACTAGTATGTATTATGTGCAAATAATGTCCTTTTTTAATTAAACTTGAATATGTAAACATGACGTTCTTGACGCAAGCATATGTGTGAATGTTAAATTTGTATTAAAGTAAATAAACTTATAAGGTACTCTCTTAATTCCTGTATACACTTTATATTTTAGTTAAAACTGTTTTTTACCTTGAGATTATAATTTTAACAAATATCTCTTCCTGATTAAAGGTTTGGGTTAGGGTGAGCATAAGAGAATATTTTATAATTAAGTTTAGACATTACACCAAACGAATGGAATGCAGTCATAAATATTTTTAAATTATTTATTTGAGAGAATTTTTTGAAGACAAATTTTTCATAATATTTGAAACTGTATGTACTTATTTCTTCTTTATCATAGATTATCTAATATTGTTATGTTTAATACTTTATAATACTACATGTGGAAAAACAAAATTTCAACATTTAGTGTTGCAACTTTTGAAAATTTCGTTTCACTAATATATGTTCGAAGGAAATGGATACATATGTAGAGTATTTAAAAAGTAAGATACAAGACGTGTAGGATTTACAGTGCTCGCCTAGAACAGTGAAAATTGTGTAATCAACATGGACCTTAAAATTAATCCCTCCATGTTGATTAGATACCTTTTGCACCTCTCTGTGAGTACTATAAGACCTTCAAGTATTCGATCTTATTTTTTACATACTCTGTGTATGTGTACGCATACACACACACATACACATATCACATAATTAGTTTTCAAAAGCACATAGTAAAAATTTTACACTTGGAACAAAACTGTTATAAACAGTATAGAGTGAATACTAATGATAAAATAATGTTTATTATTTTTGTTTTATCACATATATCTATTATGGAACTATTTTGCTAAGCATGAATTCAATTTGTGATTTATAACAAATAAAGTCAATTCTACTATAGTGCTATAGAATTTTTAATAAAACATTCTAATGTTTCAAAAAATGTTATTTTATAAAAAAACCTGTGGAATTTGATTTTGTTCTAACTTGAGAAACATATATACAACCTGGTGAAGCATCGAGTGAACATAAAAATCTAATAAATACTGTTATTTATAATCTAGTCAAACTGAAGACAATACGTTTTTAAATGACTATTTTCATTTTTATTAATGATTTCCAAAGAGTTCAGCATTTTCTTCTGTATCCATAGATTGATATCCTTGCTATGAAAAAAAATTATTTTGCGCTATCGATGAATTGATTAACATAGAAAGTAAAAGTATCATACATACACGCCTTTGATGGTTATTGTAACACTCCTCCAATAATTCAGTTTCCCAGTCGTCTTCTTCTTCTTCCCCAGGATCAAAATTGTACATTGGCATAAGTCTGTGCCTTAAGCGTTCCAATTTTCTTTTTCTTGATATAATTATCACCTTTAAAAGTATAGTATATTGTCGATAACGAGCATTATGTCGAGCGATACGAAAATATATAGATTCTGCTAATAAAAAAAAATTATGCTTTTTCCAAAAAAATGCTATGGATTAATAAAACTTTAAATATAATATTGCAATACAAACTGATCAACAAACTTAGACTATACTGCAAAAAGGTAATAATACCTAATGTAGAAATATTTATCCAAGCATTGTAATTTGATCATAATTTTTATTTTATGCTTTTGTTTCTGCAAATTAATATCAGAGAAAGATTATGATTTAAATACAAAAGTGATATCGCTACCCATACCACAGCTGATAATACAATAACAAAGACCACTACACCAAGTGGTACAAAAATGTATTCTATTCCATCTGGTGGACCAAATTCATCGAACGCTTCTGTTGTTGTAGACATATATATGCTGTTGCTTGAAGTATCAAATGAAACTAGTGTACTATTAGGCAATGATGTTGTGGCCTTAGAAACATTCCATAATTGTTGACTAGTTACACTTTCTTCCGTAGAATACATATATGTCTCGGATGGTTCGTCGGATATATTATTTGCCACTGTAGCGGTATAATTTTTGCTATTATTGAGTAACATCACAGATGTTACTGAACTCGTGGTGCTTGTTATATTCATGTCATTCATTGTTGTTAATCAAAGAACTGCATTTGATTTTATGAAAAACATGATTTTAATCCTAAAGAAATCTAAGCTTTCGACATTGTACAATATGACTTGTTTACTTTGTTCTACAAAAAACAGTAAACATAATGTGCAAGTGGTATAACATTAATTACTTCGTTACCGATATATTAATAACATTAATATATTATTGTATCAGACACTACTTTATTTTAATGTACTCTGAATAACCATAGTATGCTGCTAATATACCACTTTATCACACATTCATAGTTACAGAATGTAACTGGAATAAAATAGAGATTACATTTGTTGGTTTGGATTCGTAAACGAATAGATAACTATGCATCTTGATAAATTTTCGTTCTATACTATCAATAGAAAATCCGATAAGAATTTCACATCATTCGGGACAGAACGTAATTTGATTGTTATACATATGCTTCCGTTTAGAATCTTCTTGATTTTATATTTCCACTTGAAAACTATCAATCTTTTAGAACAAGAATACCAAGTAGTTGACAACGGAGTTGCATGTTTTTGTTTATTGGCTAATCATTACGGCAGATGGAGTTTTTTTGATACGTGACTTTTATTTTTTCCACAAATAAATTATAGACATTTTCTTGTCCAATTTAACATTTCATTTCTGTAATATCGCGATGCGATTTTGCGTTACTTCGAAGATGCACTCTCCATGCATCTGCATACTCTACGATACTCTACATGAATTACATGGAGCGAACTGCGAACTACAGTTATACTGTAAACAGTACGTATCGAACTGTGCCTTGTGCCTTACCCAAAACACAACAGTATCATCTATCGATGTGCTTATCGAGTTCTGTTCTATCGATTTTAATACGTAATACGTCAGATACGTCTTTCAATTACAATGTATACAAAAAGAATAAAAATGTTCGATCAAAACAGATTTTCTTGCGTAGAACGTGATTTTTGTTATCGATTAGAATTATCACTGTATTATTACTGGATATGTAAAATATGCGTATATGTGTACATATGCAGGACGTTTGCTACGTATTATTACCTACATATAGCATTATCTCGTAAATTAGTAACAAGACAAGAAGAAAATGGATAAAGGAAAAATTTTACTAATTTTGTTTAAGCAACATGGTAGCTGTAAATGTATACATACACATTATATTGTAAATAATGTACTGAAATATTAATATTAATGTAATTGATGTTTTATTTATGATTATAATTAATGTTTGTATATTAATATCGTTTATCGTATTTATTTAATATAGCATCGTTCCACGGATCCGGACATTTTTCTCATAATTCTCTGAAATAGTTAATACCTCAATGAATACACTACTTTTTATTAAATCATGCCTATAAAGAAGCTTTTAATAACTTATGTCTACAAGTATTTCGTATAAAAATTTATTTAGAAACAATATAAATAAACGCCCGAATTATTTCTGAAATTAAATTAGGTATCAAGGTACGACGAAAAGTTGTATACAAAAACAAATAAAAAAATTAACAAGTCACGATTATTATTATTCAGAAACATTTGTTCTGACGATAAATATAAATGGTACATCACTAAAACATGAACATTCATGAAAATTTATCCTTTTTAATGGCAAAGTCATGCTTTGGTACATTTTATACATTTTGTAAACAGTTCTTTTTTCTATTAAAGATTTTTAATTTGTTAAATTTTTAAAAAATTTAATCTACACAAGGACATTTAAATCTTATTTTCATTTCCAAATATTTAGATTGTCGTTCGTTATATTAGATAAAGATATTTCTAGTACATTTATGTAATCTAGAAATGATACTACAATATTTGTTTAGAAAAATATATTTTGGAAAATTACATAAAGTAGGATAATTGTGTTTTTACATGTGAAATGCATAATTCCCTTCTTTATTAATTTACCAGTATTAAGAATTATTTATGTAAAAAGTTCAACAGTATCTCTTTTATAAGTATTAGACCCTACAATAATAACAGAAATATTCAACATTTTTTTATATTAAAAATCAACAGAATTGCAATGCAATTTATATTCCATGATAAATACAGGTTGGTAGGAAAGAACAGAAAGTACTAAAAATATTTAACAAGAACTGTATTAATAAAAATTATTTTACTAATACTGAAAAATGGAAACTGCATTCAGCATTTGGAATAGAAAGCTAGAGTGCAAAAATTATCGTACATAAATTTTGGAATATATACAGTCTGGAAAAACCAGTATTACCGTTTCTTACAAATGTGATCCAAAAGAAGTTAAATTTTTATAGTTCCCATAATCATTATAATAAATAGTTTTCATTGCTTAACAATGTTTGTGTTCGAGATGTATTACAATTTTTATAGTGCTTACGCTATAAAATCATTTGTAGTTACAATTTGTTCCTAAATCTTAATACAATTAAGATAATTAAGTTCGTTGTCATATATCTCTGTACTTTGTTTAATAATTCATAATTTTCATTAACTTCTTCTTAATAAGAGAACTGCGCGAAACAAGAAATCAATATTAAGTGGTCGATGAAAGTAAGTTATTTTAATGTTATCATATTTGTAACACATTTATAACTATTAAATAAATTGTATGTATAATCATTCATTAATGTAAAGCTAAGTTTGTTTCTCAGAAATTCAGATCTATGAAGATGTAAAGAAATTTTAATTAAATCTTATAAATTCATCTTAGTAATCTTCTTTATCACATACAGCACTTTATTGTTTTTATAGAACCTTTATAAATTTTATTTTAAATTTTTTAGTCGTGATAACATATAAGAAGTTTTGTACCATTTATTTTTATGATATTGTTTCCAGCAGTTCTTTGATAGTACAGATCTACCGACATACAAAAATTTAGGAATTGTTTTCTCCATAATATGACGAGATGAAATTCAACAACACATTCATATATCCGTTGCATAGTTAAAAAGCTATCACCTGCGATGGATTTGTACAGTCTCCTATTGTCATTCTATACATAGCCATCTCAGTTATTCCATGGTAATGAACAAAAGCAGCAGCAATTACTAATACATGGAAAATTTGATGACTCTGAAACTAAATATTATAATATTTTAATAAAGCGGCAAATTATTAACTGGAAAATATGTTTGAAAGAATGTATAATTACCCAAATATCAAATTTGCCAGGGAAAAATCGTTCAGGTACTCTTAATGCATAAAACATTGCACCTAAGATATATAAACATCCCATTAATATTAACCATCCAAGGGAAGCTTGACTAATTGCTTTAAACCAACCCTCTGCAATGGCATAATGAACTGCTGGTATTACCTACAACAATTAAAGTTCCTCGATGCGATACTGTGCTTTGCGATGTAACTGATAATTTTTTGCTAGACGTTACGTATAATATATATATATATATTGTGTGTGTGTATGCCTTACCCCGCTAAGACCAAATCCCATAAAAACACCTGCTCTTAATGGTCTGTAACTTGGTTCACCAAATCGTTCCCATAATGATACGACAATACTTGTTACACCAAGTATTACGACCACAGATAAGTAAATAAGTTTAGGTTGATAATCACAGTAAAAACCATAATACAACCATGGTACAAAACTACCCATAATTAGCATAGCTATTCCACAATAATCAAGTTTTGAAAATAACTTTCCAACACATTCGCTGTGGCAGTGTACTGTATGAAAGGCAAATGACATTCCTAGACATATGATAGCACCAGCAAAGAATGTACCGAACACCAATTTTTCTTCCAATTGTATTTCTATAGGAGACTGTGTTATGAAAAATATAGCTATGCCAATAAATGCCACACATCCTGTATAACATATATTAGCATTCATTAGAAATTAATCAACATGTAAAGTAAAATTTTTGTTTGCACATACATATTTTAAACATATTGATTGTCAGAAGAATATGTGTAAATAAATAAGTAACAATTAATAAATAGTAGGTAAAATATTTGATAGTAATTATCATATTTAAAAATCTTACCAAGTAAATGAGTCCAAATATTTCCAGTTTCAGTATGAATTCGAAATATACTTTTAAAACAAGCATAAAATGATGGTAAAGGTGGTCTATGACCAGCATGTAAGAAATCATTATCTTGTAACCATCTTGGGAGATTTCTAAAGTGACATTGTTTCCACGATGCTTCCCACACCTTTAAAAATAATTATTAAGCAATAAGTTTTAAAAATTAATCTGATACTATAAATAAGCACGCCATACGCAATATTTACCTTGCGAACAAATTCTTCAGCTTGCTCTGCAGCATTATGTGCTAATGCACCAAGATCAATTTCATCGCTTAATACACCAGCTTTCAATACCTCTGTCATCTATAACACGATAGTTTATGGATGTCAGAAAAATCTTTAAAGGTAGAACAAATAATTCTAACTTTATATTATTAATAATCAATAGGATATTTAAATTTCAAGTTTGTAAATGCGATATAAATTTTATAATTACATACCTCGCAATCCAAAAGATGATCATCTTCTGGAGTAGAAGGTAAAGGACAGCCAACTCCATCTTCTTCTTCTGCCAAACAGCTTGCGTCGTCATCATCCAACAATTCTTTAACTTCATGCAAGCCTGGCACTTCGCTATTTAACGATACACGATCGCTCCATGGAATTCTATGACGAATTCCTGCTTCTGTTGTACTGTTTTCATCGCTCCCTTTGTCCTCAACGATGAAATCCTCGTAATGCAACATGGTTTTGAATTGTAATAAATACCTTCAAGTTTCTAGAAAAAGTACGAAACTATTATAAAATTACATTTGTACAATTTAAACATCGATATGAAATTTTAATTGATATTGTACATTAATGTAGATACATCTATAATATAATGGCAGATACAGAAGATTTTGTTATTAATAATTATTTATTTTTAATATAAATTAATTAATTCCAGTAGTATCTAAATGTAATGACAAGAATTAAAAGGAATAGAAAATTACACAATTACATAATGCTAGGTTCACAAGACTTACAGGACTTAAAATTGTGTAATTTGTTAAATTTCAAACGATCAACAACGTACCGAATAATGTTTAGGAAATAATAAGAACTTAAAAAGGTCATGACTTCTTATATAATGACATTACGATAAATATACACATACGTTTCGATAACTGCGGAAAAGAGAATGTTGACAATAATACGTTAATCTAAGTAAACTATAGATAATTGTTTACCATGAAATGATTAATTACTTTGAGAATTTACACGGTTTTTTGAAAAACAGAATTAGAGTAATAGTTCGATAAATACAGTGTTTGATTGACGATCGAATACAAGACATATTTAATACGTACCCGTCGCACGACAAATCTCCTAACTTTTACATTTACGTCGAGAAAATTTGAAGTTTCACCGTAATAAATAAACATAAATAATTCAAAACATGCTTTTAGTGGGTACAAACTATTTTATGCGACTACTAATTTTCAGTTGTTCATTGCCACGACAGATGTCGAAAATAGCCGAATACTAGATACCATACCACGTGTCAACATTTATATACCAGTTACAATCGCTGGTATGTACGTATATATGTATGTATGTACGCATACTTATTTTTCTACACTAACTTGTCATACACACGACGCATTGATGTGAATATTTATATTAAAATTAATTCAAAAGGAAAAATATTAATTCGATTTCCGTCATATTGTAATTCAGTTAAAGTGAATTTTGCTATGATGGTAAAATTTGAAAATATTATTTTCCCTGTGAACTTTGTTTTGTTATCTAAAATACAAAAGTTTACTTAAATATAGTGTAAAAAACTTGTAAGCTTATATAACTATTATCTCCATTTGTTAAACGTTGAATATAGATGTATGCATACATACATATAGATCTAACATTTAAAAATGTTAGACTCTCACAAGTTAATGTATACAGTCACTACGTGTATGTATTTTCCATTTAACGATACTTCTGGTTTATGTAGAATGTCGTTAACAGAGATGGGCAAAATTTAATTCGAATACTATAAAACGAAAGAACCAATGTGTAGTGATTTATTTATGACGTTTATTATTTAAAATATACACTACATCATATGCAGACCATGGAGTTTTTGACAGTTTGTCGAACCTTTTGTGTTTTCACTTTTAACAAAGAAGTATTAAAGTACGTAAAACTACGTGACCGTGAATCAAAGTATGTAATTGGTCCTCTACATTTTTGGTCAGAAATTGAATAAGATTCGTCACACGATTAAAAACTAAAGCCGTGTATCCATTTTCTTTATAGTCTTACAGTTTCACTCGTATTCACGAAATGTATATGTAATTAGTAACGGTATCTTGACATATGTCAAGATCGTGTCTTGATCAAGACTATATCGATGTTTTGTCATTTATAAATCGATTAACATCGATAGTAGTTGGTCGATACATTGATATTTTTTCATTTTTGTTATTCTGTGTTTTATTGTGATCCGATAATCGAACGTTCGAATAATCGACTGTAATCGGCGTTTTAATTTTTTAACAACGGATCAAGTCAAATATTTATAATGACAGAGTTAAAAAATAGAATGTATTCAAAATTCCTATACATCACAATTGTAGTTATGATGTACTGGTAAGTTAAAAAACAACCTATGTTGATAGTTGTTAACAAAATATAATGTTATTTATTTATATTAAAGGAAATTTTTAACACAGAAAAATTAATAGTTTTAAAATGACAATCTCATTTATACAGTTTAATATATTTGCAGGACAGTATCTATATTAACAGTATTTATAAACAAAGCTCTTTTATCCAGCAGTATTATAAACTTGGACGCACCACTTTTTGTAACATGGTGTCAATGTATAGTAAGTTTAATTATATATGCAACTTTTAGTAATTTATCAAAGTGTTTTCCAACATATATTAAGTTTTCGAACGGAAATCCATATAGTAAGGAAATATTTAGAAAGGTAATGATTATAATGTAAAACAATATTAATAAAAAGAATGAGTTTACAACTGTTATATTTATAGGTATTACCATTGTCTCTTTTATTTACTGGAATGATTGCAACTAATAATTTATGTTTAAAATATGTTGGTGTTGCGTTTTATTACGTGGGACGTTCATTAACAACAGTATTTAATGTTATTTTCACATATCTCATACTTGGTAAGAATATTTACTAAAAATGACAGTGTCAATGAATATAATGAATTATTATAATTTCACAGGTGAAAAGACTTCTATAAAGTGTATTGCATGCTGTGGATTTCTTGTGATTGGATTTTGGCTTGGTGTGGACCAGGAAAATATTGCAGGTTCTTTATCTATTGTAGGAACAATTTTTGGTGTACTTGGGTCATTAACACTTTCTCTGTATTCCATTCATGTGAAGCAAGTTCTCCCTAAACTAAACCAAGACATTTGGTTACTTTCTTATTACAACAATGCGTACAGTGTTATTATATTTCTTCCATTAATGGTAGCAAATGGAGAACACGTTGCAGTATATAATTATGATAAAATTGGATCCTTGTCTTTTTGGACTGCTATGACTATTGGTGGTATTTGTGGGTTTGCTATTGGCTATGTTACTGCGCTCCAAATAAAAATAACATCCCCTTTGACGCATAACATTAGTGGAACTGCTAAAGCTTGTGCGCAAACAGTTTTGGCAACTTATTGGTTCAATGAAGAAAAATCATTTATGTGGTGGACAAGTAATGCAATTGTGCTTAGTGCTAGTGCAATGTATGCCAGATTAAGACAACTAGATTTAAGCAAAGAATACAGAGAGGAAAGAAAACAGTTAAAACTGTAATAAAGTATGAACGAGAGAATGTAAAAATAAATATGTACTTTTATTTAAGTCTATATGCATTTAGAATAATTAAATTGTACAGTTATTTTATATGTGATGTACAAAAGTCTATAGTAATATGACTAGTGTAGATAGTATTTAAAATTTTATTGTATAAAAATTTGTATAAAAATAAGTAAATGAAAATAATTACGAATGAATTATTTTAATAAAATAATACGAATTACTGAATATATTATTTTTAATAGATGAGATAGAAAATAAATTTTAAAATCGTGATGCAAGACCACCTCCTCGGCTATCCGAATGACTTGACATTAAATCTTTTCTTTTTATGATAGCATTTACACTTTTTAATACTAAATCAGTATCTACGTACAGTGTTGGTACCATTGTATTTAATTGATTCCGTAGTAGAACACTTACAGAATGTTTCTGATCGCTTTCTACAGCAAGCCCATCTAATAAGAAATAGTACCTAAGGACAATAAAACTATTCATTAGAAGAATAATGTTTTCATCTCCATCATAATATAAAGTATATAATAGAATTTTTACCTTGGATATTCAATGGCTTCGGAAACATTTAATTCGCGCACTATAATATTATATAACAACTGTCCAATAATTAATGTATCATCCGTTCCAAATATTCCTCGCAAACCGCATAATGCTTTTTCACTATGAAAGATGATTGGCGCGAGCATAGTTAAACTGTTGTTTGTATCAGTCTTATCTAACAGGAACCCAGCATTTGACATGTGTCCAAGACCAAATGGCGCACTAAGCCCACTATAGTATATTTAAATTATTAATTTGTTAAATAATGTATATAGATAGATTGCAATACTAACGTTATAATACAAACATAAGTATCTTTCCAATCCATTGCCATGACTCCAGTATATTTTTCTTCCTCTGCTATAATTTATTATTTCATAAAATTGATACAGCTGTAAAATGTATATTATTGAATAAAGATAAAGATATGACAAATATTGCAAACCATGTTGTTTCAATTGCGACTGAATCGAAACAGAATGTATCAATGCTTCGGCTACACGAATTTGTGTTTCTGTTACAGATACATTTTCAGTAGATATTTTAAGATTTTTTAGAGATACAATCATTGACTCTAACAATGACATGTGTGGAGGATAATACACTGCATGCTTATAGAAGCTCGATTTCTTTGCTACATATACAAGAGGTTTATAATTTGCTAATTGTGTCAACAACTTTGAAAGTTGATCTTTGTCATGTAGGAGTTTTTGTGAAAAAGTTCCATTGTACAACACTGAAAAGAAGAAAAACAGGTAAGCAAATTTGAATTACAAAAAGTTGATAAAATTGTATAAAATTACAATTTCACTGTCGTCGATACAGTGAAAACACAACGTACCATTAATGCCATGTTCTGCTACAGCATTTAACATATCACCAAGCATATCTAATTTTAATATATCCCCTGCACTAAGGTGTCCATACAAAATTTCATAATTAACGTTTTTTGATACTTCGGTTGCCAATTCCTTTGATACAACAAATCCTTCTTTAGCTAAAGTTACAGAAGGCATGATAATTTCACTCCATGATAGTTTACCTTCTAAGGTATGTGCATATTTTAATCCTTGTAATACAGCTGGTATACGCATTTTACTTTGCGCAAAAGTACCTGATGTATAAATTACACAGACACTATGAAACATTTATAAATAAATTTGAACCATTTATTTTAAAAGTATTATCTAAATATATCTACCCCCGATCGTATTATTGGCAAAATCAATAATAACTGGATTTGTTTGCTCTTTATGGTTATATATCATGATATAGCCACCCCTAAAATTATAATTAGATGATTTAACAAATATTAATGCGGCTCCAAATATGACTTACCCACCAAGACCTGTTTTATGTGGTGCTACCACCGTCATACAAACTGTAGCTGCTATAGCTGCATCTACTGCATTCCCACCTTTTCTTAATATTTTAGTACCAATTTGTGAGCAATTTGTATAATCGGTTGCAACTGCACCATGAATTCCTGCATAATCCTAACTCAAAACGATATTGTATATGACTTTTATATGTATTTTTGTTACATTTCTATTTATAATGATGTATATACCTGAGGATGTTTCTCCGTGTAAAATATTTGTAAAATTAACGTTGTCGTAATAGAAATAGTCAAAATGGTAAAACAGCTTATAATGAATTTTAATCCATCTCCACAATATATACTTAACTTATGTTTATAACTTCTATTTTTTGTCAAGGGACATTCTTCTGTTGGACCTTTTAAAATTAAAGAGGTTTATCGTTACAGATTGTCTTACAATGAATTATGTATAATTAAAACAACAATAAAACCATATTACATATCATAAATACCCTCTTAATCTTAAATTATCTTAGATTAATAGTAACTTTATTTATTTAGTTAAATTACTAAGAGAAGATTTAGGTTAGTAAAGAAGATCTTAAAACTGGCAATTATTTATTGAAAATATTAGTTGTTATTGGTACTAAATTGAGTACACATGAGAAAAAAAAAAGAAAAAAACGGCAGCGATAATAACAAGTATTTATTACATATGACATATTTTCAAAAAGTTTTGTACAGAATTCATTAGTAATAATAATTGTAAGTACATATTAAAATTGACAAGGTTATGTTTAAATAAATAGTTTGACTTGTTTACAAAAAGTCGAATCGAACAATACTTACGAGAGTTATTGTAACGCATCATGAATACATAAATTAATTTGATTAAAGCAATTAAATATCAATAATGTTGCGTTACGGTGTTGAGAAAATATGCATTGTGTTTACCTAACTGTAAATTTGACCTGCTTTTCGTCTTGTAATACTTACGAAACATTAATTGAATACATATGGATAGTTGACAAAATTAAAAGAAGCGAAAACAAAATAATTATATACGAATTTTACATTGCGATACAATTAATAATAAGTATTGTAGAAATATTATCTAATATCGTATAATGTGTAATACAGCAATACGTATAAATTTTATACCATTTATAACTAATTGTTAAATGGTATTTTTGTCATTTGTCTGAATATAAAGATAAAATATGTAATAATATTTATGTAGCTATAGAAAGTAGTTATATGTATAAACTTGTTTATTTTCCAAGTACGTGTTTGTAAACAAAAATGTTTCCATGAAAGAGATGAGGATATTGAATGAAAAAAGGTACACTTATTGTTTGGAAGGTACATATTGCTAATAAAATATTGTATTATATAATTTTCTTTGGTATAATATATAAAAACAAATTAAAATGTCAACCGATATGTTAGAAATGTTAAAAGAACCAAGAATGATAAAAGTATGTGCACCAATGGTCAGATACAGCAAGTAAGTGATACAAAGGTTATTATGTATGTTCCATAGATATGTATTTGTTAAAGTAAATTTGAGTTAATAAAATTTAATTTTCTGACAGACTGCAATTTAGGACATTAGTAAGGAATTATGATTGCGACATATGTTTTACACCTATGATCTTAGCTGATTCGTTTATACGATCCGATAAAGCCAGGGATAATGAATTTTCAACCAATAATGAAGATAAACCATTAGTTGTTCAATTTGCCGCAAAAACTGTGAATGATTTTGTTAATGCAGCAGAAATGGTTGCCCCGTGAGTTTTCATTAAATATTGTTTTTCTGTGCAAATTTTGATATCTAACTAATGATTGCATTAACAGATATTGTAATGGTGTTGATCTAAATTGCGGCTGCCCTCAACGTTGGGCAATAAAAGAAGGATATGGAGCTGATATGCTTAAGAAACCACATCTTGTAAAAGACCTAATATATCAAGTTAGAAATCGAATACCAAATCCATTTACAGTATCTGTGAAAATACGATTGTTGAAAGATATTCGTAAAACCATTGAGTTTTGTCGAATTCTTGAAAAAGCAGGAGCTTCTTTTCTTACTATTCATGCTAGAACTCCTGAAATGAGAAACGAACCAATTGATATAGATAATTTAAAATTAGTAAGGGATAGCGTCAAGTTACCCCTCATTGCTAATGGAGATGCAAAAAATTTGGAAAATGCAGAAAACCTATTTATAGAAAGTAATTGCGAGGCAGTGATGTCTGCACGAGGGATTTTAACAAACCCAGCTTTATTTTCTGGTCATTCAATTACACCTCTAAGTTGTGTACAAAATTGGTTAGATATTACATCAATTATACCAACACAGTTTTTATGTTTTCATCATCACCTAGTATTTATGTTAGAAAAATTACTTCCAAAGAAAAGCAGGATGTGTTTCAATAGTTTACAAACCAAGCCAGCAGTATTAGAATTCTTAGAATATTATTACAGTATAAAACCGAATGTGAATCCGAAATTATCAGAACCTATTAAATGTACTTTTAATATTCCAAATATAAAATACAATAAGTATAATACAAATGACGAAGATGATTTATGTACTAATTTCTTGGGAAATATATTTGCAGAATCATAAGTTAATTTATTTGTGTTTCATATATTTATATAATATAATTAATAATGATGTAGGAAAATTAATATTTAACAGAAACAAATTGTTTCAAATATGATTAAAATGAAGCGGTATTAAATAGTTTCGAATTACGAACGCTAGGTGCGCTTCATTCCAAACACGATGTGTATGTGAAACATATTATTTTATAACCGCGAAATTTCTGACACTTCCGAAACTTTTTAATACTTGGTTTTAATTGAAAAAAGTGAAAAATGCATTTAATAAATGAAAAATAAGGAGGAGCATGTAGCAGTTTGTTGCAACAATATGAAGAATTTTGAATTGAGACTATATGACTTTCGGACCCTAACACATAATGGTAATATTTCATAAAATTTATTTTAAATTTCATAATTTTAAGTAATCTACTTCCTTACTGAAAAATTAAATACTATACCATTATAACATTTTAATAACATTTTCACTAAATGTTTCTTTTTAATATTTCATAAATATTTGTATAGTAAGAAATATACATATTTGTAAATATTTGTAACAATATTATGTGAGAAAATTTTGTTTTTATATTTACATGTAAGATTCGATCTTTCGCACCCAGTCAAAGAGGAAAGCGTCCATTACTCTCTGATGTATCCAATAATACATCTTTTTCTCCAATTGTGCCGCAAGTACATCAGGCAAAGAAAAAGGTTTGCCGTAATATCAGAGATGTAAAAATACCAGAATGTAAAGCTATTGCTCTTACAGCTGATGATGTTCAAGCGACGCAGGAAGTAATTTCTGAACATGTAGTTATTTTTATTTCTTTTACAACATTATTTATAATATAATTTATATAAAGTTTGTAATCCTATACTTAATAAAAAAATACCATTGAGCTTATAGGAAGAAAAAGTGAAGAAGCTTCTTAGTAAACCATTCAAGATACCAATCCCTGGTTATCAGCTGTCAGGTCGTGCATTAGGTACGCATCTGTCTGGTCCTCGCAGACCGTTACATGATCCTGATGAAGCTAATGCACTTATTGTTTATTCACCACCTAAATTATCCGAACACGATAGACTGAAGTTAGATCAGTGAGTATAAAACATTTTGCCTTAAACATCGATGAATTGTTCATAATTAAACATATTGTACATGTTTTAGATCTAAACAGCTTGTACATGTCGTGGTAGATCCTTTATTATGTAATATTTTAAGACCTCACCAAAGGGAAGGTGTTAAGTTTATGTATGAATGTGTAACAGGAAAACGTATAGAAGGTGCTTATGGATGTATTATGGCAGATGAAATGGGTCTTGGGAAAACTTTACAATGCATAACTCTTTTATGGACTTTATTAAAACAAGGTGAATTATTATTACATTGTATAGAAACTGTAATTAAATTGTAAATTCAAAGTTAATTTCTAATGATATTTTAAAGGACCCGAAGCTAAACCACTTATAGAGAAGGCTATTATTGTTGCACCAAGTTCTTTAGTTAAAAATTGGTACAACGAGATTTTTAAGTGGTTAAAAAATAGAGTACAACCGTTAGCCATTGATGGTGGAAATAAAGCAGATATTGATGTAAAACTTACAGGTTTCATGAAAACTTACGGTCGTAGGTGCGCTAATCCTATTTTAATAGTGAGCTATGAAACTTTTCGTTTACATGCACATGTTCTCCACCAAGATGAAGTAGGACTCGTACTATGTGACGAAGGTCATCGTTTAAAAAACTCAGAGAATCAAACATATCAAGCGCTTATAAATTTGAAGGCTAAAAGAAGAGTGTTACTTAGCGGAACGCCTATCCAAAATGATCTTTTAGAATATTTTTCTCTTGTACATTTTGTCAATCAAGGATTATTAGGAACTGCACAGGTATATTATCAGTTTAAAAAAAATTAAAAGCATTCTGTTCGGTCGGTCAACAATTTAAATCATATTGTAATTTCATTTAGGAATTCCGAAAACAATTTGAAATACCAATTTTACGAGGGCAAGATGCAGCTGCAACGGACGCTGAACGCAATCTTGCTCAAGAACGTTTATCAAAATTAATAACTATTGTTAATAAATGCCTCATTAGACGTACTAGCGCTTTACTTTCTAAATATTTACCATTGAAACACGAGCTTGTAGTTTGTATAAAAATGGGGAAATTACAGACTGATCTTTATAAAAGTTTTATACAAAGCGATAGTATAAAAAAATCAATGGAAGGTTTGTTATTATTGATTTTTTATTGTACCATAAATTATTTTTAAATTTCACTGATGTATGTTCATTTACTCTTTACAGAGGATTCTGAAGGTTCTAAAAAAGGAAGCAGTCTTTCTGCAATCACGCTTTTGAAAAAGTTGTGCAATCATCCTGATTTAGTTTATGATAAAATATTGAAAAAAACCGAAGGATTTGAAAATGCTGCAAGCTTGTTGCCATCGAATTATAGTACCAAGTGTGTATTACCAACATTTATTAACACAATGAAACGTACCATTATTTTTGCCTTCATAATTCTACTTCTAGAGAAATTTTACCCGAATTATCCGGAAAATTAATGGTATTAGATTGTCTTTTGGCATCTATCAAGACAACAACAAATGATAAAATTGTATTGGTATCGAATTATACACAAACTCTTGACCTCTTCGAAAAACTGTGTCATAAACGGTGCTATAATTACGTTAGACTCGATGGTACAATGACTATCAAAAAAAGGGCGAAAGTAGTAGAAAAGTTTAACAACCAAGACAGCAATGACTTTATTTTCATGCTTAGTTCTAAAGCTGGTGGTTGTGGATTAAATCTTATTGGTGCAAATCGTCTAGTGATGTTTGATCCAGATTGGAATCCAGCAAATGATGATCAAGCTATGGCCAGAGTGTGGAGAGATGGCCAAAAAAAGCCATGTTTTGTATACCGTTTTCTTTGTGTATGTAACACAGTCTTACAATTTCTTTTAGTTTTTACACTGTTTAAATTTTCATTTAACTGTTGTAGACTGGTACTATCGAAGAAAAGATTTTTCAAAGACAAGCACATAAAAAGGCCTTAAGTTCAACGGTCGTTGATCAAGAAGAAGACGTTGCAAGACATTTTACGTTAAACGATTTGCGAGATTTGTTTAAATTGGAAGAAGATACGATATCAGATACTCATGCAAAGTACGTAGGAAATAATTCAAAATTATAAACATCTACCATATATGTATAAGTGATATAATTAAATTAATTTTCGTGATTATTTTTAGATTCAAATGCAAAAGGTGCATTAATGGTATAGAAGTGACAGGACCACCCGAGCAATCGGATTGCAATTCTGATTTGTCAGATTGGAGGCACGCTCATAATCCCCGAACTTTGCCAGATTTATCACTACGGCAATGTTGGTCAAGTGGAATTTCTTTTGTTTTTCATAATCGTTCACACGACAAGTAAAATAAAATTACAAGTTTTTCTTATTTTTTCTGTTTACACCGGCACACGATTCTATGCAAAAGTTATTGAAATGTCCATTTAATGCATAGAATATTTATAAACTAATTTGCAACCTAAGAAAAGTATATCCTTAAACGAAAGCCTTAAATCCGTTCAATGTTAATATTTGAACCAATGTTGTTTTGTAAAAATACGTAACTGTAATTTATTGTAAGTATTATGTAGTTTTAAAGGAAAGATCGAACAGTATGAAATTTGCACATACATATCTAGGGAACACGTATACGAGAAAGTTTTCGTTTACAGAGATTTTGGATGGTATATAGTATAGTATATGTATATTAAAAATTTTTGTATTCATAAATGCTGTTTTGTAATTTACTACGAAAAAAATACTATGAAATCTGAAATCAAAATGTTAAATTGTAATTTCCCAAAAAGATTATTTATATACACTTGCTCTTTGATAAATTTGCAAATAAATGCGGTAAGATATGAAACCGAGGAAAAATGGTGAAACGACGAGAAACCTATTCCAACGTGAGAGTAAAGTATATTTCGAAGCATGATGTATTTTATTCGAGCAATAGATTTATAAGCTTGCTTTCGGATGAGTTGTGCGTAGAAAAGCAAGGGTCAACAGAGGGCTTGAGGAATTTGTTCCACATAAACAGCGGAACAGTGGAGAAAAGTGGGGAAGTGAGAGGAAGTTAGAGTGGGGGAATGGAAATAATGGAAGAAGCAACACGTGACCAGGGAATTCGAGCTCCGATTGGCGGATAGTGATGAACGTTGCTTTCCCTCCTGACCCGTTGCCATTCGCTCGCCCTTCTTCCGAGGTTCTGTGCAGCTGCCCGCTCAGAATAGTTCCAGATGTGGCCATGTTTAGTTTGATCTTTGAAGTTTTCGCTCATCGTCTCATAACTGATACATTTTTATACTATCTGCTGACACAGTAATACGGTCTGTCCGACCATCGTATTTTTCGCCTGCCTGCGGCTAGTCTCGTTCATAATACATATGTTCTTCTTTTGCTGAGATAAATCTCCAACGCGGAAGTACACGAGGGACGTAAAACGCTGTAAAACCATCGGGAGACACGAATCGCGTCGAGTCCGTGGATATTAATTTTCGAGAATTCTATCGCCAATAACAGACGCGCGTCTAATTAAATACGCAGTTGTTTCAACGGCAAGGCCAGATCAATTTGTCGTTCCCTTTCTCTCTCTCTCTTTCTCTCTCCCAAAGATTTTAAATAAAAAAAGAGAGCGCCGTTATCAAATTACGACGGGAATCGTTAAAGTGGAAGCTACGCTTCACATATTCTTCGAGGCTTCAATTGTAGTTTGTCGGAGAAACGTTGGGATTTTTTCCTTTTCGTAAAAGTTGCAAAAAAAAACCGAATAATACGCACGCGCGTTTCCTTTTGAGCATCGCCCCGTTTTTCACTCGCTTTACCAAGTATATTTACGTCCATACGAGAAAGATAATCTAAGACGCCTACGAACTTATCGGCGAGCCGCCATATGCCACGTCAAGCCAGAATGACGTTGCAGTGGCGAGATTGCGCCATTTAACGAAATTTAATAGCGAAGAAAGGAGACACAGTGAAATACATACTTGACCGAATCTAAAGTGCAATAATAAATATTCCGGATAAAACGGAGGATACAGAGAGAGTATTTAGTACGAAATAGCCTGTGTTCAGGCGTGAAGAATATTTGAGAGAAAAAGATACAGGGGCGTATCCGAGTTGAGAAAAGGGAAAAAACGTTAACGAAAACTGGTACATTCGGTTGTTGGTGCGCGCAAGCGCGCTTACGTTAATAACAAGAGAGAAAGAGAAACGGAAAGACACGAAACATTCTGTAGGGTAATTTGTGTCCTGTAACGAGTATTTTCAAAATTTCAAATGCTAGAATTCAGGCACGCGATTATCTTGCAAACAAAGAGCCATCGAGTGTGGTCGCGTCAATCGATCGAATGATCATCGTCGGGCCACAGTGCTATATCATACGGTACAAAACACGATCGATCGGGACAAAACAATGGCATTAGAGAGTGTTTCCGCGGCTGAGACTCTAATCCAAAGGTTTGCCTCCACATTTTTTATTCACCACAAACAGTCGAAATTTTCTATGACTGTTAACTACCACCACGTCACACGTTGACCCCCCTCTTCGGAGGCTCCGTGCTGTCCCCCGCTTTCGTTCGGCATACACCATTGGCACTGCGAGGAAAAACGAACCCATTACGCTGTTGTTCGGGTACACGTAATTCATTTATTTTCCTTATCTTCTTTACGGTTCTTCATTGCTCGGAAATTAAGTTAGCCAGCTGTTCTAAAATTACCACTTCGCTTTCTATGTGCGAATAAACGCCTTGACATCGTTCATAAGGTCAAGGCCATTCTCGTAACAAAGATAGTTCTTCATGCATTTATGAGTGTAACGAGCAAACGTATTCGATCGAGTTCGCATATACCAAAAAAATTATTCGGATGAATTTGTCCAAGTAACGGTAGAAATTTTAGTTGGATGAAAATATGTAAACGTACGTGGCTACTACATGTATCATTTTCATGCGTTACATGTGTAACTTTCATTTCTCGATGAGCATTGAAGGACTACGTATCGATGGAATTTCTCTTGTAAATGAAAATTATAGAATCGAGGAAATATGCACGGGATCTTCGAGGAGTAAGACATTCCTGTTTATACATTTCCCGACTTCGTATACGACATATTTACACAGACAGATTTACACAGCTATCTAAACGTATCACACATGTAGCGAGTACGTATGTACATACATACATGTATACATAATTTACGTACATATGTATGTATATGCAAGCGGAAGAACGAGGACAAACGGGTCTGCACGCGAAAAAATTCTGACGGTGCGACGTCGATTTAAAAAAATATGTTACATGCACTGTTGGCAATGCTGTAACGATGACAATGAGATATGCTGCAAATAATGTGATGTTGTATATCGATCCAATGTTTATGCTATTGCATCGATCATGATGAATTATGATAGTTATGATAATAATGATGCTAATGATGAACGTGATTCGTGGGTAAGGTAACTCCAATCTATTTTATTTTTCTACACGACATGCAGACGACGCGTTTCATTGTGTTCTATTTAACAACTTTCAGCGCCTCTAATTTGCAAGTTACTTTTCTATTTACGTATATTAATTTTTAACGTGGGAACGGTTATTTGCTTCATTTTAAATGGGTATTTCGTTTTTATATTATGCGTATCAACAACGTACAAACATCATTGTACGTCTCGGGTGAATATCGTCTTGCAGTTAAACGAGTCGAAAAAGATATTGTACGAGTCGTAGAAAAACCTATCATTTTTCAAGCATATGTATGTATCGTTTGACTATATTTCTGGGTTGCATCGATCGGTGCCCGCTGTGCTATACAACATGTCCGTTAGTCGTGCTCCAAAGACAAAGCTAATGTTTTCAGCTCAACTAGTAGCGGAAGCTCCTTTCGAGTATACTCCGCTCGACCAAAGTTTTCGATGTTCCTTTATCCACAATTACATACAGACCCATAATGTATTTAATGACCATTGCTGATAATGTCCTTGACAGCTATTACAAGTACAATATTTATTCACGAAAAATTTTTCTTTTATTTAATCGACGAGACGTATTTTACGTTATTTCTTTGGTCATTTATAGATAATAATGACGATGATGGCAATGAGGTGATAGAGATAAAAAAAAAACATTTTTAATTTTCTATTTTAATTCGTATGACTCATTGAATTAATTTGTTCATGAGAAACCTTACCCACAAAGAATTTCCAGAATTATTAGGTATATTAGGGTGTTGGATATATAAAGATATATAAAAAAATATTTAAAATAATTACTTTTATGTAATAGAGATTATTCCCCCTTTGCATTAAGTTTATGAACCAATTTTACAATTTCCTCTCTCTGCATAAAATTATTTGAAAATGTGTGGTTTTTATTTATAAACATTGGATAGAAATTTAAAATTATATTTATACAACATCTCGATGCTTGACATTTTTTTTAAATATTACATTAACGTTGTATTATTATACAATTAGTTTATAATTGAACAAATATAAAAATTGGATGATAATTGGTAAAAGTTTATATAAACATATGTCATTGTTATAGACATTTAATATGATATCCTAACACGTTTTAAAAGATGATTACACAATAATGTAAACAAAGATATCGCATACACACTGTGTAAAATTTGAACAAAATTACATATTCCCTAAAATAAACATCTTTTAACTAATATTATATTTTTAACATATGCATAGTAATAATGACAATGACTTGGAAGACGGAGAAATTCCGTCTGATGAAGATGACGAGCCTGTACCACCACCTGTAATTGACGATACCGTTAAAACTGCATCAAAGGCAGATACATCAAAAAATAAAACCTTTGATTCTAAATTTAGTAAAAATAAAAAGCCCAGCGTTCAAGGAGGTAGTAAGCATGACAGATTTTTGAAGTATAAAAGTCCAACGGAAGATTGGGCCGGAGATGTTGAGAAAGCAATCAGAGCAGCTCTAGAAGAAGATGGTGCCAGAAATCAAGATTCTAAATCTAAGAATAAAAATAATAGAAATAAGAGTAGGAAAAGGCTACGCGATGAAAGGGAAGAAGACCGTAGCAAGGATCAGAAGGTGTTTAGATAAATAACATTTTATCAAGTAGCTGTAACAAATTATCTTTTGCTAGGAAATTTTACAGTATTATATTAAAATGATAAATAGGTTTATGGTAAATGTATGGGTTACAGAGACGAAAGGTGAGCGACGATGAAAATGTTAATGAAGATGAAGATGAGATGTTATTTGTGAGAGGTGCTTCACCCGTTAGGAAAGATTCGCAAGAAAATAATTCTCCTAGACATACCAATGAACATGAGAACTTTGACAGTAATTCTGATTATGATGAAAGGCCTAATGTAAATCGACATAGGGATAATGATACTAAACGTGGCAATACAAGAGGAGGAGGAGGAGGGGGAGGGGGAGGAGGAGGAGGAGGAGGAGGTGGTACGATGATTTCTTGTAAATTCTTGATTCTTTCTTGCAAATTTTATAAAAGTATTTCTATTTGTAACAGGACGGAGAGGAGGTAAAAATGAACGTGGCGGTAAAAATAAAACTCGCGGGCAAATGCGAAATGACAGAAATGGACGAAGAAATCAAAATAATGATCACAATCAAGACCCAGATGCTATATGCGTTTATTACATGCAAGGAAAATGTCATAGAGGAGATGATTGCCCTTTTTCGCATAATGCATTGCCACCTAGAAAAATGGAATTGTGTAAATTTTATCTTATGGACTGTTGCGCGAAGAGAGACAAATGTCTTTACATGCATCATGATTTCCCATGTAAATTTTTCCATACAGGATTGAAATGCAATCAAGGAGAAAATTGTAAATTTTCTCATCAACCTTTGAACGAACAGGTACTGATTACTAAAACCTTTATGTTTCGTTTAAAAGTCACACGAGAAGTAACATTTTTTTTATCTTAGGTGAAAGGAATTTTACTGAAACACTTGGAAACAGCACCAAAGGAAATTCTTGGTGATTTTCCACGGTTAAGTAGGGACGGAGCGATGCTGATGATAAATAACACGGCAAGAACGCTAGCTCAGGGTCAAGAGGTAACAAATCAAAAAATTCCAAGTCTTTTTGATTTAAACGTGACTGCACCGATTAATACCACCGAGAAAAGTAACGAAAAGGAAGAGAAAGGTACATAAATAGATTTTGATTTATATTTTTTATGTCGTTACTTATAATAGGAATAAAGTAAAAGATGTGACTGTCATGTTAATAACTACTATAAATTTTTGATACAGAAGAGCACGCAACACCTCAACAGAAAAATGTTAGAGAAAGAAAACCATCTGGTAAAAAAACTCGATGGGGTTCTGACGAGGATAGAGTCCCATATGAACAAATTATGCTATTACAATCAGCCAATGAGTTTGGTTTGCAACTTCCCAATGCTGCGCTAGGTTTAGCAACTCAACAGCAGCTACATCAAAAACCATTAATACCACAATCTATACCAAACATGGACTTTTATACAGAAGCCAGTTCTGAATTGAATAAAAGTACTTTAAGTAAAGTACGAGACAGAGAAGATTTTACAAAGGATGTAGAAGAGGATGAAATTTTAGAACAGGTATAATAATTATAATTCTATAACGTGTGAAAAATTTTCGAAAATGAAAAATATTCATAATATTCTTTTTCAGGCAAAAAAGAAAGATACTTCTGTACTTGAAAATTCGAAAGATATAGATTTAAGACAATTGTTAAAAACCTCGAAAAAGTCGCCACCTGTTGTTAGTATAGCCGACGAAGTAGCAAATCTTACTAAATCTAAGTTTGACGAAGAGAGTGACCAGGATGAAGAAACTGATCTTGTAATTGAAGTGCCAACCGAGGACGATGATAAACAGAAGGACAAAAGTACAGATCAAGAAGGTAGGACAGCTTGTGTTTATATAAATAACAAAGAGATAAAAAATATCTAAATAAGACATAATTTAACCAATAAAACAAGTAGTAAAGTAGTACAGAGATACATAATTTATTACAGAAACGTGTACCGCGAATGAACAAAGTATTAATCTCAGTGCCTCTTCACCACACGCGGAAGAGCAAGAAGTGCCGACTCACTTACCAAAAAAAGCACAGGAATTATTTATGCGTATTCAACAACAACAACGGGCAGCTCAAGACAGCTTTAAAAATATGGAAAATGAGTGCTCTACGCGAAACACAGATCAAATTCTAGAAGACTGGTATTCAGACGATGAGGACGACGACGACGACGATGAAGGCGGCAATCTTACAATAGTACTTTCTAATAAGGACACTTCGAAAGAAGAGAATGAATTTGCAGAAAAGACTCAGAATATCGTCATTAAAGAAGAATTTCAACCTCAAACTTTGACACCTGCCATACCCCAGCCAGCAGCTATCGTAGACAAACTCGGTGATTTGAGTAAAATTGATATCAGTGCCGAAGTGTCCAAGTTACTATCGTCGCTTAAAGCGCATAGTTCAACGACGAGTAAATCTGGTCAACAGTCTGCCAATGGACAGGATTATCTATCAAAAGTTAAATCCTCACCAGACAGAATATCGTCGGACGAATCCAATAGCCAAAATAAAATGAATATTGGTGCAACATTCAGTAGTTCGAGTCAGTTGATGAAAATTGAGAACGAAACATCAAGTCCACGTTCCTCGCCTGGAATGAGCTCCGCGCCTGTGTCCAGAGATCCTCGCATGTCTCGAGATCCAAGACAACGCAGAGAGGAGCAGAAGTCGAGCAGCCCCAGTAGAATAGAATGTAAAAAGGAATCGAAGCATCTTCGATTGGAAACGAGCATCTATAGTTCTGGTATTACCGCAGTTGACACCAATATGGACACAGATCTTCGTACCAAAACAGATCAAGATCTCAGAAGAAAAGATATGGATTTCAGACAACGATTTCAAACTGGCTTTGGAGATACAGATCTTCGAGTTGTTGGTACAGGTTTTACAGATACATCCACTAAATCTGACATCGATTTACGGCAAATGTTAAGTCTACCGTTCAAACCAGCACCATCGCACATACCTTGCACGGAAATAGATGCAAGTATTTCTTCGCATCCTCCGATGACCTACAAAGTATACGTCGTTGATATACCGAGGCCTGATTATACGGGTCTGAAACTTACCAAGAATGATGCACAGGTGAAATACGATCCACGTTTAAGGAAGATATTCAGAATTGGAAAAGTTGAATTAGCCGATTCTCCTATGTCTCCGCCTCCAGTAAAACCAGACACTCCGAAGTCACCCCCACAAGTTCGATCTGATCCACGTCGTAAAGCTCTTGAGGCTTCCAACTTATCTTCTCAAAATGTAAATGCTTCCATGATGAAAACTGTACAACAGTCACCAATGGAAATATCAAACATAGGAATGGGTACTGGTGGAATGCCTGTTCCTCAGGTTATGCCTGGGCCACAAGGTATGCAAGGGGGACAAGGTATGATGCCTATGGGTCCAAATCCGATGCTTGGAAACATGGGCCCAATGGGACCTATGATGAACGCTCCTATGGGACCTCAAGGTATGTCGCCGATGGGAATTGCGGGAATATCAAATATGCCGCCAGGTATACCTCTTAATGGACCACCAGTTGTGCCTCAAAGTCAAATGAACTTTGATCCACGTTTCAACGTTCAACGTAACAACGGAGCCGGACTTTTAGGCCCAGCACCTGGTGTAGGTTTTGGGCCAGACGTTAATTCTTCGTACGATGGTGCAGCCAATTACTCTGGTGGTAATTTCAATAACTTTGGTCCCAATCCTGGCCCAGTACCGCCAGATTCCAGTATAATGGGGTTCAATCCAAATGGACCGAATCCAAATTTTGGAATGGATGGGCCAGAGTGGAATGGAACGAATCAAAATAGACGTGGTGGCCGAATTAGGCGGCGGAATCGAAACAGGACCAATATCGTGACTAATAATTAAAGCAATAAGCAATTCTGAGTAGGTACATAAGCGAAGTACCTGGTGATAATTCTCATTTTAATTTAAATTTGTACAGCATGCATTCTTGATATAATGCATTCATTTATGCGGTCCAGATTAATTGTTTTGATCGTGTCAATTGTACATGGTGTCAAATGCTCGCTAGTAATTAAATAGCAAAATAGAAAATTAAGGAATCGAAAATATTAAAAAATTGTAAATGGATATACTTTAAAGCATTTGTTAAGAAGTATGCATACCATGAACGGTATGAATAATGCTCATAATCACGTGACGTTATATATTTTATTTAAAATAAGAAATCATATTCTACAGTGAAAATATTATATGTATACAGACTACATCTATTAGACTACAGATAAAAGAAATTATTTCATCCAAGAGATGTATCTGTATATATTGAAGGAGATCATCCATTTGAAAAGACATTTAATACATAAGACACGACGAATGAAAATCGTTTGATTGATATTTTTTTTTTATGTCTTCCATGTATAGTAAATAACATCAACGCATTATATATGATTCATATGCACACTGTAGTTTTGGCTTCTAGAACGCATATATAGACTTTTATCAAATTGTGTTCAAGCTTGATGTAAATTATTCAATCGTTGAATGGCCTATGGCTCATTATCAGAAATGGAAACACCAGTGAAATGACAGAACGTCAATCAGTACGACATTGCAATATTTTGTAAAAATTAATGTATTTATAAGAATTTTGAAAACAGTTGTACATGGACATACTTTTTTACTTGCATAAGTATTGAAGAGATATAAATGGGTATATAATATCTTCTTTTTTTGTTCCAATTTTTTTTGTAGAAGTTGCAAATTAAAAACTTTTGAATAGATGCTAATCCTGTAATAATCCGTTTTACACTGCTAGTAAAACTTATATCCAGTAATTACATTTATCCATTTCGTGGTACAACTGTACGTTCCACATTAATGTTAAACACAATTATCTGCTAGAATGCAGATTAAGAATACTTCCTCTTTGAGAAATAATGTTAGAAACAGATTATATTTAAATTTAAAGAATTCTTCAGTCATTATTCAGTGTTAACCTATCAATTATACTATTTTTCTTTATTATTACTATTACTATTATTATTATTATCATCATTATTATTATTATTATTATATTATGATACTATAAAGTAAAATTACATTTGTAAAAAAATAAAGTTTACTATCATATAGTAAAACTTTTTGTACAATTCAATTATTGATTCTAAGACGATTTTCTATAGTTTCTTTAATATCATAAATAATGCTGTATTTCCTCGGTGTACTTTTTAAAATATAAGTACTCCAAATATGGATATAAAAACAAGTTTTATACAATATATAAATAACCTATATTAGAAGTACTTTCAATCAACTATACTTCACTGTTACAGATTCTTATTAAATTATCATTATTATTTTTATATCATAATAATTATAATTATAACCATATTTCATTAATGTACAATTGAACTTAGAGGATCAGCTCTTATACCCGACAGATCCAAACGTGCATCCATCTCGTCATCCAATTCTCCTACAATTGCCCTAAAAAAATTAAAAAATAATATATCGACATGCCATTTTTAAAACAGATTTTATATATTTACTTCGCGATTAACTAGTTGCATAACATTAGTAAGTTTTCCATTATTATAATTACGAACATTTAATCTCTATAATCCAATTTTAATTAAATTCTGTACAAGATGTAAATACTATTAACATAATAACAAATGTATCTATGTACTATTTAAAATGTAAATTAAAAGTTTTGTTACAATTGTACAATTATATATTTTTTTACACAACAGTATTCACGCAATTTCTGAGACTGCCAGAATGAGAGAAATTAATATTACCGACCAATTTATATGTCTTAATGTATTTATATTATAACGTATTGTACATAACTTAAATATGAAAAATTAATGTATCGATTTTAAATAAAATAAGTGATGTATTAATTTACAATGAACATAAATAAGTAAGTTGTACAAAGTAAAACAACGATACCTCTACAAACAAATTAAGTAATATTAATAATAATGATAATAATAATAATAATAAAGAAACATTTGGACAAATTTTGTAATGTATACAACTAATAGGAAGTTAATTATATTATATTACTTACACATTGTCACCTCTGATGATGTGTAAACCTAATACAACTTGTTCTACACCTTGTGTTGTACTATATACTCGTTCGTGTGATTCATCCAATATTATATTAATGGTTTGATCAAAACCTTTTAATGTACCCTATAAACATAAAAATCCTTCTAATTACTTAATATTTAAAAAAATTAAAGTTTAATAACAAAGAACTTAAATACATTATTGAATAGAGATTAATTGTCTTCTCTGACTGTAAATAAAAGTGTTTCGTTAGCAACAATAACATAATATAATGTGGCTATAAAATTTCTAAAATAATATACACATGCAATGAAAATAATAAACAAATTATATGTACTTCTGATAATATACTTACGATAAAGTTTCTGCCATCAGATGTGATAATCGAAACAGTATCTGTTGTGGTGTTGTTAAGATTATACAAATAACTATTATGACTTATAATATTATATTATAGTCATAAAATCGAATTTAAAAAGGATACGATTCACGTAACTTTCCAAACCTGACGCCATAATCTTAATTACTAATTATACATTAAAATAATTTTCACATACAAGTAAAATTGCGCGCGTATACTTAACACATTTGTTATAACGAAAGTATACCAATCAACTACTGTTTTACACAAATATACATTACTTAATAGCTTTGTAAATATAAACTGTAATAAAAATACACGGAATACAATAACGTAAGTGTTAAATTACGTTAATATTAAACGTATATTCGACTACACGAGGGGTGAATTGAAACAGGGATATACAAATTTATTCTTAGTTAGTCACTATCGGAAAGCAAATATAAAAATGACTGTTTTATACTGTGTATATTCAGTGTTACCAGACAGCAGCCGATTCTCAAAGGAACTGCCCCTCCACTTACGCACACTAATGCACAGTCACGTATATGTGAGCTCCGGCGCTTCGGACAGTTTCGGGGATTCGAAAAAGAGGGCGAATGTCGGTTTGTCTTTCTCGACCCTTCGAAAGTCTATATACGAGCTTACGTACACGTAATCTGGCATAAATGCGAAAATGGAATGAGAAGTTCACGGTGCACCAACGCGACAGCTCTATGCCAGGATGTAAAATCAGATTTCAGCTGTTTTGAGAGGAAAACGGAAAGGCTGACATTTGCCTTCCTTCTCGAAACCCCGAAGTGCCAGAGCTCACGTACATGTGACTGTGCAATTGTGTGCATAAGTAGAAAGGCAGTTTCCTATGGACACCGGTCGACTGTCTGGTAACTCTGTGTACGCTATTACGATTCTTAACCGTTTTATCAAATTTTTTACAGCCATGAATTTAAAGGTATAAAGTATTTGTCGAAGCATATCACAATGAATTAGAAGCTGCTACGAATGAATCTCAAGATGTAGTTCGTACAAATATAGTAACACAATTGATCACAAATTTGCTCGTCGATAAAATTTTGATAGATTTAATAATACTTATACGAAAACAAACAGGGTTATTTTAGAAGAATTGGATCTACTATATGGGATCTTTTGGTAACATAATTTTTTTTTGTTCGACGCAATGATGCAAGTGCAATTTACACAAATTAATATTCCAAATATTCATTATATTTTTCACAATCATTGCTTACCTTTCCTACAAATATTATGAAGAATTCAAAAATTTAAAAGGAGTAAGTCTGCAGCCTGTACAGTCATAATTTATTTACATAATTAATTCTCGTTTCTCTCTTCGTTCATTCCACTTTCAATATAAGACATCTTTTTTTTTATATAAAATATGTTTTAAATAAAATAGTGTCTGCTGAACTAGGTTCTAAGATATTTGGCATGATGTTTAATATGGTCTTCGATGAACGTTGATATAAAAAAATAACTGTGATCATAGCCCTCTTGAAATCTAAGAGTCAGTGATAACTTAGCATCTTTCACAGCTGTTAAGAAATTTTCTGGCAATAATTGCCCATCTTTTAAAAACGTGTCTTCCTTTCCCTAAAATGATCAAATATATTTTTACCAGAATCTATTTTAAGTAGTTGTTGTAATATAATACCTGATCGATTAAAATTTCCAATGGGGGCCCGTTATACTTTTTAGCCAGTTCTGTAGCATCCCAATCTTTCCATACAGCATTGGTCTCTGGTCCACCAAAATAACCAGTAAAAGCTTTCTTGCCCCATGGGCACAAAATTGGATTACATATAGGTGCAAAAACAGAAACCGTTTTGTATAAACCAGGATTTTTTAAAGCACATATCAGAGCTCCATGTCCACCCATGCTTTCGACAAAGTGGCTTATTTATTTCTTGGCATAAATTAAAGAATTCTACGCAAATTATTTTTCTCTGTTTTACCTGTGGCCCATTATGGACTGCTTATGTGGTAAGACTGGAAATTTGTCATTAATCAAAGCTGGCAGTTCCTTAGTAATGTAACTGTACATTCTATAATTCTTTTCCCAGGGTTCATTCGTCGCGTCGACGTAAAAACCAGCACCAGATCCAAAGTCCCAGCTATCATCTTCCCCGGGTATATTAACATTACGAGGACTTGTATCGGGTGCGACTAAAACTACTCCATGCTCGGAAGCATATTTTTGTGCTCCTGCTTTTTGAATAAAATTAGCTTCCGTACACGTCAAACCGGATAGCCAGTAGATAACTGGTACAGATTCTTCTTCAATTTGAGCAGGAAGAAAAATTCCAAAATTCATTTTACATTGTAGTTCAGAACTAAATTGAAAAACAATTATTTTAATAATCATAAATTTTTCATCCGTATAAGGAAATTTACCTATTGTGAGAATAAACTTTTTGCCATCCTCCAAAGACTTTGCTACTCGAAACTTCTGTAATATCGGACATTTTTAAACAGTATTGGGTACCCTGTAATGTTAAAAATAATCAAATGTACGAATGGCATGTAACGATTGCATGTAACATTTCTGAGAAACAGAAAATCAACGAACAAAGATAAAATTAGATAAACAAGCAATCTCATTGGTTTCATTACGAATATATAAATTTTCAACATGTTTTGGATCCTCTATAGTAAATTTTCAAATCTATTAATAGTTACAAAAAGATTTATGTAAACAAAACCACATTTTACAAGCATTTGTTGCACGATAAATTTAAATTTATCAACCAATTTAACAAATAATTTAAATAATTTAAATCATAAATGAGATTATTACAATTACACTCCGTGATTACACAGTCAACTGTGCACGTTTATGGTGCCTAAAAAAGTGTTGGAATACCAGCATGAACAATATGCATATACAAATATATAAAAATAATATTTAATAAAGGTTATACTATTTATTTTTTAGATTCAGAGCACATTTTATTGAAAAAAAAAAGATTTTAAATTAAACTTAATTCTAATAATAGTTTTTATTTACATCTACTGTTACTAAGTTTGTTTCCAACGTGGTGAAATAGTAACAGTTTGCGATAGGTTAGGCTGTATATAAAAACGATAAATTTTGAACAGTTGACTTATAACTTATGAAATTTACTTGCATCGTTAGAATTTCTATTGGTATTGTACAAGAGAAATTATTAATACTTTCAACTTATAATTTATAACCTGTAAAATTTTACTAATGATATCATACGTACTGCGTAAGAGGAGCGCGTGGTTAGACACAACGGACCGATCAGTTTCTTTCATAAATTACGTGGTTTTGTTTAGAGTTTTTTACTTAGCCATTTTGAACGAGAAACAGTGAAACAGCGAGTTTCTGATTTTGCACTTGATAGAAAGAGCACGAAACATTTGTACGTCTCTGTCTACTCAATGCAAAATCGGACTCTCGCTTGGCATCGCTTGTACTAGAGTTGGTTGTGACATTACCAATCTAGAAAAGAATAAGACTAATGCCAACGGAACTGTACGAATAGAATTGAATTTAACGATAGTCAATTATATTAAACATAATTAAAATGATATTAGATGTGATTAGTAACACCAATTAGTGTTTCAGTAACGCAATAGTTAGACGATGTATGTGTGTATGCATACCGGGGAGAAAGGGTTGATGGATTTGGTGATTTTCATTTCACATGGCATTAATCACTCTCACCGAGTGTAAGCAGTAATTCACTGTTTCTGTTAGATCACTTTCCATTAAACCTATATAAATATGAATAAAATTTTTAAATACACAATTATTTTCGCTTCTCTCTGATGTCAAATATTCACGGATGCTCACGTCATGGCTATATTACTAAACTGGCTCGAATCTTTTACACACTTATGGCCCAATGATGTCAATGCAACGACGCACAACTTATTTTCAACTCATATGTACGAAGAACCTAGCCTATCTGGCAACACGGCTGTCTTGTACAATAAATTACGTTACTCTAATATTGTTCTGTTCTTTGTAACTGGGAAATGTAATATGCGATAACAATAAAAAACATAGTCTTTCTTCTGTTCTGTGTCAATATATTGTTCGATCTTTCAGTACTACGTTAATAAATAATAATGCAGGAAAATACAAAAATGGATTCGAATATGTTAAATGAATTAGACTGGATTCGAGTACGCGACGAAATTCATACAAATAACGTGTCAGAAACATTCACGGGAAGATTTAAACGTAAAGTAGGAGAAAATCCTCTGGTGCCTCTAGGTAAATATAACCTCGACGAACGCTGTACAATTAAGTAAGTTATTTGGAAGGACCTTTTTCGAGATAAGTCATTTTTCCAAATATTGTATTTATACTCGTATTCATGGAACATTTTTTTTCGAACTCAACTTTTTGCAATATCGATCGTATAGGCTTTTTATCAAATGCCAGCTTTGTAAGCAAAGAAAAATTTCAAATTGAAATATCTCAAAGATTTTAGTAGATAGACCCTTTTTTTGAATAACTACCCAATTATGTGAGATAAATGCTTGTTAACTGATTATTTCAATGTTTCTATAATGTTTCAGGTTGTTTGGCAACCGTATCTGCTCTTATGTGTGGTCTTTACAGTTTTTATAATGGAAATTCACAAATGTCTCAATACATGATGCGTGTACGTGTAGGGGCACAAGCATTCACTATATTTGCTATGGTTACTGGATTTATGGTCGCAGCGTCAAGGAATGAAGAGCCAATGGATCGCAATTAAACTATGTATTCGCTATTAGTATAATACATTGAATGGTATATTGTTTAATCCTTGTTTTGGCATTAGTTTCATTACAAATTGTAATTGCTATTAAACAAGTAGTATAACCAAAAAGAGCACAACAGCTTTGTCATCTGCTTTGGTTAAAAACTATTGCTTTATTTAATTACTTTTAGAAAAAGATAAAATTTTAACCCACATTTATAAAAGAAATGACCCTTTGATGAAGCATAGAATATATTTAAAATATACACAATCTTGAAACATGTACAGTGTAATCTAAAACTTTTAGAATGATTTGTATAGTTTGTAAACATACAGTGTTTTATCAGTAATGAAATTCACGTAATATGTACTGTATGTTTGGGGAAATCCAGACGCACAAATTTAATTGAATTGATCACAGGTAGATAAAAACAAAATTGATCGTAAACAACTCGAGTTTACAATAGTTTACATATTTAGAATATTCATCTATGATGAATCGTATCAGGAAACTGCCAGTAAGAGTTGAACTCTATAATCGAAGGTCGAGATCGTACAGTCGTTGAAGCCTTACCGGGAGAATCACGATACTCGGAGATAAGTTTGCATGCTTCTTTCGTCTTAGATATCCTCGACACAGAATTTGGAAAAACCGATTCTGTAAAAGTTATAAACAAATTCTATCGTTGAAAATTGTATCCATAAATTTAAAATTGAATAAAAAAGCAAGACACGACAATTCTATTCGCACAAGCATCTTTTTTATTTTCTAGGATGTATTACCTATTAATGGTGTCTCGTCATAGAGAGAGCCTTGTCGGCTGTTACCGACAAAAGAATTTCTCGTGCTTGAGTTTCCACTCGAAATCTCGGAACAAGGAATCCGCTGGACATTCTCTGCCGCGTGTTTCCACTTGGAGTGTTCATCGATGCGCGTTACCAATTGCTCGAACAATCTTTCAAAGTCTTCTTTTGAATTCAATTCAATGGTGTCGCGATTTTTTATACCGTCCAAGCAATTGAATATTCGCAATTGATTATTCGTCGATTTCGATCGTCGAACAAGTGTCTCCTGAAACAACAGAACGTGTATTTCAAGTACTGTTCCAAGTAAGGACGCTTGCCTCTTCTTTTCCACAATTCAAATTTCTCGCCCCTACAACTTGATTTTTACGTTTTAGATGGCATTGTTTTCATTCTATTTTGAAAGTACATGTTTATATAAAATAATTTTTTTAGAATGATTCGAAGTTTAAATAAAAGAAATTTGTTTTAAAAACAGTTGAACGATTACAGAGCTAAATGCTTTGCTAAATATATTACAATAACCAGATTAATACCAGATTAAACACAACGTTGGTGACGACAAACGAAACCATGCTATTCATTGATAGGAATGTTTCTGGCTAGTGATGACAGTTTACGCGCTGTGATGTCATCGACTATTTTTACACTGTTTAAGAATCTGCGGCGATCTTTCGTCTTACCTTATTGACGCCAATTGTATATGTAGGTTTGTGTAATCCTTCTGCGAACTTCTTCGACTTCCATGTTTCGATTTCGAAGCCTCGTAATCGTGCCCAACAACGTTGATCGTTTATAGTTACGAATCCTATGCGAGTCTCTTCATCGATACAATCTGGTTGAACAGCTAAACGGCAACAGAAGTGTCCAAACAGCGGCAAAGCGTGAACTTTGTTCTCTAAAATAATACATATAACGTTAACGACCGCGATATTCAAGAAATGCGAAGAAATCTGCGAATTCAGAGTCATTACCAAAGTTGTTCAACACCAAGTCGTGTGTACGTATATTTCTGTCGGTGTCGTCCAGAGTCAGTTTTGCATAAGCTACTAAATTGAATTGAGGCCCACTGGAAGGTAAAAAAAAACGAATGTAACGAAAGAATTTTGCGTACAGTAAGGTTGAACAATATCGAAAGCGAAAACTTACGTCTTGGTAGAATCGTATTCGTCTCGTAAAGATGCCGCGAACTTTCTACCCACGGTTTTCGAGATCGAAGAATGAATAGTCTTACTGATTCGCCTCGGAGTACTGGCGATGCTGAGATCTTCTTGCAGAACGTGACTATAGATCTCCAGAGTCAATTCGAATTCGGTTGGTACATTGTTACTACAAATAAACAAATTAAGATAATTTGTAAACGTTCTCCATATTTTTTATAGTTCATACATAGATATATCTTCACCAGACATATGTTTTATTTTATACTATAGATCGAACAAAGGTCGAGGACATTTTTAAACACAGAAAATTGGCGTGACCGCTCGACGTGTTAAATACTGTTATTAGTACGACTTACAATAACAAAACGTCAGGAAAACTAATGTCCGTCTGTTCTCTATCGACGGGACAAAGTAGGCTGGTGTCGTGAATTTCTGAGCCGATACAAGCTAGACAGAAGACGGCGAACCTTCGGTGGTCACCGCGATTTTTAAAATGATCGGAATCCCTCCACATCAAGGGAAATCTAAGATCCGAGACGGATAATTTGCCCCTGCTTTCGGAAACGCTACAACATACAATGTTTAATATTAATATCCAATGACAGACAGGTAAAATTATATCGAGAGACAAATTTTTATCTCAGGAAAAAAAAAAAATGTTTAAATAAAATATAAAAATAAATCAATAAAATTACATAAAAAAAAAGATGTAAAAAATTATTTTTCGAATTCGATCGTGTTCGTTAAATTTGCCTCGTCAATTTTTAACACGTACAATGATTTCTGATCAAAGATATAATACCTCGTCGGTCTCAGGGGTGTGTCTCTTCTACGATATTGTAGCTCAGCCATGTAAGCAGTCATTCTTTTGCTGGAAGTGAGCAAAGCACGTGCCGCTTCCAAGCTTTGAGCAGGATGCCGCGCAGCAGCTAATAACCTTGACGAGCCTTCCTTCATTTTCACTTCTAATTCGATCTTTTGTTTCAAATCATATTCCTAAAGAAAAAGAAAGAAATCGACTCTATCATAAATCGTTTTGTAGGTTTTGCGAAATATTTTAATTTTTGCTTGCGTAGCGGATACATGACGACAAAGCGACACGTCTGCATTCGACCTACACGAACATAAGTTCCGAGTTATTTGTCTTTTGTACATTTTTGTTAATTTTAATATCAGAATGCTAACGGAAAAAAAAGAAAAATGAGATTTACAAGAATTATCATCAATACGTGTGTACGTGACCATAGATACGCATCTGTAGATTGATAAATTCCACAGATTATTTGTAGAAAATTTTGAATTACATTGTATTCGCATAATATCGATCCATTGTTAAACTGTCGTTCACGGCTAAATATGACATAAATATGATACTCTTTTCGCAAATAATGAACATCTTTACTCGTATTTTCATTGCTTTACGTTTGTTATGAAAACTTTTTCACGTAGGTTGTAATTTTAAAAAGAAATCTTCGTACACCAAAACAAAGAAAAGATTTAAAACGATCAGTGAACATAAACACCGTTTGAATTGCATGATATTCTGCAAAGAAAATAGAGAAACACTGTTCGAAACAAAAAGTTTAACTATTTTGTACCTCTGAAGCACTGCGAATTTGTTCGCTTTCGTACTGATTGTTAAATCTATAGCAAGTGAATAATGCTACCATATCTTTTCTTCGGAAAGTCCTTCTATGGATTTATGTCTTATAATACACGAAAATATAAAAGCGGACAACTTGGAACAAATTCGTCTTCGTCGCGGACAGTTTCGTATTGTACTGGGACGCAGCAAACATCCCGCGATGAATCACGCAAGGGGGGAATGGAGTGGGAATTTTGGGTGGGATTATTCAAGTTCCTATCCATTCGCCGCGTTAAAATCGAACAGAATCGATAGAATAGAAAAGGAAAAACTAGGCATTAGAACGTGTAAAATGAAATTATGTTATTTCGTATCGCAGAATTCTTTTTCAACAATATAAACATAACTTGGTCGTGTAACGTTTAAATATTCGAAAATAATAGAACGATTTAAAAAATTAAATTACATATAAATAATTCTCATTTTTAACAACGCAAAAATCGTGTAACGTTTTAAATCAAAGCTATGTCGTTCCTTAACGGTCTTTTTCGAAAGAAGTCAATAATGAAACATAACCTACTTTTTCCACAGCAATGTTCCATTATATTCTTATTGATAAGGATAAATTGTTTGACTTCTTCGAACGTTGAAACAGTTGCATATTATATGTGAGTACTTATAACGTTAGAGTGTCGAATAAATAAACAAAATTATTTGCAGAGCAACAGGTAGCAAACAATAAAATTTCACTAGTTTTAAAAGTTAACTCACCGCTGTATTTTTGCAATTACGGATACTTTCTCGTCTTCTAACTCGTGCCTGGTAATCACTTAACGAACGCAAGTAATTATTTTCTTTATCCAAAACACCGTGTGATCCACGAACTGTTCCGACACTTTTTCTACGTGGCGCCATTTTGAAATTTAGCGTCTCTTTTCAAAATTAGACGAAGCAGCCATTATACGAGAACGTCGTACAGAAACATAAAAGGAAGGGTTAACAAGACGATACAAATTAAACATTAAAGTTCCGAGTGCCCAAATGGATGATTTAAACATTTAAAAACCGCTGTATATTACTTATTGATAAGTTAGTGATTTGGAATTTTGGCGCTAAATCACATAATTATCGATATTGGTCGATGTTAATAAAAAAATGTACTAATAGAGTAGATATAGAAAATCGTAAGTGAAGTTTTTAAAAATCGAAAATTTATATTTGGTATACATGTATTCACAAAACAGGGATTAATATATAGTTATATATCCAAGGAGCACAAATTTTTCATTTCTTTTCCTTATCCTTGTCTGTTTCCTTCTCCTTTTCTTTCTCCTTGTCTTTATCTTTTTCCTTTTCCTTCTCCTTCTCCTTTTCCTTGTCTTTGTCCTTATTTTGTTGGAGAGATCCAACGGCTTGACGGACGGCTTCAGAATGAGGATCAACACCAGGTAAATTTTCTAAAACTGATTGCAGAAAAGCTGGGTCAGACATTACAGCGGCGTAATCCACTTCGACTTCCATGGCTAATTCCTTCAGGGTCTCGAGTTCTTCTAAAGAATAGAAATAAGAAAACAGTTGGTATAGTATAAGCGCGTACGCGCGCACGTGTGCGATGTATAATTTTATGTATGCATCGTACGTTGATCTTGCATGGACATCTGCATGGCAAACGCGATTTGCTCTTCTTCTGTCATACGGGCAAAATCAGGCACGGTTCCACTAGTGGGCGTAGTATTCTCAGACGTCGAAGACGAATCTTCGTTACCTTCGACCGACATAGAAAGCGCACGTTTTAACATCGCTTCTTCATTGGGCGTCGCTTTCACCGTTTCCGATCGTTTGTTTGTAGTCACCTCGGTTGCTTGTGCACGTCGTGCTTCATCCTCTTGACGCTGACGTTGTTCTTCCATTGAAACACGTAGTGCCTAGGCAAAGGAAAACGATAAGAGTAAAGTTGTAGTCTACTATTAACCCTTTGCTGGTATTAATATTGCATTATGAATAATCGCAAAGTACAAACCAATGCCAATTCTGGATCTTCGTTTGGATCAACCCCGAATTCAAAGGCAGCTCTCCCAACACCTGTGCCACCCATTCCATCATCTCCTTGTATTATGGGAGAAGCAATCAATGCATCTGATAAATGCGGCCCAGGTGGAATAGTGATCATGAAACAGCCTGTACCATCCTTTCCATTGAGAGTATTGATAAAGGTTGTCAATACTTCGTTATTAACACTATCTTCGCCAAAGCTAACCACGTCGACGCAAACTTTCTCTTTCTTCAAACGTTTTGCTAATTTAACTAGCTCTTCTTCGTCTACATTTATTGGGCTACCGATGAAAGCAACAATGCGCATTTTGTGATTTTTACCTTGACGATGTTTTAATGCCAGCTGTTGATTTAATATTTTTATTCGTAATTGTCATACAATGTAGAAACGATCGAGGAGCAACAGCAATGGCATCCTCTTAACATACTTACGTGTGCAATTCGTATTCCGGTGATTAAACTGAGATTACCATTTGGTTGTACTTGATGAAGTTTTGATAGAATTCTGCCTACGTCGCTGGTCAATGTAGCTAATACTTCGACGCTGTTTAGAAAAACGTAAATTACATAAAAATTAAAAAAATTGTTGCCACATGTCTGGACACCACAGTATATATAAATTTGAAATACTTGGCCAGCGTTATTAAACCAACGTTGTTCTCTGGATTCGAACGTGTCTTTGAGTGACAAACCAAATTAACGGCATCCTGTTGTGCTTGAAGTCGCGTCGGTAAAAAATCTCCATTTCTCATGTAATCGCTGTTGTCAACACTGAAACGTTGAAATAGTTATTGATAAAACGACAAGCATTTCGTATTCGTAAACGGATTTTTGAGCTCTATCGCATAACCTTTAAAACCGCTTCGTTCACGAAGGTGAATACATTTCAGGTAAAAACAATCAACGAGTATTTTATTTATACTTTGCACTTGGATCAACTTCTCCAGTAATTAATCATCATTTTGTACAGAAAATTATCATTATTGTGTAACAAATTATTTCAACTTTGCACTGTCACTCGCGTTTAACGTTTGCGAACTATCGAGATATTCACGCTTTAAATAATACGTTAATATATCGATAATCTTGTTACATCAATAATAGATCGAATTTTGTAAAACGTACATGTAAAATATAGAGAATAGAATACTGATGGAAAGGAATATTGATAAATAGTAAGAACTTACCATATCATCGTACTTTCCAGCACCATCTTGATTTCAATACTGATGCGTTTCGTTTCGTTCCGTTCCGTTCCGTTCTGTCTTGTGCGTCGCTTCTTTCTATATTCCTTTCTGTTTCAGTCCGTTTCGTTGTTATTACTTTACGAATGAAAATAATATAAAAATGATGTCGAGGAGAAAAAGAAGAAATGATGTCGCTTTATAACGCATGGAAAATTACGTCGTGCATATATGTATGTTAATCTTCGTATAAAGTATAATTAGAAGAGAAGCGAATTATTTGCTAAGATTGAATCAAAGAATCGATCGAGATCGTGAATAAACATCGAAAATAAAAGTAACAAAAATGAAATGTATCAAAATAATAAAGAGTTTAATAAGAGGTGCAACGATCGACATGAAAAGTGTGTGCGTGTGTGTGTGTGTGTGTGTTTTTTAAAAAGAAAAGGTAACAAAGTAGATTAAAGGGAAAAGGAAGACTCAGGGATCGTATCTAGTTGGAGAGTCGAGTATCTAGGCGCTTCGTCCATTAAGGTTGCTGTTGCTTCTTCGTAAGTAGGTGGCTGGTCGCTACGACACCTTGATTTTAACAACATTTGTCTGGTTCGCCTTCTGTCGGCAAATGCCCGTAGAATAACGATCAATGGCCCTAGGAGCAGCATCACGACTCCTATCGCGAGCATGATTATAGCAACAGCCGCTCCAACTCGATTCACCGGCGAACGTTCCGACTTGGTTTCATTTTTACCAATTCCTGAGGCTTCGTAACGGATATCGTTATACCCATGATCGAAAAACTTACTTTCGTTCAAAGTAAGGAGATCCGTAGGGCCAAAGTTTCGAAACAAAGTACTCGACGTATTATTGCTTGTGACAATCTTTTTGCCGTTGCGACCGTTTTCGTCGAGATTCTGCGCAATAATGATGTTCTCTTTGCCATACATTTTTCCTACTTCGTTTTTGCTAGTCGTGTGAATTGTCTGAGCTTGAATAGCACGGATGTCACGAGAATCTTGTTTACGATTCATTGTAGTCAATTTATCGATGATCGAACTCTTTTCAGTTATTCCTGTGTCAATATTACTCTTCCGATAAGGCTCGAACAGTTTGCGGGGCCATCGTTCGTTCTGTACAACAGTGCCGAGATTATCGACAGCGACTCTGTCGTTCTCCGGAGTTGCAATTTTGCGTTCGACAAATCGATGCCATTTTTCCGCAATACTTGACTCTTGGATCGATTCGTTTTCGTTCCATGTCATTAACTTTCCCTGGAAAAATAGTATCCTCGAATCTTTTGTCAATTCGTTTTCGTTTTACAAAACTATCTACGAAATCTCGAGAAATGTCAATGGGTTTAAATTTCGATATTATATGTTCTATTTCGATTATAGTTATAATTATAATGGTGTTTACTTTGATTCTATTAATAATGATTAGGCAAGGAGCTTAACATTCATCTAATTTATTTTGAATCGTAAAACGCAGAATTTTATTTTCTAATCTATTTTGCCCACGATCGATATTTGACTATCGATGATGTTTCTTATCACTGATTTTAAACGCCTAATATTACGAGATAAAATCGGCAATCGTATATTCGCGGAAGTGGTCGTAAACACTCAATATTTATGGCAGGTATACGTTTGTTCCGGTGTAACGTATTGAATCATAACGCACGTACACAACGACGTCGTGGTACACGGATGCGCGTATTTCGTGAGCACTTCTTTTCTTTTTCCAACGCGTCCGTGTGTTCGGCGAGACACCATATATTCTCATAATCGATTTAAATATCGAACCTGTATGTCAGCTGTGTCATTTCGTGTCACTTCCTTTGTATCGTACAGAGAGATTGCACCCTTTTGGAGAAGTATAATCCCAACGATACACCAAATAGTCAGTTGAAAGCCGATTATCAATTTTGGCGACCATTTATTCGCGTTTGCGCTAAAAGACATCTTTTTATTAACAAAAAAATGTCGCACGCTGGTAACCCGCTTACGCCTAAATCACATCGAACAAAATTTTGAAAATGCATCGTCGTCGGAGAGGAACAAGATCATTTTACCATTTGTAAACTTACTTCGAAATAAAATTTCATGTTCACTGTGTAAAGATCGGCGAGTTCCGGTTCCTTTATTTCCAAGTCCAATCTGTAGATCCTGAAAGACTGAAGAACACTGCCAATCACAAGTATTGTCGATGTTTGGTCGAAACATTTCCAATGTCTCGAATTATTACTTCGTAAAAGAAAGAAAGTTGTATAATAATCTTCTTGGACTAATTTCGAAGGCAAAATCCTAAGCTTTCGCATCCCTAAGATAAATTTTAAGAAAAAAATAAAAATGGGTTTATTCTAAAAGTGTTCCAAATTCAAACAGTTTCCATTTATTTAATTTTTGTGTACGAAATGAATTTTACTCGTACAATAAATAAATAAATTAAATTTGCGTCATTTTTATTGACCTTTATACGCGCGTTCCATTTAATGTGGAATAAAATGGCGAAAAAAATCGCGAACGAACTTTTAAGGGAGTCATTGCAAAGAAGAGACTTTGATTCTTAAATTCATGGTTATTTTAGTCGCGTAAAAAAATTTTTAAACTTTTGACAGCCATTTGAATTTAAACCATTTTTTGTAGTAAAATCAGTTTCGCTGTTTTAATTGTTTCGTTGCGCGAAATGATCTTGGAAGAAATTTGAAACAGAAATGTGAACGTAGAAGATTCAACCTTTAAAACGACCCCAAAAATATTATTGTACGACTTCTTTTCGCTGAGCTACGATAGTTGAAATGTTGACAGCGTTTAAACCAAGCGTCCTAATACCGATGACCGGCAGTGTAACTGTTAATACTTGCTGATATCGAGAACGAATAAATATTATTTTACAGTGTCTTCGACGTTTGAGTTCCCGAAATTACCGAAAGTTCTTCGAAAAAATCGATAATTAAGTATCGAACGAATAATATTAAAACGATATTGCGAACGAATGCGAACACTCGTACGAAAACAGTATCGAAAAATCGAAACTAAAGTTAGATACGCATAACGTCATGTCCCAATACCGTTCCCTTGCTTCTACTTTCGCTTCCAGTAAATATGGCAACGCCTAGACGGTTGATTATTGATATCTAAAGAAAGAAGTAGTCATTAACAAGATTTGTTTAATTATTCCCAGCCTCGTTGCTATCGACAGAATGAAAAATCGGTCATTTTTAAGTGACATTTGTCCAAGTGCGATACGTGCGTTCGTTGGTAGAACCAAATCGTGTTACGATAAACTTTTCTTTTTACCTTCAGGTGTCACGTTTGCTCCTTTTGAAACGCACCGTGTTAAAACGCTGTCAATAAAAATCGATCAGCACGAACACATACAACGTAGACCCGTTCTATACATGGCTAAACCAATAATCTCTACCGATCGATCGTAACTGTTGCTTCGCTCTGTCTTGGCCGCTTCGCACGACCGTTTGATCGGCTAATGATTCGGTTAGTTTGTCACCAACGAATAACGCATACGTCACACGCAACACATCGCTGGTCACGTCTCGTGGATCGTGCGCTGCTTGTTTGCAGTCACTCTCTGCCTCGGTCGCGGTCACGTGTTTATTTAATCCCTCGTATTTTTTCCGTATCTCGTAATATAACTAGGTACTACAAAACTGAATATGAAATCTGGACACACGATATCCGTGTGTACATATACGTACTTACGTTTATCTTGATTCTCGTGATCGTTAAAAATCATTTCTACAGGCAATGGATATGTTCACCCGTGTATAAATTTATGACGCTTGCACGAACGATGCGAGCCATGCAGAGTTAAACAGATTAGGTACGATTTTATTTTTCACATCTTCCTGATACACACATAAATTTGTTAGTAAAGTACAAATTAGTGTAAAACGATATTACGAAGAAATTAAAAGTCCGAATTCTTGTACCGTTATTTTTTACATATTTTAAAACGCATTCGTAGATACGTGTGCTAATTACTTGTATCATCTGCTCGTACGAAAGTCGTTAATATAATTTATTTTAATAACGAGTAGCCTTATCGATACTTGAACTATTTGTACGCTTTAATTCCTGGATTCCTGCTTGGAAAATTACAAGATGAAAGGCATTACGTGATAAAATATATACTACGTAACATATTTAATTTAATCCGATAGAAAAATCTCATTCTAGCAGATAGATACATACGAGACATATAACAATTCTATTAGTAAATAAATCAAATTAATTTCGTAATATTTTGTATTCGATTTAGATCGACAGTCAGATCGTCCATTTGTTTGTTTATTCTGTTCGTTGAACAATGTATTCGTAGATGGTAAACGATTCTAAGGATAATTAATTTGTGTTATTTAATAACTTCAATTTGTTGATACATACGTATGTCCACAGACTAGGCACAGTATAGACCTGTCATCCAAGGCAAGTTCTATATCGCATGACCCCTTTATCATTTTCGTGCTGCATGCGATATTACCAATCCAGAAAAGAATAAGACTACAGTACAAAAAAGAAACGACAGGAATTATAATTGAATTTAGCGATTCTGAATTATTTTAAACATAATTACAATCGAGATTGATGTATAGAATTTAAATTGCGGTTCTAGATAACCATCTATATTTGGTTAAATATCGATAATTTAATAATTATATTAACACGTTAATAAGAACACGTATGTCTTTCTTTTTTTTTTCAACCGAGAAGAGAAAAAGAATCTTCTATATAAATTACCGACTCACATCTCTCAAAACTGTACATTCTTAATTTTACAACAATTATGAATTTATCTCATCGTTATCAGATTACAACTTTATATGTTATTAATATCTAACGATCGATTAAATTTTTCTTTCTTTAACACTAATATCTTTCGTCCCATTGTGTAGCTACCACCACAATGTTATTCGTTATCTTTACTAGCAATCTTTGGTTATGGACAATTTAGCTTCTTTTAAATGGCTCTCGTTACGAACAAAGTAATGCCACAGACGAGGTATACTCGTATAGTTGTAATACTGCCCGAGTATCTCCTTCGTCTCCGCTAGGTGTCACTTTTGCTGCTCGGTTGGTGAAAATGGACTATGGTGTGATGTCGCCGTAATCGGTAACCACCTGTATTGGACGCGGAGAACAATTGAGTATGTTTTACGACTTCTTATGATTGATCGTATTGTGGTAGTTTGATCATTTTTTATGGTTGTACGTAAAAATCAGTAGTCGATACATTTAGAATGATAGTTATTTAAAGTTACGTATGTAAGTCCCAAGTTTATGTGCATGTACATGTACACGTACGTATCGAATACGTATCGAGCCAGTAGTTAAATTATAACAAAACGTGGTTAGGTACCTTGCACCGTGACGACATACTCGAGTGAGAGGTATGTGTGTTTTCGTATGTAAACAATCGAATGTCGTACAAAATAGCAAAATTATAAAGGATTAATAAAATTGTAAAAAAAAAGGCAATACGTACGTAGAAAAGTAGATAATGTAGAATCGGATAGAATGGCGTTACAAATGCAAGACACTGGAGAATTTAAACTCGTAACTCATCGAAAGAAACGTGTTTTCTCCGTTCGAAATAGTTGTGATCCAAATGTAATTTTACTCGATGATAATGATGACAGTAATACCGATACTGATTACGAGGCACTTTTTGGGTAAGGCATTACTCGATTTTTCATATATACGCTCGTTTGTTCTTTCTATTCCAAATTGTTAGGTCGTTTCGTCCTTAACTTCTTAATATTTTATCACGATTTTCAGAAAACTGCTCGAAGCAGAGACAGAATTGAGAAATTCGTTATTCGGCGACGATGTTTTTCATTATTTACAAGATTCGTTGAGAGCTTTGGACGTCGATGGTATTTCTGAGATACTGTGCTATGGTTTAGGTAATTTTTCTCGCCGCAAGTGTTCCAAGTATCAATTGGCATTACTTTTGTCATTAAAGAACTACTATGGCTCTCGAGTACATATATACGATCCAATTTTTACTCCTAAAGAAACTGATCTTCTAGAAAGATTTGGCTTCAATGTCATAAAGATCAATGAGGAAGGCAAGCGAGTCGTTCAGGATAATGTCACGTTGGTGTATATGCCGCATTGTTCGCTACATTTAACTAATAATTTCCTTTATGCAAATTGGAGCGAGAAATTAAACAAGTGCATTCTTTTGACGAATAGTTTTTCAGTTATAGCGGCTAATTTCATAAAGGCAACTACATGCGAGCCTGTTGACTATATCTTGCGTATTCAACCGTACGTTACAGAAACTGTTTTGAGAAATAATTTTATGTACGAGGACGTGTTCAATGACTTGAATATTCACATATTTCTTAAACATAATATCGATATGGTACCTAGGAATTTCTGGAACGAAAGAGAAGAACCTTGTTACAGAGGCGCGACATTCGATTATTTCACTGCTAAACAAACGGAGCGAATAGAAGCTAAAAATTGTAATTATATCTCCAGTTCTCTAATTCATAGATCCTTGACACGTGCAAACATAATATACGAGGGTTAATTGATGACTAAAGTCTCAAACATGCAAACTTTCAGTTTTGTGTGTAGCATTGTTGCGTAGCAGAGTCGTTTATCATGAGTTTGACTCGAGAGTTTAACCCTCGTATCAAAGTATTAAAACATATAGTACGCGTGGTAACAATCGTGCCAAATTCGTACGAAGATAATTAAGATTCAACAGTAATACAATACCAGGAATTTAGTAAATAATTTTGTCTGTCATAGGTCGAAAGAATGATGAAACCTAACGTACAGTTGGTTCGCTCGCTTATAAAGGAAATTCGTCAATCATCGTCCGAACGAAACGCAAAAGATAATATTATGGTGCGTTACATTCTGGAGCAAACACGAGCTCATAGGGAAACGTCGGAAGTTTTATGCAAGGCACGAGAAGAGTTGAATAACTTGGCAGAGACTTACCTGTGTTACTTAGGTTCACGGCGAATGTGCAAAGAAATCCAAGTCCGATATACCGGTAAAGGTGAACGAAGTATAAAAGAAACTGCGGATCTTGTTGGATTTAAATTACCTCATGATCCGAAATGATTCCGGTTTAAAATAACAATATTGATTTAATAGAAATTCATATAAAACCGAGTCGTTATGAAAAACTAGAAAAATATATAATGTATTAAATGGAATACAAAATAAAGTTTTCCCGTTAACAGTAATGATTTCACGAGTATTCTTTGCGAATACATTTGGCTATAGTCGACAGTTGCATATTACTGGTGCCTTCGTAAATAGTACCAATTTTGGAATCCCTGAAATATTTTTCTTGAGGGAAGTCGGTCGTATATCCCACTCCGCCCATAAAGTCGATGCATTTTGCGGTAACGCGTAACGCCGTTTCTAAAGCATAAACCGTACACGTTATTACGGTTATAATGTTCCAGTATTCGATAGTTTACTGTTGAATAAAAAGAAAGAAGATACAACGAACAACTTCAATATTCGGACACTTGGCAATTCTCATTTTGTCTATAACGAGGAATAAATTAATCAAAGAATATGTTACGTTAGTTATAATGTTTTATATAAAATAAATCTTAAACATTTCTGCTGAATGTAATATATGCATCGATTATTTTATCAGTGATTATAGAGAAAAATTATTAAGTTCCAAAGTGAGAATCGTAAAGTGTCCAAATATTGAAGTTACTTATTGTGACTATGAATAGGTACTACATACCGGAAGCTACGAGTTTGGCCATGGCAGCCTCTTTCATTATATCCTTCTTAGCATCGACTAATCTGGCTGCATTGTAGACCAATAACCTGGCACACTCAAGGTCGGTGACCGCTTGGGCAATTTGATGTTGCATAGACTAAAAAAGTACGAAAACTTTGACATATTGTATTCGATATTTTTGTCGTGTCTGAACAAAAAAGTATGTGTTTGTTATACTTGAAATGAGAAAATGTCTTTTCCAAATTGTTTTCTTTCCAGCGTATATGGTATAGTGGCATCCAAGCAACCTTGTGCTATACCAATCATTTGTGCTCCAATACCGATTCGACCTTCGTTTAAGAATCCAGCAGCGTATTTGTATCCATGACCAAACTGTCCCAAGATATTACTTTCAGGAATCTGAATACACAACGAATGTGTTAACAAATTGACTATTTATCGAATTTCTTGCAAGTACGTGTACACCGTTTCTCTTTACTCTGACATTATCGAAGTGGATCATGCAGGTACCCGACGCCTTTATTCCCAGTTTATCTTCTGGCTTGGCGACTGTTACTCCGGGTGTACTTCGTTCTACGAAGAATGTCGTAATGCCACGGTATCCCTAATAATAATCAAGATGCTTAATACAGTGGTCGACTACAAGGTGCACGTAAATGATCATTTTTTATTCGTGACATTTCCGAGTTATGATACACATAATTTATAAAACTTACAGCAGAAGTGTCAGCGTTTGCAAAAACTAAAAATAATCCGGCAATGTCGGAATTCGAGATCCACATTTTCGTGCCGTTCACCACGTAATCGGATCCATCTTTCTTTGCTTCAGTTTTCAGGGAGAAGGCGTCGGACCCCGAGCCAGGCTCCGTGAGGCAAAAGCTACCCGCCTTTAACGAAAAATTAAAACGAAAAGGACGTAAAGAAACAATTACCTTTTTATTTAATTCGTCTGGACTCACGTAATTTTGTGCTAATTGGGGTAGATATTTAGCCTTCTGTTCCTCCGAAGCGACTTTTAAAATTAACGAATTCACTAAAGTATTGTGGATGTCCACCAGTGCCGCGACAGCGCCGTCAACTTTCGCGATTTCCTCGATGGCCAAGATCGTCGTCATGAAATTGCATCCAGAACCGCCGTAGTTTTCAGGAATCTCGATACCCATTAGCTGGAGATAATCAACAACGTTAAAACGTTCGTATCTTTGGACGCGTGTACCAATGCGACGATAACTCGTTCGCGATAGAAAAATGCTGCCTGCACAAAAATTTATTAGATACGGAAGGTCGTGCTATTTACTTACACCATTCTCAAAAAGCTTTCGCTCTAGTCCTTGGTCTATTTTCCCTTCTTTTTCCATTTTTCGTACGAGTGGTGCAATTTCTTCCTTCGCGAGTTTATTAACTAAGAAACGGTGTACAACCATATATTATGCACGATACTTTAAAAAAACATAGCATAAATTTACGAAGTACATATGTAATATTATAATCCTCCATTTTGTTTCAATTAAAATAATATAAATATTTTCTTATATTATTATTATTGAAGATCTAAGGGTTGAAAACATTAATTTGAGGCTTCTTCGGACTACTTAGACTAATTAATCGCTAATTAACAGACATTACAAAAGTAATTAATTATTAGTAAAAAAAAAATATATGAAAATTTCACTTCGGCTTTAACGATTTATTAATTGTTTAACAACGGTAATTACCGCTTTCTTTCATCAATAGTTCGTCGTCTGAAAATTCGGTTAGAGGTGTGGAACAGCGATTCAGACTTGTACTTAGATTCCTTTTTAAGTACACCATTCGTGGTACCTGAAGTTTAGGTAACACAATTACATTAATTACAAATTACTATACTGTATCGTACACAGTATACCATAGATAAAAATAAAATTTTTATAATATTAAACATCATGAATAAATTGGTAGACTTTCGATCGACATTATTCTCGTGAATCGTGAAATCAAAAATCATATCCACCGTTCAACAAATATTTTTTCTATCTACGCTAATCGAATACATTTTATTTGCAATCGGAGAAATTAAAAGCCCACGCGGTCACGCAATTCGAATTATGTACAATTTTGTAAAAAAATTCTTATCGTTTTCATGCGTGCTATGCACATAGATATATGTATCTAACGTTAAGTTCAGTAAACAGGAGGCGTGCTGCGAATGGTGAAATTGGAGCATGCCATATCGTATTGCTAGACCAAGTAACAAAGATGGGCAAAAATCTTATCTCGATACAAATTTTAAATAGCCAGTAAAAAATAAACAATTTTTAATCTGTTATTTATAGAATGAAAATTGTACAATCCAAATTATATGATGAAATTATATTCCATATTGAACTCGTAGAAGTTTACGTCGATAACACGTTAATGGAACAAATATTCAGAACAAATCTCTGTACAGTATCTTTGTTTGTCATCTAATTATTCGAATGAAAATTATAGTAGTATAAGTAAAAAAAAAAAAAATTGTACTTTTGCAGAATTTCACACTTCAACGACACTTTTCATCAAGCCTAAATAAAAAATACTATTAAGATGATTTTCAGTTTCATAGTTATGCAAGTATGGCCTTGAAACAGAACTTTGTTTTTCGAATCTAATGGGCTCGCGACAATACCAATTTATTACATGATATACCTAGCTTGTTCCATCAGCTAACGTTAAATATTTTTGTAATTAGGCGTATCAATTTCAATTAGAATATTTACTCGTTCATAGACGCTGTAAATTCATCGAAAGGAACCCCGATTCCAACTAATGTCAACACTAAAATGACTTTCCTTCGCAAACAGGTGACTGTTGTTTTGTTATTACGATTACCGATTTCTATTTTTTTATTTTTAAAATTACCCAAGTCCAGTTTTCGCCTAGCATTGCATAAAAATAATTCCTGCGTATTGTTATTAAATCTGAAGAAAAATCGCCGCGTGGCAAAAAGAATTCTTCATGCATACGTACTTGCCGTATTAGCGACGTAAACAAATTCGTATTTAATTTGAGATTCATGTTATAGATACAAATTAGTCCGAATAAGATTTTAACTGATAATGCAGCGAATGTCGATGTGCCCGGAGACTTAACGGCCGGAGGAAATGAAAAACAGTGTTGTCTGGTCCCAGACTAAGCTAATACTGACTGGATGGTAATGTTATGGACATCGGTACCGCTCTAAACTTCGTTCACAGTTGAGTCTGCACGAGCGTCGAACAGGTTCTTATGTAAGGAAACAAAATGAAAAAAACATTTCTATCAGTAAACCCGTTTCGATGACGCGACGAATATAAACTCAAACGATTCGATATAAATTCAACACATTGTTACGCACTTATTTCGATGCTAAAACAACTCTTTCATATGTGGAAGATTCCTTTATTGTGCAAACAAAATTGTCATTGTGTTGCAACTACATTATCGCTCGATAAAAGATTTATTCGTTGTAACGTAATTTCATAGGTGTTTACGAAACATTTTTCCCGCTTCTTTGGTTTTTTTTTTCGGAATAGAGATAAATTTATCGTTACAAGTTGATATCTGGCATTGATCCTTTCTGGAACGTTATTGTGTACATTTTATACGCATAGATACTTTTTCGGGACGATTAATTATGTCATTATATATTTTCTTATAGTTTTTCAACATTAATATTTATTAATATTTTGTTAACTACAGCCCAACGTAAAATCTTACACTATGATTCTGTCTTTATGCCGAATGTAAGACTTATACGTCCAAACGATGGCGTTTAATATTAATTGTATCGCCATCAATCGAGCCTTGTTAAATCTAAAAGTGGCATCACAATTCAAAAGTATAACTGTATATATGTAGACGGACTTTACGTATGTTGGTGTACTTTAAACTATGGATATTAATGTGTAACGTACGATGAAAAGAAATCGAACGAATTGGCGAATAGAGAAACGAAATGCATGCAATGCTGCATTAATATGTAATAATATGCAACTTGTTGCTTCTTAGTCGTCGGTAACATGCCATAGGCATAGAAAAATTAATTAAAAGTAGACAAGAACGTTGCAGTAATATTATAAAATTAATGTGAATATGTACATTTTCGCAACTCACTGTGTTCATGTTTTCTGATTAAATTTTATTCGATGTTCATGAAATATGAAAAAAACAATCCGTATTTTGTATCTGTGACACCAGCTTGTTTAATTAATTGGTCTCTGATTATTATTATACTTACGATATATTTTTCGCACGAGATGTCGTATCTAGTCTTAATACTATCTATCTAACGTTATAGGGCATGCGTACGTAATACGTGAAACGTTACGATTTTCGTTCAGACAGTCGAATCATAATATGCATGGCTTCTATAAAACGTTTATCTTCCAAAATAAGCCATTATTTTCATTATTTTCGTAAAACTACTGAGACTCTAATTAATGCACGTATATATCACATTAAAACGAATCCTAAACATTCTGTTCTTGTACTTGTAATCGTGTCATTTCAAATATTTCGCAAGATCATATCAACAAAAGCGGTTTCTAGTACACGCGACAATATCGTACGTGACGCGTTATTGGCTGTTTAAATGCCAAACGTTTTCATTGGACGAGGAGTGGAGGGCTCAGCCAACCAGACAGAACGTTTTCGAGAATCGATCTCTCGTTAGGGTTGCTCATGAAGTTTCATGAATTGGATGCGCAACAGTATTGTGCGCACGTTCCGCGTGCTCAACGTGGAATTGGGCGAAGAAAAAGAACAGGAAACGGGAGGAGAGGATCGAGAGGAAGAAGGGAAGAAACAGTGTGACGGTGACGAAAACGGCAGTACACCGGTATACGACGATCGGGTCTTCGTATCTGACTTTAAAGAGGTTTGGACGAGTATGGAAATTCGCACCGATCCGGATAAGATTCGAAAGAAATATATAACAATAGGTTAATTGGTGTCTGACCAAGATAGCGGAACACGGTAAAGGGAGACGCATAGTTCGAAGTGGGAACGACAAAAGATAGAGAAGAGGTGGTGGAAGTGGAGGTGGTAGAAGTAGTGGTAGTGGTGGTGGTAGTACGGAAGAACCAGGAGGTGGAGAAGGCTTGCCAGCCGCCGGAAGAGCATCGACGGCGACGGGGGCGGGGAAGCTGTCCACCGAACGGAACGACCGCTCGGCGATACGAACGGCGAGTCGAACGGTTTTCGAAACGGATACGGACATACCCAACCTTGGACGATATTCGCTGATTTTCTGCTAGGTAAGTTCTTACGAGCTACGACAGAAACTGTGCGTTATCGGTAATTATTTCGAGACTCGCGACGCCGTTGAGACGTGAGAGAACCGCAGTTCCAAATAATTGACAGGAATGACGTAGCGTAAGGGGTGTGTCGTCGATTAGGCGGCAATCTTGGATGCTATTTTAATGTGTCGTTAATTGTTTCTGGATAATCTTTGATCACTGATTATCGATCGTCTCGTTTTCGTTCGTCGTTCAACCACCTTGTGAAAGTATTTCAAAAGTGATTGTCAAGGTACTTATGATAGTTACGCCATCGAAAACCATCGCTCTCGGTAGCTGTATCGCCATTTGCATTGTTAAATCGTTGACCTTCTTTTTCTCCTGTTTTCCCCTTAAAACAGATAGAAAGCTCTTCTGATACCGTAATGTTTGTTTTAAACACAAAAGTGACGCCAATCTGCCGTTCAGCTCTCCGTTCAGGCAGAATTTTGTGTCGGATTACGCGTACACCGGTAAAAACTCGCGACTAGAGTAAAAATTCTGCTGATTCTTCGTGCATTAAAAGTTTTTGAATTTCTGTTACTCTTGGGTTATCCGTTTGCTGGCAGCAACGATAAAGCAACAGTGTCGCATGACTTGCAAACGAAATGCGTACATTGATTTCCCCGTACACGCGATTAATCGATTTGTTAAGAATATTCTCCATTGAAAGCAATGAATCGTCGTATGAAATTAGGCATTCCAAGTGGTAATATTGACAAAGCTCTAACAGTGGTATGGTTAAAATAAAAGTTAACTCAGTTTCGTAACGATCAACGAACGTGCGTGCATCGAATACTTTTACATTTATCCGTCAGTGGTTAGTAAATCAATACATCTAAACTCCGGTCATTTGGGCGTATTCGCACGAATAACCGTACACTGAGTTCGTCACGACGTCCTTATGATCGTCGTTATTTCGTTGACACTTATTCGACAGATACGACAATACATATCTATATGTGAATACATGTTGCATCGTGCCCTGCAATCGAGCGATACTTTGAATAGCTTTTGATTTTCCCGCGGAAAATATAGTTTAACAAGTAGATACACCAAACGAACGCACATCTCCCAGCAATGAACTTGCGCCTCCTCTTTTTCTCGTAACAACTCTAGACCGCCCGCGCGCAATCTATAGTCTATGGCTTGGAAATAAACCGGCTGCTCTCTCGGGTTTCGATTCTATAGAAGGCACGCCGCTCACCTGTGCGTTCAGTGGTCGGTTTATCTTCCTGGTTTCATCTACCAATTTCGACCGATTTCGTGTTTCCAAATAGCATCGTAGCATACGTAGCTTACGTAGCATCGAACGATTAGTTTCAAATATTTTCATTCCACGATCAATGTCATTATTACCTACTTAGCTTAATGAATATCCGCGGAGGTAGCGATGCCGCAGGCAACACAAGTATAATGATCGGAGTGTTAATTTGAGGAATATGTAAGTAAAATGCGATTAACAGTGGCTTGTGATGCAATGATTGTTTACTAATCGGACTTGTGAAAGTTGCATGTTTTCTTATGGTAAATACGACGCGATTGTAGCTCATCAGCCGAACGTGGTACCGCCCAACGAACGACGATAGAGTAAGCTTCGCGTTTTAAGTTATGACATCATCGCGTCGAGAAACAGCGGACGCGTCGCATTAAGTATCTCGTGCGCGATATGTGTTCGGTCCATTATCTCGGTAGTTACACACGTTATCGAATGTTTTTTCATGTTACCGATCACCTAACACGGGCTAGAAACGTTCACCGATTTTGTATGCATTTTATTTTAATTCGATTCGGTGGATTAACGTTTAAATCATTGAATTGAATTGTAGATACAGCTTTGATGATTTATCGGAATAGATGCGAATACAAAATTTCATACGTTTTTAAGAGATTGCGTGTGTGTAAATACGTAAGTGATTGCAATTACCGGTTCCGTGTATAGGCTATGTTCAATTGGTGTTCGCTGTTAAATAACGTTGATGAATATCAATTGATGGACCAACACTATTTAGTCACGGTGAATTACGTATTCGGCCTAGAGTTGGGTAAAATGTTATTTATATAATAGATGACCGGTAAAACTAACGTACACCAATTTATTTGTAACATTTATTCGATCGGAACAATTAAATTTTTGTTCGTTTCGAAATATTTTATTTTGTATTAAAAATTTTATTCATTACTCAGCATTCTATTTAAATAAGAATTTAGATTGTGTATGACTCGATCAGATAGCGATATCAAAGACTTTTTTTTTTTTTTTTTTTTTTTGTTTTTACTGCTGCCCAATGAAAGTTGATAATCATGTAATTTATATCATAAGTAAGTCATACGAAATCTTTCGTACAAATTGAAGAAGTTACAGTAGAGACCACAGAAAAGAAATGGCCGCGAACCGAAAAGTGTATCGATCGTTACGCTCGACTCGAAGTTCCAGAGTACTATCTGTGTATTTCTGTGAATACATAATGTGATACTCAAATTGTTTCTAGTTTGCATGGTTACGTCAAAAATAATATCACGGAAATTCGTTGGCGGTACAACGTGATGTCACTCCAAAAAACTTGTCGCGCACTGCTTGATCAATAAATTTCGGTGAATCCGTTTCCACTCGTACCCTAACACGACAAAGAAAGTCAATGAATTGATTAATTAACGGATCACTATACATAATTTTAGCCGTCCGACAAATCGTACATTTTGAGTTAAGTTAAAGTGCTGAAATGCTTTCTATGAAATGAAAATGGCGCCAAATGTTTGCTCCTTTGTTTTTATTATGGTTAATTTATATAATGGAACCATTCATTCGATGAGAAACGGCTGTGTAGTAGAAGCGATGGCTGAAACAATTTTATTAAGGAACGATATCTCTACGTTTTTGGCACTTTAGATTAGGATTCACAGAAGATGTGTATTCGAGTTAAGCGTAGGCTTTCAAGTTGAGAGCCATTAGACGCGGTTATCGTGAACACAAATGTGTCAATGTCGGGCATCTAACGAATAACCGAGCAATTTACTGTTCCTGTTCCGTGATAGTAACGTGCATCATATCAACCAACATCAGAGCACACGTTCGTTTGTTTTCACATCGCTGGCGCAAGAAACAGGGAGGGTTAGCGCCGTGAATGTTTATACCGATGCTTGCTCGTAAATGTGTGCAAAATTCTTATCTGGATAAAAATAACGAACAAAAGATAAAGATTTCTTATCGTTTAATCGGTATTAGAAACTGAACGAATAGAAATTTATCTATACAACCGATTAATCATCACAAATAAATTATTATATAAGTATATTTTTCATTTTATATATTAATTGTATAAATTGGGTTGATTTATTTTATATTATTATTATTTAACATATTACAAAAACAATTTCCTTTAATGCGGTGGTTTCCACATTTTTTAAAAAGGTGTATATATTAATCACCCTCCCTCCCCCGCCCGGTATCTCATACTTCAGAAAGTACTGATTCGATGCGTACACCTTTTACTGATTTCATTGGGTAGTTACAAAATTAGAAACGCAGTAAAATATGAAGTTTGGGTACGGTACGGTACGGTGCAAGGGCGAGGTTCGACAACTGCCGCTGCGTAACCTAACCCCAAATTTCGTAGGAGAGAAAGCGAGTCTTTGAATGGACTTGTTTCCGACCTTCCAGAAAGAGGCACGACAGAAAGATACAAGGAATGTGAAACGTGGGGCGTAGAGACGAATACGTAAGGCGAGATCTGAGCGTGGTATAAATAAGCACAGTAAGAATTTGAGAAAAAAAGAGCGGTACGATTTCAGTCGCTCTAGGGATTCTTGTCGTCAGTCACCCCTGCTGTCTACACATTCAACGCGCGTTACACTTGACTGTTACCCGCGAGTTTATTGATCGCTTGCTGACTTCTGTCGGTTTTCCTGCGTTCCTTGCTTTTTGTCAATCGACGAAGCCCGATGCACTGTGCATCGCCGGCCACGAAAACGGAACGATCGGAGGTCCCGGCGCGTTGATGATTTTTCGTACGAAAAGATGGCGGAAAATTTGAAATCGAATGCCCTTCTCGGTAAAATTTCTATTTCAAAACAGAGTTGCAACAATAATCGAATTTGAATTACTTTCGTTCAATAATTGAATATACAGTTTGAAATTAATTTATATGATTACATTTCACTATTTTATCCCCTAAAACAGAGTAGTAATAAAACGAAATATAACTGCTAGCCACACCACTGTGAAAGGGTGAAGTTTAGTAACTAGTTTTACTATGAACTGATGTAGCAGTAATATTAACATGTGTAAAAAAATTGTGTTTCAGTCGGTATCCAGCGAAGAAAAGGGAAGGAGGAGGAGGAGGAGGAGGAGGAGGAGGCGGTGGTGGTGGTGGTGGTGGTGGTGGTGGTGGCGGCGGTGGTGGCGGAGGAGGCGGTGGCTGCAACGACGGCGGCGGTGGTTGAAAAAGTGGAGGAGGAGGAGGAAGGAGGCAGGAATAACGGCGAAAAATAATTTTAAATAGAGGGGAAATAAGGGGATAAATTCAGAGAAATTGAAGGAGATATCAAACGCGTTAAGGATGGCGGACACAAACGAACAGCAAGCGTTGTCCGAGCCACATACGAACGGAGTAATGGACGGATTGACGGAAGAAGAGAAAAGTAAAATGAGGCCTGCCGATATCGACGCGGTAAGATATAAAAACCGATTTGATCTTATTTACCTTTTGGAAGAACGTACTGAAATTACGCTTTTCAACCTTTTTTTTTATAGGATATGAGGGAAATGGAAAGGAGAAAGAGAGTCGAGATGATGATGAATTCACGACTGTTCCGGGAGGAATTAGAACGAATTATTGAGACTCAAATGAAAGACGGTGCTGGGCCATCCGGCCTATTGCAACAAATCTCGGACATGATGGGTGCGCAAGGTGCTCGGTTCAACGCAAACGTGTTCAAAAGTAAGTTCGTTGATTAGAAATTCATATATTGGTTGGCTCGTTGATTGTCTGACCAACGTGTTTCATTGCAGATTCAAATTGTGTATTACCTATCAACGATATACGCGGTGTTGAAAGTATGGGTTACGCGAAGGGAGAGAAATTGTTGCGCTGTAAGTTGGCGGCAATGTTCAGATTGTTGGATCTTTATGGTTGGACGCAGAGTGTCGGTGGACAAATCACAGCCCGTTTGAACCACGATGAAGAACACTTTTTAATTAATCCTTATGGATTGCTCTACCATGAGGTCACTGCCTCGAGTTTGGTGAAAGTTGATATGCAAGGGACGATCGTGGAGCAGGGAACAACCAATTTCGGCGTTCACGTGACAGGATTTCAATTACATTCAACAATCCACGCTGCGAGACCTGACATCAAGTGCATCGTTCATATCACCACTCCGTCCGTTACTGCTGTAAGTAGAAAATTTAATGACGCTCTCTTCCGTATGCCTCTTGTAAATTGATTATAGATATAAAAAATCGAGTATTTGCTCTTATTATCGAAGAAATTACTTCTTATACAGCAATGTTTTCCAAACTAGGACACATGTACGAAAATGTTTAAGGTAGATAAATGTACGTAAAATCTCTTTTTATATTAACATAGATTCATCACTGAAGTACAAAAACTGTAGTAGTATATTTGTCTTGTATCATTTTAAATATCCCATTTATCTGATTCAATAGATGATTCCATTTATCAATTTTAGGACAATTATTTTTGTATCATATTGTCTGGAATATACACTACAACATCATTAACTTATTATTATAATTTGGCCTAGAGTCTTTCTTTTAATAATTTATTATTTTCATTGAATAAAACATTCAATCAATAAAAGAATATATAAATACAAATAAGTCCATTATTAGTACATTCACAATTCATATTTTTCGTATATGTTCTATGATTATCGAAAGAAGAAAGGATATAATTACATTCGTTGTATGAGTAATTGTTACACAGCCATTTATTTCTATTTATAATAACGTATTTAATAATGCATTCATGTGCCCCTATATTTATACGTTTTTCATATCTCTGCTCATAAAATGTATTGACACAGATTTTAGATATTTTTGTAAAAATGAATCTCTTTCCCCGTTTATAGATCTCGTCGCTAAAATGCGGATTGCTACCAATCGGACAAGAGAGTATAGTGATAGGGGAGGTTAGCACGCATCAATACATAGGTGGTAACTTCGAACCGGAGGAGAAAGAAAAAATAGCTAGAAATCTTGGCCCTGTGAATAAAGTGATGTTGTTGACGAATCGCGGTGCTCTCTGTTGCGGGGAGACCGTCGAGGAAGCCTTTTACAACGTTTACAATATGGTAATGGCCTGCGAGACGCAACTGAAAATGATGCCCGCCGGCCTTGAGAATTTGAACCTAATCTCCGAGGAATCGAAGAAAGCAATATTCGAGGCCTCGAGGAAACCACCAACGCCGCATCAAATAACTCAGATCTCCGAAAGCACGGTTCTTGCTGAAAAACTTGAAAAGCGTTGGCGAATCGGCGGAATTGAATTCGAGGCGCTCATGCGGATGCTGGATAACGCGGTAAGAAGTGTTAAGTTTTTTTATATCCCTTGTTCTTTAATCTCCTACCATAATTCGATTATGATAGAAATATTTTTTACAACAAATACAAAAATTAATTCATTAGAAAATAATTTGTTCCCACTGCGACATTCTACTTCTTCCTGTATCAATGGCTTGTATCTGCGCTTGGAAATGAGTTATAGCTTGTCCTAGTTTCCAGAACCACCCTGCTAACAAGAAAGTTTCCGGTTTGTGTACCAATACAAGCCCGCAATGCCTTTGTAATTCATAGAAATTGAAACGCTGATAGCAAAGTTTGCTGTTAACAAAAGATCAGAAAGCCTTGACATTTTTATTAATTAGATCCACTGTCAAGTTAGTATAAGTGTTAGAGCATGAATGGGAGATTCTAAAGGCCAAAATAAGACGAAAATGAAGAATATCAATTTGTTGATGGAGGCTTCGTTAAAAAGTTATTAACAATTAAATTCAAAAATTTCAAATCGTTATGAAAAAATTATTTCCGATTGCGGGGGTCAATTACAATCATTTTTGGTGAATAGTCATACCCCCGAAATCCTACCCACTTTTCAGAAAAAAATACGAGAAGGTGTAAAATTTTTCGACAAAATTTAAAAATTTCAAATCGTTCTGGAAAAATTATTGTTAGCTGCAGGGGTTAATTAGAATCATTATTGGTGAATAGACGTACCCCCGAAATTTTGCGCGTTTTCGAGAAAAAAATTCAGTACGGGCGGAACTTTAAACGTTAATAACTTTTTAACGAAGTCTCGATCAACAAATTGGTATTCTTGATTTTCGTCTTATTTTGGCCTCTAGAATTCTCCATTAAAATTTTTAAAAATATCCACCGGAAAATTTTTCGGCGAAATAAAAAATTTTTAAATCATTCTGACAAAATTATTTTATTTTTTTTGTGTAACGTCTACTGAAGAACACTGGGACACTGTGTTTGAATACATTCTATAAATAATCGTAATTTGAGAAGACTTTTTATTCTCATTATTGTCCTCCTTATTAATACAAATGTTACATTGATCATTCGTAGGGATTCCGTACGGGTTACATATACAGGAATCCATTGGTGAAAGGGGATCCTCCGCGACCTCGGAATGACGTAGAAGTACCACCAGCAGTTTCATCTTTGGGATATCTACTTGAGGAAGAGGAACTATATAAACAAGGGTAAATACAGAAGTTGATTAAATGGACGTAAATTCATTGATATTAGAGCAATATAAAAACAATATAATTTCAAACAATAATTCGTAACACCCGATCGAAGCGTCTGATCGCCATTTTTGTATCTCTGTTGCAGACTCTGGAAAGGTGGTCGCAAAGGCACTGATAGATCACGTTGGTTGAACTCGCCCAATGTGTATCAGAAGGTTGAAATACTTGAGACGGGAACTCCTGATCCAAAAAAAATAACAAAGGTAGAGGTTATCACTTTTGAGAATAAAAATGAGTAGATGCGAGAAGGAGAAAAAAAGACGTACGAGGAACTAAATTCGCGTAAAATTAAAAAATTACTTGGAAACTATATTATCGAGAAGGAAAAAAATAGTACGTGTAAACAGTGTCGATGTCGATGTCAATGTTCGTCAATACCTTACATGCACATGTTGTTATATTAGAAATTCTCGGAAGAGCTATTTATCGGTGAAGTAACTATTGCGGCTAATTAAAACGAAAAGAGATTATACGTGCAATTTCTTACAAACATCGCTTTTTTCATTAGAGTAAGTAAGACAAATATGTGTTCCAATGTTGATGAATGAACACTTTTTTTACAAATATTCGCAGATGGATGACTTTGATCCAATTGTTCAACTATTGTGCATTGTTTTGCTTGTTACTCGCGACACGCGCAGCGCAATTTTCATATTCTTGGTACATTCCAGTTTACGGTAGTCTGTTAGGAAATATGTTGTGAAAATACAGCCAGGAAGACGGAGGGAGGGAGAAAGTGAGTGGGAGATACACATATATACATATACATATATGTATATATATATATGCAATTTTATAATCGGGGTACGAGAAACCCTGAACGATTGACTTGCGATTAGCATGAAATGTAATTCTGACTGAACAGCTTCTACGACATCGTGTGTCGGTCGGCCAATACTAAAAATTATTGTCGTCGTTAATAGACTTTATCGCACCTCTCTCTTGTAGCTTCTTGATATTCAAATAAATATATGTCTACTGTTTATCGTGTATAGGTAATTTTTCGGAAAGAAAACAGGACCTTTTCTCGTTTTAAGGGAAATAGGACGAATAGAAAGATTTCGTCTAAAATAACCCTTCGTAGCATGTATGATAAGCATGTTGTGGATAAAAAAAACTGAAACCAACACGGTAGTCTCTTCCGCGAATCTGCGATTCGATAAGCTCGGCTTTCGTGAACAACGGAGCCGCGTGCATTTTCCTCGAATCTCTCGCGTTTCATATTTCCCTAGAAATTGAACTTAAGATTAGATCTGGGCAAACTTTATTTATCACCAGAATAAGAAATAACTATTTGAAATAATATATCAGTCTCTTATTTCCTGCAAGATCGTTTCAAATAAATTCGTATATTTTCGTTTATGCAACGAATGAATACGTATTTATTCGTAATTTGCAAACAGAAAATTAATACATTTTGCATAACGTAACATTTTTGTTATATTTTTATCCATGGAATATATATATATATAAACAGTGAATTTAAAGTTATAAATATGGATTCATATAAATGATAATGAATTTGTTAAAATAATTATAGGTATAGGATTATAGGTAAATTATAAAAAATAATTTACTAATTTATATGATAGTGAATATTGGATATGCAAAATATCACTATACTATATACAGTAATGCTAAAGTGATCTATTAATTTTAAGCAGTAAAAGATTTCTGAACAGTTCCGTTATTTCCAAAAGTATTTTATTATATATATAACGTAATGGTACTTGAAAAATGAAGTAATCGTAGAACATGATAATACGTTATAAGAGATAATATTTCAAATAACGTTATTTCGAAAGTACCCAGGTCTGCTCGAGAGACACGATACCTGTCTGACCATAGATCGTTTGATCTATTCGTATTCGGTACTGTGTATGAATGTGTGCCTGTTCATCGTATCGTTGGAGTGGCGAACGTTCGATTCTTCGCCCCACTGCATTTACAAAACCAGATCGATCGACCCCATAGAGAAAGAGAGAGAGAGAGAAAGAGAGAAAGAAAGAAAGAGAGATACGGAAATGCTCTCGAGAAATATTCGCGATCGATAGATTCGGAAACATTGAACGAACGTTACTCCCGATTAAGGGAGAAAAATCGTGTAAACGATTTGCTGGGGCAAAAGACCAGTCGAAGAACTCGAACTCTCAATAACTCGATGGACGAACGATTCGCATAAGTTGCAGCATCGAGCACACGCGGGCACGTGCATAAAAAGTGTTAAACGCGGGGAACACGGGAACGTCAACAGCGAAGCAGGCACACATAGCATACGCATACAGTGCGGGAAACGATTATTACGATGCTGTACCGAATGTCGAATTACATTGGACGGGGGTCGAACTAACGTTCTGGTTTTGTGTGCAGTGGGTGTCTGACGGCTCTCCGACCCATAGCAGTACACCGGTGAAGATCGATGGTGCTCTTCAATTCGTACCGAAAAATACCAATCCAAAGGAGTTTAAGCAAATACAGCAACAGGTAAGTGTCTTCTTCCAACTACCCTTTAACTACGTGTAATCGTAAGTATTAAAATTGTGTCGGTCGTTAAACTCTCTTGAGACAAATATCCACGCAATATGCTAAGCAAGAAACCTGTCCAGAACGTGACACGTGGGAAGAACAAGTTTCCTATTTAACATATCGCATATTTATCTCAAGAAAGTTTTTATTCAGAAACCACCGACAAAGTTTTAATACTTGTGACTATAAATATTCAAACCTGCATGCAAGGCTCCTCGGATTTCTGTTCTGGTGCATTTTTAACTTTTTACGTGTATATTTGACAAACGTGTTCAGTCAAAGACATGTTGTTTATAAAAAATATTCATAAACTGTAAGGAGTTTCAATATTTTTCCATAATAATTTATATATATTTTCTTGAAGGGAACTGTCGTTTAAAATCGTCATTTAAAACGTGCTTTTTTTTTGTTTTTTGAATACCGTATCAAGAGTTGTCCTAAGGGCCAACAAATATCGAGCTTTCAACGTTTACATTTTCGAAATCTTCGACAGGTAGTCTGCAGAGCCCCGAGGCACATTTCTTTTGGTATTGTTGCGATTATATTTATAATTTTTTGTCGCAAATGTTGCACATTTCGTAGTTTGAAGACCATTTTTTTTTTCTAAATCTCCAAGTCCAATTCTTCGTATAAGTATTAACATTTCTTTTTAACATCTTGTACAATCGATCGTTAGTGCACAAAGATGTACGGAATTAGTTAACTGTTTCAATGCTGTTCAAGTACGAATCCACGATTTCTTTTTTGTTAGATCAAAGATTACCGTAGGGCAGACAAAATATCAGCTGGACCGCAATCTCACATATTGGAAGGTGTTACGTGGGAAGAAGCTAAGAAAATGCAGGTAACGTTTCAGATATTTTGGTAACAGTAACGCTACAGCGGTATTCTCGCTATTTTTTTATATTTTTGACCTATCCTTGGTGTAAACAAATTAATATAGATATTTGTTTGATCGTGTACAAAAGGATGCTACCATCAGTGGAACTGGAGAGCAAGTAGTTTTGGTAGGAGCGGCCAGCAAAGGTATTATTCAACGTGGCTTTCAGCATAATGCGATGGTCTACAAGACTCCGTACGCCAAAAATCCATTTGATGCCGTCACCGATCAAGAACTCGATCAGTACAAGAAAGAAGTGGAACGTAAACAGAAGGGAGATCCATGTAAGCGAGCGACAAAAACCTGTCGACTGTTTTATTTAAATAGAAATATATTCTTGTTTCAAGAGAAGGGATAGTTTGATCCAATCAGCACAAATTTAGACTTTTCTTCATATTAATTTCAACTAATATAATGAACCTATTGATTGTTAAATTTTATGGTTGCTCATTCTCAAGTTAAACTTATCCTTGATCAATTTTGTCTTCCTTAAGATGACGAATCGCAGTCTGAATCGGAAGCACTGTCCTCTTTCAACGCCAGCCGTGCAACACACGAATCTAGCACTGCCAAAAGTCCGATTCAGTCACCGGTATCGATAACTTCGGAAACAGAAGAAGAAAGCAGAGACGGTAAATAAGAATTTTTCAAATTTTTCTTTTTTAAATTGAACTTATAATTATCGGTTATAACTATGATCTCTATATTCATTAATCCGTGTTATTAATACTTTAGTTTATATTATATACAGACTGAGGCAACTAACATGCTCAGGTTTAATAGCTTGTAAATTATGCATTGTATGAAAAATTGTTATATACAAAAGTTACATGTGGGGGGGGGGGAATAGTTGGAATAATAATAATAATAATTGTCAATCGTTTACAGAACCTCGAGTACTGCGAATAGAAACGAAACAAGTGCCTGCACCGAGTCAACCCGAGGTTGTATTGAGCGATGGTAAGTTAACTTTCAAAATATTGATCTTTTCGGTTTGAGCAACTGTTCACATTCTCAAGGGTAAGTTACCATTGAGAACTAGTGAGGGAATGCGGTACGTATGTTGGACACAAGCCAGGTGGAGAGCCTTGTATCGTGCTGTCTTTTGTTTACCTTGTTCCCATTATTTTCATTTTTCATCGAACCTTTTCGGTTCCTAGCAATTAACGAACAAGGCTTATACCACAAGCATGAGGATATTTGCAACCTGTTGCATTTGCGTTTGCTCTTTAATTTCATCCATTATCATTAATTCTCTTTTTATTTATGATCACTAACGCTTGCACCGTGCATGTTTACATTTTTGTCGGAGCACAATTTGGGTCTCACCATTAATTTTCCTTCTTTTTACCCTCTCACTTTCATGTGGCTTTTTCCCCCTGAAATCTTTAACGCACGTTAAATGTATCGCAGCACACTTCTTTTATTAATCATTTACGAATCGTTGAAGACGTCCCAAGAAAACGTGTCAAATGTCGTCATGGCAAGTGGTAAAAATTTGACATGGACGCGTTATCTTCCGAAGGAAAGATTCCTAGGTGCAAGTCTGACTTGTTAACGAGGTTTTATACAATGATAAATCTTGAAATATTGAATGCAGTAACTATAATTTCTAGAATAGCTTAAGACAGTACAAATTTCAATGAGCTACAAAAATAGACAGGGTGATGCATTCTTTAGCTATTAAATTAAAATGTATAATTTCAGAAAATAAAAACTGTATAGAATTGAATGCATGATAATGTGGCTTATAAATTTGAATATTATAGCATCATTCGTGTCATTTTGTATCATAATGAAAATGAATGCTATAACATTCATGTCAATAAACTAATTAATATATGATAATTGTTTCTAAATTGTTTGGTAGGCACTCCCCTAAAAAGGAATAGAATTTCTGCGCACGAGGATGCACAAATTAAGTTACTTGTATTAATCAGAATTCCTTGAAAGTTTTACTCATTGTATATCACTGTGCAAAACCTCCTTAACTGACACTGGTCAATGCTAAAATATATGTTCTCTAATAACAAAAATGAAAGTTAAATTAAAACATTGGTTCTAGTTTTTTAAAAATACAAACTAAAAGTGGACATTTTGTGATACTTAAAAACGACCTCTTTATCTCTTATAACCGTACATTTTATATATTTTATTCAATCTACAATTATAACAGACTTATCAAACTAAACGTAAACAACACTAAGTAGACTTAAACATATGCAAGAGGAGCATTTTTAGATCCACTATTTTAGCGTATTTGAATTAAATAGATCATGCCTTATATTTTTCAAACCAGAACCAAATGATTTTGTTTTCATTAATCGTAAAGAATACAAACTATTGTTGAACATTTGTTGATCAGTGTAATCCGACGTGTGCCTATGTTTATTTCTATTTCTCAGAAACGCGTTACTTTTTATTTATCCAGGTATCGTACACACAGGTGTGAGCATCCGTGATCATAAAAAAAATCTTCTGCCTCTGCGAGAAAGAAGGTAGACAAACGAAATCAACGTTAAAGTACATTTGTGGCTTCTTTTTCTTTCTGGAACGTGTAATTGCAGATCGTGATTCGTGGAGCAGACAGTGCAGTCGAAGCGAAAGCGAATATGACTACGAGAACGGGGATGAAGTCTGCATTGATCGCAGGCGTCGTAATCTTGAAGAACCCCGTTTAGAAATTACTCGAAGCGATGTTGTCGCTGTACGTATGAAACCCACGGTAATCGACTACGCTCCGGTCGTACGAATCAAGATCAATTCTTCGATCGATGCGAAGCGTAAATTTTTCGAAAACATTTCGACCGATCACGGGAAGAAAGAACAATCGGAAGAATCGTCAAACAAATCAAAAGGAACAAATAAGACAGACTTGTTGGAATCTCTTGACGAGAAAACGGCAGCAGATAATAAGAAGATACAGGAATACGTATCAAACAATGTAAATTTTGAGGAACAGATCGTCAAAGCCGTGGATAGCATCGAGTCAAACGTCCCTGCTTTAAATAAACAATTGAGCGATCTGTCCCATTTCGATTTCAGCGTCTCGTCCAAATATAGCTTAAATTCGGCTGATATGAATTTAGTATACAGGTTGACTCCGTTTGTAGATCACGAGAGTCCAGAGAACGTTGACGAGACACCGATCATAGAACGATCATTTCGATCGATCGAAAAGAAAAGCTCAGAGTGTAAACAGCAGCGATGGAAGGAAAAGGAACGCATGCTCGAGGAAGCTTTGAACGATTGTATCTGGTTGGATGATTCGTTTGACAATACTGTTTCGTACGAACGTTCCGAGAGTCTTTCAAACAAAGGATCCGACACCGACGAGCTGTCGTCTGAAAAGATTTTAGAACTGCTAAAAATAAACGGCGAAATTTTTCTAAACGACATCAGCGACAGCGCGAACGAAATCATTGCCGAGCTTGACGCGAACGATACCTACGCGAACATAACTTGTCTGGTAGCTGAGATTTTCGAAAGAGTCTGCACTCTTTGCAGTATCCAGCCGAACGGTCGTCGTAATGCTTTGCAATCGTCTTGGATCTCATCATTGTCCACGTCCTCGTTATCTCATTCACTTTCGGCGTCGACGTTACTGTCAATTTTGAAAGACGAAGAATCGCAAGCAAAGGAACTCACCAAGTCTCAGAGAACTTCGTCGATGGAGGATCTAAATGGAAATAACGTGCCTGTCTTCATTGTACGCGAAATCGTTCACCACTTAATCGATGCGGATGACTTTGAACACAATTCGAACACCACTCTTGATGCAATGGACTGCTCCTTCAAGAGAGCTAAAGACTCTGCGAACGTGGAACTGAAAGAGTCCCGAAATGCTATCAGCGAGAAGGTAGAATTCTTCCAAGATGGACGACAGGTGAATGACTTACCGATTAGTACCAGTTTGGATGAAACAAATGTGGAGAACGAGTCGACCATAAATCTGGAATCAGGCGAAACGACAGACACGGAAGTTGTTTTCGAGTTCCGTACAATAGCAAAAAGGAAATCGACGAATATCGATGATAAAGCGTTCGCGTTGAATTTTCGAGTCGAGACGAATTGCAATTGTGAAACCAATCTTACAGGAGTGGATGAAATCCAGAGCTCTGATCAAACCTATGTGGAAGAAGATGCAGGTTCGAATAACTCGACTAAAAGCGATATGGAAACAGAATTGTTAAAACTGTCTGAGCTCTGTGATCTTCCGGAGATTTCCAAGTCTTGCGAATTGTATAACGAGTGTATTTATTGCACAATTAACGACACCCAAAGGTGTTCCTTACCGCCCATAGACGAGGAAAGCGAAGAGACAAGCTCGAGTGTACATCTTAAACGATCAATGTTGTTGAATAACAGCCAAATTGGCAAGACGGTCGAAGAAAATGGTCTGAACGATACTTTCATGTGTCTTGATATTGACGACAGCGACGACGAATTCTTCGAATGCGACGTAAACGGTTCAAGAAACAGGGTTTCGCTTAAAGCATCGTCTCTATTAAACGGTCAAACACCTTTTCCCCCGGACGCGACCATCAGCTTACGCAATGATCAAGCTTTGTGTCTTTAGAATTCGCTTGAATCGACAATTTAAAAATATAGCCGTTTCCGTCGAGTAATTAATATGCAACTCAAACGGCGAACACGCTTCTTTATATCGAATATCTGTTTATCGTATTTTTCTAATCTATCATTCATTGTCTTGCATTTGTACTGACATACGTTTTTTTTTTTTCTTTACTTTTATTTTTAAGTTACAGATTTGTAACAGATTCAACAAATTCTGTCACACTGATCATAAACGATACTGCACGCTATGTTAATCGGCAATTTGACAAATGATAACAACCAGCATGTCTGTTTTTTATAAATGGTTTCCTGCATTGCCATTCTTTCTTGTTTATGTGTTTCTCCAGTATTCTACGGTTACTTTTTTTTTTTTTGTGTTCCACCGTTATTTTTCTTTTTGTACTTCGTAATTGTATTATACGTCGAGCCGTACTGTGTCTACGAAATAAATGTTTTCACGAAAAGCTTGGAAAGAAGAAAGGTTTACAATAAAAAAACTTTTCTTACCGTCCGTTTTTTGATATTCATCTCAGACGATTTTGTAACGTTGCTTCGAACGAATCTTGAACTTCTGCGCACTGAGACGACATACGATCGAAGCATCTTCTTCGGATACTGCTTGTTTCCCCTCCCCCCTTTTCGAAGAATCGAAACATTCGAAGAGGCAACCAGAATCGTGTTGATTTCTGTTTTTTGAGGTAAGCTTGTGCTTGACTTTGGTATCGGCGATTCCTTAACATTTTCTACATTAAACGTTTTCCTTTGAGCCACGACACATTTGAAATGCTTTATGGTTACAGCTTATGTGGCATTTTATTATTACACATGGCGTCTCTTATATTGTTACAGAATGTAATACTCGACTCTTTATGTTTCAGGAGAAAATACCGTAAATGGCGATCACTCAGATGCACATCACAGTACATTTTCTCAAAGTAGCAAAGAGGTTTGTTGCTCGTATTCATTTACTATACTGTATCGTCGTCGAGCTTTGTCCCAAGCCAATTATAAACAATATCTTTACTATTGTCTTGAAAGCAGTTTATGTTCTTACAACAAGTTTTATAAAATATGATACTTCATCTGATACAGATAATATCTATCAGAAATGAACAAAATTACAAAATGTTAATTCATTATTTATTAAGTGAAAATTGAATTTCCACTTACAAAATAAAATATTTCACAATCAAAATAAATAACAGTTTAACTGTTAAGTTGAATAAAAGTCAGGAATAGTTATACGTTGATCTTATTGGATACCTATTATTATTCGAATAGAATGTATCCTTATGTCAATAGTTGTACCGCTAACAACGAAGCTCGAGGACTCTTTAAAATGTGTGTGAAGGGAAACAATGAAACACTGTCGATACCAACGACCGGATGTCTCGCAAAACGAAATTGCACATCCATTTTCTATTGTTTATTAATCAATTTGTTTTGCATAAACCGCGTTCATTTGCACTGTGCAATTACAACTCGGAAAGACGAATCGAAGAATTTTCGCATCTGACGGTATCATCGTTCATTGTCTATTAAGTTTTCTTTTATTTAGAATCATGCACAAAAAACAGTACTTTGATCAACTGTTATTTATACGTAATGCTACAAAAATGGTAGTTTGCCGATAGTGTTCGCTTGCATGAATCTGGGCGTACGATTATTTATAGTTACAGTATACGTATGTGTATTGTACAAGAAAACATTGAAGCTTGTTTGTGGGTGATGGAAAGCGAGGTGGTTTTAAACACCTGTGCCGGTGACTATGAAAGCGACCAAGTTTATTTCATATTGATATAACATAGATGGATTTAACACAGACTAGGCATTAAATTCAAAATTTTTTACTTGGATCATTTTCATCGTTACAGACACATTTGTATAGAAATGAAAAGTGAACGTGAGTGAAAGTGAATGCATCTTGAATGTCTATGTACGTTGGCAAAAGTTGGCTGCTTGCATGTGCATGCAAGAAGGTTTATGGTTACGGTTGGGACCTTCCGTGTTAAGGGTTCCGTGTCGCAGGATGTGAGCGTTAGCGAGGAATCGCCAAAGAAGGAAAAGAAGAAGAAAAAAGGCCTTAGGACACCGTCATTCCTAAAGAAGAAGAAGGAAAAGAAGAAGCCAGTCGAGGCGTAGGTAGTCCTAACTTTGGTACGTATAATGGAAAATGCCGGTATTTTTCAATTATGCCTTTACAACCCTTATAAAAACTGAAATTCAAATATTCAAAATTCTTTTTAAACAGAGATCAAAAGCCAGTAAAAAAAATAAAATATACCTTATTATTTTCTTATCATTATACTTACTGGCAGTTTTTCGTACTGACACCAAAATAATTCGCATAATTATGGTTCACTCGATAGGGTACAATTTTCTCAAACTCAAATTAATTATCTTGCTAAATAATACCGGTATTTATTTCGGTCTCGGTATAGCTTTGCTGGAATAATACCGGTATTAAAGTCCCTGAGTATAACGTATAATCAATCGAGCAACGAGTTATCTTGAATGGATCAAAGATCCGCTATAAAGATGCAAGACAACTCGTTTCATCGTTTATCTGGATAGTTAATTAGCGACATACCGTTGAACTCCTACGTTCTGGAAACGCTAAGAAGACATGCAAAGAGAAAAAGGTAGGCAGGATGGTTTCTGTCTGAGCATTTTTTTCTCTTAGCGTAGACGAGCTCTGGCGCTACAGTAATTTGCATAGACGCAGCAAACTTAGAATTTGTTTCTCTTAGTCGCCAGTTAGAGTTCAAGTCATCGTCGCTAGAGATGGGCAAAATTCTTATCTAAAGACAAATCTCGAGTAACGAATAAAATTTGAGCCGTTTCCATTCCTGGAAAACTCCAAAAATTTTTAAATTAAATATTTTACCATAAACAGATAAAAAAAAAATGTAACTGCATAATTGTAAGTATTATTGGTCGACTATTATTTGAATAAAATTTTGCCCTTTTCTGATCGTTGCCACAACGGTATCATACACGTGACTCGTTTTTAGTTTTTGTCATCCCCGAAAAGATTGTGTCGAGTCGCGTCGTGTTAAATTTAATTTGAAAATTGATTCTCGATGATACACCCTATCGAACAAATTGTTTTTATTGATCGTGTTGTTTTTTTGCTGTTCTCATTTCCAGACACTGCCACGAGTAAAAGCTTATCGCAAATAAATAAAAACGAAGAACAAGTATCCGAATGAAAATTAAGACGCGAGACAGAAGAGTCGAAGATCGCAATACGAGTCGAAAGTGCGTATCCAGAAGACGAACGAAAATAGGGACTAGGAAATAGAAAATAGAAGATCGGAAGTCAAAGTAACCATGCAACAATCACAGCATCTTTCCAGGACTCAAGACTGCCATCGCATTACGTCTATGATAAGAAACTATATTGTACTGTTAATGTTTTTACGTTTTTAATTTGTTAAGGCGTCGCGCTGATGTATTTAATCCGCTATTTAATTTCGCCTTCCCAGCCCCGTTTGTGTAATGCAATAAAACAAAATTACGTCTACAATTTACGATAAAAAGACCGAAGGAAATGCACTCGCCGCGTGGCTGCTTTTCTGTCCAGGGATTCGCCGACGACAATAACGATCCGTTGAACGTACAGTTCGTGTTAAGCGTATCGTTACCTTGCCTTTCATGGTTACCAATACTCCACTCTGTTTCATCTATATACTATGTATACTTTTATATCACTTCTAGCAAAAACCGGCCTCAGCCAACTTAATACATTCATGATCATTGATCCTTCTTAAGGTACACTGTGTGTAAAAAAAAAACAAGTTTTGCGACCGTGACTTTTTAGTCACGACTATAAAAATTTTATGGTATAAGACGAAGCTATATTCATATTCACAACACCTACCATTTATTCGCAGATCTTTTCAACTACTAACTAGTACCGATATAACAGTTTTTTTCAATAAGAGTATTCAGCATTACTGTAAAAGAAATAATAAACGATTGACGGAAAAGGACTAAGCGAAGGAAGAAACTGGGACCTCGATGGACAGTGAGTAAATCGAAGGGGACCGCAGATCAATCGGTAAAAATAGATTAAAGAAAAAGCAAATAGCATTAATATTCATCGGTTGCTTCTGCGTCGACATCGACGGAATCTAGTCCGACCTCTTCATAGTCCTTTTCCAATGCGGCAAGATCTTCACGAGCCTCCGAAAATTCACCTTCTTCCATGCCTTCGCCCACATACCAATGAACGAAAGCTCTTTTTGCGTACATCAGATCGAATTTATGATCGAGACGGGCCCAAGCTTCCGCGATGGCTGTTGTATTGGACAACATGCAGACGGCTCGCTGCACTTTGGCCAGATCACCGCCAGGTACCACTGTAGGCGGCTGATAATTAATACCAACTTTGAATCCAGTCGGGCACCAATCTACGAATTGTATCGATCGTTTCGTCTTAATGGTAGCGATCGCGGCATTTACGTCTTTCGGAACGACGTCTCCTCTGTACAGCATACAACAAGCCATGTATTTTCCATGTCGAGGATCGCACTTTACCATCTGATTCGCTGGCTCGAAACACGCATTGGTGATTTCGGCGACCGAAATTTGCTCGTGATACGCTTTTTCAGCCGATATTACCGGAGCATAAGTAACCAAAGGAAAATGAATTCTCGGATACGGGACCAGATTTGTTTGGAACTCTGTCAGATCGACATTCAAAGCGCCATCGAACCGTAATGAAGCCGTTATCGAGGAAACAATCTGCCCGATCAATCTGTTAAGGTTGGTATAGGAGGGTCTTTCGATGTCCAGATTACGTCGACAGATGTCGTAAATTGCTTCATTGTCGACCATGAAAGCGCAGTCCGAATGCTCGAGAGTCGTGTGAGTGGTGAGAATAGAGTTGTATGGTTCAACGACCGCTGTAGAGACTCGTGGTGCTGGATAAATAGCAAATTCTAATTTGGACTTTTTTCCATAGTCGAGGGAAAGACGTTCCATTAACAGGGAAGCGAATCCCGATCCAGTACCGCCTCCGAACGAATGAAAAATTAAAAATCCTTGCAATCCGGTACATTGATCTGATAGTTTCCGTATTCGATCGATCACCAAGTCCACGATTTCCTTGCCAATCGTATAATGACCACGTGCATAATTGTTCGCTGCATCTTCTTTGCCAGTGATCAATTGCTCCGGATGAAAGAGTTGTCGATACGTTCCGGTTCGTACTTCATCTGCAAATATGAACTTTGTTTACAATTTTGTCGTATAAAGCTCGAGTCTTCGAGTCCTCTTTATAAGAAAAATGGGGGATAACGGAAGTTCTAGATATTTTTAAACCGGGAAGAAATAACTAAATTTTATCGTTATCGACAGCATATTTCAAAATCTTTTACCTAGATAATTATCTATTAGATATTTTAAATATTTTCCACGTGAACTTGTATAATAGTTGTTATTTATATATATAAATAGTAACTTTTACAAATACTATTGTAGCTTTATGTATTTGTAGCTTGATCGTCTTATGGAATCTATTAATGTATGATAACTAGTTCTCAAGCAACAGAACCAATAAGAGCAAATATTTAAAAATATCAAAGGAAATAATTTAAATAGAAATATATGTAAAATATATTTATTGATCTACTAGGCGTCGCGTCTAGTAATAATATACTCTTGGCCGGAGACGCAACGGACCAATGAGATTCTATCGAGGTCACGTGGTTTTGTTTACCGGAGTCTTGTAGCTAGATGAGATATACATATATCACTATTGCGAGATACGAACGAACGTAACCTCAATTTAACCGTTTTTTTAAATTAAATGTTTACTGCATTATAGAGTTTAATACGCGTATTATTTTGATTCGATACGTCTGAAAAAGACCATCGTGCCGTACCAACTCGATGTACCGCCATTTACATCGCAATTTTGTTACGAATCAAATAATTGGCATGTGTGTAAAAACGCTCAATGTAAATTAATTCATTATTAACATAGCCATTAGCGTGTCCTTCGAACAACTATCGTCTGACTCCCTTTCCTTCTGTTCTTACCGACTACTGTAGGTTCCAAATCGACGAATACTGCTCTAGGCACATGTTTCCCATAACCAGTTTCGCTAAAGAACGTGCTGAAGCTATCATCCCCGATCTTATCTGTCGGCATCTGTCCATCGGGTTGTATCCCATGTTCCAAACAATAGAGCTCCCAGCAAGCATTTCCAATTTGGACGCCAGCCTGGCCGACGTGAATGGATATACACTCACGCTGAAACAGTGAAAAAATGCGTTTTCGAAAAACCTCGATACTTCCATTTATTTGTTAAACGTTTTACTTTTATCAACGCATAAACGAGCAATAGAATAAACGATACACGATTCAATATCGGGCAAATAATCCAACGAAATTACTGTTACGAGTTCAAATCCGATCAGATCGGATTAGATTTTTATTTCACGTTTACTCGGTTAAAAAATGCCCATCTTTGCCACTGTAACTTCATGAACCACTGCCCGATGGGAGAATTCACTTACCATCACGAAAGTATTTGATCACAAAGTTTATTACACGTTGTTCCGTCACTGATTCTGCCCTCCGTTTGTTAATGAACAACACGTTTATATAAAAAAGGTGACGCCTCTTCGAACGATTGTAACTTAATGACGCGAGAACCGTTGACGGCCTCTTATATCCTCAGCTTTGTGTCGTCTCGAAATGATCTCAGAATTATTGCTAACGGACATTTTTAATAAGAACACTTGGATTTCCCGTTATTTCTCGTGATCGGATGCCTTTTGTGCAAACTACCGCGCTTTACATGTTTTACGAATTTTGAATCGTTCCAACGTTCAATCTCGAATTTACGATCGACACAAGAGGTTTAGATGCGGAGAATCACTTGTATGAGTTCGTTTTCAAACGGTTACGTTGCATTTAAGATTAAATCTAATAAACGGATATAAATAGCGGCTAGCTTTAACCAGCCAAGCCGTGGGTAGTCGATTGAACGAGAAGTTCATGATGAAAATTCTATGTTCTATTTCTATCCGAGTATACGCCTACCTCTTTGACCCTCAACGATTCAGCCAATCCGTGGCCTATACGTCCTAAATTCATACATTTTGTCACATCCTAATATTCCCATAACGGTTGTAAACCCCCTCTTACTTTCGAATTTGCTCGTTTTCTCGATCGATACGAGGTAAACGGTTTTCCGACATGTTTTTACCTTCAATGTAAATCTGTTAAACAATTCTTATTCAAAACATTTACACATTGAATTATTACTTATCGCATTAAATGAAACATCCAAATCTATGTGCGTTTTATTATAATTTTATGTACATATACGAATACTTAATTTCGCATTATGTAGTTAATACCAATTGACAATAATCGTTGGTCGATAAATTCTAACGTATAGGTACATCATACATACAAACAAATAAACAATTAAATATCGATATATGTTATGAATTGAATTGTTACAATGTCTTTTGATCGCTTGTAAAATTCGAAAAGCAAAGCATGTACATATGAAATTAGCTGCTACGAGAAATATTAATCCAAAGAACGTAAATTTCATAGTTCACATTGCGACGTTGCTTATTACTACGTACATAGGCATCTACCGCAATCCTGTAAAGCATTACATTCAATGTACATAAACATAACCTATTATAAGGATATCCGTATATACTATTCGATTACTTTTATCAGTATCTGTTTTCTTCTGTTATTAGGTATTTGAAAAGAGTGTCGTCCCGATAATAGCTATAATGTTAATATTAGGTTAATTCAGAATTGGGGAATCACGTAATATGGGCCGTAGTCGTACACCTTCACCGGCAAGGAGGAGAGATCGTTCTCGTGATCGTGATCGGGAACGAGAACGAGAGAGAGATCGAAGAAGAAGACGCTCCCGTGAAAGACGAAGAAGGTACACCTTTATATTTCAAAAGTTCACAGAGTATTTTAGTGATAAAGTTGCATACCAAAGCAAAAGTGTGTTACAAATTTGAGGCAATTGCAGATCCGTCGAGCGTGATCGAGTAAAGTCAAGGGATAGAGAAAGGGATCGTGATCGTGATCGAGAAAGACACAGACGTTCGTACAGCAGATCAAGATCAAGAGACCGAGACAGACCTAAACCGAAAGCAAAACCTGCCACAGCGGAACGCCCTATAATTACAGGTATACTATAGGTTCGAAAGCAAGGATTCCATCTCTAACCCAAACCTGAATTAACCAATGTATAGAGATACGGTTAACCAGGAGACGTTTAGAATCCCTGCTTCGAACTGATGATTCAAAGATTATAAGTGGTCTTCATGAACTGATACTTTATAGAAGCTGATCTGCAAGGGAAGACACCCGAGGAACAAGAAATGATGAGAATAATGGGTTTCTGTGGTTTTGACACTACCAAGGGTAAAAAGGTTGATGGGAACGACGTGGGTGCTGTACACGTTATTCTGAAAAGAAAGTACAGACAGTATATGAATAGAAAAGGAGGATTCAACAGACCACTGGACTTTGTAGCATAAAATATGTAATGCTATGTCTCTGCGCAACGTACATACTCTATATTATATAGGCTTTCCTTGTGGGAAAGCTGCTATTTTCAGAAAGGTAATGGGTCAATTTGATATGTGAATTATATGAAAAGTATTCTTCGAAAAAATAAAGTTTATCATACTGTAGTTACACAAGGCACGTATAAACAAGTACATAAAGTGTAAAAACACGAATTACTCATTAGAATATAAAACATCTAGTTTCTTGAAATATTTCGCGACAGTTTCTCTTATTCTTGAACCGGTACGATGATACGGCGAAGGATATGATAAGGATTAAAACAATAGTAAATTCATTCGTATATTATATTATAAATATTTCAAAAGTACAAAGCTCGAAAGACCATGTTAAAAAGTTTTATAAACAAGAACATTTCAATCTTCCATTCTAATTCGTTTCTTTGAGGGTGTCGCTTCATCGGCAATGGTACTCGACTCATCCATGTTCGAGTTACGAGTCTCATTTCCTGCGTCCTCCGTGTGTAGCAAAGTAAGCTATCAAAAATAGAAACATAAAAATACATATATTAAGATCACATTTGGATATAATTATAATGGCATTAAAAATGCAGGATTAATATCCAATTTTTTTCTTACCATGCTCACATCCATTTTCTCAATACTTTCTATCAGCTGTGAATTCTTAATTCTAAAGTCTCTCGTCACGCTACGTTTCATATACTTTTCCAATGGTATCTGCCGCAATACATGTAAAAAAAGTTTTAAACACTTACCGAATTACCAAAAGATGCATATTACTCTGTACCAGAGTTGGGCAAACTTTTATTAAAATAATAAATGACAAATAAAACCAATATACAGCAACTCGTTTATAACGTTTATTCGTTTGAACAGTATCCGGATAAAAACTTTGCCCATTTTTGCTTTGCATTTTTCCCCAATACTCACGCCCGTCCGTTTGCCAAGTAACAATACTTCCTTGTTGAATTGTTCAATCTCGTAGACTACGCGCGGTATTACTTTTGTTTCCTTTAAAATTTTGTTCCTTCGCGCGTGCAAATCAGATTTCGAATTTAATTTGTTTTGGCTTTCCTTTGGAGAATATATACAATCAATTAATCGTTAATGAGGATGTTGGTGTAGACAATTATTCTTTTAAATCAGTGTTCCCCAATCATAGACCCTTCTCTCTGAGAAAAGTATAGTAATATACAAAAATAAATATGAGAGTACGTTTCTTTTTTATTTAAGTGCTCGCAATTGAGAAACCCTGTTTTAAGTATATAAAAAAATATTGAATAAGTAAATACCTCGACGTACGTCACTAAGTTGTAAAAGGCAGATTTCAAAGGTTTGCCGGCCAATTGTACCACTTGAATGAATCTGCAAAAAATATAATAATGTAATATAGTAATAGTCTTATAATAAATGAATTTTACATAAAACGATACCAGTACATACTTGGCTGTTTGGAATGCTGCGTTTTGACTGTTCGATTTTGCATAGAAATATTTTGTAAGATTTCCGAGCAGATGATACAAACACTGTAAGTTCTTAAACGTGACGTCGATACACGGGCCCAGATCTATCGACGTGTTAGCTAATATGTGAAGTACTTGCGTAAGATAGGACAATTGCTTACACAAATTTCGCTCCTTTTCTTTTAAATTATTGTTCCCTGTTCGAACATTACAGTTGATTTTTATATCAAATGCGAAATACCACTGTAAAAATCTAATTTGTGCTTTAGAATTTTTACTTACATACTTCGTCGATTGTTCCAGGTGCATGGGCTATGGTGTCTTCTGCTTTCAACCGCAACAGCAGCCAAGAAATATTGTTCAATTTTTCTTTTATGCAATCGTTCAACACGTTATAGATTTGCACAAAAGTATCATCGCATATAATTCGATACTCTTCGTCCGACGTCAATTCGATCTGCGTCTGTACGAAGATAGAAGTGAGCTTTCAATACAAAGAAAATGTAAGACAAAAAGATATTCTGTAAATTAAAAATTATCGCTTACGTCGTCGATAGTGCCAACTTTTTCGTTCAATTTCGAACAGATTTCGTTCAACGACTCTCCGTACGCCTGAGTATATTCTTCTAAGCGTAACAAAAATTTAATAATAGCTGGAACGATAGGACTTTCAATGTTTTTTGTTTTAACCATTATGCTGAAGCATTTGTGCACCTTGTTTAACACGCGAAAATAATTGTAAGCACAAGACAATTCTCCGATAAAATGTATATCGTAAGAGATCGGTGTTACCAACCTTTTCAAGATCGCATTTTTCAAAATTAATTTTAGATGTAAATTGTTCTAAAGTTTGTAATAATAGGAACGGTATCTTTTTTCTCGTATCACTCTCTACTTCTTCGTCGAGCGAGGCTATCAAGTAAGTACTCAACGAGGAAACAACTTCTTGCAATTGTAAGTTAACATCCTTCGAAACCGAATCTTTCTTTGACCGTACTAAAATAAAAAGAAATAAATAGTAGGCAGGAACGAACTTACTTTAAATAATGTCGCAAATTATTCTGTTAATGTATTTAAGATCACCCACAAATCCGTTCAAGAAAGTGTGACAACTCTGATGAAAATGATGTACATATACAAGAACAAATCTCCGAAAAGCACTGTAAAGCTAGTATTGCTACCTGTTGGTCGTCGTCAAATGCATCATTTAAAGTTAGTAAGAAATGTTCATGAAGCAACCTAAACAACAAAAGATTCATTATCATTGACGAATGAAAAAGAGGCGCACAAACATTTCCTTATATTTTTTTTTAGCTTACCCTCCAATTTCGATGTATGTGTCTATATAATGTTTGGGTTGTTTTTGCGATGTATCAGTCATTAACAATTTTGTTCGTTGTAAGAGCTGTTCGCATGTTTGGAATATATAGCAACAAAAATTGTGGTTTTCTCGAAAGTTGATATCACTGTTTTGATTTGATGGTCTGTAGATGATTTTCGTTTGTCAAACAGTGTTATTTTATAAGTATTACAGTTGACAAAGTTCATTAACATTATACTCACGAGTATAGTAGCAATAAGCTTTGATGAACTGTATCCAAATCCATAATGGTGTCTGGCACTTTGATATTACTTGATTTATCGTGTTTCCTCGTTGTATTATTTGGATCCTTATCTTTCTTACGTTTACCGCCATCGGCTTTTCTCATTTTTATAGATTGCTGTTAAGAATGCCATAATGGAAAACCTTGGTCTAGAATATGTCGTGAAATAGAGAAGTGAAAAAAATGATCACGCGTAACAAACTACCATTTTAACGAAGTCCACTAATCGCGTATATCCTTTAAATAAATCGTCGATCTTGCGGCAGCTTTCTTCATTCCCTTTTGAGTATTCTCCTATCCGAAACGCCATTAAAGCTTCGCAAATCGTAATTGCGATACTGAGACCTTTCAACTTTATTTGTGATTTCGGAAAATCTGCAAAATCCATTTCATGTTCCTGTAATAATTGACAGATTTAAAATATTCGTATGGAACTTTGGTGTTATTGTTTCAATTACCAGATTTAAATGCTCCAATTCGATAGCTGTCATTCTCGTGCATAATGATTCCAAAATACTGTACACCTTGTCAAAAGTATTTGATTTTTTCAAAAGCGTATCGACATATATCTTTTGTATTACAAATATCAGTTCTCCGATAGGTTCTTGTAAAACTACCTCTGCTCCTTGAACGTTTGTACACAGATCGAATTTTATAGGTGGCAAGACATTATCATCTGCATCAACGTAGAGATTCAAATGCGAAAGCAGTATGTCCAGCACGATTTCCGTTATTTCAGTATTTTTTTTTACAGAACCATAGAAGCCTGAAAACATAGTATCATTCACAAAAGGTATTACTTCTTGACTAATAAACTATTATACTTCTACCTTTATATAGGTGTAATCTAACTTCGAATTCGTAAGTAAAGCTCTTTTTCAATATGTCCAGTATTTCGTAACATAACGTTTTATCGCACTCCGCTGTCTTTTCTCGTTGTGTATTGCTTTCTAAAGTTACCTAGGTAGCATGATTCAAATTACTGTAGCTTTGCCGCGGTGATAAATATCTGGCTGTTTATACCTGAGTCAATGTTGATCTAGAACTGGAACTAATAGCGTACGCAACGGGGTTGCAACGTTGGCTAAGCCTAAAGTTATCCAAAGAATGCATTTTCGAGTACTTCAACATCTCGAGAAATCCAGTAACCGCCATTTGTCGTTTTGATATACCTTTTCTGTAAAGAGCTTTTCTCAAAGTCAGAAGAAGGCTTTCTCGAATGTTAGGCGAAACGTGCATCAATGGGAAAATAGCATATAAAACTTCAATAGCCACTATAGTCGGTAAAAATAACAGTCGTTCAAGAAGAGTCGTGATCCAGATTTGGTGGTCCAAGACAATTACTGATAATTCACGACAGACATACTTTAAACAATCTAGAAAAACGAACGATATCATGCTTGCTGATCAATTTGTATTAGGACTTTATTCTTCGTTACCTGTGTAGTGAATCGTTGGTATGCCGTTAGCCACTATTTTATGGACTAATTCTTGCAATACGATAGCGACCGTTTCATGACGCTTTTTAATTACTTCTCGAATTATTTCTGCTCCTACAGACCACACGACCTTTATACTATTTTTCACCTTTTGATCTGTATTCATTAATGTGAACGCCAGGCCCGTGAGTCCTTTTAGTACCAAATGGCGATCTTTATTGCTAGAAGCAAAGTAAGCAGTAATTGGAACAAATATATGCCAAAAAAATACTGATTCGTTACCTGCTATCGATGAGTCGTCGAATAATATTGATAATGATACAAGGGGAGGGTAAAAGTTGCCTCAACCATGCATTATTGTCTCTTTTTTCTTTGTCCGAGCTACTGTTAATGATAACCAATCTCAGTATTTCAAAAATCTAGTAAACGTATGCACCTGATTAGTGTAATAGTTCTGGTGTTTAGACTACTATGTTCTTACCTGATCTTCGTGTATACTAGAAACTGATAGCAACACAGCAAATATAAACGGCTGTAACGTATACTCCGGAGCATGAGAAACACATTTCAAATAACGAATAAAATCTTTCATATTTTCGTGATTTAATTGCGCTGCTTGATACACGTGATATAATACAGTGCTCTCAATATCTCGTACCTCTTTTATATTTATTAAACCTGTGTAAAAAAAATCAATCAAAATAACATATAATAATCATCGATCCACACGTTCTTGTTTACATACCAATATCTTCAATGCTGTCCATATCTTCCGTAGGAAGTGCTTTCGCGTAATAAGACTCAAAGTATTTACAAAGTGTACCTAAAAGGTATTGATTGTCTCGAACTTTACACAACTTTAGAGCTTGATACACAAAAGGAGGCACTTGGTTTAGAGATAGATTGGACAAAGCACGGCATAATGCTTTAAGAACTTCCATGTGATCTGCCTTATTTAAAGCCATATTCCTTTACAGAAAAATATTTAATTAATCGCTTCTGTAAGATTCAATTGTACAAATTAGAAATAAGAAACCTTTTGACATTGGAAAGTTGCATGTTTCAATGATTCTATAGTAAATTAATAAATACGACTTGGCAATGTATATTTTATAAATGAAAAAACTAGCCAAAAAGCTCTCTGAACGTAGAATAATATTTACCCAAACATGTTTGCCAATGACGGCAGAAGATCAACGTTCCAACGATAATCACATATTTTTTTAATGGTTAATGCTTTAAACTCGGTCCCAGAAACTTCTACATCTACATAAGTAATGTATTTTTCACCTTCCAATGTTTCCAGTAGCACAGGTAATAAATCTTTCCAGCTAATACAGAAAAACTGTATTACGAATCTGTTGTATTTTGAAAAAGATAAAATAACAGAGAATATAGACTATTTTACCTCTGCAGCTCGTCATCGTTGTTACAAATACCAGCAACACAAAAATCTACAAGTTTAACAAGATGTTGCTTAGAATATTTTGGAATGTCGAATATTATCCGATTAACGATCGCATCCACATGGCCTGCAGGTACCTTAGCTTTTCCTAACACTTTCAATGTAGATTCAACCAATTTACGTCGTTTCAGTTGACAAATATCGGAATCAGAAAATGCTTGTAAAATGTCATCTAATATCTTCAATGCATCTGCTTTACAAATGCTACCACGTACTATTTTCACGAGCTGCACAAATCCTTTTTCTTAATCTTAACGTTTCTTACTCCAATTAACAATTAAATTAGTGGTCCTTAACATTTCTTTTCCACGGGCCCATTCTATGTAACGTTCTATGTGATCGAAACATTTTTAGTCTAGTAGTTATCATAATGCCAAAGCATCGAAAGGATAAAGTTGATAGTTTCCAGAAATAATATACGCAACAAAAATAAATATTTAAAATTTCTTTGTGCAAGTTCGCGGCAAACACACAGATGTTTATTTACAACCCTCTTGGAGCCCGCGGACCGCAGGTTAAGAACCACCGAGTTAAACTCCTCTCACCTCTTCTACGTTTGAATTTTGAACAAATGCTTGTAATTCTAATCGATCCTCACGATTTCGTAAATTTTGGAACTGTTGATTCATATTTTAATTCAGTTTCTATTTGTTTCAGTTCCTGTGCAAATCTAGTCTCTTAGATTTTGAATTCGTACAATGTAGTACGTAAATGCGCCCTGTACCTACACGGACACGTTGCATAGAAGTTTGGTAAAAATCTCCATGGAGGGCGCACGATTCCAGTAACCAGTATCTGAAGGTACTTGAAAATTGTTGCCTGTTTGAATTTGGTAGCAGCTCTTTATTTTTCAATCCGACACTCTTAAATTGAACAGTTTATAAATATTTAAATATTAGCTCCACATAGTTTTGTCATTTAGTAAATTAATTTTCGACAGACTAATGCTACCGGAAAAAAGAAACTAAAACAAACTGTTCAACGCGGAAAGAGCGTATGATAGCTAATACTACAATAAGGTTCATTAATGCAAAAATAAATGCCACGTGTTTCTATTTTAAAGTAAAATTTATATATTTATACGTCAGAAAACTTTCTTAAACGTTTCACAAGAGAAAGCAACTTATAGAATGTAGGTAAAAATCTAGTGAAATATTATCAAATTTCGAAAAAGTTTTATTTATAAAATAAATATACAAATTACATGAAATTCAAAAAATTACTTTCACATATTAATTTATAAAATCAATAAATAGCAAGGGGTGATATTTGGAAATTATAAAACATATATTATGTATATATATGTATACACATATACATATACGTCTATATGACTCATAGTATATGATATGTATGTATGTATCTATATTTTCACAATTGCTGGGTAGTTGTCTTTTTACAAATTAGCATCTAGATGAGTGACGAACCAAGAGTTGTTAATAAATAGATTGTAAATATAGTAAGCGAAAAATGATTTAGAAGACTCAGCTTGAAAAGCCAGGATTAGTGTGTTCTATGATGCATCTGCGGCAGTAACGTTTCACTGCTCGATATCCAACCCATGTGACCCTAGGACATTCACCGATATTGAGTTGCCTCAATCCTCGTACGTAATACGCTAATGCTTCCAATCCAGCATCCGTGACGCGCTCGCAACCACACAATGATAATTTTTTTAAATTTGGACATCCGGTGGATAGAGCTTCGAGAGTTGCATCACCGATATCACACTTTCCTATATCAAGAGCCCTCAACCGTGGACAACCACGCGCCAAAGCTAACGTAGCACTGTCGCTAAGTGCTTCACAGCCACGAGCATTCAAGTACCTCAATTTGTAACAATGCCTAGCAACAACGAACAGACCAGCATCCGATACACGATCACATTTTCCCACCGAGAAGTAACGCAACGAGGGGCCAAGTCGTGCCGCTAATTCGCGTACTCCAAAATCCGTGATCTTTATACAATCCGAGACGGACAATTGTCTTAGGCTGCCGCAATAAGAAGCAATAGCTACGAGACTGGCATCGGTTATACGCACACAACGTCGTAAATACAAACAAGCAAGATGCGGCATGCGAGAAAGTGTCAGCACCAAGCCAGAATCTTCTAAACCGTGGCAATCGCTCAGATCCAACGATTGCAACTGCAACGTTGTTATTCGGCTACATGCTCTTGTCACGCCAATGCATCCCGTCAAGTCCAATTCCTTCAAATGTATACAGTTGTCTAAAATAGCAGCAACATTTGTGTCTGTGACCCGTCGCGAATGTCGTAAAACTAAGGAAGTTAAACTTAAAAACGGTAACTGGGCGAAAATCCCAGCTAGACCAACAGCACCTTCGAGTACAAGACGACGAATGCAAGTATGACATCCTTGTCTGGTCAATGCATTCAATGCAATGGTTGCATTTTGGGGATAGCGTACTACTACTTCTTTCCAAAGGGACGGATGCCACGCTATCTCCCATAGACGTCTACAAGTTTGAGCAATTGCACAGAGATCTCTGGTACCCAGCCAACTGAATATCTTCAATAATAAGGTATCGTCCAGCTGGCAAAAATCCGTAACATAGACACACTTTTGTTGGAGCAAAGTTTGCTGTCTGATCGGAATTGATATTGCAACCGTCGATGATGTGGAGCGGCAGGCATTGTTGTCTAAAGTATGATATCCTAAATCAATTGCATCCGAAGTTGGTCTATATAGACCCACTTTTTGCGACGAATATACAGTCTCCCTTTCAGAGTTGCCTTTTTCCCCAAAGGATGGTAGGAGTAGCGGACATGATCCATCCATTCCATGCTCTATTCTGAATTATCAAATATAAAAATACATATTATAGCATATATGGTCCATTAAACATTAAATCCATATTTAATAAATGTTACAACCCTTAATTTTTTATATCATTTTATATAATACTATATCTATTTGTTTTTATCCACATTGCACGCAATATGTTGCAATATTGCAACAAATATCGAGTTTCATAATTTTATTTGTGTTTTTTTCCAGAATTTAATTTATTTTGCATTTTATCTATTTGACTAATCTTTATTGGTTTACTATCTTCTGTAAGTACATTCAATATTCATACTTATTTAATTGCTTGTCGATTATTTTGTTAAACATTTACAAATCGTTTCACTTTTATTTTTCTTACATTTTTAGGTATTTATAATTAATATTTTAGTATAGTAGAGGGTCTAAATTAAAGGTTAAAATATTTATCAAATAAATAAATTATGGTTGTTTGGAATATATATATGTTAAAATAATTGTTTCGAATATGGCAAGCAAAATATATACTTATACTTTAAATGGGAATATGTTTCTAAAAGTATGTATAATTCACTAAAATGTTGTCTTATAATTTAATTGGAATATTTTACAATCTTGATAATTTCTCACAATTTATTTGTTGGTTGCATTCATATTGTTAAGTGATATTTACATTTTTGTGCCAAAGTTGCAGAAACAAAGTATATAAAGAACAAAAATAATTTTAAAAAACAGCTTTTGCATTAGGGCTTAAATTTCGCGGGCGTATTAACAATTAATTAATTGATTTTCTTAATAAATTGAACAAATGACACAATGCTTCGTGTGGAACAAATTTTTATAAACATTTACTTACTAATATGCGACAAGCAAAAGAATCAGCAACAATACGTGACATTACGAAACAGTATCGATCTATCTAGCACTGCCTCCATTTTGATCTTACATTCCAATTCTTGAAGCAGCTGTTTCTCGCAATGAAACTAGAACATATTACTGTTTTTAAATGTATTAACTATTATACATTCTTTAGAATAAATTAATTATACATTCCGGATGAATAATCGAAGCGAATGTATTGAATTTGATACATGATATTTATAAGGCCCCAATACTGTCGATAAATCCCCACTTTTTTAACGTGGTCCGCTTAAGGTGATTTTCATCAATGAAGTTAATAATTTTCGATTTTTAAATCGGATTCTAAAAATTCGTATGTGTATATGTTGGGTAAAGTAAATCGGTAAAAATGATTCCTTGGTTAAAAATAAATTGAAAATGTTGAATGAAATTCTGTTGTACGAAGCTTTATTCGTTAAAATTATTTTTTCATCAAAATCATTATAAAACGTGAGTCGAAACTACTTGTTGCTATCACATTTTCAGTTTCTACCGAACGATATCACTAATTACTGGGCACCGTGTAATTACTTGGAAACTCATAAATAAAATACAACAGTTTTCTGTGTTAGTTTCCCTTCTATGAACGTATAACAATTACAAGTTTGTAAAATTCAAATGTATTCGCTGGTTTCCTTCTAAACATTACCTAAAATTATAGGGTATATAATCTTTATCAATTTTTATTTTCTTACGATAACAGCAAGCGCAACTTTTCATCGTAACGTATTCTTATATCTATAGTAATTCTACTCAAATTAAAGAAATATTTTTTATTAAAAATTGCATCAGTATTTATATTTATTATACTAAAGGGAAATAAAGTATTCAAAGTTAAAGTCGATCAGGTACATTAATTACAGATTAATATTAATCTTTGCAATCTTTGCGTTTGCAAAATTAATAATCAGAAATACAAGTGGGGTTGGAATTATATGAGATCTTACAAGTGAAACCACTACATTGTAATGATCAGCGTTTTTTTTATCCATATTTATTCATAATGTAGTTTTTTTTATTACGAAATCAACGGTGTTTAGATCATAAATCATTGATAACCTATTACAAAATTTAAATAACGCCATCTACAGTTTCAGATGTGCGGTGATTAAAGCTCGAAACGAAAGAAAATCAAGGAAAACGGATTGCGTAAATTGCGTTTAACCTGCGTCAATTTGGTACTGTCAAATGCAAACAATCAATGGATTTTTGTGTAACAAGTTTCATAATATGAAACGTCAAACAGAAAGATTCATCAGAAGTTAAGCTTAAAAAACTGTGTTATAATTGAATTATTGTTTGGTTAAAATGGCTAACACTTTAGCCAATGTACCTGTATCGAAAATCATAAAAAATACAAGTAGTTTTGAAGATGAACCTAGAAAGAAAAGTAGAGAAGACTGGCGAAAAGCAAAAGAATTGGAAGAAGCGAGAAAAGCTGGTACAGCACCGGCCGCAGTAGACGAAGAAGGCAAAGATATTAATCCACATATTCCACAATATATCAGTGCTACACCATGGTATTTTGGGTCTCAGGTATATAACAGTTTCGTTCATAAATTCATATGTTTCAAAGCTATGCTGCTAATATTAACGTCGTGAAAATAGTCCGTTAACTATGTAAAAACTTTTAAAGGGACCTACTTTAAAACATCAAAGACCACAACCTGAAAAGCAAAAGCAATTTAGTGGAATAGACGAGTGGTATAATCGTGGTGTTGATGCATCTAAAGTAGTAACAAAGTATCGCAAAGGTGCATGTGAGAATTGTGGTGCTATGACTCACAAAAGAAAGGAATGCATGGAACGTCCACGTAAAATAGGAGCAAAATATACAAATGCAGATATTGCACCCGACGAATTTACCCAACCTGAATTATCTATGGATTATGATGGTAAAAGAGATAGGTAATGTAAATATTATTGTTTAATCGATTATTGGATTTTTGCTTGTTGTTTCAATAAATGATAACATATAGCAAATATTGTACATATATTATAAATATGTATGTTTAACATAGGTGGGCTGGTTACGATCCTTCTGAACACAAAGCTATCGTCGAAGAATATCAAAAGATCGAGGAAGCAAAAAGACATATGCGTGCAGAAAAATTAAATGCCGAGGAAAATGACGAGCAAGATTCGGATAAAGACGAAGATAAATATGTCGACGAAGTTGATATGCCTGGAACGAAAGTAGATTCTAAACAGCGTATCACTGTTAGAAATTTACGAATTAGAGAAGATACGGCTAAATATCTTAGAAATTTGGATCCAAATTCCGCATATTACGATCCTAAGACGAGATCCATGCGCGATAATCCTTATATCGGTACAGAGAGAGAGTATGTATTATTGTAATATGTATATTTGTATAAAAGTATGATTTAAGTAGGTATATTTGATAATTTAAACCATTGGCCGAAACATTGAACTCAAAGATTAAGACATGAAGTTTAACCTTCCTCTTTTAATTACAGAGTGGACTACAAAGGTGAAAATTTTGCACGTTTTTCGGGAGATACGCAACAGCATGCAAATGCTCAATTATTTGCATGGGAAGCACACGAAAGGGGCGTTGACGTTCATTTACTTGCTGAACCCACAAAATTAGAATTGCTCAAACAGGAATACGATAAGAAGCGTGATGAATTGAAGGACAAAGCTCGCGGAAGTATAATTAATAGATACGGTGGTGAAGAGCATCTTGATGCTCTACCATCTGCCCTTTTACTGGCACAGACAGAACAATACGTAGAATATTCTAGATATGGAAAAGTATGTCTGCTTTAAAATTTATACAACGTTAACATATGTTACATTCTATGAATTTTATAAGTTACATTGATTTACAGATTATCAAAGGGCAGGATAGACAAGTGATTCGATCAAAATACGAAGAAGATGTATTTCCAAATAACCATACATCCGTGTGGGGATCTTATTGGCAAGCTGGTAAATGGGGCTATAAATGTTGTCATTCGTTTATTAAAAATTCGTATTGTACCGGTGAAGCAGGTAAAAGAGCATCCGAAGCCACGATCGCAGAAAGTAAAAATATAACGAACGAAGAACAAAGTTTCGACGATGAAAAATTAAATTCGTCTAATGAAAAATCACCGAGCAGCGATAGCTCGTCCGACGAAGAGGAAATGAAACCAAAGATAATGAAAGTATCGAAATCTTCTAAGAAAAAAGATAAAAGACGGAAACAGAAGGAGAAGCGAAAGATTAAGGAAAGGAAACATAAAATAGAAAATGAGGATGAATTGCAACGAGCATTGCGAAAAGAATTAGAAACTCAGAAGATAGCAGAAAGATTATTGCAGATGGACGAAAGGAAACGTCCTTACAACAGTATGTACGAAGTGAAAGAAATGTCGTTGGAAGAAATTGAAGCATTCCAAATGAAACGGCAACGCGAAGACGATCCTATGGCGGAGTTTCTTAATAAATAATTGTTAAGTTGTTATTTAAGACAAATTTTAAATGATTATTTAACATTATAATTGTACATATAACATTTAAGTAAAACGTATTTAAAGATAAATAAAAATTTAAACTTGTGTAAAAAATTATATGTATAGTACAAGACAAATAATATTGTAAAATGGAAAAGGGCCGTTAGTAGTGAATAAAATTTTTTAAGGGTCTATACACATAATTTTTACAAATATTAATTCAACTGTAATTTTAATGAGATACGCTTAAACATTTCTCGTATTACGTAATAATTGAATTTTTAAAATTTTATCTTATTCTTTTATTAACCAAAACTATGGATAAAAAAATTGTAAAAAATGTTTTTCACTACCTCAAAGATTGTTATTTTATTTGTATGATCGTCAAATAGGAACAAATTAATGTACGTTATAGACTTATTTAAATTTGTTTTTTAGATGCATCGTGATCATCGGCGAGTATTACATCGAATGCCACCTTATGAACACCGATGATCGTAGTTTAATTATTTAATATCTTTTGATACTTTTTTTAAAACTTATTCGTACATTGTAGTTTCCATAAGGATATAAAAAAGAATTGATAGTTCGACCAAAACAAAATTAATGAAACGTCAGAGTTTTTACGATTGGACGTGTTTGTTATGCTGATTTTATCGGTAAGCTCGTTAAAATTATCTGTTTGTAATTCTTGGAAATCCCCGCCAGATGGCAATACAAAAATAAATAAATTGCGTTGTACTAGAGTTGCTGATCTACACTTTGGTGACCAAGTTGCTAGATATCGTATCTTTTGGGGGAAAATCTTACACGCGCACGTATATGTACATACACGCGTACACATTTGTACGTATCTATATAGATATACGTATATATATATCAACCTAAATGCTCTCTTGAACAAATTATGGCATTGTCTCTTATCAGGGGTAAGAGTCTGCAATACGGAAATTCGCAATTACGTTTCTTATCCTGCATCTCGACCATGAAGGTAATTATAGTTCATTCATGTCTTAGAAAGTATTCGTCGCTGTTATTTGATTAAAGAAACGGTATATTTCCATTTTATGCAACTATTGAAACGAAGAATTTTCTTGGTCTTCGAAAACGTTCAGAAGGGAAAGGGGGAGGGAAACGCTTTATCGAGACGTGCAAATTTCGAATAATTTTCGCAATGTGTATTAATTATTCTGTTTCGTTTCGTTTCTTTTCTTTTCACGGTAACATATTTTTAAATTGAAAGATGCGTTTTGTTTTGCAACGCTAAAATTCCATTGTATATTATAACATACTTGAAAGATTTCTACGATCGACATTTATTTATAATATTTCAATTTTCAACAGAAAGGATTGGTGCTCGGTGTGTATGAAACAGAAGATGATAGCAAGGTTTTATTGACACCCACGGCGGCGAAATACGATGAACTAGTTAAAGGAAAACTACAAAAAAGTATTTTATTGTAAGTTTATAATTATTTTCGTAACCTATAACATATTTCATACTGTAATTGCGTCTTTTGTGTCACGTATTTGTGTAAAATCTGTGTTAATATTCTTTTTTATGAAACACACTTTTTTTTGCACAATATGTGAAACCAGGTTGTAGACGCATATTCATATTCAGGTACAAGTATCGTATGCTAAATGTTAGACTGTGTTTTCCTTGTGTCGCATAAATTACTTCATTAGTCGAAGATAAACGTTTTACGTAACGTACGGCACGAAACTCACGATAAACATAAATTGTAACACACGATACAATTTTATATATTATTTTTATACTTTGATTTTAAAAATTATGTGGACTAACATTAATATTTAAATGTTTTATTGATAGTTCCAGCCTGAAACAATTGTCATAATGCTGCCTGAGCTTTACATAATATTCAGATTTGCTTTTTCTTTGTTGTTTTAAAAGAACTTTTCCGTAAAGTATTTTCTGTTAACAAAACTCTTGAATTTGAGTGAAATTTATGTCCCGCAAGCTCACTGGCATTATTTTCATTGTTTCAGGAGAGACTAGACTGAGAGACGGTATTGTACGCATGATATGAAGCAAAAAGCTCGCTGCACAGAAGGAGTTACCAGAGATATTTTGTTATATAGAATCAGTTTAAAAACGCATTATTCGGAAAGTAACAATTTCATTTAAACTGATTATTAACAAAATCAAAGTTATTATTAACACGCTTAAAAGAGACTTCGATCAACATGAAATTTAAAAAGAACGTTAAAATTGACAAACATACTTTAAGCAATACCATATAAAATATAGCATAGAATAATTTTAATTAGGAATAATAATGTCAGCTATCGGTGATAGTAACTTGGGAAATGATAGCGCTGCTGGAAGTAGTGGGGGAGTGGGTGAATGTAGTAGTCGAATAAGTAAACAACACCAATCGACAAATGTTCTCCATAGGATTAGCAGTACACTCGAAGATAAAAATAATGATTATCTCTGTCCTATTTGTTTTGAGGTAATCGACGAAGCCCATATCACGCGTTGCGGTCACACGTTCTGTTATCGTTGTATTGTAAAATCTTTGGAAGCTAACGGGCGTTGTCCAAAATGTAGCTACACGTTAACGCAACAGGATATATTCCCAAACTTTTTGTTGCACGAACTAATTTCAAAATACAAAACTAGAATTAAAGGTCTCGCTGAATTAGGGTCCTCGTACACGGTCGATGGTAGACATAGAGTTATAGGCACAGATATATCTCTACCGCCGTACGATGGATTAAGAGATATCGTAGCCGCAGAAAGTGCTAATCTCACTTTGCCGGACGTAAATGTAATGTTAGAGGTATTAACCCAAAGAAAACATTTGCTCGAGGCGGAAACATGTGCGGCACAAAACAAATTGCTGCACGAATTTTTAACGCATTTATTGCAACAGAAAGAAGAACAAAAGAAGCAGTTACAAAAGGAGATAGCATTAATTAAAAAGGATATGGAAGAGGTTGAAAATATATTAAGGGACGTTCAGAGCAAATGTCCTAGAATAGAAGATTTGAAGAAATCAAGCGAAAATGATACTGCGCAAGTGTGGGCTATTAGAAGAGAGATGATAGGCCTTATAGACATAATAGATTCAAATATGGTGAAACCAAATGAGAAAACTGTTGCAACATCTGGAAACGATACGTTTGGTAATCCTTCGGGGAGCCAAAAACAAATTGTATACACGGCTGGATCGACCTTGGCTGTACGTAGGAAGAGAATGCATGCTCACTTTGACGATTTTGTGCAATGTTATTTCGATTTCCGTGCTAAAGAATTACTTCTTGGACACAAGCCTCAAGGTCAGAGCGACACATGGCACGGCACGAGCTCAGGGCTTGATGTTTTTAGAGAAAATCTTGTGAAATTTTCAAAATACAATTCGTTACGTCCATTGGCAACTTTAAACTATTCGTCGGATATTTTTAATAATTCCACTATTGTCTCGAGCATAGAATTTGATAAGGATAATGAATTCTTTGCAATAGCTGGGGTTACAAAGCGTATCAAAGTATTCGACTATTGTGCCGTAATAAGGGATACGGTGGACATTCACTATCCCTGTGTAGAAATGTTATCCAGCTCTAAAATATCGTGTGTATCATGGAATTCCTTTCACAAAGGAATGTTAGCGTCGTCCGATTACGAAGGGACTGTGACAGTGTGGGACGCTGCAACTGGTCAAAGAACAAAAGCGTTTCAAGAACATGAAAAGAGATGCTGGTCCGTCGACTTCAACGATGTAGACACTAGGCTTATAGCATCAGGTTCGGACGATGCTCGAGTCAAATTATGGTCCCTGAACAATGATCATTCCGTTGCTTCATTAGAAGCGAAAGCTAATGTATGTTGCGTAAAATTTAATCCGCGTAGTTCGTGCCATTTGGCATTTGGATCAGCTGATCATTGCGTCCACTATTATGATCTACGTAATATGAAGGAAGCATTGTGCATATTTAAAGGCCACCGTAAAGCTGTTTCGTATGTTAAGTTTATTAACAAAGAGGAAATAGTATCCGCAAGCACCGATTCGCAGTTAAAAATGTGGAACATTAACAATCCGCATTGTTTGCGCTCATTTGTTGGACACGTAAATGAGAAGAACTTTGTAGGTCTCGCCACCGATGGCGATTACGTGGCATGCGGATCGGAAAATAATGCACTCTATGTATATTACAAAGGACTATCGAAACAATTATTCTCTTATAAATTTGATGGTGTTCGAAGCATATTAGAGATACAAGAACGAAGAGAAGAGGATCTGAATGAATTCGTATCCGCAGTTTGTTGGAGACAAATGTCTAATGTTGTGGTGGCTGCTAATTCCCAAGGAATTATTAAAATATTAGAACTTGTTTGAAGATAATCACGTTTTAACATGATACTTAGCATACATCGACGTGTATTTTGAAAGTTATTTAATTTGATACTTAGGTGCAGACAACAACGAGAAGTAAAAGTTTATTCTAAATGTTATAGCAATTTGTTGTAAGCCAAATTAAAAAAGTGTTTGTTACATGGAAATCTAAATTATTAGAGATTGACTTATTTGAGAAAGTAATACTCTGAGTATTGTATAGCACAAATATTTTCTTGTAATTGTATATTTTAATAAGATATAGGTATTGTTACTTATTCTGTTTTCGATTAACTATTTTTCATTTTAGATATAATTTAATAGACTGAATTTTAATGATAAATATTTCATACTTTTGTATTAGTGGCACATGTCTCTTCTTGATCACATATATAATATGGAATGTGGCCTTTTATAATTTCTTGTTAATTTGATAATATTTAGCGTATTACAAAATGAATGTATAGTAAGTCCTTGATTTATGCGGTTAAAGTTCGTTCCAAAGTTTTCTCTGTAAAACAAATTATCTGCTGCTCAGCCCCTGATTAACAATAATATAGTACCATCGGTAAGAAAAATGTGGACAGTGTAGAGTAATTTTTGTTTAGTAAGATCATCATTTAACCGATAGTTTTTAATTTTTATGAAACATGGAATATAGGTAGAGCATTGAAAAATATGTTAGGTACATATTTTTTATATCAACTTATATTCATGTTCATAAGGTGAAAATTACCTTTGATCTTCTAAATGAAATACATTTTTAGATATATTCTTTGGAAAATAATTGAGATAGAAAACAATGTCGAGTATGAATCTTGTAAAATCAGACTTTAAACAGATTTATACATATTACTTGACGAAAAGTATGGAATATTATTTTTGAATAAATGAATATACATATACATGTATTCAGATATTCATTCTATGAATATATATATATATATACACACATATAAGATATGTACAAGGACATAAATTAAGACACAACCGTTCTGTTTAATTCAAGGACTCTCTATACTTGCACAGTAATTCTTAGCACAATTCACCTGTAACAAAACATTCTTAATATATAAATTTTATCACACTCTTATGTAATCTTAATAATTACGTATTATTTGTGTCTTTAGTCATAATTTTCGTTATGTGGTTCATAATATTTACTCGTAATTACATCATACATATTGTTTATTACTTTGTTATATAGAATGATTTGTTTTAGTATATCCTATCTGATATGTAAATTACAAGTGCAACATAAAATTTTATTATTATAAATAATCCAAAATGTAAAAAATATTTTTGTGACGTGTAATAATACGGATAAAAAAGAGAATACTTTAAAATTGTTAAGTCACGCTGAAAATTCTGATTAGAAAACACAACTTCAATTATACATATATATATATATATATATATATATACATATAATGTGATCCTTGTAATAAATGTCTTGCCAAAATAGCCTAATAAACTAAATTCAAAATAATAGAGGTATACATACCGATATAAACATTACTGGATCGCTGTCTATTCAAATGAATTTGTGCCAAGAATATTATCTCAGCTAAGGAATAGTGAATGTGCTTGAATTGCATTAAGTTCCTACTATCAGTGTTGAAACAGTCTTTGTACATTAGTCACAGAGTTAAGGAAAAATAGAATTTGCAATAAAAAATAGTAAATTGTAAGTACTTTTTATTTACAGAATTAAAGTACATATTACATGTAACATAGATAAATATTTCAATTTCAATTAATAATATCTTTATGAAGAAATAATAATATTAATTTCTAGTAATACCATTATAGAAAAGAAAAATATTTACATTTACTATTTTCTATTTAAGTATTATTTTACTTACCTTCGATTAGTAGTACATTTTAAGCAAACAATATTCACGGCTCATATTTAAGAATATCAATGTGTCAATTTTCAATAGTTTCATTACTATTTACACGATAATATTAAAACAAACACTATTACAAATACAATAAAACCCCATAAAAAATTTACATACTTAAATCTGTGTATACATAAACAAGGAAACTAATTTTGGTAATACAAATATAATTTTACATTGTACTATATTATATTTTACAAGTAATTCTATATCGTTATACATTTTTATTAATAATAAGTAGATTGAAAATAATTGTGACGCCTATCTTCGATGTATTGGTAGTATAAATCAATTGTCTTTGCTATAGAGTAGAGAAAAGTAATTGTAACAATTAATTAAAATAATTATTTGAGAAATTAGAATAATTTTAAAGAAGTATGGTTTAGAATGTATGCGAAGGATAGTATATTTTTAGATTATATTTTAAAATTGCAAATGCTATAGCATATGCTATAAACGATGCCTAGAATTATTGTAACAAATAAATTTGTGAATTTGTGTCTCAGTATGTTCTTTGGTAAAATTTTTAATCGTGTATGAATTACCCCTTACCATAACAATGTGTGTGTTTAATATTTTATAAATTTTAAATAACATATAAATACTTGTACCGCTACAGAGCAGGTCCAAAAATTCCCAAAGGTCATGCTAGAGTATTTTGGGGGTTGGATGAAAAGGATTATGTGGGAGTGGCAGTTGTTGGTCTTGGAAAGAAAAACCTAGGCATTAATCAACTCGAAGAAGTACACGAAGGAAAAGAAAGCGTACGTACAGCTGCAGCAGGTAAATATTTCCTCTTTTTGTATATATATTTCCTTAATGTTTTAATAATTCGAATTATCAATGTCTGTATATTACGGTTTAATGATTATTGTATGTTAAATTAGCTGGTTGTCGTGCATTGGACGATGTGGATATAAAAGATATAAATCTGGAGACATTAGGAGATGCGGAAGCTGCTGCCGAAGGAGCTGCATTATCAACATGGTTCTATCAAGGTCTGAAAAATAAGGAAAAACAAAAGGCTTTTCCAAAAGTTTCACTGTACGGTCAAGAAGAAGAGTGAGTATCATTTTCCTCTTTTATTTATTTCATTACTAGCTTTTGTACGTAGTTTCAGTTTAGAAAATTAATTGATTTTAAAGTTTACTATAATGCTTCCTTGTAGACGATGTTATGCATCTTTTTTTCCTAGAATACAAATAGATAAATCCATGCAGCAGCTCATCCTAAAGCAAGTCGCAAAGATAAAATAAGAACCCAATGTAAAGTAGTTTAGTTTTCAAGTTGTACAAATATCAATGCGTGTACAAAATCTTGCCAAAGTACGTTGGGCTATTTTTATGTAGAAACGAAACAAACATACAGATAGACAAAAATATCTAAAATTCGGGGAAAAGACAAAGATACAAAAATCCCTCTATTCTTACAAATGTATATTTATATATATATACACCGTCGTGTATAATGGTTATATTACATATTATTTATTATTCCAAGTGAACAATGGCGAGTCGGAAATATCAAAGCTCAAGCGCAAAACTGGGCACGCCAGCTTGCAGATACTCCAGCCAATCTGATGACGCCCACAATATTTTCTCAGCAAGTGTCTTCGGTTCTCACTAAATTAGGAATTAGTGTTCAGGTCCACGATAAAGAATGGGCGGAAAAGAAAAAGATGGGTTCTTTCCTCAGTGTATCTAATGGTAGTTGCGAACCGCCAAAGTTCGTTGAAATTCAGTATAAAGGTGCTAACGATGATTCTCAACCAATAGTTTTCGTTGGAAAGGGTGTTACATTTGACGCTGGTGGTATCAGTCTCAAGGTAAAATCGTATAAGGTTGAATAACAAGTTCGTCATGTTTTTGAAACAGCGTGCATACTGCATACGCGAACGAACTTGCTAGTTGATACAATCTATAAGGAAATTTAGAAATTAGACGATCATACGGATGATAATTTTAGCCTCCATCCGACATGGACGAAATGCGTGCAGATATGAGCGGCGCAGCATGCGTAGCAGCTTCCATTCGAGCAGCTGCTGAACTTAAACTGAAAGTAAACATTGTTGGTTTAATACCGCTCACTGAAAATCTACCTTCAGGCACTGCAACTAAACCAGGGGACCTTGTAATTGCAATGAATGGAAAAAGTATCATTGTAGATAATACAGATGCGGAGGGTAGACTAATTCTTGCTGATGCGCTTTGCTACGCTCAGGAATTTAATCCAAGGTAGTCGTTAAGTAGATTTAAAAATTTCTAATAGTGTATATATCAAATATTTGATGATTGATATACATATATACATATATGTATGCATGTGTGTAGATTTATCTTGGATATTGCAACGCTAACTGGTGCAATGAGGATCAGTTTAGGAGGAGCAGCAACTGGAGTCTTTTCAAACGATGGTGCTCTTTTTGAAAAGTTGAAAAATGCTGGAACTCTTAGCGGTGATAGAGTATGGAGACTTCCACTTTGGCAACATTTTACTGATGAAATGACAAGTAAGATGATAATATAGTACTCTTCACTAGTGGCGCGTTATACTTTTACGGAGCCAAAGACCAAATAAGATTAGGGGAACTCGTCTAAAGAAAAAAATAAGGAAGAGTATTTTTAAATTCAATCACATTTTATTGAAACAACAAAAGAAATAAATTACATAATACAAGAGAAATTATCTAATCTCAAATAATTCAGAAATAATATACGCACGTGCGCCTAATTTAATAATTATTTTTACTCTGTACTTAGCTTAAACATTTTTAAACTAAAAAATTGTATGTAGATAAATTTGATAGAAAAATTGATGCTGTTTTCCTTGAATTGCTTTCTACATTAAAGGTGAATTAAAAATTTAATAAAAAGTATTTATTAAATTGCTAATTTAATGATTTAAGTATTTGTTATTTATAATAGGTTTTATGAAACATTTATTTCGAAGACCTCCTTCGATCAAAACCTTAGAACATGTTTCGAAGATTGCATAACGTGCCACTGCTCAATAACATTCCAGACAAAAATAATACATAAAATGACACGGTTTTGCTTGCAGAGAAAATTAAGTCAGCTGATATAAATAACGTTTCGAAAGCCAAATATGCCGGCGCGTGCACGGCAGCCGCTTTCTTGCGTGAATTTGTTCCAAACAATACGCCGTGGTTGCATTTAGATACGGCAGGAGTAATGGGCCCTGGACCTGATGAGTTACTATCATACATACCAGCTGGAATGTCGGGTCGTCCAACTCGTACGCTTATTCAATTTTTACAAACATTGTGTTAAAATTTACAATTATTTTAAGTTGTACGGTGCAAGTTGTATGGTCTATTTTTATATATACGTATGTATATATGTGTGTACGCACACGTGTACATATGTATATATATTTTTGTCTGGTTCTTTTTATATGCATATGTATAAAAAACACGTATACATTTTATATACTTGGTGCCCACCTCCCTTCTAACATTCCGACGTCATTCATGTATGTGTAAATGCACTACAATCGAACACAAAAAAGAAAAAAACAACGAATCAAATCAACGGGAATGTACCTAAATTGAACCGATACTGACACAACTTATCAAATCTATAATCGCTTACACGTTTTTGTACAGAATAATATTACCTTACAGTACGACAGCATTTAATATAAATGTAATGATTTCTTAATTTTTCTTGTACAGTTAATTTTGTTCATATTATGTAAAAAGCTAAATTCGGTTAACGATAATCAATGACTATCGATAACCATATTATATAAATGGAAAGAGGCATAGAACGGGAACAAATTTGTACAATATCGTACAGAAAAGAATATAAAATATATACTAAATTTATATAAGAAATGGGTTAATAGATGGTTTTTATCCACGGGAGGTATATTGATATTTGGGCAATTTACGCTTTATTTATGTCGTATCTGAAATACATCCGACAGTTTAGATCAACCTTGTGTAAACATTACATACGACTTGTAAAAGTGCTAACAATTATTCGAACTTAATATAATAAAATACATGATTTATTGTATGAAAAAACGTGTCTCTAATTCTATGTACATGTGAAATTTATGTTTATTTTTTTTACCACACAATCTTGTTATGTACAGTTTTTGCTGCCACTTCCCCTTAAATAGTTTAAAATAACGAACCGGTTATTCTGTCTCATGGGTATATATCACATTTTGCATAGTCTTCCGAGTTATTACAATACGGGGACCGATGCAAAGTATTCAAACGAATGATTGCGATTCACAGAGATCACAAACGAAACAAATATTTTTACAAAGAACACTGAATGATATTACATGTTCGTTATTTATAATAGAAACGATTTAATAAAACTGGCACTACTTAACTATATGTTTTCAATGGAAACCCTGCTTTTTCAGAATAACTAATGGCCTGCATCACGCATATCTTTATCACACTTATTTTCACAAGCATGTCGCAAACTTATTTGCAACACATTCTTAGAACTAAATCAATGAAGCATTTTCGATGCTTACTAATGGAAACAAAATCCATTGTTTTTCGGGGGAAGTTTGCGATTACAATAATTTCCGACATTGGAACAATATGCAAATGAAATTTAGTGGCTTTATTGTTGGAAATTGAAACATTCAGTTTTGATCCTCGACAATTGACCAAATTCGTATTTTCATTTTTTGTTCTATGCAGATAATTTAAATACCTTGCGGAATTATAATTAAAGATAAAAATAAGTTGAAACAGTACGTTTCAATCTTTAATAATAAAAAATGGTTACTAAATTTCATTTATATATTGATTCGATTGCGGTGATTATAAACTCACAACAACGATGGATAGGAACAGTATCTTACAATAACAAATTAATTGTTGTAAACCAGTGTTGGGCAAATTCCAATTAAAGTAACGATTGATGATTACAATTAAAATAGACAATCGTTAATTGCTTCGATGCTATCAAGTTAAAAACATCGACAATTTATGTTTTATATGTTTAATAAATCTCAGTTTAATAGGAATATATTTGTGTAGATTTATTTTGAAATTAAAAAACAAAACAATAAAGTTGTAAATTTTGTATTCACACTAGAAAATATTCTGTAACTTTTTTTAGCCTTTAAATAAATCATTAGTAATAAATTCTTAAATAATACAATTTTTTTAACGCGTAAAAAAGAAATATTGGATGATATGAACTCAACGCCGCTGAAAAATTACCATTAATTTAATCAATGGTGGTCGCCAGCAGCTAACGATTAATATAATGATCAATCGATATGCGATTAATGATTAAGAGAGTACTCCTTTTACCGAATAAAAAAAAAACGATTTCTTTTTGTCTTACATTCTCTGTAAGTATATAGTGTCTAATGTTATAATGAAATTCGAAATATGAACAAACTTATAAGGTTTAAAGAATTTTGGGATAAAGTCTTTGTTTTTTCCTCGTCATAAATCATGATAAGTTTGTTGATTACAACTGTTACAATGTAGTTGAGGACTTGACAATCAGAAGAGATCCAAACTCTACAAAATGCAACAAGTAATATACGAGTAACGTATTACTAAAAAAGTTCATAAAATGAAAATCTACAGCATTCAGTTGGTCTCGTAGAAAATTTCACGAATTTGGTCTAAAACAGTCAGCGTGTTAACGTCGAGAACATTTATTAAAAAGATATTTGGGACCACGTACGCGTGAAGCAACGAAAGTTTAAATTCGTTGATTTGTAATACACGATACCACGTTAATTGTATCAATTAATTTATATTAATTGATATAATTAACGTGGTATCGAGTAACGTTAGTCGCTGTTAATGCTAATGATTAACTTTAATCGCATCGCGTAATGAATTTATTTGGATAAAAATTAGTCAATTAATGCCCAACTCTGCTGTTAACACGTTCATGTACAAGACGGCGGGGGCTGCTGCTGTGGAGAGGGAAGGGGCGCTGCCGCAGCAGCTGCAACTGCGGCAGCAGCAGCATACGATGACGGGTCCGAAGTATCGAGGAGTGGTGGTGGCGGAGGTAGACTTCCTCCTGCGCTTCGCCCTTTTCCACGGCCTCTTCCTCGACCCCGACCCCGGCCCCTCCCCCTTCCGCGTCAACTCCGCCTTTCCGGCATTCCTATATTGCTCGTTGTCTTTTCCAGAAAAGCTAGCGGTCCTTGAAGGGCACTGCTTCCCACACCTCCAACAGGGAATCCTGCCCTCGCACCTGTCACACCTACTCCTCCTTGAGTCATAAACATCCCTTGTTGTCCAACCGAAACTCCAACCCCTTGTAGACCCGATGTAGGAGGAGCCCCCGATCCTTGCTGCACCTGCAACGTCATGTCAAACATTCTATCATAATGATATAATTGTCATATTATATTTTTATCAGATATTCTGGCACGGTCATAAAAATACGATGTCGGATGAGAACAGTTTAAGATCGATGATAGCGTTAAAATTACTTAGCGTAGATACCTCGACAGTACTGTACATACATGCATATGTATGCATATATGCATATACTATAATATAAATATACTATCTATCCATATGTATATATATATATATATACATATATATATAGATTTACAAGTGAAAATAAAAGTGGAATTTTGATCGTTGCAAGCCAATGTAGGTTGTTAGGAACAGTAATTTGATAGGCAAGGGAAATGAAAGAAAGCACAATGTTTTTTTTCACCATGAACAGAGATTTATTCTGCAAACATCTACTTGCATCTGAGAACAACACAAGTGAAATGGCACACGTATCCTTGCAGTTATCCGTTTGAACGAATCGCTGCAATGTTCTAATTTAGTATCACATTTAGACATTTGTGTGAAAAAGACACATGTCAATTTATAAAGTACAGAAGAATAGTTAGAATAATTATAAAATAACTTTTGATGTGTAATTATGCTATAGTTATCATCTACAAGATTTCAACATGTTTTTTTTTTAAATATAAAGGTATTCATCCTTAATAACTTTTATATTGATGCAAAATGCATGCATACGTTTACATGCAAAAGATATTTATCATATTATAAACAAGGAGGCTTATAAATACTGAGAAATATCTTCTATTTTCGACAATGTATAATACGCGATGTAAAGAAATATATGATTTGAGAGAAATGTGAAAGAAAAATTAAAATATATAAATAGATATGTATACATGTATGCAACTATATACTTTGTTTATGAAGTCACGTTGAAGTAATATCGCTATTTGCTCCTAATTATAATATGTACATTATAGGGATCGTTAGGTATACTATTAACGTCAAGCAGACTAATCTGTGCTTATTTAGTTTTTTATTGCCGTTATCAGATTTATTATATCAGTTTCTGGCTAAACATTTGTACGCATTTTAATAATAATCATTTTGGCACCATTTTACAATGTGTTTATGCAAGTATATCTATTTGATACTTCCTTCTTTTATAAATGAAATTCATGCTTTTATAATTTTATATCGCAGTTACTAATAAAAGCACTTTAATTTTTCTTTCTTACACGTTACACTTCTGTGGATAGGAATTATATAAGGCACTGATTACACGCAACGTTAATGTACGTTGCTTTTTGTGCAGTTGGACCGAACAATTTTATGTCCTGATTAGATATTATTTAACAAAAGAAAAAAAAAAAAAAAAAAAGAAAAAAAAAATTTCTACGATTCTGACAAATATTTCAATCACAAAAGATTACTTAATACTTTAATATATTTATACATCATAGACATTCACACCCACATGCATACACACAGGCACATACAATCATTCAATAGTGGTACTCATCTTCAAATTTTAATGGATAATATAAAAACCTAATAACAATAAATATGCCATTTCAATCAGAATGAGAGTATTATAACGAGTATAAATTATCTCGTGACATACGTATAATGCCCAATGCAGACGAGCGACTTTTTACCGTACCGTTATACATCTGTCTTTGTTGTTTTCAATTGGAAAAACAAGGAAAGACGTACGATCGTCTGTCAAAGAATCGTTCGCCTGCATCGAGTCTAACTGTATGGTGTAATGATACTTTGCATAAAAAAAAATTCTCAATACTTTACATTACTAATAAGTTGGGTTTACAACTAAGGTGAAATAAACGTTAAAGAATAATAATTCAAAATGTTACTGTTAACTATGACAGCCACAACAAAAAAACTTTCTGTAAATATACAATTTTCGCTATCACGCATTTTTTTCAAATTTTATGTGTCACATTAAAAAAGGTATTTCTCCGATGCTAATTTTAAACAGCTGCCCAAATACAGGAATTTCAGCTTTTCTCGTAACGGTATTACTTAAATACCTGTTGCTGATGAAGCTGTTGTTGCTGCATTTGATGTTGTATTTGATGCTGCAACTGTTGTTGTTGTTGGAGCTGCTGTTGGTGTTGCAATATTTGTTGCTGTTGCTGCATCGTTGCACTTCCACCTCCATTTGCAGTTTGTTGATTTTGTCCACTTTGTGTACCGTTTGGTAAACCTGAAGCATTTTAAAATCATTAAACACATTATTATCTTACAGTCTTTTAGATTCTTACCGTTAGGTGCTGGACCTTGTGCCGGCGACTTTGCCCAACCTTGTAAGTCTGCTAACAGATTCTGCCATACGGCAATTTTATCATAATGCCTTTTTATAAGATCCTCTTTACGCGCTAATTCTACTCTAAGATCATTGATATCTTCCTTCACTACTAGTTCTGGTTTCAGTGCAGACAGTAAAAATCTTTTCTGTAGAAAGAAGGCTTCCATTTGTCTGGCAAGATCTATAAATCTTAACGTGACTTGTTCAACTTCGCTACGTGCTTCTTCCTTATCCACAGTCAAACCACCAGACACTCCAATCCCATTGTTTCCTAACCCTTCGTCCTTTGTTGTTAAAATACTCAAACATTGCTGCAAGTGATATTTTACATTATAGAATGAATTTACAACAAACGTAATATTGTTTATAGGAATTATTAGGCAACGAATCAAAATATCCTTCGCGCTATACCTGAAATGCCTCTTCAAATTCGTCGATAAGGTTACCATTACCATTAGTGGGTGTCGCCATTATACTTGTAGTGATTTGGTAGTTATATATAAAAGATATATTGTCAATTACAGTTAATTTAATTTTATGGTAAGTCCATTGTAATGGTTTGAAATAAGACTAGGATGTCCGTGGTTGGTAAACACGTTTACGAATCAAACAAGATGACAACAAAACATTGTAATTACATATAACGTCACGCACAATCACTAATATATACATTAACTACGATAGTTGAGTTCTCCAGCATTTGGTACGTCGAGGTTTATGTTGTATCTTATTAAGGCTGATACAATGTACAACTAACTTTTCAGAGTACACTTATCACAAGCTATCTTTAAACGGTAGTCAAGTAATCGTAAAGAACATTTCGATGGTGATCGATATATATCGATTATTAATATTATTCGTTTGCATTTCTCGTGTCATAGATGGAGTAGATGAACCTCAACATGTAGGGGCTGCGGTCTTCCCTCTCACTCTAGCTGCGAGAGTGGGGGAAGCGGCCATGTTGTGCAGTTCGGCCGCATGGCGAGCCAGCGCCAGTCTTTGTTCAGCTCTCATAGCGTGCGGACGTGTCCACGCGTCCCAGTTATTTTCCAATAAACAGTTCCTCTTTCTTTGTTACCGTTACGCTGGACGCATTCATTTATTCATTCTCCTGAGCCTAGAGATACGCGGGTGACATTTTCCCACATTATAACTTCAACTCGAATTTATAGAAACTGACCTTACGACTTGGAAAAACAATTCGCCGACTTTTGATGGCCTGAGCAGTGTCTAGTAAACATTAATTGCCAGTAATTTGTTTAATCTGATTAATATTAGACACATAATTATATTAAAAGAATGAAACATAAATAATAAAGAATAAACATTATTTCTAACTTGTATTATATTTGTTTATTAATTGTATTTTTATTTTATTTTTTATTGTGTATTCGGTAGTCATTAAGTATAAAATTTTGTCACATGTGTAATAAGTCCAAATTAAAAATAATCATTGCTATTATTATTATTATTTACATGTGTATAGCAGTTTTACATTACATAAGATATGAATATTTTACAGTGAATTATTATAAGGAATTATTTGTGGTAAAATGTGATGCCATTAAGATAAAGAAGGTCAGTATTTGATTATTATTACTTTAAAACTCCATTAGATCAAATTCCATGAGATCTGGCATTTCAGGCTGTACGGGTGATCGGTACCATGGATCTGCCAAGTCCCATAAATCAGGATGTAACCCTTCTCTACCCGACGGTGGTCCGCACTTTGGACAAGGAGGATACCGTTGAAGATCGAAAAATCTTTCAAGTTCCTGTATATCAAAGGATTTGTATGGATAACTTTTTTGTTCCATCGGAACGGGAGATTTATGAGCTCTTGGTCTAGATGGATGTGACATAGCTGTGACAATATCTTCATCTTCTTCCCAAGATGAGTCTTTATCTTGGTGAAGTTGATCTTCGAAAGGAACATTGAGCTGTAAATCATCTGGCATGTACTCCGAAGCTGCTATTCTTTCAAATTCTTCTTCCAATCTTCTGGCTGCTTCTCTCTCTTCCATATCAGCTAAAGCTTTTTGCATGAGTTCACGAGCATATAGAATATCCGATGGAACATTTTCATATTGTGCTTGGAGAAATTCATTGTCTAATTCAGGGGATCTGCATAAATATTATTAATAGATATAATGATAATTATTTACATTAGGGGTACCACCTCCAATTTTGATGATTTTTAAATTTGTTATAGCACCCGTAACATGTGTAGAAAAGACTTATTCAAAATAACACATTTTACAACTTATTTAAGAATCATAAAAATCGGAGGATTACTTCTGTAATTATTTAGATAACCTAGGTTACCTGCTATCGCTCAAAAAAGAAAGATCGGCAGGAGGAGTTTCATCCGCAATATTAACAACATTTCCACCAACATTTGCCACAGCAATAACAAAATCTCGTCTAGCCTGTTGTAATTCTGATAGTTTGTTGTTTACTGTTTTAACTTCTATGGCGTCTTGCTCGTTAAGAGTTTCACTATTAGAAGCAAAAGGAATTTGTATTACCATTGCAGGTGAAACAAGTATTTTATAAATTCACCTGATCATTTGAATTGAACGATTCGCCATTTGCGAGGTCATTTTTGTTTCAATTTGTACAGGTGATTGAGGTACACTAACAATTGTAGTACGTTCGTTGTTCACTGTTCCAGGGGGTATCACAATGTTACTGATCGGTCCTTTGCCAATTGGTTCCGCCTGGATTACATCTGCATTTAACACTTTGGCTAATTCGTTGGTCTTTTTAGGTAAAGCTAGCTGAGGCAATCTTGACTTCATGGGGCTGATTCCAGCCGGTAAATCTTTCCTAGCTACTGGTAATGTTCTTGGAGGAGATGCAACTGGAGTACGTGCTTTTCCTTTGGACGGCAGTAATCTTTCTCTACCCATCCTAATTAAAAATGATTTTGTGTATGGTAATGGAAACCTCGTACTATAGAAATATTGCTTTTACTTTAAACGAACGATGAACATTATAAAGATTGAAGAATTATTCAAGTGCTCATTTGTTTAACGCGCGTTACAATTGTTCGCTTAAATCAGATTTAACTACTGTCGCGACCTGGAATCACCTCCTATTGGAGCGGGTGTTCTTTTAGGTACCCGGTCACTAGATACCGTTGCTTCAGTTTTCCGCTCGTATTCGTGTATATATTTCTCTGCGTGTTTCATTCTAGCTAACATTGCCTTGGTCAATCCTGGCCTTTTAAAGTCCACCTTCTTTGGCTCGGGCATTACCACCCTCTTTCGTCGTCCTAATGGATTTATTTGTTTTACTTCTGTTTCGCGTGATTTTTCTAAATCTTGCATCAAAGCGGCGGTCCTTGCTTGACGGAGTTGTTGCGTCTTCGTAAGACCGGTATCGGCTCGTGGAATTCGACGCATTTTTTTCTTTATAAGAGCAAATGTAACGTAAGAATGTTAAAAAAGCGAATACTTAAGAAAAGGAAACTTTATTCTTTGAAGATATCAGCGATATTTTAAACTAATATTTTGCTGTATCTGCAAAGTATCTATGTATAGAGATAAATGAAATTATCAATCAATAGAATCAAGATTTAAATAAATATGTAACACGTAATAACCTGTTTAATGATTTATAACTTTTTGTTGATTTAATAAATGTTAATTTCATTAATATTTCGAGGGTAATTTGTCAAGTTTTTATGGTGGTTGTATTTTGCGGGATTAATTATCCATTATTGTACGATTACGGTAGTTGTATATGTCCAGTGCCAGTTGATTTTATTCTTTATTAGTTACGAAAATTTATAGTGTTGATGAACCTAAATGTTATATGATTTGGCAGGTAGGATAAGAACTGCTTTTGTTTTTAATGACATAATTTTATTTCGCATGTGTGCAAATATGTTCACAGATTATACCTAAATGTAATTAAGATACGAACCGCGTACCAGTTTATAATTGGCGCTTATTTCAAATAAGCTTGATCGATTGCTACAGATTCTCGGCCGTATTTTTAATCGACTCGGATCGATATTTAGTCGATATGTTACAAACGTAAGTCTGTATACCTAATATCAGTTGAAATTTTTCATCAAAGTTAATTTATATCTCTAACAATGCCAACTAGGGCAGAACGCCCTAATTTAATGCCTTTTCAGGACAGCCAATACAGTTGGACGGATGATTTACCAGTCTGCAAGCAATCTGGTATGTAAGAGTTTACTATTATAGACCGCATAACCTACAAATGTATACGTACGTAAATATTTACAATTTTCAAATACTTGTTTAGGAGTAGGATTTTCTACGAATCAAATTTATCGCGAGGATGGATATAGACAGGAGGAACACCCATTCGAAGATCGCAGTTTTCATTGCCGTTACGACGATACAACGTTCCTTTATGGAGTGTTCGATGGTCACGAAGGGACTAAAGCAGCAAATTTTGCTATGCAGCGAATGGCTGCAGAGATCTTACTTGGCCAGTTGAATGGAAAATCAACGAATGAAGAGATCAAAGAAGTTCTTAGGTAATAATGTACACTTAGTTACAAAAGTCTACATACAAGACATAGTTTTATAAAAATGAAATTCGATAGTTTTGTGCCTACATTATTTGCATTAACCGTTTGGCAAGTTAGTTTCTTTAGCAGCGTACGCAAGCTTTTATTACGTGTTTTAATTGCAATACGGATGAATAATACTGTATTTAAATAATAATATAGATACGATGCTGCATAGAATGTATTATTAAACCAACAATAAAAATATTAGCTATGTAGATGCTGTAATATAAATTTTACAACGTATGTGAATCGTTTATAAACAATTTTTACATATATTGTATCCGTATGTAGACTATCGTAACTAAGTGTATAATTAAACAGACAGAAAGATAAATTGTGACTTACAAAGCAGTTATATTTTTTTTTCTTTTAAATTCATCGTTCCAGACAAGCGTTTATAGCTGTAGAACGAGGGTATTTAGATTCCATTGGTGATCTTTTGGCCGAACGAACTAGCTTACAGTTTGATATACCCGATGGATTAAATTCGTACGAAACGTATCAAAAATTTCCACACTTGGTTGGTTCGGTTTATCGACAAAGTTTACTAACAAAAATACTAAATATTTACATAGAACATTTTTCATACAGGTTGATAAATTAAATTCGTTGAACTGTGAACTATCGACAGGCACAAGTGCAGTTGTTGCTCTTGTGTACGGTGGAAGATTGTATGTGTCCAACGTTGGCGACAGTAGAGCTTTACTATGTAAGACGGACAGTAACCAAGTTTTAAGAGTTATACAGTTAAGCGTGGATCATGATTTACGGAACGAAGATGAATTGTTGCGATTATCTCAGTTAGGTTTGGATATTGATTCCATAAGGCAAGGTATTTCGATAACGCTACGATCTGTTTTCGTTTTATTTATAAATAATAAACAATTTGTATCGAAGGATCGCATCTTGGGAATCAGGAAAATACGCGTTGCCTTGGAAATTATCTTGTTAAAGGAGAATACAGAGAATTCGAAGAATTAGCATCCGCCACAGCGGAGCCTATCATTGCCGAACCTGAAATTCATGGTGGGATAGAACTCGATGATTCCTGTAGGTTTTTGTTACTTATGTCTCGTGGTCTTTACAAATCGTTAGAAGAAGCAACTGGTACCGATCAAGTTAACAAAGAATTAGCTCTTATAGCAGTCGAACAGGTACAAAATTATTTATTGACAATTATACAATTTATCAGGAGGCAGCACACTTTTGCATTTGTATAAAATACATTTCAGTTTCGCGTACAGTCTACCTTGACGGGAGTTGCTCAAGCTGTTGTAGACAAAGTTGTAAGGATTCATCACGATGTTAATATGAGCAACACTCAAAGTACAGTGACCACCGGTAAACGAGATGACATAACTCTTCTTGTTCGAAATTTCAATTTTCCGCTTCCCCATGCATTGAAAAGTCCAACTAATCAATCGGTTAGATTTAATCCAATTGTAGAAACCGCTCCGATAACAACGATACCGGAGAACGAAGATTATTCTAGTACCGGAGTTACGGATGAAAATTTCGATACATCAACGAGTGAAACATCCACAACGTCGGATATGTATCCTCCCGGTACAAGACTGACGGACAGAAATGCTAGAATCAAGCCTTACGTAAATTTTTCGGAATATTACGAAAACGTAGAGAAAAGACGACGAGAGGGGACGTTACCCGAAGGTATAAATTTTTAGTTAGACAAGAGCTTTTAATATCAAGCATGCGATATATTTATAAATTAAACACTTTATGTTTGTACAAATGCAATATTTATTTTGTATAATATCTTTCAAATAACAATCAGCAATATTATATTTGCTCAAACTGTATAGAAAAAGTGTTATAAATTAGATTACACATTTTTTAATTCGTACGAAGATTTTGTAGATCGATCAAAATTTGCATGACAAACTTTTGCATATACGACAAGATTAAATTTTTTCTCAGGGTTTTTTTTACAAACGTCGATCACAAATATTTAGTCGGATTAGCTTTAAGTCTTTCGAATGCAGCCTTTTCGAGACATTCCCTGTGATCGGGATGAGCAATTTGAATCAACGCGTTTGCTCTTTGGCGTAATGTTTTACCGAAAAGTTGGGCCACTCCGTGCTCCGTGACTATATAATGCGCGTGTCCTCTTGTCACTACGACTCCACCGCCTGTTAAACAAACGATCGCAATAGTATTTAAAAAGTATAATATAGAAAGAACTCGTGTAAATAACGCAAGTTTTCGTACCAAGTTTAAGTACAGGTTGAATTTTGCTTTCCCCCTTGCTCGTAACCGAGGGGAACGCAATTATAGCTTTCCCGCGGCCATCTTGGCCCATTGCAGCGCCGCGAATGAAGTCGAGTTGCCCGCCGAAACCGGAGTACATTTTACAGCCCAAACTGTCTGAACATATTTGACCGGTAATATCCATTTCTATGCAGGAATTAATGGCAGTCATTTTCGGTTGCTGCGATATCACTCTAGGATCGTTGACATAGTTGATCGTAAGCATTTCTAGGTTAAGTAAATAAAGACAGAGTTATAGAAAACATTAGAAAACGCCGGTGAAAAATTTCACACGTACCTACGAATGGATTATTGTGCAAAAAGTCGTACACCCTTTTGGTACCAATTGCCAAGGAACTGACCATACGCCCCCTGTGTTTCACTTTCATTTTATTGGAAATATTCCCGCGTTCTGCCAGATCCACCATCGTGTCGCCCATGATCTCGGTATGAACGCCTAGATCTTTGTGATTACCGAGGGAGCAGAGAACAGCGTCGGGAATATTTCCTATACCGAGTTGCAAGGTTGCTCCATCGTCTATCAGCCTTTGCGCTATGATCTTCCCAATTTCTAGTTCGATTTCGTTTGGCGGAGTGCTTGCCACGCATGGCAAAGGACAATCGTATTTCACGGCCCAGTCGATGTGACTCGAGTGAATTACCGTGTCCCCGAACGATCTCGGCATGTGCTCGTTAACCTGGGCTGCATCGAGGTAGAGAAATAATTTTTAATTCGATCGATCGGTGATAAACGTTGTATAAATTATTAACGATCATCTATTAACCAACGATAACTTTCGCCGAACTTAGGGCAGCACGCGTGCAATCCACGCTTACGCCCAGAGAACAAAAACCACGCGCGTCCGGCACGCTGACGTGAATTAGAGCAACGTCGGGGATGATTCTTCTTTCGTAAAAAAGCTTTGGCACTTCGTGAAGAAATATCGGAATGTAATCGGCTCTGCCTTCGTTAACAGCTTCTCTGAGATTGGCTCCGATGTAAAAGCTTACGGACCTGAAGTGCTCTAAAAGACAATCGTCACCTTCGTGATCATGTTGGACGGCGGGGAATTTTTATTATTATTATATTATTATACTGTACTCTGAAATTCGGGGCTTGCAAACGGCGCGTCTCCTTCGAGACCCATGTGAAGTAATCGTACACTGCGTAGATTGTTGCAGACACCGTGTTCGGTCATGGCGCGTATCAATTCCATAGGCGTAGCTGCCCCGCCTTGTATAAAAACTAAATGCTCTGCAAGCAAATATCAACGAAGTAAGTAGGTTGCCATTTTATATTTTCGACGATTCGATTTAAATATTCCGACTAAACGAAATCATTGTAAATACCTGAATTTATGATTTTCACCGCATCTTCTACGCATACCCATCGTGGACATCGTTTCAACGGATTCAAAGGTTCTCTTATATATTTTAAACCACACATGTTAAACGATTTTTTCGGTACAAATTTACCAAATGCTGATTCCACATTTCGACGAAAATTTATACCAAACATTTTGTTGTAGAATATATGACACGTCAGAAACTGTGTAAACGATAAAAATCTGCAAAAGTTCGTCGATGGGGTAGAATATAAAAGGCAATTACGTCGAAATTTAGATGACACATAATCTAAAGGATTTCATAACTCAAATGTCATTTCACGTCAGATCACACTAGATCCGTTGCCATCTCCACGATTAGTATTTGAACGTCGCATTTACCGGTTTTCGATTTTTCAATCTTTTCGATACAAACTTGCTGAAACGCGTGATAAATTTTCGCACACCCTATATACTACGTGTAATAGGTGGTAAAAAAAATAATCGTAACAATCGGTACGTGTATGTACATTTCATTTTTAATTTATTGCTTCAAATGCGATGTGCCTTCAATTATTAGAATAATTGCATCATACAGAGGAACGTTTCAAAATTTTATATAAAAATTATTCGTCATCGTTATTTTAACTTTAAAGTATATACTGTTTTCGGTTGATGCTTTTAATATTAAATAGCTATTCAAAATAAACGCATTCTCAGGTTTGTTCGGGGACAAGCAATTCCCCTGATTTTTTATAACGAAAAAAGCCTTCTTGTATTTACTCCAAACCTGGTTTTTCTATACACGATGTTTAAAAATCTGTTTTTCGGGTGCTTTTGATCGTTACAGTTCTATTATATTAATTTTCTCGGCAAGAAGGTATAAATTGAACGAAATTCGAGAGATAGTTTGCGATGTCGGTCTTGGGCACAAACGTAGATGTTTATTGTGCGTAGAAAATCATCGCGAAATGCTATTAGAATTTGTCGGTGTGTAGTTTTTTTTTTTTAGTGAAACGTTTAGGGCGCTGGCATAACCTTCAATCGTTCAAATGCTGCTTTTTCCAAAGACTCTCTATGATCAGGATGAGCGATTTGAATTAGTTCGTACGCTCGTTGCTGAAGACTTTTACCGAATAAACTGGCAATTCCGTGTTCCGTGACAACATATCGAGCAATTGCCCTATTCGTAACAACACCGGCACCTTGAAACAAAGAGATTATTGTCAATGCTCTGTCGATAAGTATAAACGGTCGCGAGGGAAGAATTTTTACGTACCTAATTTTAAGACGGGTTGAATTTTGCTTTCACCTTTCGAGGTAACGGACTGTAACGCAATAATGGGCTTCCCGCAACGATCGTCGCTGATCGCTGCACCCGTGATGAAATCTAATTGTCCTCCGAATCCGGAATACATTTTAGTCCCTATACTATCCGAGCAAATTTGTCCGGTGATATCAACTTCGATACACGAGTTGATGGCTGTCATGTTCGGTTGCCTAGCTATTATTTTTGGATCGTTTACGTAGTCCACCACGAGCATCTCTGTAACATTCGTCGGTTTGTCCCTTTATTTTTTATTCAAATTTAATTACACGCATGTATTACGAGTCGTAAACAAATACTCACCTATGAACGGATTATTGTGCATAAAATCGTACAGCTTTTGAGAGCCGACGCAGAACGAACCGACGATTCGACCATTGTGCATTGTTTTCTGATTGTTCGTGACGCATCCTTTATGTACAAGATCAACCACACCGTCACTGAACATCTCGCTGTGAATCCCAAGATCTTTGTGATTCTTCAGTGCCGACAACACCGCGTCCGGTATGCTACCAATACCCATTTGCAACGTGGCTCCATCTACCACCAAGTTCTGGGCAATATTTTTCCCGATTTCTTGCTCTTCCTTCGACGGCGCTTTCACGGGATGAACCGGTAGCGGCACGTGATGCTCCACGGCAAAATCCAAATGGCTAACGTGAATGCTGCCATCGCCGAATGTCCTTGGCATGTGTTTGTTTACCAACGCTAGAAATTACCACGTGAGAAGAACTTGTTAAAAATTAATTTTTACCCAGTGCATGGCTGATGGTGGAGTTAAAAAGATTTGAAAATTTACCTACGATGTATTTCGATTGGCTCACGGCTGACCTCACGCAATCTACGCTAGTGCCGAGCGAACAATATCCGTTGTTATCGGGAGGCGAGACATGGATAAGAGCGATGTCAGGCTTAATGTATCCTTCCTTAAACAATCGTGGAATCTCGTGCAAGAAAATCGGAACACAGTCGGCGGTTCCAGCTTGAACAGCCGCTCGCACGTTACCCCCGATGAATAAGCTGATGGACCTAAAATGTTCTATATACCGAGTGTCATAATACATAGAGATATTTTCTCTAATTAAATATTTCGATTACAATACATGCATGATTAACTTTCACTAAAATCTCTAACTGATCTGAGGTTCAATTCTACAAAAGATACGCTTGGATCTCTAATTTTATGAAAATTAATCATGTATTACACTATATCAGTTTTTATTGGGACTCGTGAAATGATTAGATCATTCACGTATCGCTACTACTAATTTTGTCGATTAAAAATTGTTTCTGTTATCAGAAAGCAGCTCAGGAATAAAGCAGAAAATTACGTCATACGTTGACTGCTATCTTTGTTATGAATTCTATCTAAATTAATCAAGCTTATCGCGATGTTGCTTAACCCCTTCCCGTACTTTAACGAGTCTGACTCCGTGATGAAGATTTTGGCCCGAACGTGAATATCAGGGACCAGACTCGCGAGCAAAATGCAAATCACGATCGTGATTGAGTTTTAGTTCCTATCGGTGCGCCACAAGAGTCGGTCACGATTCTTATAACCTCTGTTACGAAGCAGTTTAGTATCAGTCTGGTCTGTTCACCGCGCGTTGACGCCACGGGAAGGGGTTAATACATTCGAGACCGATATACTGTCTGAAAACTATGAGAAAGAAAATTAATGCCACGTTCTGTACTTCGTATAACATGTTGAAACGAATGGAACGTTTTACTTTAAAGAATAACGTACTTGCATTTTCTGGTTTTGCGAACGGGGCAGCCCCTTCGAGATGCATATGATATAATCGTACGTTTCTGACGTCGCATCGTACACCATACTCAGTCATTGCCCTCAAAGATTCAACAGGTGTCGCTGCTGCTCCCTGAACAAACACCACTTGATCTGTAAAACAAAGTTAGTTTTATTTCACATGTGTTTTCAAGTCGATACGATCTTTGTGCACACGGAACGAGAACCGTGTAACTTTATTCTTTTTGTTTACGTTTCCATTATCGTACGGGAACAATATTGTTTCGTTTATAATTTCTAATTCGATTCAGAGAAACTAAACATGCGTGTGTGTTAGCAGGTTAGTTTTTTAGAACGCCAAAGTAGTCTAACAGTGTGATGGGGACAGCTGTTCGGTGACCTTGAGCAACAAAAATTATCTGCCTTAACCTAGTCGTCAAGGTTCCTCATGTTCCATTCCAAGAGGAAAGAAAAGAAAAAAGAATATACAAAGTGTCAGAATATATTTCTTTTGCCGATCCAAACAAAATAATAACATAATGAAAAGATTTACAGAAATATCGGATAACCTTGTATATTCATCCAAATTAGATTGTGCAAGTTAACAAGTCAAATAATCAGGGTAAATAAAAATATTCAATATTATCGTTCCGAAAATATAAATTCCAATTTTATTCCTATCGATAATAAAAATGAATTTCAAAGCGAAGGATACAGATATTTAATCGATTTTACGGTTAGTATATTGGAACATATAGAACATAAAGTAGGACAATGGAAATGCTTAATGCATCATGTAATGTGCTATTTATAGAACGAAATAGATAGGGTTAGATTTACTTAAGGAAAATATATTATTGCAACTCTGATCATCTATAGAATAATAAACAAAGAGGATTATATAAACATCGGAAAACAACATATTTGATATTTATCAACAGAGTATAAAAATACGCTGTAGGTAAATACTGATAGAAAAATTACACAATCTTCGTAGTGATTTTTGTTGAAATTTTTAGGGAGATAACCGATATTAAAATAAGTCTCTGTTTGTATGCTACTGCAGGTATTTAAACCTTGACCTCAAATCATTCCCCTTCTTGGCAGGAGAGCACAAAATCTCGCGCGCTAGATCTATTTAACAAATGAAACGTACAAATTAAGAATAATACATTTCTTTATTCACCCTATCGTACGAAATCGATCAACAATACAGAATTCTAATACAAATTTGATTTGCATCGAAATTTTATTTCATCGTAAAAGTTACTACTCCGATCGAAATTAAAATTCGAAACTTTTAATAGAAATTAAAAATGCAGTATTATTTCATAGAAATCGCTAAAATATTAATTTAGCTAATTTTATAACGCGTTGTGAAATCTTCGTCCACGTTGTGATAAATTGTAATAAACAAGTCCATTGAGTAAAACATATATATATATATATACATATATATGTTAATGTTTTTGGAATTCTATATTTGATAATGTTACCAAAAATTTTATTTGTCGATGATTCAAAGTTGTTTATAATATAATAACACAGATATCGTTTATATAAGTTTATAGATAATTGTCAATACGTGACAAGACAATAACTGCTTCTTTAATAAAGCATCATGAAAAATGATATGCGTTATCGTCCTTGACATCGTATGTGAATCGCCTCATCCTGTATCTAATGTACAATTTTGCATCTTGACAAATTTAGTTGTGTTTTCTTTTTTTATTGTTTCGATAAAATAACATTTTTGGTATGATTTAGAACGATCTCTAATTTTTGATAGCAGTTATGTCAGAACTGTTCACAGGTGGGGTAAATTTAATTACGTGGTTACACGTGTACATTTCTTTATCGCCAAAGATTAGCACGAAGATTTCCAATGTAAAATATTGCACAAGTTCTATCATTATTTTACGATTTTAAGCAATATTTAAGAAGTAAATGCCATATTTTCTATATATGATATGCAATGCGATGCATATCGTTTCGGCGAAATGAACATTGAACATTGCACCGATCGAAAATAAATGTTGTTACGCGAATTATTTTGGTATGTCTATAACGGTATTCCAGCTTCTACTTCGTTCCTATCTTATTACGCCCGACTTTTATTAAGTCAATCGTCGTTAATTTATATTCATTCGGTATGTTCTACATAAAATGTTACGTAATCAACATTATCATTTCGTTTACATCGTACAATTTGATTCTGAACAATAACCCAAGACCGTGTAAATTTTCAAATTCCAGTCGAACCGCGTAAATGGTTATTTTCACGATAATTGTACATGCACATACTTCGTAAACCCTATCGAAGATCGTAATAAATCTGTCATTACATTTGACAAACATATTACATGTTCGATGTCTGTAAATAATATTCTGCTATCACAAGGAAGTTAGATTAATTCAGTTATCGTCTAAAAAGTTGAAATAGTATGCTGAAGATAACGTTTTCTTTGAGTACAATATCCATGATTTTGTAATATGTAGATCGTCAATGTATACCCCGAGACGAAAAATAAAATGGCGCGAAAATTAGTATTAACGTGAAACATGCATTCAATCCGACATAATCGTAAACGTGTCTTTAAAAATTATTCCGTCTTTCGTATTACAAGCGAGTATGATCTTATTTGTATAATAACTTTCACAGAAATCGAAATTTCAACAAAACGTATCTAAAATCAATTTAGTATCTTCTTGCTAGAAAGCTTGTAAATGATAAGTTTGAAGGGTAAGGTCTTGTTTCGTATCACGTCAAAAAGAAACCACTGACATTTCAATTCATTTCCATAGCATTTCAAGGTTAGCTTTTTAAGAAGAAAATTTATGCATAACTGGAATCTTGTAAAAAAAATCGAGCGAATCGATGCTTGGTTTTATCGATTAAATCGCGGAAATGTACTTGAAGTGTCATTGCCGTATCAATTGAATTGCGAGGAAGTCTTTATTTACCTGAATCTAGTTCTGCTTGTTCGATGGCTTCGTCGGCGGTTTTTAGCCAACAAGGTTCTTTGCCGGGTATTGGCATAGACGGTTCGTTCACGTACGTGAAATAGGTCTTTTTTGACGCTTGGATACAAGGACGAGATGTAACCGTCATGGTTTTGAGAGCTCTCGATAGGTTGACTATTCGTTTCAGGGCCGCCATGGTTCAGATATGCTGTATTCTTCTGTCAGTAGAGCACGAGGGCACAGTGTCGATTGGAACGACGATCAAAATATTCGTAATGAAATTATGTAAGATATATAAGCTTCTCGTTCAAAGGAAAACGACCAACCATAGAATTTGCAACACCACTTTTACTAAATTTAATTTCTTGAATATACACGTATCCTCGAACCAGCCGCCACCGTGTCTCGCTGCACACTCCGCGCCTCTTCGGCGCGAAATTATCAGAATCAGCTCCGCATCCGAATCAGTATATAGTATAGGTATTCTACTACAGGAACTGCATCATATTACATATTAAACTTACCACCAGAGGGCTACGAATAACACTTGATTCTCATAAGTTCCCTAACAGTATCCAATTCTTTAAAATAGCAACATTTTTATGGATCGAAATATTCTTGGATAGTTACGTAAATTCTAACGATGAAAAATCCAAATTTTTAACATGTTAAAAATAAGATATTAAGGAAAATGAATCTGATTGGAGATCTTATGGGAGTTCGTAAAAAATTTCACGAATTTGGTCTGATAGTTAACGTGTCGAGTGCTGAGCCTAATTTCAATTTCTACGACTAAAATACAAGGTCACGATAAGAAGCGAAGAGATCTAACATTGAAATAATTTATGTTTTTCTGTAAATCTTTACTATAAAAGAATATTGTCGATATTCATAATAATGCAACAGCTGTTGATGATTGCATATTATTATTTATTCGTTATTGCTATCGTATCATTAATTAGAAATAGGAGAACGAAATTACTCGGTTCTTTTATTAGAATACAGTTGTTGAATGTTGTTATCGAATAATCTCATTTAAACTGGGATATTGCAATTGAATAAACTACAACTGTAGTAGGAGTAAACAATACCATTTAGTTAAAACTCTCTACGGGATTAAACATAATATTTATCTATGTATAATTTTTAGTTGTTTATTTTTATCGTAACAATACATTGAATTAGAAAATACTTTATTTGTAATAAACATATAACGAACTACTTAGTTCAAGCCACGTGATCGCACGTGCCCTTGCTTCTGTCTTTGTTCGATACTTATTGTTCACTTCATCTATGCAGTTGCCAAAGTAAAGTTTATTTTGTTGGAACGTTACAAAACGTAATAGCTGCTCGATTACTAAGAATTTGCATGTTTTATTCGTGTTAATAGCTCCGATCGGTTCCGATCATTTATTTTTATTTTCACGATAGACGATTTTCTACAAGCAAGTCTACGTTCGAAATTACTCCTCTCCCCCCACCCTTTGCGTTTCAGTCTGTCTCCTTTTATTCGAGCTTCAGCGGCAGTACCTTCTGCTGTTTGACCGACGTAACAGACCAGGGAATTCGCTTGACAAAATGTATGGAAAAACTATCGGAAAACATCAAGCTGCCAAAGAACATGCTTTGGCGGTATCGAGGGACTTCGTTTCACAGCCTCGGCTCAGTAAGTGATATTCATTTTACTAAAAATCAACAGATATCAAACTCGCGAAATGCGAGCACTCAAAGTAAACTGGGCGTAGCAGTGGATCGATTTGCAACTAGTCAGCTGATCTCGAAAAATGTTTGTTCTTTAATTGCTCTGATAAATTGTAAAGATGCTCCCGATACGAACAAACATTTCAAACGATTGACTTTTCAAACTTAATAACCTAATTGAGAATGAAAAAGGAATTCTTCGTAGTCGAGTATTGTCCAACTATCATGTGACTACGGACGAGGATTTGACATAATGAGTCGATAAATTCATTTTCTCTATTTAAATATAATACGATGTAAACATTTATCCGAAGATGATCATTTAATCGCATTTGATAAATTCGTTATTTATTTAATTTTTCATGAATAATTTAATAAAATATAAATTTATTACGTATCTGTAGATATTGGCTGGTGTTAAAAATTTGTATTTATTTTTTTAGCATATAAAACTGTGTCGGGTGTGAATGGACCATTGGTTATATTGGATGAAGTCAAATTTCCAAAGTTTGCAGAGATCGTTCAATTGAAACTAGCCGATGGTTCTATGAGATCCGGTCAAGTGCTGGAAGTGTCTGGTTCTAAAGCCGTGGTCCAAGTATTTGAGGGTACTTCCGGCATCGATGCAAAGAATACGCTATGCGAGTTCACCGGCGACATTCTGCGGACACCAGTGTCCGAAGACATGTTAGGGCGTGTCTTCAATGGATCTGGAAAACCAATCGACAAAGGCCCTCCAATTCTTGCTGAAGATTTTCTAGATATCGATGGTCAACCAATTAATCCATGGTCGCGTATCTATCCAGAAGAAATGATTCAAACTGGTATCTCGGCCATCGATGTTATGAATTCCATTGCTCGTGGCCAAAAGATCCCAATTTTCTCGGCTGCTGGGTTGCCACATAACGAAGTAAATGAATTAACACAGTATTACAATAAGTCTTTAACTTGTACAATTAATTCTGAGCTTTTTGTGTAAATTGAATTGCATAAATGTCAGAGTCGAGCAGAATTTTAAACACATTTAATAATCTTCTCTACAGATTGCTGCACAAATTTGTCGTCAAGCTGGCCTTGTCAAAGTACCTGGAAAATCCGTTTTGGATTCTCACGAAGACAACTTTGCTATCGTGTTTGCAGCTATGGGTGTAAATATGGAAACTGCCCGTTTCTTCAAGCAAGATTTCGAGGAAAACGGTTCTATGGAAAACGTGTGCCTCTTCTTGAATTTGGCCAATGATCCTACTATCGAGAGAATCATTACCCCGCGTCTTGCTTTAACTGCAGCCGAATTTTTGGCTTACCAATGCGAGAAACACGTTCTAGTAATCCTTACCGACATGTCTTCTTACGCTGAGGCGCTTCGTGAAGTGTCAGCAGCTCGCGAAGAAGTACCGGGACGACGTGGTTTCCCTGGTTACATGTACACTGATTTGGCAACCATATACGAGCGAGCCGGTCGTGTCGAAGGTCGTAACGGTTCCATTACTCAAATTCCAATTCTAACTATGCCAAACGACGATATCACCCATCCAATTCCCGATTTAACCGGATATATTACCGAGGGACAAATTTACGTTGATCGTCAACTTCATAACAGACAAATTTATCCACCCGTTAACGTACTTCCGTCTCTCTCGCGTCTTATGAAGTCTGCTATCGGCGAAGGTATGACACGAAAAGACCACTCTGATGTATCTAATCAATTGGTAAGTTTGGTATTTTTTAATATATTAAAATACAATTTAAATATAATCTGTTTGCTAGTCTACCAGCGATTAAATTTAACCTTCTCGATCCTTAAGGTTGGATCCCCTTTGCAAATCATTAATTTAATAATTTAATAATTTTGTTTTAGTACGCCTGTTATGCTATTGGAAAAGATGTACAAGCTATGAAAGCAGTTGTCGGCGAAGAAGCTTTAACACCGGATGATTTATTGTACTTGGAATTTCTTTCGAAATTCGAGAAGAATTTTATTTCTCAAGGGAGTTACGAAAATCGTACTGTTTTCGAGTCATTGGATATTGGCTGGCAATTGTTACGTATCTTCCCTAAGGAGATGCTTAAACGAATCCCTGCCAGTACTCTTGCTGAATTCTATCCAAGAGATTCCCGTCATTAATTTTTTTTTTACGCCTATAATTCAATTCCCATCTTCCTAAATCCTCTATGAAACAGTGGTTAATAAAAATCGATGAATTATAGCAACCTGACCTACTTCAAGATCAGAATGGAAGAAATTAATTGTGTATAGAGTTTAAAAAATGTAAGTCCTGTGTCAGGAAAGTTATAATATTTTCATTGATCGAATTGAAAATAAGAGTCAAGAAAGTTAAATAAAACTGTTACTAAATGTTACAAAAGATAATTAAATACGGTTAAATGCAAATTGAGAGGCTGGAGAACGACAAGTAATGTGGTACTAAAAATATTTGTACAAAACTTGTATTTAAAAGGTCAGAATCATGTTGTGCTGTTTAACGTTAATTCTATAGCGTTAATGTAACATTAATTATAACGATGTTTTCTGTTTTTGTGTACACTTACAGAAAGTAATTGTGTAAAATGTAATATATTACTCAGTATTAACATAGAAACAGAGATACGATCATATATCTTTATATTCTTTTGTCCTACATTCCAATATAAAATGTTGATTTGTGAAATGGTTTGTTTCTTCGCTCATACGATAAAAACAATACCATTTAATATTATTTGATGTTGATACAAATGTTTACTCGTTTATGGATATACAAACTCCTAAATCAATATTCTATTAGCACTTTTATTGCTTTGATGTTGTATAGAATAGTATTTTTGTTTCATATATATATAAAAAATATAGTTTATATATAAAGTTACATGCATTTGTTTATACTATTAGTGTAATTAACAATTTAAATACAAATGCGTGTGCATGGAATGATCATAAGCTTGTACGTATTAAAAAAAAACCGTATAAAAATCAGGAGACTCGTCTTGCTCCAATATGTAGTATATTTTTCTCGAAATAGACGTTGGAAAAATTTGGGACATGGTAATACAAGCACAAACAAATTATATATAATATATATACATGTTTTGTTTCTTTATTATTATTTTACAAGAGAATAGAATGAATCAAAAAACGTATGGTTGTAGTAACATCTTATAAACTATACATGTTCATTCTGTGCAAAAACATCATGTTACATATTTTCGGGACTGTATGTTATCCTTTTGGTAAATTTAAAATTCTATTTGTTGATTAATAGTCAAGTCGTAGCTGTTAATTGTTGAACTGCTAACTGAACACGGAGCTCGATACAAGTATCTTTTTCTTCTATGATACTACGTATTAAAGTGGTCTTTTTGTTCTGAAATCACAAACGAGTAAGTCGCATCCATAGGTATTGATTAAAATGTACTATAAATATTTTATGTGTATATACCTCGAGTAACTGATTTTCTTTGACTAACTGAATCATGGCTGTCATTTCAGCTTCATTCGGCGAATGTACTCTTTCCAGGGGTTTCTTTTTCTCCGGGCCGCGTTCCGACAACATTTCCATTAACCGTTTGATTTCATTCCTTTCTTGATTTATTCGCGATTTTAGTAACGCCTGCATGTTTAGTAATTCTTCGTAGATCAAACTTTCTCTCAGTTTGTCTATAACATCTTCAGGCTCCGATTCTACGGCTGAAACTGAAGTGATGCGATATTAATTATACTTATGGAATTTCACTAGTGGATATAGCAAAACAAAATTCATGTTATAAATGATTAAATTTCATACCACTTTCATTTGTTCTAGATGTTGTATTTTCTTGTTCACTGGATTGCGGTATAAGCGCGGATGCCTCGACGAAATCGACAATATCCTTATCATGCGTTTGCATAGCTTTTTCGTTTTGAGTAGTATTTGTACTTGTCGGTTCTCTGTCCTCCGAAGTATGTATTTTATTACTTTTTTTTAACGTCGAGGTATACGTAGATTGAGTCTCAGGTTTCACGTGTCCCGAATCTTCTTCCTCGGCTTTTATTTTCTGTACATTCGATTCCACCACATTTTCATCCGTCGATTTGACGTCTTCGTCTAAACTTTTTTGCGTAGCACCTTCCAGCTTTTGTACAGTTTTATACTTTCTCTGTAAAAATACAAATTGATAGTTACAGTTTACATATGCTTCTCATACATATTTATATAAGTGATAATAATAAAATCTGACCTTTAGTTGCGTTATCATACGTTGTACTTCCCACAGTTGTTCCTCGCGCGTTTTAGTAATGAAACCTGCATTCATTTGCATATGTATCTGCGAGAGTAATGATTCTTGTTTAGATAGTTCGGCGGTTATACTTTCTACAGTGTCTGGAAGATTAACACTGCCAGATGAAAGTGGCGGAACATATTTTGTTAATTGTACATTTGGAAAAAGTGCTTTGCAATGGAATAACAAAGCTAACAACAATCTATGACTCATTTGTAGTACAGGGCTTAATGTCATTGAGACGGTTTGGGCATTCATTTTTGTTGTTTTTTCCTGGAATACAGTTCTGTATAAAGTAAATATACATACATATTATGCTCCAAATTTCTTTGTTCAACATACTCGTGCTGTGACATGATCTAAATGTAATATAACCCACGCGAGAAGAACTCTATTACATTCTGGCAGTTGTTGAGTTAATTGTATTAATTGTGCTTCCCTCTGTGCAACATCTTTCGTGGATGCTGCTTGTTCAAATCGAGATATCGTCTCGCTGTTTTCCAATACAGGTTCGGGTAGCTCTCTATAATCACCATAATAGCAATTTGAATTCTTTTGGCGTACAACATATTTTTCGATAAAATCATAAAATACAAACCTCAAAAATAATATTAATAAACTCGTAGCTACCGTAGGTTCAAATTCAGATATATTCACGGGTTCCCTGTTGTTGTACAACTTTTTCAGGCATTGAACTTTTGATTTTACTCCAGGAACTTTATACAAACCCTCTATATTCATTCCGTGTTCTTCCACAAAATCAATGCAATCTCTTACAACTAAGGGCAGTTCGATACCATCGTGACAACGACTTTGTTCTACTGCTAAATGCAAGCTAACACCAAACACCGGTTGTTCCTCTAAATAGATAATTTAAAATGTTTGATTCAATCGTAATCGTACGGTATCAAAGATATTAGCGTCTCTTACCACCAATGTCTAAACAATCTTCTCCGACGTGCTTTCCTTTTTTACGATCCTTCAATTTTTGTTTAGCTTTATCCTTCTCCTTTTCTTTGCGCTTCTCCTTATCTATATCTTTTTCATCCTTGTCTTTTTTCTTCTTATCCTTTTCTTTCTCAGCATCCTTCTCTTTAGTCTCTTTCTCTCTGGACTTTTCTCGCTTTTCCTTCTTCGATGGAAATTTAAAGGCTTTAGTCTTCTTTGACTTTGAAGGGCTTCTGTGAGTTAAATCATATGCTAGTTCAAGTAATAAAGTGGTCGTATGTAAAACATAAACCAATCGAGCATGTATATTGTAAAGTATAAATTTCTCTTAATTTGAAGTATACTCATCATTTTGTTGCGCATACAGAACAAGCACTTTTACAATAAAATATACATTTACTATAGAAATAAGTATTAAAATGATCAATAGAATTAAATCGTATATATTTGAAATCAGTTTGCTTCCCATTTGAAAATTATTAGTTTTGAATTATTAACTAAGCACATGCACATACAGCAAATCAATATAACTAACTTTAGATCAATATGAAGCTTCATTAGCTTGACAGTGCCAACAATATGTGAAAATTAAAGTTACTTTATAGTATACTGTTAATTGTTGAAAAGGTAAAATACTTATTTCCTCTTCTATGACATGAAACATTCGAAATATTAATTAATAATGAAAGAAAAAATTCGTGCTAACGTTTCCGTTAAAACAGATGAAATATAAATGACTTCTAATATGAAAATGAAGGCAAGAAGGTAACAGATTATAATGCATAAAAAATTGTAGAAAAACGATTACTTTGTTTCTTGATCTTCGTCGGGGGAACTTTCACCTTCTAAGGTGGCATATCCTCGATCTTTTCGTTCTTTCTTCTCCTTGCGTTTACCGCCAAGGAGTTCTTTTTTAGAATGTTTTTCGTGTCCACCTTCATCACTAACTAGAAATACATACACATGAACATACAAGGATTAACCGATTAGGTTCTAAATATATAATTTTTCACGTATACATAGAAATATCACTGATCCAAAGGAAAAACAGTCACGGCATTTGATTCGTAACTCGCGTGACAGATGTATAACCTCTTTATCAAAAAGTCGGTATCTTTCAAAAAAATTTAAGTCGTCGTTAATACGTACAATCACTTTCGTTACTTTTCTTAGCCGATTCCGATGCATACAATCCTGGAAATTCTTTTTCTACATCCTGATTCTCGAAATCCATTCTCCGTGGTATACGCTGCTTAACCGACTAAACCGTCTTAAAAACTTGCTGTCAAATTATCGATTATTCGGTTCGAGTTCGCTGTCTCGATTGTCAAAAATTGTTCAGGTGTTAAATCGACTATTTTAAAGAAACGCGACGAACACCGTTTTAAATTTCATTCTCATCCGTTCATTTGATCGTAACGACGTGGTTCGTGGAAGGTAGAATTGTTAAAACATTTTAATACGATTTCTTTAATTCGTCATATCGCATACTTCGTAAGAAAGCCACGGTTTATAAACGTGACCATCCGCCTCTCTGTTAGCCATGTAGGTAAAATATGCTTCCTTGAAGGACATTGAAGGAAATTTTCCATAGTCTACCGTGTTCCACATCGACCGCGAATACAAAACGCGTTCCTTACGAACTTTACTGTAAAATATTTCTTTCTTCTTTTCGATCTACAAATAAATACAATGATCTATGCGATACAACTGTGATTTTGTTGTCGCATAGGCAAACCTTTTCTTTCATTTCCTCTGCACGATCAAAAGTCAATTCTCGAAGCTCGACTTTTGTTAGCTTTAACGACGGGGGTTCGACTTTTGATGACTTTCTTACATCTAGCACATTCCACATCATGACACTTTTGTGCACTGAATTGTCTAAAAAAAAAAAGATCGTGATATGAGTATTAAAGGTGCGTGGAATGATACGGAAGTATTGCAGACGGATGAGATGATAAGAATCGAGGGGTACCGGGGGAAAGGAAAAGGGGACTGACTTCTCGACACCCTCTGTGGGTGATGTGACACATAACGTCCATGCACACTAACTTATTCTTAGTATTGTGCAGCGAAACCAAACAGGGCCGTAATTACAATATTTGGCATTGGGACAGGTTAAATTAATAAGCAAATAAATTGTGTATCAATTATTTTTGTTGATACGAACAAATGTATCAGGAAACTTATCCGGTTTAACGCTGAGACTTATACTGGTATTTTACCGTTATTATTTACTCTACTTCATTACAAAAAAACACATTTATCCAAAAAGGTAAGGTCTTGAAAGCTTTAAATGGGAATAAAGCGGGAAACATTGAGTTTTTAATGTTTATATACCTTCCAGGTTTTATTTTCACACCGATGATCAAGTATATTGCTTACCTTTATCTATATTGTCAATAGCAATTCCTTGTCTATACATCAACCAATATTGCAACTGTGGCATTAAGAAACATTTTGGTAGTTTTGCAAAAAGAAATCCTTCTGTTGCCATTTTCTTTAATTCATTCTAATTATTCAATGTTTCTAAAGTTATTACGTTTAATATCAATGAATCGAGGATCGATAGAAAAATTATTTTACCTGAGCTATCGTCATCACATCAACTTCAGTATCGTCAGAACTTTCATTGTTTTCTGTATCAGAAATCTGTTCTGTGTTTGATTTCGCAGTTACTTCTTTGTACCAAGATTTTTTAGAATTGTGCAACGATTTTTCCAAACTGGTTTCAATCTCTTCGTGATCAGGCTTTTCAGAAACGTACGAACTATTTTGTACATTTGTTTCTATTTGTTTATATTCGGGCTTTCGAGGATTATATGAACTTTTTTGTGCATTCCTTTCTGTTCGTTTATATTCGGGCTTTCGAGGATTATGTGAAGTTTTTTGTACATTTGGTTCATTTCTGACATCTTTATCTTTCTTCAGCTTCTCTTGCATTACTGGATCGTTAACGACCAATTTATTTTTATTTCGTAACTGTTGTTTCGTCTGCTTAACAGGATATTTTACACTGGTTTTAGTCTCGTTATCTGTTGTGTTTTTACTACTATTTTCTATACTTTCATCGTTTTCTGGAACAGAATTTGGATTACAAGTCTCTTTACAACTATGACCACCGTGCGTATCGTATATTTCTAGGGGAGCATAAATTTGTTTATACGCTTCTTCCGCAGCTTTTTGTCTTCGTTTCTTTTCTGCAAGCATAATTTCTTCTGGTGTTGGTAGTGGACCAGGGGGAATATTCGTGGGTGACCAGTGTCGATGGAGGCACACGCATGGTACTTCTTCGATACTTGGTTCGGGTGTATGTATAGGTGTAGACATTTGTACACCACCCATTACAGGCTCAGGTGGTAATTCGGTATAATTTTCAGAAACACCAGTTATACAATACTTAACATCGTCTATGTATTCGTCTTCTTTTGGAATTCTTTTTACACCCGATATCATCAATTTTGTATCCACCACCACTGGTTTTGAAGTATCCACGATATTCATGAACGGTTGTTTCTTTAAAGATTTCAGCCTTTGCCGACGTTCTTTCCATTTCATCTTTTCCTCTTTCTGTTCAAGTATCTTTCTCTCATATTTACATTCGCAGACTGGTCTTTTTATTTTAAGTCTTGGCCGTGGTAATTTGCAGCCTACTCTATTAAACTTCTTACATTTCAACCAACAAGGCATACTATCTCTGCATCGCGTGAAGTAATCGATCAATCCTGTGTCCTTAAGTGCTAATTTCCATCGTTCCTTTTGTGGCTTTGCTTCTATCAATGTTTGTCTAGTTTTATCAAATTCTTTTATCGTTTCTTTTTCTTCGTCGTCTCGATTTGGAGTCTGATTATCATACACATCTACATATTCGTTACAACCGCAGGATACATTGTGTTTGAATGCTTTTAATATTAAATCCTTCGGTCCGCTGTGTTCTTTAAGGAATTTTAGACTCGAGTGTTTACGATTAGTGAGGCACATGTCGTACGGAGATTCGTAAAGATCGTATTCAGGTACATATTCGTCGCTTCTCCGTGGACTTGGCGGCGGTGTGTAATAAATAACACCATCTATAACTTGCATTTTCTTTTCGACCTCGTCTTTTTTTCTTCTGAGTAACTTTTCCGCTTCTTGGTCGTCTTTTTTCCCGCCCAAAAACCCACCAATATTGTACAATAGTACTTTCTTCTTGTTCCTATTTTCACGGCAAATACACGGTTTTCCTCCTGGCCGTACTGGTATCGTTTCTGGAGGATAATCCGGTTCAGTCAGATAAACTAAAGTCTTTTTTGTCGGCAATTCTTGTTCCGACTTTGTTTTCCAACCGCAAGGTCCTTTGCTCGGTAATTGAGTATCTGATTCTTTTTCAATTTTTATTGAACCATTTGTGTCTTCTGTATCATCGTATTCCAATGTACATTTTCTCGGTGGTTCTTCAGGAAGATCTACCGGTTTAACGTCGTGAGGATACAGTTCAGAGGATGTTAGCATGGCTTTTAAATTCAGTATTTGTTTCCTCGGATCAATGTCACTGCCCTGAACAATTTCTACGTCTTTCTTTCTATCTCGTTTTACGGATACGTTTCTCGAATTGAGCGATTTGCTTATCTTTCTTCTGCCAGTACTCGTCGATAGAATTTGTTTTCGGTTTAATTTTTTTATTTTTACCTTCTCCCTATCTCGTTTATCAATTTCAATATTCATTGTATTATTAGATCTTCTTTTAGATTTTTTATTTAATTTTTGGCGAGTAACGTGGCGAGTAGCTGTCTTTTCACTGACTCTGGTTTTATTATCGTTTGATTTCCTTGATATTATCCTTTCGTCCCGTTTAGACTTTCCATTAAATTTCTTGCTCGATTTTGTAGGAAACGAACCAGTCTTTTCCAGTTTAAATTTCGATGTCGTGTTCTCAATGGTTTGCTTAAATTCACTCCTCATTTTAAAATTTCTAGACGACATAGTTTTGTCATTTATCACTTTATTTTTTCTTCCTTTTGTTTCTAAAGATTTATTATCGATTATTTTACTTCCCATTGCTTTGTCAAGTATTTTTTCAGTCTTTGCAGATTTTGGAAAGGGTTCTTGAGCGCCTCCTTTATCACTCAATTGCGGTCCTTTCTTGATCATTTTTTTGTCGCTTCCAAGTTTCTCAGGTACACGTTTTCTCGGCATTTCTGCAGTCAGGCTTCCTTGTTTAGGGTCCGGAGACCTTTTTCTTGAATCTCTGGGATGTACTTTCGCGTTATCTTTTTTTATAACAGGTTTTGAAACATCTTTCTGAGGCGAAGATGGTTGAACTTCATCCTGTTCATTTACCAATGGTTTAGTTTCTACAGGTTTCGTTGGTAGTTTTGGAGAACTGAGTTTCAATAACTTTTTAAAATCTGTTTCAGATTCCTTTTCCGACGGTGCTGTACGAAATATGTTCCACGGATCGTCATAGCCAGGATAGGTAGGATCAGGGATGAATTTTTCCACTTTTTTCTCCACTACCTTTTCTCTGACCGCTATAGACTCTGGACTCATGTGACATTTCTTATCTCGCTTCTTCTCTTTCTTTTTAACTTCGTCAGGAGCTTTTTCCGGTTTCGCTTCCGTCTCTTCTTCATCTTCAAGATCCTCTTCGTCGAATTCTCCCGGAATTTCTTCTATTCCAACTTGCAATTTTAGCGGTATTCGCTCGCCGAAAGGTCCTTCGCAGACAGCTCGTCCAGGTCTTATTCCGCACGGAGGACCCTGAACAATTCAATCATGTATGTACAAGTTACGAATGAAGTTCTTAATTACACATATATTATAGATTAAAATATAAATTTTAGTTTCACAGAGATCAAGCATACTTTCAATATCTCTTTCCGCAATCTTTCCTGCTCTGCTAATTCTTCCGGTGTTAAAGTGTGCAATGCACCCCACGGCCCCCCACAAATACCCATGCCATGTTCATCACCGCATGGTTGAAAATCTGCGATACTGTACATCTTCTTTTCTTTCGGGGAAGCAACCTCCAGTGCTTTCTGTTTCGCTCTCTCCGCTCTTCTCTTTAATTTTAATATCTCATGCATAAACGGGTTCCTTCTGCACGATTTATCTCCGGGATACATTTTACAGGAGAAAGCAGGAGCCTCGTCGGGTCTGAATTTTTTACCAAAACACAAACCGTCCTCTTTCGTCCATGGTATGTGATCGTGGCTCACATTCGAATCCAAACCTTTACTGAATATCTGCTGAATCGCGCATACGCATGCTGGAACATTTCTGGGTGGTCTTGGCGGTGGATGTTCAACGACACGACCTGGCACCCTTACGATATCCTCTTTCACACCGGAGATAAAGTACTGCGTTTCGCCTTTTTCATTTGTGACGCCATTTATAAGAACATTCGTTTGCAGAACATCTTCCGAGGCTATATATTCCAACAAATTAACCGTCGATTCTGGAGGAGTTGGCGCTGGAGAATGCATCGCCATAGATCCTACGATACATCTGTTACAAAAAGCATTATAAGAATGTTTTCATTATTTTCCACTACCGTTCCTCTTACTTGTTCTTGTTATTATCTTCGGCTATAGTGTCTATCACGAAATAAGGCGATTTAGTTTCCTTTGCTTTAAAATATGACTTCCTAGTCTGCCTGCAAGAGCAACAGCTATCGCACGTAGGCCCTGGAAACACCAGCCTTGTTATAGCCTCTATACTTTTTATCAATCGATTTGCTTCTCTTTCCACTCCTCGAAACTCTTCGTCGGCGTTCTGCAACCATTCTTGCCACTTCGGGGATAGCTTCTCCCTGCCGCTTGGATAAATTTTCTTATCCCCGTCTCCAAGTTTCAGTACAGCAAAGAACCTTTCGTTGCTATTAGTCGGCGTTACATTCGCCACACCGGTCATTTCATAAGTTACCGGACACGTTGGTGGATCGTCGGCCGCGCCAGATATAATGTAATGTGCATGTTTCTCGCCAAGCCAGGATTTTTTATTCGGCTGAGGTGGTTGTAGAACTCCTGAAATACATTTTAAAAACGATCAGATACGTTTCATTTTTACTCAAACAAATAACATACCACATATTTTGTACTCGACTGGTCCTGGTTGTTCGCTGATTCCGTTGATCGTGAAATCGAATACTTTGCTTCCATTGGGCAATCGTGGACTATCAAAAGCACGTTCTTCTGTACTTATCGTACTATTTACTAAATTCAATTGTTTATCTTTCTCATCTTTTTTACTATCTAATGTAAGAACAGTTATTGTTTATAACTGACATTCCATGAAGTAAAAAAGTATAATAAAGTAGCGTACCTATATTGTATTTTTTTTTGTTAGAGACACTAGCCTTTTGCTTTCCTTTAATAGGATTATTAGTAGGATTATTAGAAGGATTATTCATGGAAGTATTAGCAAACATTTTCTTTCCTAATTTAACCGAAGTATTGGTAGAAATGTTCTTTTCTTGTTCGTTTTCAACCGAAGTATTATGTTGATTATTTTGAGAAAAATTCTGAAATTTGCTAGATCTGTTTCCTCTAACGTCAAAGTCAATTTCTGTGTTCTGATATGTTCTTAAAATGCAATCTTTAGGTGGCAATATTATGTTTGGTATTGGTGTTAATTCGCATTGTTTTTGCCAGTCTTGTAAACGATTATAATAAGAAGCCCAATCGGGGCACAGGAATAGGTCTTCTTCGTATGGCGATCCCATTTTTTGTCTCACTGGAGGTGTTGGTGGTGCAGCTGAAATACAAATAATATACATTTATCCTCTAATTCGAACATTAATAAAACATTAATAAAAGAAGTCATTACGTTTAGGAGGTAACTTTGGCATTATCACGGGCGGTAATCTTTCATGCAATTCGATTACAGCTTCTGGCAAAGTTAAAAACGCGATAGCTGATAAAATTATTCTTTCGTTGCAGTCGTAAACTTTTCCTGAAATATTAATGACGCAACGTAGGGCAAATCATATTCTCTTAAAAAATTGATTCCGTAACAATGATATAACAAACTGTATCCTTCCTCTTCGAAATAGTTTCCTGTTAATATCTTGTAAATTTCCCTTAAAAATTCAATCGCATTGCAATTGTGAGATCCATGCAATTTTTGAATGACATCTGGTGCAAGTACAAAAAATGTAGACGTTATTCCAATTGCTATAAGTGTTCTTTGCGTACGTCCTGTTACCATTTCTTCGCAATCTTTATGCATGACACATTGCAACATCATTAAATTTTTCATCTGTGATTTAAAAATACTTCTTATTCGGTCGATACTTTAATTTAGATAATAACCAAAGTACATATAGTGTTATTATTAAGTACTGTACTTGATTGATGGAAAAATCTTGATACCATCGTGGATAAGTGTTTACTTCCTTTTCCATAAAAAGTTTATCTATGAAAAAGAGTTACAAATTTGTCAAATCTTGTTTGGTTGGTAGAGTTATAAAACTACCAAGTTTAAAATGCATATATTTACAGTTTCGTTTCCCAATACGGATATTTCTATCCATTTCTTTGTTGTACAATTTTTGTTTCTGTTCCCATATTATATTTTTTGCAAATGCAACCTCATCTTCTAGATACCATTGCAATGGTCCACGACGGAGATGTATTGTTTGTTTATCGTGCAGGTTTTCAATATGGTGTTGATCCGTAAGATCATCGCGCGAAGATCCCGCACGCATATGCGGATGCGAATCATTATGCGGATTATGCAAACTACTCAAGAATTGCCTTTGCTTTGTAGACATCTTATGTTTACGATCTCCGATATCCAAGAGTTTGGCCTTTGGATTTCTCTTTCTCTGTTCAGAATCAAAAGAATCGGCAAATTGTGCTTGAAATTTCAAAGTAGGTCTTTCGTGTATTCTATATACAGACATTAACAAAGACTTATGAAGTGATTTTGGATTGTTATATTCCGTTAATGGGTCGAATTTATCGACAGAACAACAAAATCCAAAAGGTTTTAGAGTCATATCCTTTCCATTGTACCTCCTAATTAGAAGAAATTGATAATTGTATACTTTCTTATTATTTTCAAATTATGTGTGCAATAAATAATGTTATGTTTACCTTTTGCGTGTTGATCTAAGTTGCGTGCGATATGTTTTTGATCTTATGGAACTAGACATTGCGGCTGAATGAAGCAAATGATGATGGAGATTGAAATTGTACGTTGCTCATTGTTCGGGTTCCATATAATTTGTGTTATGTTATACCTGTAAATTTAAAAGTTGTATAATGGTTGTTTAAGTTAATGTCAGTTTAAAGTTTAGTATAATGAATGTGCCTGCAGATGCTATGTTATACAGGGTAGTTCATCAAAGATGAAAAGATTCCAAGAAGATTTAAAGACATACAGTCGAACTCCTTTATATTAAGAATATTACCTGTAAAAGTATGATTTTAAAGATGGTTTAATATTCCTTTCATTCGTTGAATGCATCTTTTTCTTAAGTCAACTGGAGTATAAAGAGTGTTTTCCTCAAGACGATTATCTTCGATAGCAAGATGCATTTATTCCTTTTTCCAAATACATAATACGATGTTTCGCATCCTGCATAATTCTAAACTAGCGCGTATAAGTATAAACTGATTATAACCAGATGGCGTTGAGATATCGCTTTAACGATATATTGGTAGAACATCTTGGTGATCTAGGTTCTCGTTGAAAATTATCACACGGCGAATGTACAGTTGTCAGATTGAACACCGGGTGCACTACTCACTATGCCAGATCACGCGTAACTGAGCTCGTGGAGTTTCGGAGGCAAACTGACGCATGCCCCCTCTCTCTCGATTCTCCGAAGCTACCCGAAGTATTTTCGGACCGCCTCGTGGGAGTCAAGAGAGAAAGGCTCACACACAATTGCCTTCTCGTTCTTGCACAACTGAACTCCGACCTCCTGTCAACGGCATACGAAAAGAAATTCATTTTCATTATTCCTATATATGAACGTACATACGTATATTATTTCCGATATCACTTCTGATATATCTGGCAACGTATAACCATTACTACTGGCTACTGCCAGTCTCTCCCAGCCTCTGCTGGCTTCTGCTGACCACCGCTTATATTTCTGACAACGTAATACGATTACTACGGTATTTTGCATGCCTCCGCTCGCTTCTGCTGACCATTCCTCATACTTCTGACAACGCATAACGATTATAACTTGCTTTCCTTGCCCCTGCTGGTCTCTGCTTGCCACTGCATGCCTCTACAGGCCTTTGCTATCCCCCGCAGGCCACTACTGACCGCTGCTGACCTTTCCTGGTTTTTCTGACAACGTATAAGGATTATTCCTTGTTACTGCTTGCCCCTGCTGGTCTCTGCATGCCTCTGCAGGCCTCTGCTATCCCCCACTGTCCCCTACTGTCCCCTACTGTCCCCTGCTGACCGCTGCTGACCGCTCCTCATACTTCTGACAACGTATAACGATTCCAACTTGCTATTCGTTGCCCCTGCTGGCCTCCACTTGCCTCCACTGACCTCCACTGGCCTCTGCTGGCCTCTGCTTGCCTCTGCTTGCCTCTGCTTGCCTCTGCTTGCCTCTGCTGGCCTCCGCTGGCCTCTGCTTGCCTCTGCATGCCTCTGCATGCCTCTGCTATCCCCTACTGTCCCCTACTGTCCCCTGCTGACCGCTGCTGACCGCTCCTCATACTTCTGACAACGTATAACGATTCCAACTTGCTATTCGTTGCCCCTGCTGGCCTCTGCTTGCTTCTGCATGCCACTGCTGGCCTCCACTTGCCTCCACTGACCTCCACTGGCCTCTGCTGGCCTCTGCTTGCCTCTGCTTGCCTCTGCTTGCCTCTGCTTGCCTCTGCTGGCCTCCGCTGGCCTCTGCTTGCCTCTGCATGCCTCTGCATGCCTCTGCTATCCCCTACTGTCCCCTACTGTCCCCTGCTGACCGCTGCTGACCGCTCCTCATACTTCTGACAACGTATAACGATTCCAACTTGCTATTCGTTGCCCCTGCTGGCCTCTGCTTGCTTCTGCATGCCACTGCTGGCCTCCACTTGCCTCCACTGACCTCCACTGGCCTCTGCTGGCCTCTGCTTGCCTCTGCTTGCCTCTGCTTGCCTCTGCTTGCCTCTGCTGGCCTCCGCTGGCCTCTGCTTGCCTCTGCATGCCTCTGCATGCCTCTGCTATCCCCTACTGTCCCCTACTGTCCCCTGCTGACCGCTGCTGACCGCTCCTCATACTTCTGACAACGTATAACGATTCCAACTTGCTATTCGTTGCCCCTGCTGGCCTCTGCTTGCTTCTGCATGCCACTGCTGGCCTCCACTTGCCTCCACTGACCTCCACTGGCCTCTGCTGGCCTCTGCTTGCCTCTGCTTGCCTCTGCTTGCCTCTGCTTGCCTCTGCTGGCCTCCGCTGGCCTCTGCTTGCCTCTGCATGCCTCTGCATGCCTCTGCTATCCCCTACTGTCCCCTACTGTCCCCTGCTGACCGCTGCTGACCGCTCCTCATACTTCTGACAACGTATAACGATTCCAACTTGCTATTCGTTGCCCCTGCTGGCCTCTGCTTGCTTCTGCATGCCACTGCTGGCCTCCACTTGCCTCCACTGACCTCCACTGGCCTCTGCTGGCCTCCGCTGGCCTCTGCTTGCCTCTGCTGGCCTCTGATGACCATTGATGACCACTCCTGATGCTTCCGACAACGTATAACGATTACTACTTGTTACAGCTTGCCCCTGCTGGTCTCTGCATGCCTCTGCTATTCCCTACTGTCCCCTACTGTCCCCTGCTGGCCCCTGCTCGCCCCTGCTGGCCTCTGATGACCCCTGCTAGCCCCTGCTGGCCCCTGCTGGTCTCTGCATGCCTCTGCTGTCCCCTGCTGGCCCTTGCTGCACAGAATTCTATGTGTTCTCTTCATTTTTACCTTCCTTTTCCTCTCCAAATCATTGCCTTAGCTTTAAGACCGTTTTTCCGGTTAAACTTGGATTCCCGAAGTGCAAAATCAAAAATTTAGAAGTCCTGAAACAATTGGAAAGTCCTGAAACAGTTAGAAAGTCCTGAAACAGCTGGAAAACCCTGAAACGACTTTAAATTTTCGAAATCCCGAAAAATTGGAAAGTCCTGAAACAGATGGAAAGGCCTGAAACAGCTGGAAACCCTGAAACGACTTTTAATTTTCGAAATCCCGGAAAATTGGAATATCCTGAAACAGATGGAAAGGCCTGAAACAGCTGGAAACCCTGAAACGACTTTTAATTTTCGAAATCCCGAAAAATTGGAATGTCCTGAAACCGCTGGAATGCCCTGAAACAGCTGGAAACCCTGAAACGACTTTTAATTTTCGAAATCCCGGAAAATTGGAAAGTCCTGAAACAGATGGAGAGGCCTGAAACAGCTGGAAACCCTGAAACGACTTTTAATTTTCGAAATCTCGAAAATTGGAAAGCCCTGAAACAATTGGAAAGTCCTGACACAGCTGGAATGTCCTGAAACAGCCGGGAAGTCTTGGAATTTCTTGAAAATTTCTTGGAAACGCCGAAAATTCTTGGAAACTCTGAATTTTTAGGTTCCGAGGTGTTTTAGGACTTCCTAGTGGGTTCAGGAACACCACGGAGTTTCAGGGAGTCTTATAACTAAGAGGAAAGGAAAGGAAGGTAAATGATGATGCGAACACATAGAATTCTTTGTAATTATATCATTTATTGCAATAGATTTACATTATACAATGTTTTAATACATATATCATGGAAGAAGTTGTTAACAAGGGTCAGCAGTGGTCAGCAGGGGCAAGCAGCGGCCAGCAGTGGTCAGCAGGGGCCAGCAGAGGTCAGCAGAGGCATGCAGAGACGAGCAGGGGCAATCAGCGGCCAGCAGAGGCCAGCAGGGGACAGTAGGGGATAGTAGGGGATAGTAGGGGATAGTAGGGGACAGCAGAGACGAGCAGGGGCAAGCAGCGGCCAGCAGTGGTCATCAGGGGCCAGCAGAGGCCAGCAGAGGCCAGCAGGGGACAGTAGGGGATAGTAGGGGGATGTAGAGGCATGCAGAGACGAGCAGGGGCAATCAGCGGCCAGCAGTGGTCAGCAGAGGCCAGCAGGGGACAGTAGGGGATAGTAGGGGATAGTAGGGGACAGCAGAGACGAGCAGGGGCAAGCAGCGGCCAGCAGTGGTCATCAGGGGCCAGCAGAGGCCAGCAGAGGCCAGCAGAGGGATGTAGAGGCATGCAGAGACGAGCAGGGGCAAGCAGCGGCCAGCAGTGGTCATCAGGGGCCAGCAGAGGCCAGCAGGGGACAGTAGGGGACAGTAGGGGATAGTAGGGGACAGCAGAGACCAGCAGGGGCAAGCAGTGGCCAGCAGAGGGATGTAGAGGCATGCAGAGACGAGCAGGGGCAAGCAGAGGCCAGCAGTGGTCAGCAGGGGCCAGCAGAGACCAGCAGGGGTCAGTAGGGGATAGTAGGGGACAGCAGAGACCAGCAGGGGCAAGCAGTAGCCAGTCGTAATCGTTGTACGTTGTCAGAAATACCAGGAGAGGTCAGCAGCGGCCAGCAGAGGCAAGCGGTGGCTGACAGAAGTCAGTAGTAATCGTTATGGGTTGTCAGAAATATAAGCGGTGGTCAGCAGAAGCCAGGAGGGGCTTGAAGAGGTTGGCAGTAACCCGTAGTAATTGTTATACGTTGTCAGAAATATCAGGAGTGGTCAACAGAGGCTTGGAGGAAAATTCAAAAGTACATGTTAGTTTATGATGTACTATACCACTATCGACGGCCAGAATGTCCATGCTTGTCTAGAAATAATTTCAAACAGCGGTACATGATGTATCAAATATAATAGATCGAAAAATTCTTAGTTTCATTTAACATTTTCGTATGATTGCTATGCACGTTACGATAAGGCAAACGCGAGCCTTTCTCTCTCGACTCTCAGCTTCGGAGAATCGAGAGAGAGAGAGAGAGCATGCGCAGTTTGCCTTTGTCGACTCCGAAACTCCACGAGCTCAGTTACGCGTGATCTGGCATAGTGTGAGTAGTGCACCCGGTGCTCAGTCTGGCAGCACTGGTACAGTAGCGTGGATTGCTTGGAATGCTTGGATGCCGCTGTTTTACATTTATTCACGTTGTTTGAAGTTCTGTGACGATTTTGTACGAAGTGCAGAATAAGAATTAGTGACCAAATATTGTGAAATATTTTAATTCGAAGCATCCTTTTCTATTTTCTGGTAAGTTTGATATATTTTTCTTATATGTACGTGATTTTAGCCTAATTCTCTGCGTTGATTACAAATGGTGCCGGCAGAGTTTGGTTAACTTTTCTCTAAAATTTCTATTAATTCTTATATTATTGTTAAATACAGGTTATTAGTTCGAGTATTATTCAATTTATTGATCTGTAAACAACTCGCTTTAAGAGGGATGCTACATTTTTAATATTTTCAAATTGTTAATAAATTTCGAATTTTTACTTATGTGGATAGACAAAATGGTACGAGGTGGTCGAGGTGGAATGCTCAGAGGCGGCAGAGGCGGTATGGGACGTGGAATGGGATTTCCTAGGAAACAGTTCCTTCCTCGTCTTCCGTTCGATTATACATTATGCGAAGCGGCTTTTCCACGTGTGAAACCGGCTCCCGACGAATCAGACTTCCATATGGCTCTTTTGAAAAAGAACACAGACATGTATCCTACTCCAAAAGAGCAAACTTCCATTTTAAATCTCGTAACTAAGCTACAAAGCGTACTCGATAATTTATTGGTTACTCCAGGAAGTTTCGAAGCTTGTGTAAGTATAAGTTTCCTACTTGGTTACACGAATCTTATTTTCCATTTTATCGTTCAATAATTTGCTTTTGTAGCAATTGGAGGAGGTAAGACAAGTTGGTAGCTTTAAAAAAGGAACGATGATAAAAGGGCACAACGTAGCCGATATTGTTGTAATTCTTAAAACGTTGCCTACCAAGACGGCGGTGGAAGCGCTTGGTACAAAAGTTAACAATGACTTAAAGGCTGTTAATCAGAAAGAAGTTTTCAGGCTCACTCAAACGGAGCGAGGTTTCGATATCGCTAATAACGAAGCTACAGTGCGAGTTTTGATCACCACGTTGCACCAGAACCTACGTAAATTAGAATCGGATCAACATTTGGACGTAAAGATATGCCAAGGTCATCTCGCCGCGATTAGACATTCCCGCTGGTTCGAAGAAAATGCTCATCATTCCAGTATAAAGGTTTTAATAAGATTACTTAGAGACTTGAGAAGCAGATTCGAAGGCCTAGAACCCTTATCCCCTTGGATGTTGGATTTGTTGGCACATAGCGCTATCATGAACAATCCTAGTAGACAAGCATTGCCGATAAACCAAGCATATAAGCGAGTGCTTCAATTACTTGCTTCTGGACTTTTCCTTCCAGGATCTGCCGGTAAGATTATTTTTTTTAAAATAATACATTTAATAACGAAAACATCAACTGGCATGAATGGAATGTTCAGAGTGAGAGGTGTATACGACCCACGTGGCATCAAAAGCGTTAATGTAAGTGTTGTAATATTATTCAGGTATTTCTGATCCATGCGAGGGTGGTAATATACGTGTACATACTGCCATGACCTTGGAACAACAAGATTTGGTATGCCTGACAGCTCAAACATTGTTACGTATATTGGCCCATGGAGGATACAGACCATTGCTCGAGGGTACTAATAAACTCGCTGTGGAAATGAGCGTATGGGCAGGTGGTGTGGTCGCTAGTCCCTTGGACAAGGCATACGAACCTCCTACGGAACAAGAGCAGCAAGAAGATATGGAAGAGAGCAACGAAGATATGATAACAGAAAGTGCTTAGTTATTAATCTGATACAATTCCTAAATTTGTTCGATGTTCTTTCTACAAGAGGACTAGAAATCTGCACCATTTTCTACGATGACAATTTATTCGTACTTCTTATCGTCAGATATGAAAATTAATGTATTCAGTATTGCACACGAATTTTTTTATTAACAGTAACAATAATAATTAGTGCCGACGTGTCTACTTAAATGTAATTGTGTGTGGTATTGTACGTGACGTTCACAGGATTGCAAGTTGCAGCTTGAATGAACTCGATATCTAAAATAAAACTCAAATAACGTTTATGTACGCATTTTTAGAATATACATATGCTTCCAGTTCTTGTCTCGTAGAATTATTTCGTACAGAACTGGTTATAGTGTTTAAGCACTAGTAGCCAATAAACTAAGCCACGTGTATTCAGCGTTGGGCAAATATTAATCGAAGCAACGATTCACGGTTACAATTAAAATTGTAAGGGATTAATTGTACGAGAATTAATCGATCGATGCTCAACGCTGCGTGTATCTCAGTTCGTGCGTCTATTGGCAGTGCTGGATGCGTGAAATTCGATCAAATAACACGATCGTAATTATCGCGAGCAAGGATCATTTTCCGGAGTCCTGTTAACGCGAGCACAGTTTATCGATCGGCTGTTCGTGCCTGTACGAACTGGTACTTTGAACAGTTTTCCCTGCGGCATGCAGATGCAGACTTTGTACTGTTCGTGGCTGGTTGGATTTTGCAGGAACATCGGCGCAACAGGAATATTTTCAACGTCTATGGAAACACCATCTTTAGCGTCGAGAACGATGCTTCCGTTGGCGCTCTTTAAAAATATATCAGTATCCGCGCTCCAAACGATATCTTTGCTTTCCATGGTGGCGCCTTCAGCGCCATGTATAGAAATCTGATCGTCGGAATTAACAGTTAGACTCTCGTTCACTGGCGATGTTATCCTGTAAGTCTCTGCGATTTTCACGTCTATTTTCTGTACGCCAGCCGGTAAACCGAAATTCGGAAAATTGGTGGTGAAATACGTTATGCCAGTTCTGGGATCTTTGATCTCGAAAGACTCCACTCGAGACATCGTGGTACCGTTTGGCAAAACTGTTACTTTCGCAAGCGTTTCCTCGTACGATCGTCGACCATTCACGTCTATTTGCACACCAGCTTCGTCTCCAGAGATCTCCATCGGTTCGTCACCGTAACTCTGACAAACTCCCGATTGCAAACACACCTGCGAATAGTGTTTGGCAGATTTTAATCAAAGCATAGTTGGCCATTTTTCGACTAATTTCGTTCGTGAAACTCAATCATCGGAAGTAAGGTACAAAAATAGCAATGTTTGAACGGATCTAGACTCTTTTAAAATACTTTATTAATTTATTTTTAAAATATTATTTCGTTGTCCTAATTCAAGAAATAATTGTTGAAAATGATCATTTTACGATTGATGAAATTTACACTATTATCCATTGAAGATTAATCGTTAGTAAATAAAGGTTAGTTTAGTCATCAATCGTCGCGAACGATAAGCATTAATTAATTAGTAATTAATTATCGTAAGCGATTAATCTTAATCGCCGTTGCCTGAGACGTCTAAATTTTCAATCGTGTCGTTTAATAAATTGATCGATCGAACGAAACTAGTCGATCAATGGCCAAGTATTTCTGTAAAGCATGGTAGTTCCATTAACCATAAATATACAAGAGTACTTTTCTCATGTACAGTCGGTGCAAGAGATCCAGCGAATTTCTGGGAGCGTAGAAAATTTCATCATTTAGGGTTACATCTTTAACAGTCCTGAATACATGTTAGAAAACTGATTTAACGTGCAAGTTCGCTATGTCTCTTCTACCGACTATACACCACTATCTGACCCTGTCCAAGTCGGTCTTTCCGTAAAATTTGACAAGATTCTCGTCAGGTATCACTTCCATCGCCTCCATTCCTTGGCTGATTCGTAACACGGCGATCACCGTGATGTTGAGGAAAAGATTACACAGGCCTATTATCGACAGAATGAACGTCAACGTCCACAGACAATAACGTCGTTTCGTTGATTTCTCGTTAGGCGTTGACATCGCGTGCGAAGCGACAGTCAATGCTCGATCGACGTTTTCAGAACTGAAATTAAACGCCAAATCTTCGACGTAACGTAATTCCTTCTAATCGTGCGCCCAAGGCTGCCCGATAATCTGTCGTTTTACCTTGCATGAACGCTGTTGCAACTGTTCCGACGAACGCAACTTTTGATCAACGGACCATCGCTGTTCGACAAATTATCTTCTGCTTTCGATATCGAGGGAGAACCGGCACCATTTCCGCACGTGTCGAGAATCGCCGACATCGAGTCACCGTACTGCGTACCGTACACAAAATATTCGCGTTATTAACCTTTCAGTATTCCTTTCGTGAACCGAGCGATGCAAAAAAATAATAAGAAAGGAAAAATTTACAACGAATTTTGAATTACACGAAGCTCTGATCGAGTATCGTTTATTTCATAATATTTAACTAGTGTTAAAAGTATCCATAAAAATAAAGTGGTCAGTAACGAGTCGAAGGTTTTAAAAATATTTCGATCGCGATGTATACACCTGATTATTTGTTTGATTGCACTTGTGTGTGTTTCGTTACGGTTCGAAAACAATTCTTACCTCGGTCACGATCAGCTTGGAATTCTAGACGAAAACGAAAATGGATGTCCGTGATTATAGTTCGGATTCGAAGACACGAGCCGAGTAATGAAAACTAGGTGAAATCCTTCGGTCGGCGCTTGCGCGTCCAGAGATCAATGCTCAAAACAGTAAAGCCTCTCTCTATATGTCAAAGACTCGGGGCTCGACCAAAGAAGAGATGTATTTTATTAATAAATTATTTTCGAAGCGTGCACGTGTTTTGGTGATCGTACCGGTGAAACGAAACATTAACAATCTATCGTAAAGAGGTGTTTATTTAACATTTATCGTGTGTATCACGAGTTTGGCCAAACGGTACTTTCTATCCACGGAAGGTAATTAGAAACACGAGTATAGACACCGGGAGAACTGCTACCGCAAATTCTTCCTACACTTGTTATACCAATCACGCTGTACATGCAGTGGTAATCGTTGTTTCGGATAGCCAGTGGTCCGCCGCTGTCACCCTATATATAGAAAAATAAACTAATTTTTAGAACATCAAATATTTGGATAATATTGTTACTCGTTTTAGAAGTTCTATGTACACTCTTAATCCCTTAACGTTCATGCCCGAGTCTGACTGTTTTGAAAACAATATTTCTTTGATCCAACAGTTTAAGGGATGATAATATTTGTTTTCCTTCAAATTATACGTTAGATAGAACGTTGTAATTAACAAAAACCGTATTTTTAGAAACAAATCCAATAAAGAAAACTGATCATTGTTTGTTAACCCGAAAAATATGAGCGTTAAGGGGTTAAAGAATGTATCTGAACTCTGGAACGACATAACCAAAAATTGAATGTTCGAGGTTTCATGTGTCGCTGGTGGCGCCCCCACCAAGAGGGTAGTATTCTATCGAAATCGGTGAGAGTTCATTACCTGGCATGTGTCTTTTCCCAAATCACCGGCACAAATTTGCCACTCGTCGACGATGCCACGATCGAGTTTGCTATCAGAAGTGAAGCTTAAATTGCACACTGATTGAGGCACCAGGCTGATCGTGACTTTCAACAAATCATTCGAGGCCTCGTCGTCGGCTGAAAAAGAAATTCGAGTCGAAACCATATATCGTTTTCGTTTAACACTTTGACTGCCAAATTTTCCTACTATGGAATTAAAACAATTTATTCTAAAATTGAAATTGAAATGTTAAATAAATTTCTATAGGACGAAGTTCAACGTGGCTACGAAAATAAGTACCGAAGGCAAATTTTAAGTTATGCAGTTTACAGTTGTTTAAAATCCAAGCTTTGGTCTCGTAAAAAGTTGTACGGTTTTGATGTGGCAGTCGACGTGTTGATCGTTACACTTACTCCAGTCAACCAGCCCCCATCCGGTTGCAGTTGCCTTGTCCTCGCCAGCGTTATCTGGCGAGGAGTACGGCAAACAACTGGGCCTCTTCCACGCGTCGAATTTCACGTCTTTCTCCAATTTCACGAGTGCGATGTCGTGATACTCGGACGGACGTTTGTACAAGGGATGCTTTATTCTATCGACGATTTTTAAATCTACTGGTTTCGCGTCGTCGTCCGTTTTCTCGAGATTCAAGTCACCCACTCGCACCCAACTTGCGCTTCCCCTGCAAAGGATCGTAACATTCATGCTTGGTGTTTTCAAGACGCGTTGAGCACATTTCTATCCAAGCAACGAATGAACATTTTATCTAGATAAACCTTTCGTCCATGTACGTATTACGAATGTGTTTATTCGGATAAAAGTTTATTTAGATCTCGATGTGAATCGATATCTACCAGTTGGTATTGTAAAGACAGTGTGCTGCAGTCAAGACGAATCTCTCCGAAATCAAAGTGCCGCCGCAGAACCACCTGATGGTCCCATCGCTGGTGTTGTAACCAATCGCAGCCATGTGTGGGAACTCTTTCGGGTCGGCTTTTTTACCGCCGACAATAAGCTTGCGAGTCGTAAGTGCACACAAGGTTATATTTACGGGCGTTGGACGGATCGACAAGATTGGTGGGGTTACGATTGCGTACACTGATTGAGCGTATTCTTGGCATTCTGAAACGAGAACTTTCTTACGATCCCAATCTTAAGGTGTAGCAAAGTTTAAAAATTTACTTTCAGGTTGGAATATACAAAGGGACAGTCTCATAAAGACCAATTAAAATCTATCTATTGTACTTTTACCGACTGTTAAAGATAAGAAGGGCTCACTTGATCTCGCTACGCCACCTATGCCTGTAAAGGGCCTACGCGTTGTAGTAGTACTAGTTGTCGTCGTCGTCGTCGTCGTCGTTGTTTTGCTTGTAGTTCTACGTGTGGTTGTAGTAGATTCGATTTTTGGACAACATACGATCGGCTCGAAATTTACATATCCACAATGTGAGCGTGGGCTGTGTCCTTTTAATAGGTCCTCGTAAACCGATGGGCAGTTCAGCAACTGCGTGCAAATGCCGGATGCGTTGTCGACGATACACGCGTCACCTGAATATTATAAGGTTACGTTGGTAACGATTTCGTGTCGGACATTTGCCGCCAGTGATGAATATTCGAACACAAGAACGAGACCGGTAAAAACATTTTCTTGGTAGCCTTTATTCCACCCGATAGACCACCGTTTCAAGTTCAACGTCTAAAAATAAACTGTACCGCAGGATGTAACTTACCATCGATAAATATCTCGATTCTGTGTTTCTGAATTACGGATATCGAATGCCGAAAGGCGTTTGCAATAATTGCGCGATTGAATATACATAATCGGTCCGAAAGCTGTGTAATTATAGAACGAATTTAAATAAGTTGCGTCGTGGACGAAACAGTTTCATTTGTATACGATCCCAAACGGACGTTAAACGCTTTAAAATCAGCAAGATATTAAATGTTAATTATTTGATTATATTTTCGTTAAATTTTTCCGACTTTTAACGCTTCTTGTATGATTACTAAATAAGTTGCAAAAGTGATGGTCATTTACAAATATCCAGAATTTATTTATCTTATCTTTTTAATCACTAATTAACATTTTTTCGAGATTATTAGAAATTGTTTATAATCTGGTCCTTTTTCCATGGCAATAGCGACCAATAAACAATTCCAGGTATAAAATAAATTGTAATTGCATACTATTTGTTTCGTCATGTTTTTAATTTCCGTGCCCCTAACAATAGGCAATCGAATCCTCGCGCGAAACGCAATTTTACAACCGTTGAGGAGTGAATCTGTATTACGGCTCGATATTACTATGATATATGCGTCTAACTAGTCAGTTATACGTATATGTATATGCAAATGGTATTAAGTGCATTAATCCTATACATATATTATTTTATATAGGCTTTACCTGTGGTATTAAATGCATTGTACCAATATTTATATTATTCTATAGAGGTTTTACCTTCGTCCAGAGCACTATGGGGCACAGTGGAAAGCAACAGTGCCGACAAAGAAAACACCACCAACAGTGATGACGGTGACAGCATTGTCATTCGATAAAGTTTGTTTCGATATCGACAACCTCCAACAGCTGCACTTCTTTCTTACGATTCGGTCACTACTTCGCGTCTTCCTTGCTCGGTGACTTTTGTACGCCCCTCCATCATTCTGCGCCGGTTCGGCGGTGGTAGGAGGAAATTACTAACGAAGAGGACGAACTCGTTCGCGTCATTTTAGAATGCGATACTCGGATTGCTCGCCGCGGCGAACAGGTTTCACCAGGGAAATCACATGTCGTGTTTTTCGCATCATCGATAATACGATTGAGGAATTAGAAAATATCAACGGTTTCCAGGAAGTTTTGCGAATGCACATATCAAGTAATATTCGATTCCTGCGTTTAAAAAATACTCGAACATTAAAATAACACAGAAATAATTCTTTCAGAACGATTTGAAACTTTTCAACTTCGTCGAAAAATTTCTGCACTTGCTCGAATTTTTTTCTTGGAAATGGTTAGGATTTCGGGGGTATCTGTATTCACCAAAAATGTTTATAATTGACTCACGCAACCGAAAATAATTTTTTTGAAACGATTTGAAATTTTTTAATTTTGTCGAAAAATGTTGACATCTTCTCGAATTTTTTTCTCGAAACTGCGTAGGATTTCGAGGGTATCTGTATACACAAAAAATGATTGCAATTGACCCGCGCAACCGAACATAATTTTTTCAGAACGATTTGAGATTTTTTTTTTTCGCCGAAAAATTTGGGCATCTAGGCCCCGTCGACTTTTCTTAAAAATTCGTTTTTCATTTTTAGTAATTTTGTTTGACGTGCTATAGAAAAGTTGTGTAATACTTTTTTGTAGGTACCCGTGAGCTCTACTTCGGAAAAAAGTTTCATTGAAATATATTCGCTATTGCGGGAGTTATGGCTGTTTGAAAATTGGACCATTTTTATGGGGTTTTTCTCACTTTACGTGGTCAAGGAACAGCTTTTCGGAATTTTTGGGAATTGCTACGTATTCTCCATCAAAATACGAGTTATTTGCTTTTTTCAACGTTAACATCGTCCAATCCGTTCAGAAGTTACAACGTTTTAAAGATACGCATGAAATTTTGCAGTGCCATTTCTGGCCTGAAGTTACATTATCAGTAAGGAATTTTTTTCTCGGAAATGGTTAGGATTTCGAGGGTATGTCTAATGATCAAAAATAATTGTAAACGACCCCCGCGACTAAAAATAATTTTTTCAGAACGATTTGAAATTTTTTAATTTCGTCGGTAAAGTCCACCTACTTAAATTTTTTTTTTTCGACAGTTTGATGGTCCAGGTGGCCGGGGAAGGTGAACCCCTACGTGGCGCGTCCCCAGATGGTGGATAGGGTCATCAGCCTGAGAAGGGCGGTGGCCAGAATTTTTCTTACAAAGGTTAAATCCACGAGTATCCTTCGGAGTACGTACTAGGAATGAATTCATACGCCATGTCGCGTATACATGTATCATAACTGGCATAAATTTTAAGTGGGAAAACCCTCGTGGACTCCCGCCGGCGGGTAGTGCCCGTACTTTTATCGGCTAAAACCCCCCGATGACTATCCTCAGACGTCTGGCGGGGGACTCTAGTGAGACATGAGTGTCCCCCGCTGCGCCTTGCCTTTTCAGGCTTCTCCCGCTGGGAGGCGCTGCCCCCTACCGCATTCACACTAAACCGCAGATGCCTGGTCACTAGTGTCAGCGGTCCTGGGACATGGGACTAAGTGGCCAAGGGTAGAACCCGCGACAAATATCCCATGCCCCAGTCCACTCACGCATGCAACACATTCATACAGTGAATGGCCAACGGGAGCTTCCGCTACGACCTTCGAGATGCCGCCACCAGCCTTCTCAGGCTGATGATCCCCATCCATGATGGAAAATTGAGCAACGCAAACGAAACTCCCTTTTTGTTTGACCACTCACTTGTTCCTGGCATTAACCCTTTGCACTCCGAATTATATTTCAATTTTGTTACCAGCAGCTCCCAACGCTTTTTTGAAATTTTCAAGTGTATGATATCTCTTTGGTTTGGACTTGAAAATTGACGAAGGAGCTGCTGAGATAAAAATTTACGTCGAATCACACTCGACATAGGAGTGCAAAGGGTTAAAGATGTATTCGCTTTCGTCGATGTACCTATCTACCTAGGATAAAATGTATCGTTCAACGAAATGATATGGAACAACATAGAGCACACGGTATTTAACACTTCCCACCTAAAAATATTTTATTGCTAATTTAACTTTATACATAACACGTTAGCATATTTACAATTCGTTTACCCGAATATATGAGCATCTTGTATCATCCGATAAAAAAAACAGACGCGTTTTCGTTTTTGTACAATAATGAATATCCGCAGTCGTAGTTATTGTTCGATAAAAAATAAAAATAACAGGGATTAATAATCGATGGATATCGATAACATAATATTTTAACAATTAACACGCGGTAAGAGACCTAGAGGCTAATGTCGGGGCAATCGAGCGCTAAAAATAAAGGGACATTCTCTATCTAAAAATACGACGCGGTAAATGGCGCTTTTAACGTACCAGTACGCGTAGGGCGAGATGAGGGGCGAATAAAAGAAACGAGGAAGTTAAACCGATACACGTTGTATAAGTTTCGTGCAAAAGGGAACTTCGTACGGTCTTGCAAAGCATATAATAAAACAAACATTTTTCACGTGTAAACTCAACGCTGAACCCGACCCGTGGACAGAGAATCGAGTTTCGCAGAAAATTTTCGGATCGATTTGTTTGTCGATAAGTACATAAAAAAAGAGAGAAAAAAAAAGAAGTCAAGAAGACGTGTATATACATATATAGTGTGCATCGTTTGAAAAGATTAATCGAAACTCGATTCGACGGACGTCTTTGCGACGAGTCCGCGTTTCTGCGTTGAGTTATCAGTCTTGCGGCTCTCGAGAGAAAAATTGTACATTTACGACGCGCAGGCGTACCGTGTTTGACATGCGTGCTTCCGTTAATGAGGTACACACCGATCGCGGCAGGGAAAAACTAGTTCGAGCGAGTCGCTTACATTTGACTAAGAACGGATACCCCTGGTGGTCGCGATTCACGCCTCTTTTATTCCGTTGCGCGTCCACACTTTGCAACAAATAATACATACTACCGGCCGATGGAACAGCAGATCACCATAAATCTCTAACGAGCCAAACCAATCGAACGTTCCGTGCTCTTTATTCCCGATAGTTATGGCGCGAAACATTGTTTTTCTTTTACGTATGTTAAAGGATGTAAATTTAATTTTATAACTGGAAATAAAATTAAAATTATTAAATTTAATAAAAGTTATTAATTTTGGAATTATTATCATTTTAAATATTATCTAATCAAAAAATAGTTTTAAGTTTCGGTTAAGATTCGGAATATTTTGCGAACAGAATCGATCTGGTTTGGCTCCCGAGAGATTGTAGGTTAGTTTCGGACGAACTCGAGTAGCATTCGATTCTCCGTTGATATTTTGGCACATCACACGCTTAATTTACGACTTTGTTATGTATCTTTCACCGCAACGCTCGTATATTCGTTTATCGATTGAATTACCGATGGTTTCGTTCCCATCGACGATCTATTTTTAAAGGTAGCCGTAGAGCGACAGGCTTACAAAAGACGCTAGAGGGCGGCTGTGTAATTTCATCGAGTATATGTATATTAATCTGATACTGATAGACTTCGATCGAAACCACAGAACAATGATATACCGGATATTGAAATAATTAAAAAATGTCTTACGCATACGTAAAAATAGGAAGATAGCTTGATCGTAAACGATACAAATTATTGTTTATAAATTCCTGACCAGTGATTATCAGTACCAGAGTCTAGGCCCACCTCTGCAACATTCGAGACAACTTTTTCAAGCTCTACAGAACGAAAACGATACAGCATGCTTTTCTCGGTTCATCGAACTCGTTGCAGTTTATCCGTTACTATTAACATGTATACATATGTGTATATAATATCGCGTTCATTTCATACGTACATAGGGTGTCCTGTAATACGCGGTATAATCGAAAAGGTGGCAATTCTACGGCTCGAAACAAATGTCGAAATAGTTTCTTGGAACAGATATACATTGCATATTTCTATACAGATTTTTGGACGTGGAATCGCCTCCATTGCGACTGTACCGGCGACTACAATGAAACCCCGGCATTAGTACAGAAACAGATAGCGAGAAAAGCATTATTTCGCTCTAAAGGATATCGGCAAAGTCGTATTACGCTTAGCTTATCTCTATCGATTTAACGTTTGTTGTACCGTGATCGATATTCTGCACGTACACGAGCATAAATACGTTTGGAAGATCGATTCTTCTCTTTAATCCGATCGTTCGTAATATTCTTCCGTGATTCGCGATTCGTTGATTGGCAAACGATCGTGTACAATATCTGGAGTTGATCGAGTACAAGATATCGTACGAAAAGAACAGTGGTTTTGGTTCTTGATCCCGAAGATAATCACGATGACAGAAAGGGGGGCTTACAAGTAACGGTAACGGTAACGGTAACGAATAAGTAGATTGCTTTTACCCTTTTCGACATAAATATAATCATCGAGTGTCTTTTTCGTATAAAACATTGACAATTAAAAAAAGAAGAAAAAAATTAAATATAAGTATATATACATATAAACAATTTACTGCGTTCAATTTACCGGGCAGTCTATTTATCGTAGAGATCCGTTCAAAAAATAAAAATACAACGCGTATAGACGTAGAAATATCGACGAGCGAATGCGCAATTCGACAGAGAGAGTTAAGTACAAACGAATGATCGTCGGTGAACACTTGTTGGGCATAGGCAGATCTGCGCACGCATCGTGCGACGATATTATTTTATCTTTTCGTTAAAAGTGGACGTACCGAAGCTATTTTTTCCAATAAACTATAACAAGTACCATTTGTTTACAAAAATTCATCGTCTTTTACGAAAATTCTTAACAGAGTCGCCATATGAATCAATTATAAGCAATTATTGTTTGTATCGAGGCATCGCGAGGAACATAAAACCTCTATGAAACGCAACATTTAAGTACAGCGGGCGTCGAGAATCTTAGAACAGAGGCTTAGCGATCGGATCGATACCGATATTATCGATGACATTCAATCAATTCGATATCACAGTGTTCGACAGTAAGGATTGATATTTATCAAAATTTCAAGTACTTGGTATCGGGAAATAGTACCGGTGGTACTAACTTTTTATTTCAGAAATTTTATTTCTGTTATAGAACCGTCGAGGGCAAAGCTTCTAGCATATCCTTTACGTCGATTAAGTTTTATCGACAGATTTTAATTATCTAGGTCTGCTATCATAGGTTATGTGATCTTTGATCTGTTACTTTCTATTGTTAATGCGATTCCCTGCCAAAAGCGATGCCCTCTTGCGGGGGGGGGGAAAAAAGTACTTGGTATGAATCTTCGATAATGATACTTGATTATTGTATGTATCGACCCGATCATTAGTTTACCTAAGTAAGTCACGTAACCCTACGCTTTGCCCAAAGAATTAAGACATCGTCGTGTGTCGACGTCTCTGCAAAGAAAATTTCGTTTCTTGAATATTTGTCACGAAGCCAGACGATGCGCGTACGTATGCGCGTGCGTGTCGCCCACGTACGAGCCAGTCATACGTAGCGAGGCAATCGCAGCTGTCTGCCATGCAATTATAATAACAGTAAAAGCTCGCTTTTCGTACTTCTTCTTTGGAAATAACAGAGAAGAAAGCAAACGAGAGTTTGATTCGATCTCGTCGTCGAGTGTTAAATCATCATGCGCAAAGAACTCGTCCTAATGATTCGTTTTCAAGCGACGCGAGTCACAATTATTCGTACAGCCTCGACCAGAAACGAGTACCATTTTATTCAAACACATACAACGAATGGATTCTGCGCGAACGCGTACTACGTGAAACATATAATTTTATTGTAATGTAATTTGTATTGTAATTTAAGTATGTTATCTAGATGAGAATGTTCCCGTCTCTGGTGTCAACTGATTTTCATCAAACAATAGAATAAACAAAAGAACTTGAAAATGCGAAAACAGATCCCAAGTCGAGTAGATGTATGTCTTCAAAGGCGATACAGATATATCGTGATATTATCGTTCACCTTGTATACCGAGATAACACAAAATATTTATTCGGGGCACCCCGAATAAATTCTTTTCGCGATTTCTATCGATATACGCTACGTACATTTCGGGTGTACGATACTTGAAATTATTTCGTCGAATTACGATCGATAGGACGCACTCTTGAGAAAGAAATTTTAATCTCCGCGCGGGCTCGCCGATCGAAGATAATGGCGGCTCGTTCGCGGAACATGCAATAAAATTAACAAAGCCTCGACACGTGTGCACGTATACACGTTCTCGTATAAAAATTACAAAATGATCGATAAAATTCACGTCGAAAAATCTAACAACGCTGGAGGGGAGATATACGAAAGTGAAAATTCAGAGGAAAGGATTACACGAGTATCGACGTTACTGTTTAAATCGTGGGTAAATTTTCAGTGCAGGGGGGCGCGACACGCCGAGAGAAATGTCCTATAGGCATGGGTAACCGATACTGATTTACGAGACGATACCGATCGATGCGGGATTAGCACGAGTGAAACAACGTTGCGTAATTTCTGCTCTCGTCGCGGTATTATCACGATTCGTATGAAGAAAAGAAAGAGAGGGAGACAGCAGTGTCACCTGTCGGATGGTCGAAAGGTGACAATCCATTTTCTCGTTCTCTTCTAATTGCACTCGTACAACGTGTACGTACAGGGTGTAAAAAACCATCTGTCACACGCCTTTTTAGCTGGAGATTCGTTAAGACGTAACCTGTTACTAAATCCCTTGCAAATTTTCTTGTATTTCTAAGTTCAAAAGGGACAAGAAGTCAGAAACGATTGGTTTCTCTTGTAAAATGTTGTTCGTGTTCTGGACGATTAGATTGCAGTGATTGATGCAATATATGTATATTAGGCACATAGGTACATATCATACACAATCTTTTATGAGAAAATGAATCGTTTCACGACGCGTGATTTTCTTTGTCGAGTGGCATATATAGGAATCTTGATATTTAAGGTTAGAACGAACGTTTAAGATTCATTCTTGAATACCGTGAGAAATACGTTTGTTACACCCTGTATGTCGGTGAAAAGTATTCCCATGGTTGGCGTTGTGTCGCTGAGAGCAGTTACGTTCGAAACGTCACGCGAACGCCTAAACTTTCACGCGGAATAACAACACGGTCACACGCCCTAGTGAAACGCGTTCGAGAAGACTAAATCGACAGTTCCGCGCCCCCGCCGACCTCTGGGACAACGAACGATCTGGTGACTGTTTCGCGCGAAACTGGAGATGGACAAAATCCCTAGACAAAAACGGTCGAATAACAAATGAAAGATAAAAGAAACTTTTACCAATAAATACACAACAATTTTACCGTTCGATCGAATATAAATAGTTATTGTTATTCGAATAAAATTTTGCCCATCTCTGCTGGAAACAGTTTACACATTTTTAATTCCCTAAAAATTCAGTCACGTTTATAAAAAGACAACATTGGATCCACAACACTACCACCGAGCGAGAAACTTATCGAATAAAAAGTTAAAAAATAAAAAAAAAAAGAGAAAACCAAATTAGTCATTCGTATAAGTTCATACGAGGTTGAAAGGGGAAATCGAGAATAGAAGCCAAAGATAGTGGTGACAGAGATAGAACCAAGTATAGAAAAAGAGGGAATAGAGTTTCGAGAAACAGGAACGGACGAGACCAGCGAGATTTGGTCAACTCAAAGGTGGAAACAACTTGACGGACATACTTGGCTTTTGGCGGCCAAGTTCCAGGAAAGTGGAACAGGAAGAGGAGGAGGACGACGATCGAAGAAGATGCACGGTCGATCTCCAAATTGGTAGCTGGAAGAAGCACGTAACGTAATGAACCGTCCGATGATCGTACCGCGCTCTACAAATCCTTCTCGCGCGGCTACTGTGTATGCGTTTCTGCACGTTGTAATCTGAAACGAGAGAAACGACACGACTGTAGAAACTATTCGCTCAAATGATGTATAGGTTATGTTCAATAGATCGAACGACGCCAAGGACACGGCTGATGAGCGATTTTATATTTATTCAAATTAACATTGTATTCGTTCAACGTGATAAATTTGGCTCTTTAAAAATATCGGTCTTGTACTGATAAGAACCAAGTTTTTAATTGGGAGTATTAATAGTAGTTGATTAATAGACATCACTTTCGACGATCTCGAGTAGTAAATACAGCATTTCTAAATAAATATTATTGACCTATTTTCACCCTGAATCCTAACAAACACTGAATGCAATTCCGTTACTGTTTCAAAATTTATATTTTCGTTATAAATGTTTTATAATATACTTATGGGTCTATTTTTAGAAAACTTCTTTTTTTCTTATTTCTGTTTTTGTTTTTAATAAATAATTGTACAGTGAGGTTGTAACACATTATTCGGGGTTAAAAGTTTTCTTTCACGCTTCGTTGGATCGAAAGACCCTGCCCTCTAGGGGTCGCGACGCCCACTTTGGGAAACCCTACTGTGTAGGAACCAATCGCTACATCTAGGCGTGTCTAAGACAAAGCTTGCCTTAGATAAGGAATCCACCTGCATCCCTAGAGAAAACGCAACTTATTTTTCCTATCTTTTACGTTACGTGCCAAGTGATTGATTAGAAGACTAAAAGTTCGAAGTAATTAAAATTCATGTCCATTAAATTAGAATTAAATTGCATTAAGTTTGCATTTAAAAAACATATGGTGACTCTTGAATTAATTTCCTATTTGTTATTCGCAAGACGCGGATAGTTTTTTTTACAATTATTTCATGTTTTTTTTGTTCACATTTCGTATAATTTATAAGTTGGACGCCAAGATCTATATTTATCGAAATCATATAATTTGTCTAAGCGATCCGTTTACGTATTGCCACGCGAATATTGTAATTACATGTTCGTCATGGCAAAGGTCGATCGACTTATCACTGACGTAATTTAGGTTATACGGTACTATCGCATTATGGAATTAAGGCTTTTATCGTATCTACAACATAAGTCATCCTCGGTCAATAAATCATGAATTCGTGGCATTACGCATTCAATCGATCGCAATTTCTTTTAAGCAGAATTTTGTTGAGCAACGCATGCAATTCAGTTGCAGTGACCCATCGTACCCGGAACGTGATTAATTTCCTAGTCATTCACGACGATTTAAAATAATTAAATTACAGAAAAACAAATCGCCGTTAAAAAAAAAAATTAAATTTATTCACTAATTAAAAATCCTAGTGACTTTTATAAGGAGGTGTGTCTACTTTCTTCGACATCAAGGGTGGACCTTTAAGTCTCACGTTCCTCTTGTGAGTATCAAAAGAAAGTATATTACGTTGCTATAAAAATTTCTATTTCTCTCAGTCCAGCGAGCAGAGACTAAATTTACAGTAGCTTGAATTCTAATTATATAATGAAGTATATAAGTATATAATAATGATATAAGACGAAAATCAAGAATACCAATTTGTTGATTGAAGCTTCGTTAAAAAGTTATTAACATAATTGTTAAAAATTATTAATAAAATTTTTCCACCTACACGAATTTTTTTTCTCGAAAGTGCGTAGGATTTCGAGGGTATGTGTAATCACCAAAAATGATTCAAATTGATCCTCGCAGTCAAAAATATTTTTTCCAGAATGATTTGAAACTTTTTAATTTTGTCGAAAAATTTGTTAACTTTCTCGAATTTTTTTCTCGAAAGTGCGTAGGATTTCGGGGGTATATCTATTCACCAAAAATGATTCAAATTGAACCCCGCAACCGGAAATAATTTTTTTAGAATGATTTGAAATTTTTCAATTTTGCCGAAAAATTTGTCCAGCTATTGAATTTTTTACTCGAAAGTGCGTAAGATTTCGAGGGTATGTCTATTCACCAAAAATGATTCAAATTGACCCCTGCAACTAAAAATAATTTTTTTAGAATGATTTGAAACTTTTTAATTTTGTCGAAAAATTTGATTGCATTCTCGAATTTTTTTCTCGAAAGTGCGTAGGATTTCGAGGGTATGTCTATTCACCAAAAATGATTCAAATTGCCCCCCGCAACTAAAAATAATTTTTTCAGAATGATTTGAAACTTTTTAATTTTGGCGAAAAATTTATCGATCGGTATGTAACTTTAAACGTTAATAACTTTTTAATGAAGCCTCGATCAACAAATTGCTATTCTTGATTTTCGCTGTATTTTGGCCTGTAGAATCTCAAATTAAAACTTTTTCCAAGGGTGGTCGAACAGCCAGCATACAGTATACACTATACACAGTAGAATAGTAAGGGACAACACGGTTGAGGTGTTGGGTATCGAGATTACCCAGTCGGCCCACACGTCTAGACGTTTTAAAGTTTTTTACAATGCTCTCGAGGCGTGGTATGGCATGACTGCAACGCGGCACGATGGGATATTATACGATCTTGTGCCACCAGTTTTCACAACCACGCCTTGACCGGTTACATTGTACGGGAGACATAACCTCTTGGAAGTTCGGTCCACGGTAGGGTGGAAACAACCAAAGAACAAATCGATTCGGTATTGTATTCGATCGAACTAAATACTCCACAATTGATTTCCAAACTTTAATTTGTATTATTACGGTCTTAGATTCTTTTAAATACTGTACCATTAAAATTGCGAATTTGTGACTAAATTCCTCAGTGTTATAACGAATACTGCAAAGCTCGTTATAAGATTGATAGATGTCGCGAGTCAATGTCGGTTACAATTTTAGTTTACTTTATATTTAAAGTAATTTGTCCCTGAAGAGATAAAAATGTTTCATTAAAATATCTTACGACGATTAGTTAAAACTCCGATAATCGATATATTAATAGAAAGAGATGTTTAAGTTATCTACAGTTGTCCGCGTTACAAATTTTTTTTCGCGTTCTCTTTGACACTTCGGTCAAAGGTTACGTCTCCTACAATGGTTGAAGAAAGTCTTAAAAAATTTAACGATTATTCTCAGAATTATTAAAAACCACCGACACAGAGAATTAATTTTAAAGCCCCACAAAAATGTTAATTTTTCCATTTTCCTGACAATCTGTTCAGCACGTTTTTTAAATTTGGAAGTTTGAGAAAATGTAAAGGGAAAGAAATCGATTCTTCTTTCTTTCCAAACTAGGTTAAACCCGTTGCCTAGTTCCTACGTTCCAAAGGATTGTCCCTAACGTATGGATCGTGGAGCAGCTTGTCTGCAGCTGCAATTGCATTCTTTCTATCGATCAACAAAACGACTTTACATGCAATACAGCCTCGTTTCGCGCAATTCATTCGTTTGTCACCTGTTGAAGCTTTCGAGTGGAAAACTACTTTGTGCGCTTGCGTCAGAAGCGACGTGATAACATAAGCCGATTTAACAATATCTTAATGTAGGTTAACGATTATAAACAGGGTCGGGATTTCGGTAAGTTTTTTTTAGATCTCCGGGACAAATATAGATCAACGGAGCGCCGCCAAATAAAATAAAATATTTAAACAAGGTATTTCATTTAACTGAACCTACTTGGAATGCATTCGAAATTATTGACGATACTAATACCATCTCTTATTTGATTTAATTATGACTAATTATAATAATTATCGACTGCGAAGGGTTACGAGCCTGACGAATCTCGAATAGTGCCCGTGGGGGGCCCCCGACTTTTTGCGCCCCTGATTTCCACTACGCTCTGAAGTTCGTGCGAATCGGGGAAGTATTTTAAACGGTACCACTTCAAGCTGATAAGTGCGCACAATGTATTTGGACCTGTCAGTCTGCTGGCAGTAGGCCAAGGATTATTCTTTCGACCATGAAATCGTTCGTGATCTATAAAGTGGTCAAGGCACTTTGAAATTATCGTTAAAATATTTAGAAGGCCCACGGTCGACCACGAATGTCTCCCAGCGAGGACAAAACGCGTTAACGTGATCTGCATTTAATATAATATACAAATTGTACTCGGTCGCAAAAAAAGTCAGGGGACCGATTAAATTACTACGCGTCGATTATATTGGTTATTTGTTGTTCGAATGAAACTTGTGCCCACGTCTGGTCCGAATATGGGGAAAATAAAGCCTAAATGTTTGGTGCATCCTCGCGTGGGCACGACGAGGTTAATCACCCTGTATACAGGGTGTTCAGTCACCCCTGAGAAAAAATTTTAATGCGAGATTCTGGAGACCAAAATAAGAAAGTTATTAACAAAATTATTGTTAAAAATTATTAATAAAATTTGTCCACCTACACGAATTTTTTTCTCCAAAGTGCGTAGGATTTCGGAGGTATGTGTATTCACCAAAAATGATTCAAAATGACCCCCGCAACTAAAAATAATTTTTCCAGAATGATTTGAAACTTTTTAATTTTGTCGAAAAATTTGTTTACATTCACGAATTTTTTTCTCGAAAATGCGTAGGATTTCGAGGATATGTATATTCACCAAAAATGATTCAAATTGCCCCCCGCGACTAAAAATAATTTTTCCAGAATGATTTGAAACTTTTTAATTTTGTCGAAAAATTAGTTTACATTCTCGAATTTTTTTCTCGAAAATGCGTAGGATTTCGAGGGTATGACTATTCACCAAAAATGATTGAAATTAACCCCTGCAGCCAAAAATATTTTTTTTAGAGCGATTTGAAATTTTTTAATTTCGTCTAAAAATGTAGGCACTCGCTCGAATTTTTTTCTCGAAAGTGCGTAGGATTTCGGAGGTATGTGTAATGACCAAAAATGATTGTAATTGACCCCTGCAGCTGAAAATAATTTTTCCATGAATTTAATTTTTTAATAACTTTTTAACGAAGCCTCGATCAACAAAATGATATTCTTGATTTTCGTCTTATTTTGGCCTCTGGAATCTCCGATTAAAATTTTTCCCGGGTGTTGCCGAACACCCTGTATATTTGTATCGCACCGGTCGGGCAACCGCGAATCTGGCCCCGAACGAAAGAAACAGAGAAGAAAAAGAAACGAAGACGATGGAATGGGAATGTATGCGCCCCGTCACGCGTAGTAACAGCCTTTAGTTAAGGCGATTAGAGTCAGGCGACTCGTCGGTCGCGACTGTTATCGCCGCTGTACGGCAGATTGTTATTTATAGAGTGAAAGTACACTGTCGTACGCGGCCTCGCGTGAAAAGACGCCGACGTGTCGGATCCTCTTAAGTTTTCTGGCGATATCGACTCGAAAAAGTCCCGAGCGCCCTAAAAATGACGGACGATCGACGAACTAGGGTCGTGGGTGAATGAAAACTTGCGAAAAGATTCGAGATTTTCAACAGATTAAACAAAATGACACGACATCTCGTATAACTGATTTTCTAAAATTTTCATCCAACAGATTTTTTCGTTAGAGCTGAGAGAGAGGTTTTCAGAAACTATATAGAACTTGTAATTTAGCAACTTGTACGCTATACGAGATCTTTGCCCGCCTACACTCTCTCCTTCGCATCGCGTGCAAGGACAGGTCCATAAAAAAGACGGTATTTTACGGTCGTGAACGAGTACACGCGTGTTGGTAGTCTATGAGCGACGTAAAACCACCGATGAATTTTTCGCTACTCGTTATTTCGTAAGGATAGATAAATCACTGGCTCGGAAGAGGGACATTAGAAACCACGAAAACACGTTCGCGAATTAGGTAGACTTCTGTACCCAGAGTGGTTCAGTAATAGTTAAAAATAGAACGCCTTTAAAGTAACAATAATCGGCAAAGTTGTTGCAGTTGTTCATCTTCGTGCTTCCGATAATAAAAATTTCTAATAAAAGGTTCTATGAACGCGCGACATGAACGTCGAAAAATAGAACTCTCCTAATACAAAAATAGAACAGGTGGTAACAACCTCGTTTCCTTACAATCGAACGACTGCTTTTAACACGTTCGCTGTCCATTGAGTACACGTATTTACGTAGTTGGCGTTCACCTGGAACTGTCGGAAGCTAAGCGTCTAGTTTCTATTCGAATATTTAAGGACGAATAAAATTTATTGCCAAGGGGAACCTAGTTACTATCTTGGGCAAAACAATTATTAAAAATCTAATAATACTAAAAAATTAACCGACGGTTTGTCCTGTGCCGGTATCTGCGTTCTAACAGATAATATTCATCCCTAATCCCGAACGCGTACGATGGGTATTAACATTCCGCGAGGCGCGTGCGTCGTCACTTAGCAGGAAAAAGAGGATTTTCCTCGTTGCAGAACTTAGCCGTTCGAATCGGATATTACGAAGAGAAGATTATTCGTCTCACGGTGACATCATCGTATTGCAAGGAACGCGACTACCGAGAATGAGAGCATTTAGATAAATAAAATACTCGTGATCGACGACTTTCGAGCTTTCTTTCCAACACCTAATATAATTCGTTTTGCGAACTCACCATAAAATTAACGCGACCTTGTTCCTCGTCTTTCGTCTGCACCGCGCTGTGTCGACCTCCAATCGTGTCCTCTCCCTTCCGTGCGAGCTTGTCCTTCCGAATCGAAGATAAATCGTAGTGGTCCATCGCTTCCCTTCTTTCGTCAATACTCTCGTTCGCCGGTCTCCTGTTCCTGACGCCGCGCCGGTCGTGACACACGCTTCATACGACCGTGTCGCCCTCTGGTGTGTCGCGCGGTCTGACGCTTCGTCCCGCATGTTCTTACGCCACGACAATTAACCAAGTAAACTGGAAGAATTCGTACGACTTTGTACATCGTTTGACGAGGGCTGTTTAGGATTCACCAGTACGGAGCGTCGTTCGTCAGATGATGCCAAGACGCGAACTCGCTCCACGTGCGTATGTTCGTTCTCGTCGCGTCCGTGATCCGCGGTATCCCGTCTCGTATACCGTTGCTCGAGAATCCGTCACACGTGGTTGTCAAGATGTCGTACCGTTTCGCCGGCGCCCGTGGCTAAAACACACAAATTACCAATCAGAGATTGTCCGCGAGACAATCGCAACGACCAACCACGGGGAAATAAATATAAGTGACTTTCTCGAGCACTTCTCGCCTTCCCGAAGCGATCATGCGATCCTCCTATTAGGTACACACACCCAGACACAGAGGCAAGTTTTTTTTTCAAAAAGTCGACATACAAGTTTTTTACTGCTGGCTATTTATCTGTTAGTGTCAGCGCCTTTTGAAAAAGAGATGCATGTGGCGTTGACCAGCTTATATAGCGGCGTAGCCCGTGTCTTAAAGAGCCAAAACTATAAACGTATCATCGAGGTTAGGTTCGACGGCGGCTCGAGTGACGATACGCCGGTGTGCCATCTTTGGGAATAAAATAAGAACTCGACTAAGAGGATCTGGCCACGGAGTGGGGAAGGTAAAGTCACCTTCTAGCAACAGGACTGCGACGAACCTCACAAAGAACACATACATGTTTCCTTGAAAAATTATTTGGTTTTCTAAGGGATATCGTCGGACGTTAACACTGTTAGTAAATTACATTCGTCTTGGAAAAGGTTTCCAAGTAACCAAATAGCAAACGTCAACAAAAAAGAGAACTCACCAGTGCTGAACAAGCGTGTTCTTAACCCTCTGTTGCATGAATTTTATTTTACCCTTTGAAAAAGAAATTGTTTTTTAATTATTTATACATTCGTAAATCGATCGATGCTCGTGATAAATGTTTCCAAAAGAAAAAAAAAAAATCATGCCCAGAACCTGTAAAAGTTTGGTGAACTTTACCAAGGATCGTTAGGGTTATTTGATCGGGCACGCTATGCGATGATGGGGGACGGACGAAACTGTGTCAATTTTGACCCATACTATTCTATATAAATTAAAATAAATACGGTTGAATTCGAATTCTCTGCTAATATTTATAAAGAACAGTTTAGAAAAAAAATATAATTGAAAATTGTTTAAATTTTATTCTAGGACGTATAGAGGGATTTTAGCATGGGCCAAAAATGAATCGACTCCGCCTTGACCCATAAGTCAGAAGTTACACACCACTATAGTAAAAGAACGCTATAAGAACATTAACATAACCTTAAAAATTACTTTTATAAAATATTTTACAGATGAGATACCGCGTCATCGACTCGAATATGCCCATTATAGTATGACCTTGAGATACGTTAATTAAAAATTTAATCAAACGATCTGTTTTGACCTCTATAGTGGTGGTAGATTCTTAATCGCCGTGTGTGTTCTCTGGTACCTGACGAAGCTATCGAAGCAGTTGGGGACCTTTGAAACCCTTTCCAAGACTCCATTGCACGGGGCCTCCGTCTCATTCGAGGTACACACCTCTAGTTTCTTGCGAACGACAAAGTTCTTTCCCCCGTTGTTGTCCCAGTACTCTTTGCCATCGGTACGATAGCGTACGCAGAACTCCATCACGTTCGACTTGAGCGGCAGAGTGAGTCTGAACCGGAAGGTGTCGTAGAGTATCAGAGCCGGGGCGCACGGTTGCTCGACGTAGGTGCAGTGCACGTCCTCGTGAGTCTTCCAGGAATCGTTGCTCGCCCTGACCACCACCTCCTTGTCGTACGCCAGATTACGTACCTTTATGGTGCCGACCAGACAGTGTTCCGACTCCCTTATTATCACGTTTTCCAAGCTGACGTTCTCTTGGTCGAGTTTCCGTCGGAAGGCGAGGTAATCGCTCGCCGGTTGGGGGAAAGTCACTTGCCAGGGCGACGCAACCTCCACGGGCTCGTCGTCGTCTATTTTCGAGTGAAGAAGACGTCCCGTTAATCCGGCCAGGTACGCGGTACTCCAGAGTGGCGGCACATTGCTGGGCTCTGACATCACGCGAACCTGTCGAGACGAAAAACGAAACGATTCGGTGTCACGCCGTCGTTTCACAAACCTTTGGAAATTATCGAAATATTTTGGCTCGACGATCTCATTTATCGAGGATAGAACTTTTTATTTTCATTGTATCGTGGCGCTGCTTCTGCTGGCGGTAGAAATCGAGATAACGTCGGTCGAGACAAGAGCGTAGCCCTCTGGTGGCGAGTACAGGAGCTAACGCCATGATATAAGATAGGTTGGGTTATCTGTTCTATTTGGAAACCGACCGCGAAGGGTTAAAAAAAATTCTTTAATTCGAGACTCTTGTTACCGAATTGCACCGCTCGATATACATGTATGGTGTAATTCAGTCGAGTGTAAAATCACGTACGCAGTCGTCGTAAGCAAGTGGAACTACTGGAAAGTCTGATAAAGCAAACAGAAAGTCCGAGCAAAGGTGTGCACGCGAAATGTGATTTTATTTCCCTTTCACGAACAGAGGCGAGATTGCGACAGGGATTATGGATGGATTATGTTTCACCTGAGTAAGCGGACGACCACGGTCGTCGGCGAACACCACCCTTTTTTTCTGTTTGCTGTTGTTGCCGTCGTTGCTGTTCCGTATACTGTCGATGGCCAGGGAACCGGACGATAGACATGGCCTTATCCTGGGTGGGACCGATCTGCTGGTAATCGACGGCGCTGTCACCACTAAAGGACTATACAGAAGTGGACTGTATACTGGAGGACTATGCCCCAGAAGCAGCTCAGCAGGCATCGCTATGGAACACATTTAGATCTGGAAAGCAAACAAAATTCCATTTCGTATTTCTTACTGTCATTTCATTCAAATAAATGTAACGTTGTTAGCTTTGTACAGAAAACAAGATAAATAAAACGTATGATATCATATGGAAAACCGAGCACAAATTTCTAACGGTACGAAACATTTACAATGTTCCGCCATAAAAACATTCCAGATATGTACTACGGTGTCCATGACTTTCTCAAACTTGTTTCCTACGCGTAAAGAACCTGTTAGTATCAACAACCTTTTAAGAATCTTTTTTTAGCCCTCCGCTGTTTGACTTTCAAAGGGTTTATAGTCACGTAGCTATCGGGTGTAATGGGATTTATCGTTACAATGATTCTCAAACTGTCGTCCATATTTGTGGGTAACATTTCGAATAACGATTAAAAAACATCTGAATTTTAAACTAAAATTATTAGAATAATTGTTTGATCCAATGTACGTGCGTAACAAATAGACCACTATACGATATTTAGATCCGAGTATATAGATTTTTATCAAAATAGATCGAAAGTTTTATATGTTGCTCCGCCATATTGGGGCGGCCATGTTGATTTTATAAACGTGACTTGGGATTAGTCATCGTTAACCTAAAATACTTTCGAATATAATGTCCCGCCCCCTCCCAAAAAAAAATAATCGGTCAAGTGCAAAAATTTTTGACAAGAATGGTTAATCTTGACATTTTGTTAGTTTACGAAGAAACGTAATATTTATTCTGGTTATGTTTACACGTTAAACTGTACCGATTTAATTTTCCTTGCATTCTCTATCATTAAAATAGACACGAGCTTTATTTCTAATAGAATCGAACAGACCTTTCGAGCACTACAGCGAAGAAAAATTCAATTGATCCCTCGAAACTTTCCCGAGAGTCGTCGCTCATCGTAAAAGCTTCCTATTCGCGAATTGGCTAACCCAATTTCACCTCAAGAGCTTGGCAGTCGAACTGACGAAATTGGAATTTGCGCCGCACGAACGATCTAGCGCCAAATCTTTAATAACTAGGAACGTGCATCGCGGGTTGCCAAAAATTTCGACGACGGAATTACGCGACCAACACGAACCACGCGAGTCATCGGTTAACCTAAAATTGACCGAATTATTTACACAACAGTCCCTATGTTTACGGATGCTGCGAATTGCTTGGAAAGATACGACGGTATTGCCTTGCATCTTGCATCAACTCTGCGTTAGGGATACTTGCGAACAAGTTCCCCCTCCCCCCGCCCCTTTACCAACAGTGTTTATGTTTCTTCACCTCGAACGACCGTCGACTCGAGTGACACGCAGCTATGTGACCAAAACTAATTCGATCGAGATGTCGCTTGGGTCACATACCAATAACTATAACTAAACATATTTAGAATTAATTTTTTATACCTGCAATACCACTACTAATATTGTGAGACTGACTAGACAGACTCGATAGGTTATGTTGCTACGTATAATTCTTAACATAACTGAATCTCATATAGCCCCCGAATTATTCTAATTCTAATTATATTTTTTAATTCTAGACACAGACATTCATTTCAAACATTGTACCGTGCGTTATAAAATTTAATGAATGTTTTAAACATTGTAGGAATGGTAATATTAACAGTCATTAATATTGGTACACTTTTGCGGTTGTAATCAGATAACTTAACACAGGTATATGTATAGAGCACGTAACATACTGGAGAACTCATGGATGTATGTACTGGTACATCCTAATGATGTATTTATTATTTCATTACAGCATTTGTTGCAGAATCAATTAAAATAAATGTTCCAATTTTCGGCATATTTCCAAACAATCGAATTCTCGAGTTGGGTTACGACGGAACTTGGACGCCATTTTTCTAATGTTCCGAACGAGTGACATCTATTTCCGTTACTAGAAGATAGTATGCTATAACTTCCAGCGGTTACTTATTTCTAAACTAATTTAAGCCCGAGTAACATGCGTGTAATTTCTCTCGGAAGTATCGAAACACGTCGTACAGTTTAAAGTTTGTAATAAAGATTGAAAAAAAAATATTTCAGTGAATGGAACTCGAACCGCAACCTCGAGTATATGCACTGCCCGATTACACCACCATCTGCGCCACACAGTCACTTCGACTGAGATTTATATTTATAGAACATATGTATATCGCAAGATACGTTATTTGTATTACTTATATAGCTAAACTTATTAAATTATTACGTCTACTATTTTACTCGTAGCGACAGGGATCCGTAGTAATTCATTCCTGAAAAGGAGGTTATAATAAGTGGGGAGAGGTTAAGTGCTTCCCTCGTCGGCGTGTTGACCGACTTATGAGCGTAAATAGTCAGGCTTTTTCCCCGAGTAAACAAAACTGGAAACTTGTAGGTGCAAAGGTGCAACGACTTCAAGGCGTTAGAGTACATTCATAGGTTATGAACGCCATAAGTTGTTCCACGTGGAAAAAGAAGCTACAATAATTTTTTTATTTTCAAATTATAACAAAATGAAAGGAAATATAGAATTAAAATATACGAAAACATTGTTTTTAATTTTAACAGAATTTCAATCTAACGAAACAAAAAAATTTCTCAACAGCTGCTTTCTACACGATCACGTTTATCGAATGCATGCAAATATCAACGTCCCCTTGAATTCTTTTTGCCGGTAGATTATTAATTGTTCGACAGGTTCGCTGATTAATTGTTTACTGGTGAAACGATAAGACACGGCGTAGATCTTGTACAACTGTATCACGGTAGAGGTATTTTGCGCGTCAAGATAGGTGCGTGTAGTCATATTACTCCCGGGAGTGGAATTACGACTCTTAAGTGTGGCAATAATCTCTTCTCTCGTCCCTCGAGACTCGTTCGAAAACCAGACGCGACGTGCACCAGACCGGAACCAAACAAGCACGCGTACACGAGTAAGAATCAAAGCGGTGTCATGAATCGGATGTTTCGAGTTTCAAGCTACTTGGATCGCCCGTGAACGGTCCCCGTTTCTATTTTACACGACACTGCTTGCTCGATTTGTCAATAACAACCGGCGGAAACAATAACAGAATTATCGCGTTCCTATGAAAATCGAGCAGACATCGCGATATCGTTCGACTCTTGTAAACAGATCGAACGCGACTGCATTTCCATTTAGTTTTTGAGGTTGTCCCGTTTAAAAGAAAATACGACGAAGTATTCGACCGTTACAGTACGTGTAAAAGAAAAAAGTTCAAGAATTTCAATAATTCGCGTCAAAAGAAACATTTTACGGGGGAAAAGATATATTATGCATAACGCTGTCCTCGGGTGGCAAGATTAATAAGGGTAGAGGTCAAAACGAACACTCGAGTATTGTTTATCGAGACGCGAACGAAGCGGCAAGGTCAAACTGTTTGGTCTGTTAAAACAAACACGAAAGAAAAGAATACCGCTTATCGCGCATTTTCTGCATAGTACTCGGTGACACTTTCGACTCACCCATGGCACAATCACGCGTGTAAAAACTGCACCGGTTGTGTCATTAGAATTTTTGCGCGTTCCCTTATCTCGATGAGAATTAGCCTCGTTAACTTCTTAACCTGCCGACAACAACAACAACAAACAACAGCCGCAGAACTGTACCGCAATTGAAATTTCCGGTTGTTATTCGGTATCAAACTTCTGTAAACTCTTGCACAATAATTGTTTTGCAGCCGATAAACGATTAATTAAACAAAAAGTTTGCGGTTGCGTACGAAAGAGTGCAGCGGAACGCGCGCGAATCACGTTACAACGACAATCGAATAGAAATCGACCTTTATACGGGGTGAACTTAGGTTATGCTCGACGTTATTTACACGGAAAACTTTCCCCTTAATAACGGGGAGAAATATCAATGCGTCATCGTAAATAAAAACACTAATTGCGTTACAACGCTGAAGAAAATTGTTCAAATGCAATTGCAATTGCAATTTGGTCTGAAAATTCGTAAATATCATTTGCTTTTGGAACTGTTGCACGAAAATTCCTTTGAATTTAAAGTACGAGGTAATGTAATTACGTTCAAGTCCATTTTAATGAAACATATGTATAATTTCTACATAATCTGAAGCATCCTTAATACAGATTTTGTAGGAATGTAATAAAGATATTCGTGACCTTTACAAAAATATCAATAAGAAACCATTGCACAAATAAACGCGTAATAAGTACATATTTCGTAAGCTGAGTTAATCGGAAGGAAAGATTGGAATTAGCAAAACAGTAAGTATATAAATACTTCGATGAAGTACTGGTCAGACGTAATTTTTCGCTGATAAAAGTAATTTTGATATTATTTGGTGCCAATGAACAGAACGCAATATAAAGATACATGTATCATAGGCAAAAAGTATGCGTCTTAATTTTGTATGCATGCAAGATAATGATTTGAGATTAAAAATATTATTAGAACAGTGATCTTCAAACATTTTGAAAGTCGTGCCTTTAAAAATAAAGAAAATTAATGCACTCGAAATAAGTTAAAAATATACTGTTACGATTTTTAAATTCCGACGACCGATATATTAATAGTAAAAAAGAAAGAGACATTTGGCAAAACGATGCTCTTCTAAAAATAAGATTAATTTATTTCAGACCTTATACGATTATATTCGTGTATAAACAAGATTATTTTTAATCTACAAATAATTATATCATAATTACCACGAACTTAAAGTACAGAAGAACTTAATTTACATAATTTGTTGGAAAAGAAACCCAAAAATACATACTGACACAGGTTGACCTCTTATCCGATCATAGTTGGTAATTTATTTGTCTTATTCGTTTTAAAACACGCGGCAAAAAGGGCTCGTTTCTAAACGAAGTTAATGGACGAATTATAAAATTACGTTCCCCCATAAATGGAATAATATTTTTGTAAAACAGCAATAAATACTTTTGTTTCGAGTCACGAATACTTTTAATGCACAGAGTATAATGAATTATCCCCAATCTCCATGTATTATGTGACAACGTAATTCGCGTATTTTCGG